CTCAGAGTTGTGTTGTGTGTGTTTGTAAGAGTGATGTGGGGCTGGACACTCTGCTTGAGAACGGCAGTACAGCCATCGGTGCGATTCTCCGGCCATGTTCATGCCCTATCGGACGTCTGATCATCAGCGCAGATATATCCCCTTCATCCCCTTAGTTCCAGTTCACGCCTCACCGGTGAGGCGCTGTGAGACCGGCAATTGGTTCAGCATGAGGTGCTGAGCCTGCCGCTGACCGGTGAAGGATAAGATACCAGACATCCTCCCACGCGCCAGCTGTGCCCCGCCTGCTTCCTCGTCGCCGTTCTCGATTATCAATGCCTCTGGATATACCTATCACCGACCGTCCTACCTCCCTCCCTACCTACTTACCACCCACCTTGCCTGCCCACCCTGTCCCGCAAGCCTCCCATCTCCTACCTCCCACCGAAGGCCGAACCCAGCCCGATCGACGGACGGACGGAACGGATGGACAGCCGGAACGAATATGGAATCCTGACCTGGAGCAGTCCAGCAGCACCCACCGTTGTCGCCCTACCCTGCCAATGCCAACGCCAACGCCTCTGCCACGCCATGCCGTGCCTATACCTGCACGGCGTAACAACCACCAGCCGCTGTCAGTGGATGCCCAAACCGGCTACATTGCATCGTCGTTCCCAAACTAGCACCTCTTACCCCCTTTCAGGGACATATGCATCGCCCACCAAGAAAGTAAGATGACGGCTTTCCTCTCCTTTCCAGTGCACCATACCCCTTCATATCTCTGTTCTCAATTACATGTTCCGAAGTGTACCATCTGTACACCGGCCCAACCCTGCGTGCCTAGATGGCCTACGTACCTGCCTCAATACCGGCTCGTTTGCCTACATGTACCTCTGAGCATCACCAGTGTCGTACCATAAACCCGCATGGCCATCGGACAGTCCAAGGCTGGCCGCATTTCTTTTCCAGTAGCATACCTCACGCAAGTAGTTAGGTGCAGGTGGTTATGACAGACCTGTGGACGTCATTGGTACTAGTCACGGTACAAGCAGCAGTACTTGACGTGCTTCCATACATGTATAATCCATCAACTGAAATCATGACTCCAAGCACAGGTAAGATGAACCTCTTATACCCTCCCCGAGGGCAGAGTTTCAAGTCAAGCCCTAGCACGGCCCGGGCAGGTGCTAACAAGCACCGAGGTACCTACCTCCTACCTACCTTGGGTAGTGCTCCCGCTCGAGGGTGAGGGTGGGCTCCAGCTTGGGAATTAAGCTCGAGGCTAGGGAAAAAGCCCATATTGCAGATATCAGATACCGGTATTGCAACTACGGAATTATTCAAGTTAAAATCCACATGCCCTAGTTCCAGGTCGTTGGGGAGACGGAAAGACCGAACAGAAAAATCGGACGACATGGTGGAGCACCGTCCCCAGCTTTGAACTCCTGCTAATGTCAATCACTGACCTCGAGACCCGTTTTGGTGTCCGCGTGTCTCTTGCGTACCAGACTTCAACTCCAGACTCCAAACTCCAGACCACCAGGGCAGACCACCAAATACCCAGGCAACCGGACATCCTCGCTTGGGTCATTGCACGTCCAGATATGGCGTTCTCTACCGGTCGAACCAGCCGCGTTTCGTCATAGCACCAGGGTAGCAACGACGTTGGCAACAGCGACGCTACATATGCCGAGAGAGAGAGAGAGAGAGAGAGAGAGAGAGTATATCCCTTGATGAGCTTGACTTGCATCTCTCTGCACAATATGGAAGCTAAGGTAGAGTTACACGTCGTATTTCCTTGGCAGGTACTCACTCCATCGAAACGTCAAAACATCAAAGCATCAGACCCGCCTTGCCTCATCTCGCCGCGTGCTCGCCTTACAAACACAACAGCCTCCTCCACCTCACCGTCCCGTCAGACAGCCCACATCTGCAAACACAACAAAGAAAGCCCGAAGCTCTTGGACCTCAAGGTCATCCTCATCTACCTGTCTGTGGACCATTTAAAGCCTGTGCCCTCGTTACATCCCACACCTGTTCCCATCACCTCTGGCAGTTCATCCTTCCACAACCAGCATTCACCACCACCACCACCAAGTCTCCTCACGCTACCGATTCTTTTTCACCTCCATAGCAACACAAGTAAGTGGTCGCCCCCATCACCCAGTGCCCGGCCCTATGACTGACTGGTTGGCCAGGATCTACAAAGGCGGCAAAGCACATTCGTCATTTGTGCTCTGCCATTGCCTCGCAGTCTTTGCGAATTCAGATTCTTAACATCTATCAGGGCAACTTCGGAAGCAGACTTCATCCATCATGGCCGTGGCAACCAGTTGCGCACACTCGTTCAAGATGATCAAGTCGGACAGCACCCTCGTGCAGTGGACCTGCAACATGTGTCACTCCGGTCCGCACTGGTGGATTTTCGAGTGCCGGTACTGCAGGATTCACACGTGCAGAGCGTGCGTTCATAGTGCCTAGGATTCTGTGGTCGTGGGGACTTGAGGTGGACTGGGCTTGCCTTTGTGGAGTTGAGGTAAGTCGAACATCAACTGTCATGTTTCAGATGGCAGCATCTTTCGAAAGTGACAGAGTTGGTAGCAGACCACTAATTATCTTGTCAGTTCCATAATCTCTGGCCTCTACTTTCCAGGTGCCGCATCGCCTGCAACGGAGGGCAAGTTTGGTTCTCGGGTCGACAATCAGGGATTGTGCGCGGAATAAGAAAGCCCTTCTTCGGACGAGATTGCACCTTTCGATCTTTCATATGTCCTGTCTGGACGACCACGAATGTGCGCCGCTGGACGCAGATCTGACTGGTAGTCGAACGCCAAGATGCTGCAGGTCTGATCACAGCTACCGGTCGTTTCCATTGGGCTGGTAACGGCTCTACGACCCTGGGCACCTACACCGCTCGACAAATTTCTCAGCTCCTTCACGTCCCATCCGGCACTAGGCGAACGAGCCACATACTCGGGTCCCACTCCATGCGACATATCTTGGCTACTAAGTTTCACCATTCGGAATTCGCTACTGTCTCACCTTCGGAGAACCTTCGGAGGGAGAGCCCTGTTCTGTTGAGCTCTGTTCACCTGTCGTCCCCTGGCCACGATACCACCACTTTACCACCTCTTCACCTCCCACGAAATCGTCCCATGTATGACTTGGCGAAGAGCGTCAAGTCATCGCTCGTCGTTCCAGGGTCGAGCTCTCTCAATCTTCACTGTTACTACTGTCATTTCAGGAGTTCTTCGGCCGCGCAAGCACAGGACGGGGATGGTCGGGAACTGGATGGCGTTCAATGCCGCTTTGCGTTCGCATCATAGATTTTCTCCTCTCAGGCACGTGCCGCAGGACAAACAGGTCTCGGCAAATGGAAAATTCATTACATTACAGGCTTTCGGGGTTTGGCGGCCTGGTTTGCTGCTTGCTAGTTATTGTTGTTCTTGTTGATGTCGTGTCTAATGACCACGTTGGGCCTCGTTTCCATTTCCAGCCTCGTTTGGTGTCTCGGCACAGTTCATCGGGTTCAAGGAGTTCCTCGGCAACTGTTTACAGAAGTAAGCGAGCGAGCGAGCGAACGAATCGCTTCTGCGTTGTCTCCCATCTCCTTTCCTCCGTCTCTTCGTCCTATCGTTTGGAAGCTTTCAATACGGCGCAGGGAAATTCAAGGCGAAGAGACAACCACTCAGTACGCGAGTACTACATATTTGCAGACCAATACCAAACTCGTGACCGTTCGTTCATCTTCCCTCCCACATCGTACCGTTCCATATTTCGGAGATGGCAAATATCTCCCGTGCTCGTCTACGCTTCTTGCCAACGCACGCCACGTTGCAATCGCCGCCGCCCATCGCCGTCTTGTTCACTCGTTTGGAAGACAAGACGTTGCCGGTGCACGTGGCTCCTATCCCATGTCGTCGAGACAATTCTGAGGCTGGCGGCCCAACAACCGGGCCAAGACCTGACATTGCGCAGGGCTGGGCATGCGGTGTAACGGCGAACAAAGCACCATCAACACCACCGCTACTTTTCCCACATCCACCCCGCGCCGCACGCGCACGCGCATGCGCATGCGATGCGATGCTATGCTGTCAGACCTGCAAGGTCCCGCGTCCCGGGCCCCGTTCTGGATCGGCTTCTGGAACATCGACGAACGACCACCAACGATTGGGCCCGGTGGAATGGTCGCTCTTGTTGATATTCTGCTACCAGCCCTGCGGTGTGTTGGGCTGTCTTGTCTTGTCTTGTCTCGCCTGGCTGTTTGTCGGGCTGGTTGTCTATCGGGGGCCGGCAAATGCTCACATGCGCGTTTGTACGCGGCGACTGATTGCGACTAATACCTACCTGTCTACCTGTCTCCTATCAAATCTTACTGTTTGGAGGTAGGTACGGATCACGAGCAACAGCAGGACAGAACAGCACATCAAACCCAATCCGAACCAGGTGTCACAAACTCCGGGACTGACCGACTGACCCCCATCCATCCATCCATCAACCGCGGCCTGATCTATGCACGTGGTCTGGGTTTCCTTTCTCTGTCTGTTTGTGACGTAGCACTGTCTCTTCTCTCGCCTTGCCTTCCGTCGTCCAATCAGTTTTCTCCCGGAGACATACTGGACATGCACAGACACGCGGACACACACACGTGCATGGTTGGGCTGGAGGGCACGGGTACGTACGTATCACCAACCCCACGATCAGATTTAGATCCGATCTGGGTTGTCGGCTACAGGTGTACGTACTGAGTACCTAGATAAGATACGATGCGATACGGTACGGTACGGTACAGATGACGGGAGATGTTGTGCGTTGGCGGGTGGGTAGGGCAGGGCAGGGCGCCATATCGAGGAAGGAAATACATTGGCTCCCCTGATCTCGCGATTGACTTCGCTGGCTCCAGTCAACTTCTTCGCCTTGGGTAGGTCTCGCCTCATGTGCCCAGATACCGGTAGACGGATCTCAGACCAGCTCAGCTCTACCTGACGAAACTGCCAGCCAGTTCGCCTACCCAGTACAGACTATACCTTGGGCCAGGCCCAGACATCGCGGTCTGCGATCCGCCTCGTCACCGTGACCTCATCGCCGACAGCGATATCGACCGCCAGCTCATCATCCCCATACTCACCCCCATCTTCATCATCTCCCCCACCTGTACCCTCATGGTCCCCAGCACCACCCCGCGGCGAAGAAGGCGGAAGCAGGAACGCATAGCGCCCGAAGATGGGGGACCATTTGTTCCCCGCGTCGACGCGGCGGTCGCGCATCAGCTTCTTGAGCACGCTGCCCTGCTCGCCCAGGGCCGGCCGCCCCGTCCCGTAGTCGATGTTGATCGAGATGCAGCGGGCGCAGTTGGCCGTCAGGGCGAGGCGGTGGGGTTGTGGGCTGGCATGTTTGTCATTGCTCTGGCTGGTTCCCGCGGCAGAGAGCACGGTGACCTCGGCCCAGAAGTCTTCGTCCCAGGGTTTAAGTTCCTCCGCCTCCTCTGGTCTTTGTTTTTGCGAGTCTTGTGACCCTCCTGCTTCGCTGGAATTCTCGCTGCTGGTTGCTGGAGGGGATGTTGAGGATGACGGGGTCGGGGACGAATCGACCACGATGTTCGGTCGGAACTTGATCATGTCCATCGCCTCGCCCTCGGGCAGTCGCGCGCTGACGTCGCGCAGCGAGGCCTGCGACGTCAGCAGGAAGGGCGCGCACTCGTTGAATGTCAGCCAGTTGTCCTTCCTGTGCCCTTTACCATCCCGTCCTGGGCCATCGCCGCTACCGGTAATGTACGACGTGATGGACGAGAACCAGGACTTCTGCTGCTGCTGCTGCTGCTTTGGACGCGGACCAGCATTCCCACTCGGCGTGTGCGCCAGCACACCCCGTCCCTGATCCCCGATATACACCAGGATCGTCTCATACCCCATACAAGCGCTGAACCACTCATCATACCGCCCGCCCATGCGATACGCCGTCGTCGCGCTGCCCATGAGTTCAACATCTACTGTCTCCATGCCACTAACACCAACGTCTGGCGCCAGCGGCACGCGCAGCGCTGTGCGCTGCTCCGGCACGGGCGGGAACAGCGGCTCCGCCGGGGTGTGGTACGTCACGACGATGTCGCCGCCGTCGATGGCCTGGTGGAAGAGCGTGCATTCCGGGAAAAGCGCCGTCTGGATGGGCTTGTAGCTGTTCTGGTCGTCCGAGAGCACCTTGAGCAGCATGAAGCGCCGGTCGTGCTCGAGGCCCTCGCGCCGGAGGCGCGTGCGGGGGACGGAGAGCGGGTGCAGGGACTTGATGGGGTAGATGTAGAGCTTGGGAGGTTGGTTAGTGAGGGAGGGAGGGTTGACTTGAGTGAGTGAGTGAGCAAGTGAGCGAGTGGGCTTTTTGGCTTACCTCGGTGATCTTCATCTTGGTGGTGATCTGGCTTTGCCTTCTATCTGCAGAGTTGCAAGCCGTGACCTCTGTTCTTCTCTACCAAGCTCGGTATTGAGAGAATGATTACGATGTGATATTCTTCTAGCTGTAGTGATTATTTCACTGGGATAGGTTTGATCTTACTTTGGGGATCTGGTCTTTTTGACGACCTACTTTCTCGCGAGTCATGGGTTATCAGAGCGGGAAGATAGCACGATACCGAGTATGTCGTGAAAGTTGCTTAAATTAGTTAGGCTGTTATATGTATGAGATGACTCAGATGTGTGAGGTGCTGGGAGAAGTTGGGGTACAGTAGCTATCTTAGACTACTGCAGCTTGGTGGGATTCGGGGTCTGAGGCCGAGATCGCATCTTGTCCAACCTGTGGAGATATCTGCCCCGACGTTCTTACACGAAAGGCGCTTTACAGCTCAGGGGCTGGTTGACCTAATTCTCGTCTATACAATTGATGTCAAGTCATTTACCTGGTATTTGATCAGCCTGAATTTGACATGTGTACTCAAGATGGCGGCCGAATCATAGTCGAAAACGAGCTTCGGAGGCGGCTTCGCTCAAGTACCTACGTAAGGCTGCATGCCTGGCAGTCTACACTTTCGACGTCAATAGCGAGGACTTGAAGCCTCGGGTTTACCGTGAGTGACAGTGGGAGACTCGAGATGCAGTTCTGAGAGGCACTTCTTGTGGTGCTGTTCGGTCGGCAGTCATATGTCACAATATCTATCACATAGTTACAAGTTCACCTTCGATCCAGTGGTGCTTAAGGGGGTGAGAATGAGATCGTGTTGAGCTTGCTGTTCGACGTAACGGACTATCAGAGTTCTGTCTTGCCACCCGTCGGTCTGTGTGCAGTACGATGCCTTGCGGCTGGAGACCAAGGGAAGGTGGTGCTGGGAGCAAACCCCATTGGGAGACTAGAGTCCAGCAGAGCTTGTTGATATTACTGACTTGTGTAGGGGGTGGAACGACGTGTGAATTGGGGCTACTTGCATCACTGCTACTCGCATCACTGCTACTCGCTCGTCGGTCTGGTGTCACAGTGCTCTGGACTCTCGGATGTCTACCACTGAGCGCGTCGGGTTGCTCAGTGCTATGAGGGAATCTTTATTGGGCGTGAAGCAATATATATGGATAGTCAGTCGTCTCATGCTATTTCGGTTCGATCAGTTTGATATCTGCCGTCGATGTAGTGCCAGACTGGTCTCTGTCTACATAAAGTGACACAAATACGGATCTGCCATTATCTTCCCCGAAGCTTACGTGATTGGCCTGGGCATAGTGTCCTAGCACTCCAACGAGTTCCAGATCGCATTTCAACGCTGCTGCCCAGAGCGATGGACTCGATTGCGCCGTCGCTACACAGACCCAAGACTTCTGCTTGTGCGAGTATCCACAGGCCACGACAAGGGATTCCTCCTGTCCTTCCACTTCGAAGATGCAGAATCCGGCGAACGTAGGAGCATCATGGGTCTTGAAACGCGTCCGCGCCCGATCGACCCAGTGGCTTGCAGGTTCAGCACGCTCGCATCGTAAAGATGCACAGATCTCGATATAGAAGCTGCCCATGCCTCTATTGTTGTCGATTTTGTGATTTGGTTGGAACCCATGTGGAACACTCTGGACAATGTACATAGTTGTTGGAGTTTCTCCTGAGAGATCTTGATAGTGTCTCGTTGGGTTCCAGCGCTGTAACGAAACCCGGCAATAAACACCTCCACCCAGATGAAGCAGTTCGAGCACATAGGTGCCAGCCGCATCGAGGCAACCCAGTTTTATCAGGGCCAGCTTCGTGCCATCGTATAGTTTATGGAGTGGCATATGCAGACGCAGTCCCTTGTTTGTCATCTGGAATTCTGGAACGTAAACGAGATCTGCATAGCACTCAAAAAATCTCGCTCCAATGAATTGTAACGGTGACTGCGCAAGGATGCCACTTAGGGGCGGATTCATTTGGTTATCAGGCCATGCGAAAAGCGTAAGATCGTTGGTGTTCTTGATGATCTCTTTCTGCAGGCGTGTAAATGCCTTCTGGTCGCCCTCGCCATAAAGTAAGGGCATGTTCACCTCGAAGATACCGAGAAGGCAGTAGGCGACGTCCTCCTCCCGTTTAGTCTCGCGTCTCGCTGCCCAGGACATCTTGCGACACGACAGCTGTTCGCGCAAGACAGAGCGAAGACTTCTTCCTGGAAAGATCTCTAGAATATCAAGGGCAATGCCCGTGATATCCGATATTTCTTCACCTAGCCCCGACTTTGTCCCATGAAGCTGCCAGTTATTATTGTAGAATCGAACATGGCGAGGCGCGATCAATTCCTGCAACGTCCAGCCACGACGAAACCAGCGACAAGCAGCAAATGATTCTGGTCGGGGGTCTTCGAGGTCTTCAAGGTATGCATGACAGACAGTGGCTTCAGAATACCACTTGAACATGGAGTTGATGGCCACGGTCAGCTCCGCACTGCTGCTCTTGTCGATGCAACAAGTGTCGACCCAAGCATATTCAAGACCATCCTCTATTGCCAGGGAGCAGGTGCGCTGGATCTTCTGCCAGCCTTTCATTCGAGTTCTTTCATCTCGGCGGTCGACGAAGTCTCGGAAGGTGACTTCCTCGTCATCCCACGTGTGCGACAAGATGGCATAAGGTGGGATCTCGCGGCCGTAGTGCTCCTCCAGCTGCAGAGTAGAGCAATTGATCAACCACATCTTCAAGCGGGTATGGCAGAGTCTTGTGCCATCTCGACTTCTTCGGTTGCTTAGACTGTCAGCAGAGTGGAAAGGCGAGAAATGGTGAGGGGTAAAGACAGTCACAGCCTTGTCTGCCTGCAGCTGCAAGTCGATAGGCGACCCTAGATAAGCGACGAGCGCCTGCTTTCTAGGGTGCTTATTCCACTGTAGTAGAACGTTTGAACAGAAGATTCGAAGTGCGCGGAACGGATTTAGGATAAGTGTACCCACACAGACATCAAGCATGAGAGCGCAGCTCCTTCCGGCCCTCAGTAGATTTTGCAGCCATGCAGCAAGGCAACCCGTCTGCAACGGCAGCTAGGTACGAACCACCTCCAATACAGCAACTGCACCTTCACTAGTCACGGTAGTTCCTTCCACAGGTATGCATACACTCACATGCGAAAACAGGTGTCATCAGTGAAGCCTTTTGGTTTGAACGATTAGTGAAGGGAATCAAGGGGACTGCGAAGGCCTCCCAGGTATACAGCCCTACCGTACCAACCTGAGCTGAGCCGTCTCCGAAGCTGTCGAGTATAACTCGGCCGCGACCCTATACACCTCAAACCTAGACCAGTCCAAGAAGGTATAGTGCTTGACGTGGTGTAGACGAGGATGATGTCAGCAAGCTTGCTCTGGTCTGCCCTCCACGCAGCGCAGAGAGTAGGTAGGGACCAAGGAGCGTGACAAGAGCCCAGCTCAGTAACCAGACACTTACTTCCCAAGGAAAAGTAGACCAGGTTGTCCTTGCCCGCTCAAAACTCCAAGCTCGACAACTGCAGTCGGGTACGTGATGCTCAGTTCCGGGCCAGACCTCCGGCCTCGCTTGCGTCCCACAGACGCGATATCAACCACCAGTTCCCATCGCGCTTTCGCTTTGGTCCCTTGGTTCGCGCGATCGCCCGAGATTTGATGGCGCTCCAGTCCATCTGGCTCGGCAACTTGTCCGAATCATCCGCCGCCTCCTGGTCCCTCACGGTGTCGCAAGCAAAAGACGACTGATCGCCCGGCTTGCCAATATAAATTTCCACCTTGAACTGCTCTCTTTGAAAAGGAGCATACGGTTTTCCGGTTGGAGCCGGTCGTGGCATGTCAGGGGAGGAGGGCGTTGATTGGGCCTGTTCGAGAGCGTCCAGTTCGGCATGGCGCCAGAGGAAAGCCAAGTATTCGTGTTGAAAATCCTGCTTCGTCATGCAGGCCGTCGCGATCTTCTTGAACTCGCCCATGTTGGCCTTTTCCTCCATAGTCTCGACTAATACTCGCTTGGCTCTTTCTAAGCCCATGCGGTACTGATCTTGCAGAAATGTGATTTGCAAGAAACCAGGTAACGAACCAGACGAGGAGGACGAATCGAAAGGTAAAGCCTCCGTTGTAAAGCGCAAGCGGCAGATGCCGGGCGTAAGAGTGTATCTCGTCGTGAAGGCCGAGGAGGAATGAGCCGAGGCCTTCTGGGCGGGGAGCAACCAAAGGCATGTTTGATGGCGAGTTCAGGCTTCAATCGCGTATCCGTGTTCGTTGCGAGCGTGAGTCGGGGGATACAGGCCCTGTGTGGTCTGGGAGGCGGTACGAAGCAGACACCCAATGAGGCTTGGTAACGAATGGTCTGTAAGAACGTCGAGTGCGCACACAAGGAAGAAGCCTCGCTTGGGGCTTATCAGCAGTCATCGAGGTTTCTCCGATAGTTCACCTTCAATGTTACGGTCCGCGGTGGCAACCGACGGCTGAACTCAAGATCTAGTAGTACCGCCTATTTCAAGGGCATTGTTCAATTGCCTCACCTTCTACCTCAACGCAAATCTCCTCGAAGATGATCAAAACCTTCAAACCGATCGCCCCGATGAGTTTCGCGAGGTTGCTGCGGCCGGCCCAGGATACTGGCCATGTTCAAACTGGAAGCGCCCAACATCAAGGAGAGGACCAACCTGCTTCATAGGGGTCATGTCGTGTCAACGTGGCCCTCGGGACTTGTCTCAAAAGATTATCTATTGTCATTATATCATTACTAGCATCATGTGCTCTGATAACTCTGCCACTTGAGCGGCTGCACAAATAGTTTGCAGTGGAATAAGCAGCGGTTTGGTGCTTATTCCAGTCATTTGCGCCTGGCCATGCCAGCTGCTTATGCCGGTTATCATCTCAGCCGCTTGCCACTCGGGGTCCTTCTCCTGGGGTATCCCGTTTCAGCCAAGCCCAAGCCCAACCCCAAACTCCGTTTCGCCTGCTCATCCTGATTCCTAAAGGAGTGTCAAACGAGGGGTATCATGAAATAGAAAACCAAACACGACAAGCGATTACGAGACAGCAACGGCTCCGACCAGGGTATCCAAAGCCGAGCTCTGCGTGCCCGCCGTGGCAATCGCGAGCGGTCCGTTCCACGTCGGCCCCAGCTGATTATTCGCCTTGTTGCGATCGTTGGCCCATATCGCGTCCGCGTTGGCGAGGATGAAGCTCGCGAAGACCTGCTGCGGTTGTTCCTGCTGAAGGTAGCGCAGGTTGCGCATGAAGACACCTTTGAACTGCGCGCCGTCGGAGCCGCAGTTGGGCTCGCAGCCCTCGTAGAGCACGCCGTTGCGCGAGAGGGTCGAGATGGCAGCGCCGGCGATGGTCGATGCTTGGTTGAGCAAGGAGGCGTCGCCCGAGGCCTTGTAGAGCTCCACCAGGCCGCCGAGGATGACGCCCTGGTTGTAGGTCCACGTGGTCATGCCGTTGTTCTTGCAGTCGTCGGTGAGGCCGTCGTTGATCAGGTTATCCGAGTTAATCAGGCCGCTGTTCTTGAACCAATTCCACTGGGTCTGGGCGATGGCCAGGTAATAATCCTTCTTTCCCGGGACCCGGTTTGCAAGGGATGCCGCCACGCTTAGGAAGAGCTCGTTGGCGATGGCGTTGGTGTACGTGCCGACCTTGCTCCAGTAGATGCCTCCGCAGCTCGAATTGCCAGCGTGCATATCCTCGAAGATTTCCTCTGCGGCCTGGAGATATTGCTGATCTCCCATTCCATAGACGCCGACATCGTGGCTGCGAATCATGGCCAGTGCCCACCACCCCTCGTCGTCATAGTAGTCGTTGAGAAAGTTTTCGAAGCCCCTCTTGCTGAGGGCTCGCTTCGAGATTCTCGTGTAAGTTGAAATGGGAAGGCCTGCCACCGAAAGGGATTTCACGGCTGAGACTGCCGTCTTTTGTGCTTGTTCGTAGGTGTTTTGGATGGTATTAGGTATATCGAGATCCGTAGAAGAGGTTGGGTTTAGCACCGCGAAGTCGGCGAGTGTTGTCAGGCAGTTGGCACTATTCCACCAGCCGGTAGTGTCCCACAGGCCCGTCGTATTGTCGTACCACGTCTGGAGGGCCTTGATCGCATCAATGGTGTTGGCAGTATAAGTAGGCTGGTCCGCGAAGTGGGTGTGACTAGACATTAAGAAAAAGGCTCTGGCCGCCAGGCCGCCGAAGAAGGATGAGGATACCATAGTGACCGGGAATGAATATGGGTAACTCGAAGTTTCGAAATAATAAACCAGAGTTTCCAGAAACCTTGGGGTATAGGGAGACGAACTCTTAAATGCCGAAAGAGAGAGCGACATCATATCGACTGGTGTGACTCTCTCCGCTTGAACCACCGTCATAAATTAAGGGTCACAGTAAAGGGCACCGCATGGCAACATCCCCTGACCCAGCCAGTTGGCCATGACCCTGCCACGAGCACAAGCACAAAACCACTTGCCTGGGTCATCTGGGTTGTCCCCCGTACACAGAGCCAGACCTTTGGTGTGCTGGCAAGCGGTGGAACCAAAGTTCTACATAAGCACCTGGAATAAGCAGTCACTCCTGGGGGAATTGACTGGAGCAACCACCAAACCGCTGCTTACTCCAGTGCAAATTATTGTGTCAACCACAGCCCTCGTGAGAGGTGGGCGATATGATCCCGGGACCCTGATGGTGATCTGCGCGGCACTTGGTGATCGGCGATGCGCTGGCGGCGACGGGCGAAGCCATCATCCATGCCAAAGGATGAGCAGCTGGGCGCGTGAGCCAGGTCGCCGTCGCCGTCCGGCTTGTCGACGAGCTTGTGGGATGGTTGGTAGAGAGAGGGAGAAGAGGGTTGGGCATGGTTTCAGAAGGAAATTGGCCTTCATGCTGGGGTTTGTGCCGCATGAGGCACACCTTCCAAGCACAGATCTTCGATATGGCGCATGAGTGGGGACCTACAGGTAGGACGGGAGAAAAGATAAGCGCGCCGAGCATGGGCCGGGGTACAAACCCCCACTGCCCCCCTCCAGCTCCCCGCTGGCTCCACTGGCAAACGGTTAAATAAATACTTTGCAGTGGAATAATAAGCAGCGATTTGGTGCTTCCTCCCGCCAATTGCTGTAGAACAACTGCTGATGCCAGATGATTATACGAACAGGATGATCTGATGATGATAGAACAGCGACCGCTATCGTGGCGATGTGTGAGAGAGGCATGAGAGGGAGGCACTGCCACAGTCTCCTTTCTCCTGCGTCCAACACTCCCGGCAGCTTAAAAGCTTTGCCTTGATGTGGGACGCCGGTGTTTTATCTCGACGTTGGACGTTTGACTCTGATGAGGCGCCTGGGCGGCGCGAGGTGAAACGGCCCGGGGGCCTTCGCGCGCGTGTCTTAGGGCCGGGGATCACCTATCGTCCCGCCGATTATAGAAGGTATATAATCGTTGACATCCGAACATCGTGTTCGATGCTCCTAGATTGAGACTAGTTGCCGTCTCTTGCGCCGGACCGTCAGGACATGCACAGCCTTCGCGAACGGCGCAGGATGAGCAGGAGACCCTCGGTTTGGAGGTGAGCAAGAAAAAACCACAAGACCCCACGATCCATAACCTTGCAGCTTCATGACGCTTGCCAGAGCCATCTTCCAACAACGCTGGTCATGCCAACGATGTTGTGAAAACAGTTAGTTGGTTGGAGACTCCTACCCCAACAGGACGGGCCGGCGTCATCTGAGCACCATGAACCTGGACGTCATAGGCCAGTTGGTGTCGATGATCGTCTGTCGCGTGTCCCATCGCATGCAGGCGTACAATGCTGACCCTCCTATGGGCGACAACACGGACCTGCTGTGATTGCTCTCGTGCGATGTTGCAGGAGTTTGTCAGTCTCTCGTAAGGGAGTCTGTCTCTGGCAGGTCGCATACTGATGTGGGGATGGACGTTCAGTGTTGACGATGTCGGTGAGGGCCGTTATTATCGGATTGAGGCTTCATTGAATATATGCACTTAAGCGAATATCTGCAATTGCGATGATGTGCTAAACCGAACATCACAATTGCAGGAGAACTGCACCATCAGCACACAACGTTGCTGCCTGCCCGGCATGAGCATGCAAAGTCACCATATCAGTGTGCTATCTCACTCACAGTGTCGCTGGTATATGCCCTCGCCTCCTCTGCTGTCTAGGTAGCAAGGTGAGTTAATCACCTCAGACTGATGGAGGCGGGCACGACCCTCCAAAAAGCATTAACTCGCAACAGTTGACCTTCCAATCCGGTGCAACACATCCGCAATGGATGCTTCAGAGCAGGACCGGGATGTCTTCATCCAGAAGTACTCTGCGGATCTCATCGCCGACTTTGATCGCTCGCTCGAGCCGTTCTTGAGGAAACCCAACGGTCACCTGCGGCGTCGCGTGCGCATGAGGGAAACCTCGAGGTTGATATCTCAGGTAAACCGCCGAGCTCCGTGATGCGATGACGGGACCAAAGACTGATTATTAGCCTTCAAGCTGCTGGAACATTTCCAGGAACTGCCACAGTTGCTCGACCCCCAACTTCCGAAGTGGCTTCCGGTGCTCGCACATGCCTACCTCGAGTGCTTGCAGGACCGCCGAAGATCCAGGGGGCTGTCGATGAGGTCCCAGCTACTGACCCCACTTCCAAACGCCATATGCAGGATCATCTACACGTTCTGCAAGATCCGGGGAGAGAAGGTCATCGTCAGGTTTTTGAATGTAGAGACGAGGTACCTGGAACTCCTCCTGCAAGCCGTCGAGGACTCGGAGCGCGTGAGCGACGCCGCTACGAAGCCAGACTCGGCTGTCTTGTGGACCTGGCATGAGCGATATGTCTGTCTGCTGTGGCTGTCTCAGCTCTTCTTTGCCCCTTTCGATCTCTCGACCATATCATCAGGCGATGCGGATGACCTTGATAGGCCAGACGTGGCAGGCTTTGAGTGGCCGCCTCAAATTCCTGGCATAGCATTGAGAGTCATACCTCTAGCAACCAGATATCTCTCTTCCCCTGGGAAAGAGAGAGATGGAGCCAAAGCGCTATTGGTCCGTGTGGCAATGAGGAAGGACATGCAAGAAGTAGGCGTCTTGCGTGCTCTCGTTCAATGGGCTCTATCTACACTGAAGCCAACGACAGACGCTGCATCTGAGTCGCCGTACTACTACATTGGAAGCCTGTCGTTCCTCGCTGGAGTGCTCGGAGCCTCGGCAGATACTTCTATCATGGACCAGTACCTGACAACCATATTCTACGCTACGCAGGCAATCCCTGCAGAAGAGAATGCCATTTTCAACGTCATCAATGGGTCTGCCCTGGCCCGAAAGATGATGATCAAAGTCACGCGCTCGGTAGCGACCTTGGTCTTACGGAAGTCCCAGCAGACCATGACTGATACTGAGATGGTAGAGACTACGATTGGTTATCTACTCGAGAGACTGGCAGACAATGACACGCCAGTGCGACTTGCCGCTAGCAAGGCCTTGAGCATGATCACACTCAAACTGGATCTTGATATGGCGTCGCAAGTTATCGACGCTGTTCTTGAAAGCCTCAATCGGAATGTCCTCTGGATAAAAAACAAGTCAGACCCATCGGCTCCACCTACTCGAGACCTCACAGCAGTTGATCCCCTCGAATGGCACGGTCTCATGCTGACACTATCCCACCTTCTGTACCGGCGATCGCCACCACCCGAGAACCTTTCGGATATCATCCATGCCTTATTGTTGGGGCTCTCTTTCGAGAAGCGGAACCCCTCTGGAAGCTCTAGTGGCACCAACGTAAGAGATGCTGCTTGTTTCGGTATCTGGGCTCTAGCTCGTCGCTACAGCACCCCTGAATTACCTCAAGTCCAGACAAAGTCTGTGTTGGTCGCCAAAGGACATGACCCTTCTGCATCAATACTCCAGGTCATTGCGACGGAGCTAGTCGTGAATGCATCGCTTGATCCAGCTGGAAATATCAGGCGCGGCGCGTCCGCTGCTCTCCAGGAGTTGATCGGCCGCCACCCTGATACCGTAGAGGAGGGCATTTCGGTGGTTCAAGTTGTCGACTACCATGCAGTCGCCCTCCGGACGAGAGCTATACACGAAGTGGCTCTTCAGGCAACGCGACTGTCGCCTCATTATGGACGTGCCTTATTGGAGGCCACCCTTGGATGGCGAGGCATTGGCGACATGGATGCAGCCGCTCGTAGAGTCGCTGCTGCTTCTTTCGGAATCCTGACAGCAGAGATGGCCCACGTTGGGACGTCCGATCCGTTCTCCCGCGTCGTGAACTCCGTCGAGCTGCTACTATCCCGGTTGCGAGGTCTACAAGTACGCCAAGTAGAGGAACGACACGGTCTCTTGTTGAGTTTCGCAGCTGTTCTTGACTCTCTACCATCTCTTGTCGAAGGAGGATCATCTATCGAACGGTTCGAGATGGTGCCTATCTCGAAAATCTGCAATGCTCTCAAAGATATTTTGCACGATGCGAAGGTGACCAAGTATCGCAAGTCCGAACTCATCGCGGAAGCGGCTGCTAGGCTCGTGGTGTCGTCGGCCCCGGTTCTACTCATGAGTCTCGCACAGCAGAATCTACAGCACTCGAAGCTAGGCAGCCTGGTGAAGCCGGGCCATGATGTTGTCAGCGAGGGGGGTTCGATAGCTGCTTCAACAGTCAAATGGCTAGATGACACACTGCAAGGTGACCCGACGCAGATAGTCAGCGAAATTGTGGCAATCCTCGAGGATACGACGACTGTCTGGCTCGACAGTAACGAGAACGAGGTAAGCATGTCCGCATCAGAAGCTGCGTTGATACTCCTCATTTTCTCAAACCCGTCAAATCGAGCCCGGATTGTTGCAGGGTGGTGTAACAAAGTCCGCCTCCCACAAACAGGACGAAGTAAGCACGGTAACGGCTATTTCCATGCTCTCTCCCGCGCCTACGCTGTACTGGACTCTCTGAACACGGCCCAGCATTTCCAGTCCGGCACCAATGCTGTAAGCGAGGCACTTACAGAGCGATGGTCGAAGGACGGGGAAATCTTGACACGAGTGCCAATTCTGCAAAGCCTCGTGGGCACGTCCATCTTGAAAAATAAAGCATCTGATTTCACAGGTATCATTGCTGGCGGCCTTGACGATTACACGACCACCGCCCGTGGAGATGTCGGCTCACATGTGCGATTGGAGGCGATCAAGACGACCAAGACACTATGGGAATCACAGCAGAGCGATCAACAAATACTCACCGCCCTTTTCCCTCGCATTCTTCGATTAGCAGCTGAAAAGCTAGACCGTGTCCGCGTCGAGGCTCAATCTGCCTTAGCTATGCTCCTACCTTTGAGGTGCGTACACGATAGAGACTGCTTGACGAGTGTACAACTGACGGCATGATAGTGACTGCGATACATTCAAAAACCTGTCGTTCTCTTCGAAGGAGTACTTTAGCTTCTTATTCCGCCTTTGTACCACAAAACGGCTGGATCAAAACGTAGCCAAACACTGTACCCTCAGTGCAAACGAGTGCACGTCCATGCTGCTTGCAGGCCTGGCGACGTCAGCAGACACCGGTAATGAAGACCTCGTCATAGTCAGCCGTGCCGCCGTGGCCGACTTCTGCGATGAATCCCACGAGAACCTTGAGCAGGTCTGTATCAGCCTGGTGTACAACCTCAAGCGGTACGCGGGCCAGGACCGCGTCGTTGTCCCCACCCTAGAAGTAGTGGCCCACCTGTTCCACATCGGCCTCCTGCAGCGGTGCCACGAGACCCTGAACCTGCGGCAGCTGTGCCTGCTGGTACAGAAGGCGGCGTACAAGACGGGCAACGTCCGCAAGCTCGAGGCGTGTATCAAGGTGTACGGCGCCATCGCGGCGATGGACGCCCACGACATGACATCGGAGCTAGCGCATAAGAGGCAGGAAGGCATCGCGGAGGCGCGACGGCGGCTGGGTGCGCTGATGCTCCACCCGTGGCCCAAGGTCCGGAGCCTGGTCGTCGACCAGCTGTGGTGTCTGTCGCTTGCGGACGGTGGTGTTGGTGACGGTGACAACAAAGTCGAAGACGAAAACGCCATGACGTCGCAGCAGCGCGCTCGTCGCAAGCTCCTGGGCACGGATTGGGGAAAGGCTGAGAGGTCACACATCAAGGGCCTGGTTGGGGAGCTTGGCATCGAGTAGTAAAATAAGTAGGGTGCGTGGCTTGGCTCGCCATGTGCGTGATGTGCGCAATGCACGTTTGTGTTACGGGCATACGATAGGATACGATGGCCTGGAAGCTGAAATCAGATCGGGGCACGGTACAGTACAGCGTGCCGATGTTGCAGGGGCTCGGATCGAAATTACACTGTAGCCTCATTAATCAGACGCAGTAGAGTTACCGTCTTTCTTCTCATGTTTTCTGATGTCCAGCTCGGACAGCCTTGGTAGAGCCGATGCATGACTGTGGCCTGCTCCGCGGCTGGCTGGCGGTACTGGCGTAGTAATCGGGAGTAGTAATCTATCATCACAGGATTTCGGGCGTGCGAGGAAGTGTGCAGACCGCGCAAGTGGAAGGGGTATAGACCAGGGAATGTAGACCTTGGTGCATGGATTCCAGAATCACGAGTAAGAGCAAGTGTTTCGTAGTTGCGGTAGTCCTATGGTAAGGGGGGATAATGGTGTTGGTGGTGGTGGTGGTGGTGGTGGTGGTGGGAGGAGAACCCCTATAAGGCTGCTTGCTCGCCACGGGTCTGGGTGCCTGCGAGGTAGATCAGTGCATAGATCTCCCCGATACCTACCTTACCTAGGTAGGTAGGTATGTAGTTAGTTAGTAGTGATCTAGCTGATCTGCGAAGGATAGATAGATAGAGACTATGTGTGAGTGGGCTTTGCGGGTATACCTACTACCATGCTGTCCATGCGTGCGTTTTGTCTAGTCGTGTAAGCAGGGGTCGGCAGGTACGTGTATCATGTATATGGTCGAGGGTGTGATCCAGGATCATACTCGTTCGAGAACTAGGGGACTTCTGCGGTAATAGGGTGGTTTTTGCTATCTGATTTTTGAGTTCCCTTGGGACCCAACCAGCCAGCAGCAACGTGAGGCAGGGCTGTAGAACACGATCGTCTATGGATAAGACATACATATACGTGAACATCCACTCTTTCACCCTTTACCTCGAACGTGTACCTGTGTGGATGGAGTTGGGTGTCACTCTACATCGGCCTAACAAGCTACTGTGAGCCTACCTACTTGCGTAAAGGTATCCCAGCCTTCTCATACACCTTTTCCACGATGCCCACAACCGCCTCACTCTCATCTAAACTAACCCACGGCCCGCTCATCTCCCCAAGCCTCCTCACATCCGCCCCTGCCTGCACAGCTCTAACTTTGTCCACAAAAGCCTCCAGTTGATACCTATAAGTTGTCCAAAACCTCGCTCCTCTCTGGCCCCATTGCGCCCCGTCCACATACTGCGAATGCTTCGTCACCTTTCCCGTGGCCTTGTCGGTCACAGTGATAGCGTGACCAGACCAAGGTCCAGCAAAACCCGGGAAGAGTATCGTAGCCTGCTCCATCTCAATGGAGAGGGAAGGCATCAGGGTCCAGAATTTGGGTACGAGACCCCAAAGCCATGGGGCAGCCAGGTCGGCTTCGATCTTGCAGAGGGTAGAGTGCGAGTCCGAGCGGAGCACGTAGGTAGCGCTCATAGCGTCGTCGATCCGCGGGTCGGTCTTGTTCGGTCTTGCTTTCGCTTCCAGGACTTCGACTTCCGCATCCTTCAGGTTGGGGGTCGGGGTGGCGTAGTACGATGTCGCGCTGAAGACGTACATGAGGTCCATGCATGAGCCGCCTGCTAGGTCATAGTGAAAGCGAATATCGTCCTTTGCAAACAGTCCAGCAGGTAGCTCCCACTTGGCTTTCACTTCGGTAGCTTTACCGTACTCGCCGCTGTCGACGAGGGATTTCACTAGATGCGCCGCGGGATAGAGACGCCAATGGAACGCTTCGAGGGCTACCTCACCGGTCTCCTCGCTGACCCGGCGGATATCCCGGACCTGCTGTGCGTTGCTCGCGATGGGCTTCTCGAGCAGCACATGCTTGCCTGCTTGCAGGGCTTTGATTGCCCATTCGGCGTGGAGGCCGTTGGGTAAGGGGACGTACACCGCCTCGATGGTTGGGTCGGAGAGGAGGTCGTCATAGCTGGAGTAGGCTCTGGCGGAGGTGAGGGAGTACTGCTTGATTTGCGCCTCGGCTTTGGATTTTGAGCGAGCTGCTATGCCGACGATGATTACATCGGGGTGCGTTGAGACCGGGTCGAAGATGGCGGCTGGGTTGATGGCTGCGGCGCCTAGGATGCCGAGACGGAGTGGTGAGGCGGTCTTTTTGGTAGAGGCTGCTATCTTAGAGACGCCCTGGTACCAGTTGTGGGCGCCGAGTATAAGCTGCAGTCTCTATTAGTTATAATCAACCAGACAGGGGAGCGACAGCGTACATCCAGAGCCCACGACATGTTGAGAGTTAGGACCTTTGGGCTCATCCAGAGACTCTTGATGGTGTAGCTCTTACGGTGACAGGCGCATGTAATTAGTCTTCAAGACTTCGAGTTGCACAAGCTAGGTACCGACATGGCGGATGCGGAGACCGATATATACTTCGGAGCCCCCGGAGTCATATCCCAGCCTCGCAGACGGACTTGGTGCACTTAATCCCGTGATAGCACGAAACCAGATGAAACGATGTTTCCTCACCATTTGTTCTGTTCATCATGTTCGGTCGACAAGCGACAGCCTTTGACATATATAATAAGACGTTCCCGCATGGTGGAAGGCAGGTGTCCTTGTCGATAGTACGGTAGTATTGTTTGCCGGAGGCATGCGAAGGAGGGGAGGAGGATGCCCCTGCTATCTGAGAGAAGGATTGTGACTTGTTCATGGTTCACCTGTGGTTCCATTGAAAATCATATCTCAACGGAGTAATTCGACTGGTAGGATGCTGCACATGCATGCGATGGGATGGCTGGATGGATACGCAGCGGTATGCTGACATCAGGCCACGAATTCCGACACGATGGCTCATGGGTCGTCAAGTTATCAACTTCGAGCGAGAGATTACCGGTGAGGCAGCACTGCCGTTCACCGACGACCCAGGGCTGTCAGGAGTGCCAGGATAGCACGTCTCGGCATGCTGAAGCCGTTTCTCACATGATACCTATCAGTCTGGTGTCTGGACGTCGAGGAGATGATCAGGAGGGGCTTGACTGAAAATTGGAATAGCCAACGCGCCACACAAAGGCCCGTGCAGGTCTGTGTGTCGCGATAGGGATTCTGATTCTTCCCAACTGCTGCGGCCTGTGCTGTTACCAGCTACCCATACCGCTCATCCTCTGATTCCTCTCGCAAAACTCCAATCGCCAATTGGCAAGTCATCAACGTGCGAGTCCAAGAGGAAGAAGACATCCTCCTCTCCGCGTTCCCTCCCCAGCAGAGCCACGCTACGCAGGATGTAGGCAGCTACCACACAACACACCCTGGTCCGAGATGCCCACGCCGATTGTCCGCTTCTGTGCACTTGCAGCACGACTCGTCCAACCAGCTCTCCGAAGGGAAGCTCTCAAGAGATAGTCGTCGAGTGACCCCCATCCTCAGCAGGCAGGGATGGGTCGCACATGAGCAGCCAGCCCCCTCGAAACCTGTAGGTACTTGACGCTCGCCATCAAACCATTCTTTGGAACATTTGTTGGTCCTGTGGCAGAAGGCGACGATGAGGTATCATAATCTTGAGAGGTCTGGCGCACTTGTCATACATCGATAAGTCGATAACGGAGAGAATAACCCGTTATCAACCCAGGTTACTCAGCTTTCTCGTGATGAGTCGCGTGACCATTCTCCTCCCTCCCGGTCCTCACCCTTCCCCGGCGCCGTGGTGAATTCGCCCAAGGGATGGGGTGAGGCGTCAAGACACAAGGGCAGGAGGTCCAAGGGACAACAGCTGGGACAGGGCCTAGACCTTCCAACCCCAAATCTGGGGCTTCAAGTCGCTTCGCTTTATCCAATGGTTGACAGCCACACCGTTGACACAGGCCCGCGTTCCAGTTGGGGATAAGGGGAATCCTTCGTCTCGGGCTGGGGCCAGATACAGCCATTCTTTAATCGTCTTCCTACAAGGGATTTTTTGACAGCTTTTAGAATTCGTAACAATGTGTATTGACAAGTTGGATGTCGTTCATCAAGGCTCCATCCAGCTGGCTGGGGAGGATCTCTAGTCTTCGCGCTTGTCACCTCGACCGTCTGGTACCTAGGGCATAGAGCCACGAGGGCCAAGAGGGCCAAGAGGGCCGGTCACGATACCGCCTCCGCATCATCTCACTGCGCCATCCATCATGTCTAGGACCCTGATCGGCGTTGCTAGCCAATAGGATCACTCTCGTCATCGTGCTGACCGTCTCTTCGAGCTGCCCCCGCCAGCATGCCACTCCCCGGCCTGGCATACGATATCTCACTAACACGAAGCTAGGGACTACAGTAAAAAAAGCGATAAGCCTTCCGTCAGAGCGGTCAGTCTCACCTCGTACGTTTTGAAGATTCCCAACTCCCATCACGTTGGAAACGCAGTCTCGGTATTAGACAAATCAACAGCGGCCAGCTGACGCAGACGCTATCTCGAGCTGCGCAAGCTTGACGATTGTGGGGTTACGCAAATACGCCAGATATTGTCTACATGCAGATAGAAGCTGTAGATGCTGCAATCACCCCTACATTGATTACTTTCCTCATTGTGAGCTGACAGACTCTTCATGTACATTTAAATACTTTACACTTGTTGATGAAGTTCCAGCAATGATATCATGCTGATGATTGATCGGTCTGCTAGCGCGTCTTCCGTGATCCATGTGCCCCTTCCTTTGTTATATAATTATCGCTGGAAAAGAGATGTGGAAAGATCTGGAAACCCCCAAAAATTATCTGGCTTGCTTGCGTCAGATATGGTACCGATTCATGGAGTCGAGATGGAGACTGGTTGACCTCATCGTCAACAAGCTACCTCTAGTGTACCGGCCGACGACCCGCGTGGCAGTGGGACTCGGGCCGCTTCAATGCAGCTAATGTTTGTGAAAACGCGGGCGCTAGATAGCTAGATACTAAGGTAGACATAGGTAGCTGGTAATGCTCCTTGCGTGCCTGCAGTGGCCTCGCTTTGCTCGCGTGCTGTGATGAGTGAGTCTGTTGATACCAGACTGCGGTGGCGGTGGCAGTTGGTGTTCGGTGTGTGAAAGAGGGGCCAACTGCCAAACTTGAACTGGAGTTCGGGGGTCGGGACCAGCGGACGACGTGTGCACAACAACTGCATGCACATCACAGCGATCCGTCAGCCTTCGGGACTCCCACTTTGACATTTTTTGACTGCTTGGCGCATCCCATCAATCGAACCTCGTCTAACACGATCGCATTTACCATTACCGACATCATGGCCAGCCACATTTGTTATACAACTGTGTACGAGTCGACTTGAGAGCCTCCATATCCATTGATCTCCTGCAAGTTGTCTCATATGCGTCGGTACAGTACATGACCACGTACCCATCAGACCCTTGCCTAGTGGCCATTCACAGGGAGACAGGGTTCTCGTTCCTCATTGTCGGGAGCCGTCTCGCGCCTTTACTGGATCCCCACCATCCTGATGTCGCTCGCTACAGTATCTCGCCCGCCATCTATCTCTTGCATCTGCAATCGTGGCCCCTCCAATAACCAATTGCAGGTGTTATCTCGGCGACGATAGGGCGAACTGGGCGAGACTAGCTGGAGTAGGTAGCTGGCCCGCTCTGTCGAAGGCCGTCCATCCATTCAGAGCCGTCCCAAACCCTCCGCCACTCCCACCAGCTCTGCAGACTGCGCAGCTCCGGACAGTCGTCACAGACTGGTCCCCTGCGTGTACCGAGTGTACCGTTGGGTTTTAGAAATCCGCAGCGACCTAGCAGCCCTGCCTGCCCTGCCTGCCACCCATTGGGGACTGGCCACTGCCCATGGATGCCCATGGATGATGGGCCCTGGCCAGTGGCCGCCCTGCCGCCACCTCGGTCCTCGTGTGTGACGGTGGCTATCGGCCCAAAGGCCTCCTTCAGGGAATCTCTCGCGCATCTCTGCTGTGTGTCTCGAGTCTCCCTCCAAAAGGACCACCCTAGACTATCCATACATCCTTATTACATCCATCCAATATCCATGTAGACCGCGCAGTTCCTCCGCAGCCAGCATTGCCTCCCCGACCTTCCCTCCAGTGCGACTTGCTGCGACTTCTGATCTTCTCGTGGCTTCACTCACCCTCACCTCAAACCCTCGCTGTTCCCGTTTGCCACACTCCACCCAGAACAGCGACGGCACCTCTCTCTCTCTCTACAATGTGTAGCTTATTACTGCCATTGCCGACCACTGCTATATCCCGCCAAGACCGTCACAATAACAGCATTGCCGTTGCCATTGCGATTAATGCATCACGTAGACTCGACTGTCCCGCTAGTCCCGGACCACAGACCACCTGTCCAACGTCATAATAATAGTCCCTTATTACCTCGACTCTCACTCGACCGTTGGCTCGGGCTTCCTTGGCTTCCATCCCACCAGCGACACGTCGCCAAACGTCGCCCTGCGCTACGTGTCGACGCCTTCGTCGGCGAACACATGTCCCGGCGCGCAATTGACTCAACCCCATCTCCATCGTGCCACCTTCAACCTACCTGCTGAGGGGAGTTGCTGGAGACGACTACTAACCCCCCGCTCGTCCCCTCTGCGGAGGTTGACGGGCGTGGTCAAAGTCGAGCAAGGCCAAAATGACGCTATACTCAACGCCGCCGCCGCTTCAAACGTTCAAACACGACAAGCCGACGCTGCTGGTCTGCTGGTGGATCACGCTCTTCTGCACCACCCTCATCCTGATACGCGTCGCCGGACGCTTCATCCGCTCCGAGAGGCTCTTCCGTGAGGATAAGACGGCTGCGCTCGCCATCATACCGCTCTTCCTCCGCATGGGCTGCGTGCACGTCATCCTGCTACTTGGCACCAACAACGCCCTGTTCACCGACTTGACAGACGAGGAAATCCGCAGGAAGTCGATCGCCAGTGGGCTGGTGCTCGCGAGCCGGATATTCTATGCGGCAACGTGAGTGCCTCTCTTCTTTCTCTTCTTTCTCCCTCCCCAGACCTGGGACGCATTCGACTACGGCCCGACCGTTGGCTGGCCTAGGTTTGCCTACTGCATGACCCCCGAAACTCTACCTAGGTAGAGTGCAACCGTTGGAACGGACCCGTGCTAACATCTGCGCGACCCAAGCCTCTGGATACTCAAGAGCGCTATCCTCGAGTTCTTCAGACGACTGACCATCAAAACCTGGACGCGGTCACATGAGGTCACGCTGCACATCATACGTGGCACACTTGTCGCCACTTTCGTCGCCGTCCTCATATCCGACCTTGCCGAATGTCAGCCCTTCGAGCGCTACTGGCAGGTCTTGCCCGACCCCGGCGGACAGTGCCGCCAGGGCTACGCTCAGCTGATCACCATGGCAGCGTGCAACATCCTTACCGACCTTCTGCTCGTCTGCTTCCCAGTTCCCATCATCTTGACGAGCCACATGAGTATGAAGAGGAAGGTACAGCTGACCTTGCTCTTCTCGATGAGCCTGGGCGTCGTGGCAACGACAATATACCGACTGCCTCACATCCTGCGCACGGACGGAAGCCAGCAGACGCGCTCCCTACTTGCCTCGGTTGAGTTGCTATTTGCTACAGTTGCGGCCAACGCATTGGTGCTCGGATCGTTCGTTCGGGACCGTGGCACGAAGAAGAAGAAGTACAAGCATGGCTCCATCGCCGCGGACTCTACGGATCGAGCCTCGGAGCGCCGCCCGACGCTCAACAGGCATTGGGGCAGTGACGAAGATTTGGTCAGAGATTTGGGCTTGGGCGTGGACCGTGAGCTCCGAGATGCCGTTGGAGACGTTGAGGAAGGCAATAAGCCTAAGAAACCGACGCTAGCACCGATTGACATGAGAAGTTGGCATTTCCCCCGGAGACGCAGCCATACCGGAGGAAGCGACGACTCCCCCTCGCGCGATCATCTTATATCCTCCAGCGGGAGCATCTCGACTATGACCCCTCGCAGGGTCTCGTTCTTCGAAGCGGGGGGTTTAATGGATAGCGAGATGTCGCAGAGCATAAGGGATAGCTACAACTCCAGCTTAGATCCCCTGACACCCCGTGGCGCGCCTTCGCCGACCATGCCAGCAAGCACTTCAGGCTTCCTGCGTGGCTCCCAGGTTCTCCTGCTCGAGCTGGGAGGCCTGCTAAGCTCCTCTAACTCCAGACGATCTCGGTCTAGCCCCAGAGGCGGAACCGAATTGCAACCGATAACTCAACATCCCCTAGAGCCAGCTTACGATCACGACGACCACCCTGACTCCTCACCTACGCTCGTGGATGCCGGCGGCTTACTCAGGTGACATGACCCCCACCGAACACCTAAACTCACCTCATAGCATGATACATTCCTATGCCTTGAGACAAACACACACACACACACACACACACACACACAAACACACACACGAAGAGCACAGATATACTCTCTTCAGCCCTCCCACGACCAGTCTCTTTACCCAAATCATAATTTTGTCATGAGATTTACGACATTTATCCACCGAGTCTATTATGACGTGTACACATATATCTATATACGAGAACCGCTACGACATACAACTGAATTTGGGGGCTTTGGCTTTTTGGTTTTGCTACACGGGGAGGCCAGCACGGAGAATCGGTTCCAGAGATCAGGCTCAAACGGCGTTTTTGGGTCACGACACGAGGGGGGGCAAAATTTTTATTTTTTTTGCGGTCCAGCAGGACGATAAGCGGTTGAATACCCATGATATCTTGCTTATTTCTCACCAAGAGATGGGTTGGGAGCTGCCTGACGGACTATGGTCGCCCATGACGGAGCCACCGGACACAAGAAAAGGCTAGAATCAGTACAGAGCCGTCCTGCCAGACGGGGGACACCAGGAATTTGCCCCTCACGAGGCGGGCTTTCTCCCTCTCGATAGACTTGCTTCTCTATCTTATATAGCGCAGCGCCTCATTGGGCAGGGAGTTCTTTTGGTTGGCGCAGCAGGTGGGACACCTGGTCTACTGCTGCTTGGATTTTGCTCTTGGCGGTTGACTACAAGCCTTGGTGGTCAGGATAGCTAGCTTCATATACCCCTTTGGCGCTTGTTTATACCCGCTACGACGAGAGTAGATTTTTCAATAACGAAGATTGAATCTACTGTTTGATTTTCACCTTGTAGGCACTAGATGCCCGTGAGCTGTGGAACTTGGGTTGATGCCTCTGAGATGCCTATGCGCCCAAGTATGCTGTACGGGTCTTCGACCGCATGTGTTGTGATCCCAACTGAATCCATCCTGACGCAGTGTCGCACTAAACCAACCCCCTACGTGCAGCCGATAAGTCCGTCTGTGTTTCTTTCTTTCTTTCTTTCTGTCTGTCGGTTAGTCGGTTAGTAAGTCATGCGACGGCAACAGCCGAACGAAAGGACACACGGGCCGTGGGGGTTGCAGTTACTGTCACATCTATATTACCGGGGCTGCCTTAAACGGCAAATGCAAGGAAGGTGAAGAAGAAAGCCAAGACCCGAAACGTGCGACTTGGATACCGTAACGGGGTCACATGCCCGCTCTGCCTGCCAGATTCGACCTTGCTGGCTTGTGTCGCATATGTGTATGTATATGTATGTATGTATATGTGTATATGTGTATATGTGTATAGCTTAAGTTCCTATACGATCTATAGCACGGGACATGCATGTTCATATCACTCGTGTGCGAGGTACGGTATCGGTGTAGATATTGACTGGGGAGAGAGATAGAGACGGGGCATTCATTCGGGATTAGGCCGTCACATCACTCATCACAGCGCAACAACGCATCCATTGATTGATTGATCAGCTGGCCCTGCCTGCCGTGGTAGGTAAGCGGTAAACCAGCGGTCACATCATGATGGCGTGATTGGCGGGTTGGTGGGGAGGCATTCGATAATATCTGATAGGACATTTGAAGGTTTACGTAGGTGTGCGTAACCCGAAACCCGAGGGATTGTCGGGGAACCCGGCGCCTTGTAGAGGTTGACTGTGCGTGGAATGGAATGGCGGCTGTTTGGTTTCGAACTCCTAGGGGGTGCCTCTTGTTTGGTCTTTGCTCTGCAGGGCTGGCCTTGTAGTTGGTAATGAGTGAATACATAGACAGTACTAAGTCAGTCAGTCAGTCACCGAGAGAGCCATCCTCTGTGCTTGGATGGATCGCAGAGGCTATGTCATATGGAAGCTGGATGCATGTATGATGTCTCGTGGCTGACCTGCAGGTTCAGGCCGGCGGCGGCGGCAGCGGCGTCGGGGTCGAGGGTCGAGCCATACGATCTACCGGGGGAGGCTGAAGAGGATCATGATAATGATCCGGGTGGTAACCGGGTCTTTTGTGATCGGCTCGTGGCATTTGTTATCTGCCTCCTATATCATCCAGGGGGCCTCCGAGCTATGCTACCTCGTAGCGCCTTATCAGGCAGGTTGAGGTTGGGAATGTAACATGCGGGTAATAAGTGATCGCATAAGCCTCCGGACTGTTACTTGTATCCCTTCCTTTATCGATGTACTCGCTGAAAGCCTGCCTTGGTGACATGGGCAAGAAGCTGACTTCGAACTCCACTCATGATCTTGCGGGATGATAAGGTCACAACCACAACTAGATACCGGACACACACACGGTTCTGCTGCGCTCGAAACAAGGACTCCGGTAAGCCGCAAAGTGCTTTCGAAAAGACATGATAGACGGGCAATGAGCATGTCACACAGGCAGTTCCAATCCAAAGATTATGTGCATCAAAATGCGAAGCTGCATTATATTGATGGAGGCTCAGGAGACAGAATCCACATCGATTAGAAGTGAAGTCCCCGAGCCCTTCTCAGACCATAGAACGCCACCATGCCATGCCAATCATATCATCCACGTAGACGCCTAATTCCGGAAACGAATTGTTGACCACCCCGATCACCTGTGTGTGGGTTGTCTTATACACACAGCCGGTAGCTCGCATATCGGCCGGCTGTCTCACTGTTGCGGATGATCTTGACAACAGCCCCCCGTCGCATGCCGTAATACTTGGCGATCGGATCTCTTTGCAGGATACGCGGCAGTTGCGTCTCCTTCAGCCGGTACCGCTTGAGCAGCGCTGTCTTCTCGTCCCTACTGAGAATAACGTGCTTGGGCACCAGCTCGTGGTGGGTGATGTTGATGAGTAGGTCCTCCTCGAGGAAACACTCGATGGTGGTCCACTGCGCAAACTTGGCCATTTCCTTCTTGGCTCCCGACGACACGGCGGCGTTGGACACCAGCAGACCGTTGCGGTAGTGCTCGTGCGAGCAAAACTTGGCGAACTTGCGCATCTGCTCGGCACCCAGGCTGTCTTCGCAGAAGAACTCGACCCAGATGGTGCCCACGTCGGGTTGCGGTTCGGGGTTTGCGGCGGTCGCGGGAGGGGTGTACTTCTTGAGCATCTCCTGGCTCGGTCGGGCAGAAAACTTTAGCTTTTCGCGCCTGTACGTCAAGTTTGTCAGCATCGAATGCATCGAATCCGAAATGATTCGACCTGACCGATCACGCAAGTAGAGATGAAGGCACTTACGTTACTGAGCCATCGACGTTGGTGTAGCTATTCTTGAAGTCATCTAGACTGATGTGGATTTCGTTTTCGGCGAGTTCGTAGCCCTGTAGATAGTAGGCGCATTAGCTATCTGTTGAGCCGCTGGAGGAAGTAGGGGCAGACAGAGCTCTCGCATTGCCTGAGTATCCTGGACAAAGCGACTCACCCTATCACTGACCATCTCGTGGACGGTCTTCCATGCGCGCCAGGTCCGGGTGATGAGTCTGTCGTTCGCCTCGGCATTGATCACAGCCGGATCCGCCATGTTGGGCAGTGCTTTGCGATGTCGCAGGCTTCGTCTCGAGGTGGCCGATGTGGTGTTGGAGAGTGGTGAGCTTAGGCACGTTCTGTCGGGTGGGGTGTGAGAAGTCAATACATGCTTGATGGCGGCGACAATGAAAAGAAAGTCTCAGCCTTGCACCGCGGAAAAAAAAATCCCACCTGCTTGCAGGGATGAAGGCATGGACCAATGGACCAATAGGCCCCGACCGTTGGCACTTGGCAGGGGATTGAAGGTACCTAGGTACCGGATGGTCAAAGCGCTCGTTCAGAAGATCAATCTTCTGACTGAGCGGCCTGAGGCGCCGGCGGGGCGGCTGAAGCTCGGCTAAGAGACGCGGTCTACAGCGGGGCGTCAGGGCGTACAGTGCAGACCATGCTCCCGCATCTGCACGGACCATGAACGCTAAGCACAATGTGAGTCAATTAGGCCAATCAATGGACGGAGGTGGAAATGGAATTCATTGTGAGAATTCAATTGGGGGACCCTGCGGATGGTAAATAAATCTACTGCCGAATTTTCCCTTCTGTTGAACCACCACCAACCTTGCAGCCTCCAGGACCCTGATTGCCTGAGATCTGGCCTCCCTCTTCTCAGGACGCCGATCTTCCATTCACTACCTTACCCACGAAACAACGCTACTTGGTATTCCTTCTACCTCGCCGAACGGTTGGCTCTCTTTTCCCACCGCTGCGCCGACTCACTTTCATTCCGAACCTAGTACCAATCCTCCTCCTCCATCTTACCCACCTACAATACCGCCCACCATGGCCGACACCGCTACCGCTCCCGCTGCTCCTGCTGCCGCCGCTGCTGGCGAGAAGAAGAGACCTGAGAAGCCCAACCTCGACCTCTTCAATGAGCGTCTGGCCAAGGCCGAGAAGGAGTACCAGGACTCCTTCGCTAAATATGTAAGTCGCCCCACCTACCAACAAAAGGGGCATGCTTCAGGTGCTCATCCCCAGTATAGAATGCTATCAAGGCCAAAGTCGAGCTCGCCGTGCCGAACAAGAACAAAGATGCCCCTACGCCGACCCAGAAACGCCGCCAGGAACTGATCGCCCAAGCCAACGAGATCCGGAACAAGCAGGGCGCGGGCAAGAATACTCGCAACTCTAAAATGGATCAAATAAAGCGTCTTGACGAACAACTCCGCTCCCGCATTGCCGAACAAAAGAGTGCTCGCGGCAAGGTCAACTTCAGGAGTGTCGAGGATCTCGACCGCGAGATCGAGAATTTGGACAAGCAGGTCAACAGCGGCATGATGAAGCTTGTCGACGAGAAGAAGGCTCTCACCGAGATTTCCAACCTCCGAAAGCAGCGCAAGCACTTCGCCCAGTTCGACACCTCGCAGAAGGGCATCGACGAGTTGAAAGCCAAGATCAAGGAAATCAAGGACAGCATGGATGACCCCGAAAACCGCGCCCTGAGCGAGCAGTACACCAAGATCCAAGCCGAGATCGACAGCATCAAGGCCGAGCAGGACGAGGCCTTCAAGAATCTCAACTCGTTGCGTGATGAGCGAAGCAAACTGCAAGCTGAGCAGCAGGAGAAGTTCCAGGCCGTACGCAAGCTCAAGGACGAATATTACGGTGCCAAGAAGGCCCATGCCGAGTACGAGCGTGAGGCTCGCCAGAAGGTCCGAGAACGGCAAAAGGCCGACCGTGAGAAGTTCGACAAGGAAAAGAAAAAGGAACGTGCCCAGAAGATGCTCCAGGAGGCCAGCGACCCCGCCTACCTCGAGGAGATCCGAAGAGCGAACAGTCTGTTGCACTTCTTCGACCCCTCCTCAACCTCTTCTGAGAAGGCTCCGCTTCTGGCCGAGAGTGGTCTGAGTGCCCAGGCTTCGCGCAAGGTCGAAGATTCCGCTCCGAAGGGCACCAAGCTGCTACGAAAGGAGGATCGCGATGATGAATACGCCCCAGCCGTGAAGAAGGGAAAGAAGGGCAAGAAGGGGGGTGCCGCTGCCGCCGGGAAGAGCACTTACAACTGCCCGCCTTCGGTCATTGATGACTGTGGCTTCATGGGCATTGATCCTCCCATGAGCGCTGCTGATGTCCCCGCCGCCGCCGAGAAGGTCAAGGCTAAGCTCGAGCATTGGAAATCTGACCAAAAGGCCCAGACCGAACGAGTAAGTCACAAATCCCAATATCAACTGTGCAAGCATCATTACTTACGATATGTAGAACGTCGAGAAGGCCAAGAAGGAGATTGAGGCGCTGGAAGCCGAAGAGGCAGGTGATGCACCCGGTACCGCGACTCCCAACGGCGTCGACGGTGACAAGAAGGCCGATGACAAGGTAGCCGACGTGACTTCGGATCTGAAGGATGCCTCCTTGGAGGAGAAGAAGGAGTAGGACTCCAACAGCTCCCCTGAGTCGCAATCCGAGAAGCAGGCACCCGAGACCGAGGCATCCGCATTCACTGTCTCTGGGTTCTCTGACAGCGATTATTCGACCGCTGTTCAGCAAGCTGTGGATTCCAAGTCTCAGGTTGAGCAAGAGCCAGACAAGGTTCAAGCACGGATTGCCCCCGAATCTGACGAGGGAACAGAAGAACCCTCTCCTGAAACTTCGGTAGAGAACCCGGAGGCCTAAAAGTTTTGCACACTAGTTGACACCATCTTCAGGCGTCTGTAACTTCCCTCTTCCTTTCCCATCTCCTCCATTACGATCTATATAGTCTGGTTGCCCAGCCCGAGATAGATACCTTAGGCTTTGTGCTGCATGCAAGAGCGCGCCGCAGCAAATGGCCAGACTTCCTCCATGACATAATTACATAGCAGGGAATACACAACATTCACCCAATCGCGTCTTTGAGCCCATGCCGTGACTACAGCTGCCAGCAATGCTCGTCGGCTTCGTCCCGTTCTTTCCATTCGTGATACGTATACCACTTGCAGTCCTTCTGCCGCTCTGATTTGCTCCGAGCTATCTAGATAACGCACTACAAGATACTGGATTGGCGGTTCGAGGGGTCAGGTTAGCATTGGGCTCATCCTGCATGCAGATAAATCTGGGGATTGGGTTGTTCGGGGGCACCCGGTGGTTCGTCATGTGAGGTGTTGCCTACTCGGGTAAATAACCAACAGACAACACGGAAGTCAGAGTGTACCAAGCCGGAAGATACAAGACAAGACATGCAGCTAAGTATTCATCGGTTTCAAGGTCGGCTACACATGAGTCAACCATCTAGTGTTTAATGTATGAACTTTTCGTTTACTATTCGCGCAGAGAAGTCGTCCGTCACATATACTTGCTATTACGAGATGTAAGCAGGTAGGTAGTACGATCTTGACGACCTGAGGTATGTCAACGGGTGTAAGTGTGATATCCTGGTACGGTAGCCACACTACGGGTGGTGAGCCCAGAGCCCGAACATCAGGTACATATACCACCGTAGAATACTAGCTGCCATGCTTGGTATTCAGCATCCTTTTGATGGGAGGTCCGGACCAACTGGTATGGTGGTCAATTGGTGCTGGACTGTCACAGTAAGGGTAAGTGTTCTGCTGGCTTTGCAACTGGTGTTATTTCTTTCCACTATTGACTTGGTCCCCCGATATACTCTGCCCATCTGCCTACAGGTAGCTCAAGCCAGGGCAACAGCAATATGAGGCGTCCAGGGAGCGAGGCCCAGCAAAACTCGTTTCTCGCATATCACATGCCTCCCTAGACAAAGCAGGCCCAAGGTCATGATCCACGTCCAGCTCCCGGATTCGCCGTCTAGACAGAGAGGAGGCCTGGCTCGACCCGTATCCCATAGATGTGCCCTTGCAACGCCGTACTCCAGTAAAGCTCCAAGCAAAAGCAAGGACAGAGGCAATAGTGACCTCCAAACGACAACAAACTTCCGGGGGAGTCTTCGTCCGTTAGAAGAGATAGGGAAGTTCGTCGTCCAAGCGGGTCGCTAGGTATACCATCGATCGCCATGAAGCCAGAAAATTGACGACATCGTTGGTAAATGATCAAGGTGCCACATGCAATATGTCGCGTCGCTATGCAGAAAAGGAGAAACTGGTTGCCGTTATTGTCCTCCTCATGCATGCCGCAATCGTTCGTTGCTCGTCGCGCGTATTCGTAGTCTCGTAAAAAGGGTTTCATAAATTCTGTCGGTGTTGTTTTAGTGTTCGAATATGTAGTGATATCCGGTCGAGTAGAGTGTTCTGTGATCCAATTTTGTTACAGGGACACGATGTATGTCGTGGTCTGAGGGGTAGTTGGCTTAGGTCAAGCCGAACCATATAGTGAGTCGGTACGGTGTCGTGGGCCAAGACCAGCTTCGGAACATGCCTGCTCTGAGCTGGCCTGCTCAATAACCACCACCATAACCATAACTCATCGTCGGAGGAGGCGGTGGGGCTCGAAAGCCCGGATGTCTTCGTGAGCCTGGGGGTGGTGCCATTGGGTTTCCTACGTTCGGCGGCGGCGTTCTCCTGGAGAGGTGGACGTTACGCTCCCTCTCGTGGAAGCTCTCCGGTGCTACAGTCGAAGCCCGCCTTCCAGACTTCCGAGATCCGCCGTTCAACGCACTCAGAGGCGGATCCTTGACAGCTGGGTCGTCGTCACTAGGAAGCGTCAGGTCGACGAGGTTGAAGAAGTACTCCAGCACCTCTGGGTACCGCTGGACGCTAGCTTGCCAATCCTCGTCGATTCCTCGCTTCAGGGCTCCCTGGGCTACCGCGATCTCGTTCGGATGCGGGGGTGCGTGATAGTAGTGGTAAGCATGTGCTGTTAAACGTTCCAGATGTTGTGCGTGTGAAGCTTTCCTCCGCTCCGTCATCAGCCTGAAATACTCGAGTATATAATCTTGAGCATGTCCTCGCACCCAAGTACTAATGTAGTGTTAGTGGGCTGTATCAAATGAGTGGTGAGATGAAATATCTCTAGGTTGGGTAACACAATTCCATACCGTATTTGTTGGTACATCGATGCCATCATACGATCCTCTGCTTGCCGGACAGCCTGCTCAAGGCCCTTCGCCTCGCAGTCGCACTGGAGGTTGGCAGGGGCTTGGCAGATGGCACAGTCCGGGTCCATCCTGATAACGGAAACGGGCTGGCGGGGTTTGGGGGTATTCCTGGTATACATCTTAGCGGCTTGAAGCCGGCGGCGGGGAGAGAAGCCCGAGTATAGAAGTGGTGTACATGGGCGGGTGTGAGGTATGAGGTAATATTGTACAACGTAGTTCGCATGATGACCCAAAAGGGTCCATAACGAGGAGCGGTTTGGAGGGGAGGGGCAGGACAAAGAAGTGAGACTCACCTATATTATGAATGGCAGCAGAGGGTAACAACGCAGCAGCTTCGACTGAGGTAGAGTTGCAGCGAAACGCGAAACGCGTGGTGGCAGGACAGGAGGTGCTCAGTCAGTGGCTAGCTCGCGGCTTTCCTGCAGCAGATAGCAACTGACCGCCCTCTTGAAAGCGGCGGAAGTCGAACGGGACAGCAAATGAGGGAGGCAGAGGAAGTCTGTGGCCCGATGTGGCCGGTCTCATGGAGAGCGAAAAACCACGTCTGCTTGCTCAACCGGGGTGTGGGGTAGACGAGAGCCGATGCGTCACTGTTGCTGTCACTGTCAGGAGGCAGTCGGAGAGAGGGCAGAGGAAGAAGTCGGCGGATCGACGGTGTCGCTGCAGAGTGAGGTCTCGTAGCCGGCAGAAGCTCTCGGTCTCGCTGGTGGTGCAGCAACGCAGTCGCACAGCAGACCAATTGACGAGCCAGAGATTCAGGAAGGTTGCAAGTGCAACAGCGCAGCGGATCCCAAAGGTCGGATTAGCGAGCAGGCGGAGGCGACGGTCTGGAGAGAGGTATGTCCACGTTCGGCCACAGGACAGATTTTGACTGTCGTGGCTCGAATGGGCGGGCTTGATTACTAGTATGCAGTGCGCATGAGCGTGACCCAATCGAGACTTCGCATACGATCCGTCTCTTGCTGCCGCACTAACCAGTGGTCAGACAGACGAACGATATTGCATTCCTTGTTGAGCCTGGAGGTGCGTGCCAACTCGGCCCGGTCAGGTAGATAACTAGGTAGAGACGAGGACGACAAGGAGAAGAAGAGAAGAGAAGAGACTCCGCAATGGAGACAGACAGACAGACCGACAGGGAGACAGGCAGCTGTTTGCTCCTAGTTGAGCTGCACAGTCGGACCCGGAGAGAAGGGCCTGGGGGTGTTGAGCCTCCTACCTAACCCAAGCTAGAACCAGAGCATTGCTGACTGAAGCCGGCATTGACAAGTCAGAGGGCTCGCAGCTTGCAAGAGCCCGGTATACATATGCAGCATATGCAACATGTTGTGTGTTGGATGCTGCTTTCGTATCACGTCTTTCACCGCTTCTGCGGCCACCGGCGGCGCTTCGAGATAACAAGGAGCACCACCCCCGATTCACACCACAACGGCAGACTTTCCATTGCTTCACATGATCAGCCCGAGATCCAATGGACAGTCCACGGTCTTCATGTTTCGGTGTCTTCGTGGACGTCGATATGTTGGTGGTGCATGTACGAGTATGCAGGCTGGCAGGTGGATGGTGATGAGGGGCAAGAGACGGATTGTCGTCCGAGGTCCGGCAAAGAGAGAGCCGACGCGGACGCTAGGCCCTGCCAGCCTAGTCTCGTCTAGGTTAGATACCTCCATGTATCCTGGACCAGGCAGCCAGGTTGCCGGGCTTTATCTTATCGCCTTCAGATTTCAACCCAGTTTTACTTTCCAGCTGTCGACAACCATCATGAGCCCCTGGACGTAGAAAAAAGACCAGACAAATACCCAATTGGCATCCGTGATGCCTCCGAGGTGCTCACCCAGCTCGGGGCTCTCCCCTCCCGTTCCTGCCATTCCTCTACCCGAATCTCTTCCGCTCCGCATCTCGCATACCTCGAACAAGCCGCGGCATCACGACCCTCGGCCCATCCTCGAGCTCCAGCACCAGCAGCAGTAATGGCGCCACCGAGCCCTCGTCCTCCAGCGACGCGCTGCCGACATCGCGCCTGAACCCGACCCCCGATGACTACTCGATATCCTCCTTCGCCGACAAGGCCAAGATCACGATACACGCGGGCGGCGGCGGACACGGCTGCATCTCCTTCCTCAGAGAAGCCTTCATGGACAACGGCCCCGCGAACGGCGGCGACGGCGGGCACGGCGGCAACGTCTACATCCAGGCGGCCCACGGCGAGACGTCCCTGCACAAGCTGTCGCGGCGGCGGATCATACGCGCCGAAAGGGGCAAGACCGGCCAGGGCAGCAGCCGGGGCGGCGCGCGCGGCGAAGACGTCATCATCAAGGTGCCCGTGGGCACTGTGGTCCGCGAGATTCAGCGCATCGACCCCATGGTCGACGAGCAGGCCGCGTACCACGCGGCGCGCGCCAAGGACCGCGAGTACCGGGAACGCGTGAAGGAGGCCGAGGCCGCAGCCGCAAAGCTGGACGCCGAGAACGGCATCGCCGTCGACGCCGAGGACGTCATGCGCGCCATCCCCGACCTGCCCGAGCAGCCCGACCACCCGAACCTGCACAAGTTCATCCTGTACCCGGGCATCTCGGCGAGCGAGCGGCGCAGCCTGACGCTGCCGCGTCTGCCGCGCCGCGAGCGCCTGTACGCGCAGCCCGAGGCGCCCATCCAGCTGGACCTCTCGACGCCGACGCAGCGGCCGATCCTGCTGGCCGCGGGCGGCATCGGCGGCCTGGGCAACCCGCACTTCGTGTCCAAGGACCGGCCGAAGCCACTGTTCGCGACGAAAGGTGAGCGCGCCGTGACCGTGCAGCTCGAGCTCGAGCTGAAGCTGCTCGCCGACGTGGGTCTCGTGGGCCTCCCCAACGCGGGCAAGAGCACGCTCCTGCGCGCGCTGACGCGCTCGCGCGCCCGCGTCGGCAACTGGGCCTTCACGACGCTGCAGCCCAACATCGGCACCGTGGTGCTGGACAACCACAAGGGCCGCCCCATCGCGGTGCCCAAGCCCTCGCGCCCGGCCTCCCACGCCGTCGTCCACGACGCCACGCATGGCTCCGTCGTCATCGCGCAGCCCGAGCAGACTGGAGAAGGCCCTGAGCTCCGTACGCGCTTCACCGTCGCCGATATCCCGGGCCTGATCGAGGGCGCGCACCTCGACCGCGGGCTCGGCGTCGCGTTCCTGCGCCACGTCGAGCGCGCCGGCGTGCTGGCCTTCGTCGTCGATCTCGCGGCCGGCGATGCGGTGGAGGCGCTCAAGGCGCTGTGGACTGAGGTCGGGCTGTATGCGCGCATGCGCGAGGACGAGGAGAAGGAGCGCGAGGTCGCGGGCCGCATCGACTGGGAGGGGGATGGTGGTGTTGGGAGTGGAAATGGCAGCAGTGGTCCGTTCGGCGGGAGGTTGGGTGGGGGACAAATGATGGTAGCTGCTGATATGCAGGACCCCATCGCAGAGGGCGAGACGGGCTTGCACATCGCGGCCAAGCCGTGGTTCGTCATTGCCACCAAGGGCGACCTGACCGGCACCCAGGACAACTACGCGAAGCTCAAGGACTACCTGGCCGCGGTCACGGACGGCCGCGAGCCGCACCCCAGCGGCGTCGAGGGCGCGTGGACCGAGGACTGCGCTGCCATACCCGTGAGCGCCATACATGGCCATGGCGTGGACAGGATTGTACATTGGACGGTGGGATTGCTGGATGACTGATCATATTGACGGGGTTCCTGGGTACCGAGTGTATACTAGCTAGCTTGAAGTGTAACAACAAGTGTGTAACAACCAAAGCTACGAGTGTATATAAAGCAGCGTGCGCGATGATCTATCTCTCAGCAAATGTCGCCTTGACATGATCAACTCGGGCGCCATCATGCATCCGTGACTCTGGATGAGAATTCCATATCATCCATGTCCATCTGCAGCTTGTAGGCCGTGTCCCACGACATCTCGGATTCCTCATTTTTCATGGCCGTGTCGCCAGCGTCGTCCTTGGCCTCGTCTTTGACGCGAAGTGGGAGTCGGCGGTATTCCTTCTAGGAATCCATCTTGCTTCTCTCGTCTGCTTCCTCGTCTTTCACCACATCTTCGTTGGTCATTTCCACGTCCTCGACTTCTTCCTTTGCTTTTTTCTTGACGTCAGTTTCGGCAGCCTCTTCTTCCTTCGCTTCTTTCTTGACGTCGGCTTCAGCAGCCTCTGCGTCCTTCGCCGCCTTGTCCTTGAGGGACAAATTGATAACGGGCGTCGTGTCGTTGTAGATCCGAAGTAGCATTGCCGACCGATCTTCCTTGGGCAGCATCAGATTCAGCGAGTGGAAACTCTTCCACAGCGGGAGAACCATGCGCTCTGAGAAGTCAGGGTCGCTGCCATCGGGTTCGACGCTGAGCACACAGCAGCCCATGCCGATGTCCCTGCACCTCTCCCCAATCTCGTTTAGCTTCTTCCAGCCGTCGTCAATGAACTTCGGGAACATCTCCTTTAGAAGCATGTGGAAGGTCTCCTTGTTGGTCAGACGAACTACCCGTTCAGGTCCGATGTATGCTTGGATAATTGCCATGCCTTCGGACTGTATCCGCCATCGGCAGACCTCGGCGGATGGCGCATCCTGCTTCATGAACATCTTGACACCTCCATGGACAAACTTGACTCCGCGCCCTTCATTCTCAACCAGTATATCTCGGACAAGGGCGCTAGTATAGTATATAGCCTTCGCAGGTTCACCCATCGCATTCCGTACCATGAATCGGTTTGAAGGGAATCGGGGCGAGACTTTGTAGAATGTCTGTATACTCTTAATCACCTCGTGATCCGGAGACAGGAATTTGAATGGTTCTTCGTTCTGGTCATTCGCACGGTTGACTCGTCGATCAGCTGTAGGCCGAGGCGCTGGGGAGTCGGTTTTGACGGGCTCAGGAGCTTTCTCCTTGGATTCGGGAACTTTTTCGACCTTGACATCTGACTTCTCACTCGACGGCGCTTCCATTTTCGCCTTCTTAGCTTCTGGGCTAATGCTGGCCCCTTCATCTTCAAGAGTCCTCTTAGAGCCTGCGGGTGGAAGCACATCGGTCGGCTCGCCAGCAGCAGCTTTCGCTCCCTCTATTATCTCCACCTTGGTGGCAGACTCCGTGTCCTCAACCTGCGGTGTAGCAAGACTCGTCGCCCCGTTCGAAAAGCCACGCTGCGAAAAGTTCTCTGGTCTGGCCTTGAACTCGGCCTTCTTCTCGAGGACGGTGATGAAGAACCCGCCGGTATCTTGTTGATGGGCATACACTCGCATGCAACGGTCCAAAGGGAGGCCGGAGGAGTCGCTCGTATCGGGCCTGACGAACATGGACTCTGATAATTTGCCAGGCATCTCACCACCGGTCAAGACATGCTGCTGGACTTCTTCCCAGTTGCTCCAGATGCGGCCGGACTTGTCCATGACCTGCCATTGATGCATGCCAGGTTTGCGCTTCAGCAGTGGGAGCCTGTCTTTGCAATCGATGATCTCAATCTTGTTGGGGCCACCACAACGCTCAATCGCTGACGCAACGACAGCCTCGTTCTCGATAGGGTTCATACTGCAAGTCGAGTACACGACTCTGCCGCCGACCTTCAACATTTGAAAAGCCCGAACCAAGATTCTAGCCTGGGTCACATGGAGACCCATAGCATTGCCTGGCTGCCAGTCTTTCCATATAGCCATATTCTTCCTCAGGGTGCCGTCGCCCGTGCAGGGTACGTCAGCGAGGATTCTGTCGAACTTGAGATACTCGGGCTTGCCAACATCGGCCGGGTCGTGGGGAATTCTGAGAGCAGGGTAGAGAGTTGCGTCGTGATTCGTGACTAAGAGGTTTGGGGAAGCAAGTCGCTTGAGCTGGTGGACCAACATGTGGCATCTCTTATACTCGGCGTCGTTGGCGACAAGGAGCCCGGTCGCTCTTCCGTCGTCACCAGCATCCTCGTCGAGATCAACATCTTCCTGGCCCGTCGTCTCGGGCTGGGTCTCGCCGAATGCCTCCATGAATTTCCGCATCCTAGCCTCCTCGCCGGTGTGGATCATCTCGAGCAGCTGGGCCGACTTGCTTCCCGGGGCCGCGCACAGGTCCAAGACGGTCATGCCCGGCTTGAGATCCATGACTAGGGGCGGGATCATGCTAACCAGTTCTTGTCTGCTGATGTTGCCAACGCTCGTCTCGGAAACCAGGAACTTCTGGAAGGAAGCGAAGGGAGGAAACTTTCGTATGACTTGTTTCGGGGTGTTCATGGAATAGGCCAGCTCGTCGGGGTACCAAGGAACAGGCTGGGGAGCTTGTACGGGTGCGCCATCGAAGCGCTCGATCTTGACAATCTCTGGCGCGTATCTCGCCTCGAGCAGTCGTCTGACGGCGAGCGCATGGCCTTTCGATCCACAGAAGCGGAAGGAGTTGGGTAGTTCCCTCTTCAGCGCATTCCAGAACTCTTCTCTCCCGGCGTCGTCCTCAAACGGAAGCGCAGAGTTGTAGTATCGCTCGAGCTTTTCGTTCTGCTTGGGGATGTCTGAGTAATTGGTGCGGTAGCCATCGTTGCGCGCCGGAGGGCGATCTGAACCGCCTTTGCGACCTCCTCGAGACTTCTTATTACTACGCCCCATTGTAGACTGCTTGCTGGGAGGACCGCTGGTATTGTGCGTTACTCTGCTGTTATATCCTCGAAGAAAAACAATATATCTAGAGTCTATGCCGTCGCTATGTCTTTTGGTGGTGGTGTTGTGTTGGGAAGGTAGAGAAAATCTATGGGATGTGAAGTTTTCGTAAAGCTGTCGAGGCAGCTTCAATTCACCAATTCGACCCCACCAAAGCTCCAAAGCAGCAGAGTGATGCGAGTCACCAAGAGGCCCATTTATTTGGGGCTATTGCCCAATCAAAAGTTAGCAAGCTAGAGGGGCTGCAGCCCACTGCCCTTCTGCTGACTACTACCTAACCTGTCTCTATCATAATAACATACAAACTTCTTCACTGCTCGCATTTCAACGTCTGTATTTGAGGACGATTGTAACTTTTTATATCGTGCCTCCCCCATATGCGGAAGGCACGGCTGTCCGGAGCCTCGCCGCAAGGAAGTCCCAATGCGCAACATCTTCCTAGCATCCCCCAGCTACCCTCACACGAAAAATAGCGAACGACCACGCAGATGATCGACGATGTTGAGAGGCTGTTGCTGAGATCTGCCACGACGCACCTATTACAGCATCGCACGTCGATGCAAAGAAAAGAGAGCATTGCTGTCAAGTTCTTTGGGTTCTTCTGTACGTCAAATACGGATCATGATCAAGACTCTTCGGCGGAAGAGTACATGACACAGTACCAGCGTGTACTCCCTGTCTGTCCCATGCACACTCACACTGTCTTCGTGCAGCCTGTGCTATTGTGAAGACCTTCGCATGAGTCTATGCATATAAGCCGGAGCCTTGCCCAATACTCTGCGTACTCGTTCCCTTTCCAGTGAGATTCCTTTGGCCCCCAACCTGCGCAAGTCGCTTGTAGGACGATTATTGAAGCCGGACGGCTTACCCTACGCATTGGGACGTCGAGCGCCACCGAACCAGCCTTGAGATGGAACATAGTCGCTGGGAAGCCGCGCGGCAGCTTGCTCAGCTCCTCGGTGAAGGTAGCTTATATACGACAGGACGTGGAAGGCATTTGTTCAAACCCCCATCCGCATCCATATCCTGCTTAAGGCCAGCCTGCAGCAATACAGTCGTGAGATGTCCACCAGAAAGGAGATGGGTGCCACCGTCGCCATTGCCGGCTTCACAGGCAGGCTTGCCCGCCTGATCACCGAAGCTCTCGTTCGCCAGCATCCAGGAGTCGTCGTCCATGGTATCTGTCGCTCACCAGAAAAGGTCGACCCCAAGCTGCGTTCGATCTCGAACGTCAAGGTCTTCCAAGCTTCTTCTGACGATGCCGAAGCTATAAAGCGTGCTCTCCTCGGAGTCGATGTTTGCATCTGCTGCTATCTCGGGGACAATGGGTTGATGATCGAAGGCCAGAAGACCCTCGTAGACGCTTGTATAGCCGCCGGCGTTCAGAGATACATTGCTTCAGACTGGTGCCTTGACTATCGTCCCTTGGAGCTTGGTGATCATCCCACGAAAGATCCCATGATCATTATGCGGGCGTACTTGGAGGAGAAGGAGAAGGCCGGGTCGATCTCAGGGGTGCACATCTTGAACGGTGCTTTGACTGAGTATGTACTTCTTCTGCGCTGGGCAGGGGGGAGCTGACTCGGCTCTTTTCGCAGAGTTGCCTGGGCACCGTTCGTGGGCTGGGTCGATGCGGCTAATGCGACGTTCCGATACTATGGGACTGGCGACGAGCCACTCGACATGACGACCATGCCGGACGCAGCAGAGTACACCGCAGAGGTGGCGTACGATAAGAGCGCCAAAGGCTTCTTTCAAAGTGAGTATAGCAGTCTCTGAATCGCGCTTTTCTCCACATCGTCGGCTGACACCGTCATAGTTGTCGGCGACCGCATCTCCGTCAAAGGCATGGCGCAAGCCTACTCCCACGCCTACGGCGTCGAGCCCAAGGTCGAGTGCCAAGGATCGCTCGATGAGCTATACAAGTCGGCGAAAGAAAGCTTCAAGCAAGACCCGAAGAATGCTTATGCTTGGATGGGTCCGCATTACCAGTACTACATGGGCAATGGCTCAACAACGCTCCGCGGGACCCTGGATCATGATCGCTACCTGGGCTTCAAGCCAAAGTCAGTGGAAGAGTTCTTGAAGGAGTATACGAAAGACTCGGTCGGTAATGCATACAGGAGCATGTGAGATGCACTCGTTGCGGGAGACAAAAGGAGATTTGAAGTTGGAGAAGGGACAGGACATACTTACTACTTACATTCGTTCAACACAGCCTTCACACTGGCCATCCCCTTGTCCAGAATATACGCCATTCGTCGAACTCCTTCCGGGCGTTGCTCACTCCAGTAGGGAAGAAAGCGTAATGACTTCTCAATACCGAGTTGCTCAAGCCATTCAAGTACGCATATATCCTTCGGCACTCGATCTTCGCAAACCCGGCGATCCACCATTGTTCGATGCGGCCGAACAGAGCAGACCAAAGGCCGAGTATCAACAGCGCTTTGCTGTCATTCGCTTTTGTAAGACCATTTAATTGTGCTGGTAGGTCCGCAATGATGGAAGGCCATTTATTAAGTACGTTGCTTGTGAGTGAAGTGCCGGTAATCGATGTGAGATGCCAGTAACCTAGTCTCAAACCGGCCATAACAATCGTCTTCAATTTCGATGACTTACATCGTGTAGTGGCTGAACCCTAGGCGAAGAATGTAGTACTAAATGCTGATTCGGCCTTAGCAAAGCGCTGAACATACGATTTGACACATACTCCATTCCGCCAAGGGGCGTGTTTTCAGCTGAGGCTGAGCCTGGCTTCCGGCAGGCCTCCTCCTTCACACCGACGAGCTACCTAGGTATGTAGTATGTCGGTAGAAACCCCATATCGCAGTCCAAGGACCCGCGATGCCTTCTTTAAATCCATCATTCCACGAGAACAATGGTCACCCTCTCCGAAACCGGCGCCCACTGGATCGGCGAGCGCATCGGCTACGCCTCCAACGGGGCCGCCGGCGCCCTCCTCGCCCTGTTCGCTGACTGGCTCTTCCCGCGCGGCCTGAAGACCATTTACATACAGTTCGACCTCCTGTACCGCGCGTACCGCGTGGACAACGCCCTCGCCAGCTCGGGGGCCTCTAAGGCCCGGCGCGGTCTGACAATCTGCGCCTGGATGGCCCTGGCCTTGGGGTTCGGCGTCCTGGTGCCCGGCGCGCGGTTGATCGTCGCCTACCACGGCGTGACAGGCTACGCGGGCGGGTTCGCCCTGACGACGCTGACGTACCTGCAGACCGACGGCCCGCCGGGCCAGGAACGGATGGCGCGGATTGCGTCGAGGGACGCGGCGGCTGTGTATGGGGCGCTGGCGTTCGCGCTGACGCATCGGCCGTTGATGTGGTCGTTGGCGAAGTGGACGTTCTTCAGGCTGACATTGCCTGCGCTGTGTCTTGTGGCAGCACTGTACGTCCTGAGGGCATGGCTACCCCTGACACGGGTCCGGGACTGGGTGCTGTTCGACGTCGTGGCCAAGATCCCCGCAGTCTGGGACCAGCTCGACATCTGGGAGGCGCAGTTGATGGAACGGCTGCCGCACTACCTCCAAGACAGGTGGTCGTCGTATCAGCAGAACCGACCCCAGCGCCGCAACACGCCTCTCTACAAATACCAACCCCTGAAAGAAGGCGAGATCAGACTCCTGGTCCTCAAGCGATCCCGCTGGTTCCCCAGCGTCCTCCGCGCCCACCTCGTCCACGCGCCCCTCGACGCGGCCCCCGCGTACGAGGCGCTCTCCTACCGCTGGGGCTCGGTCGCCCGCACCAACGAGATCCTCGTCGACGGCGCCCGCTTCCCGGTCACGCGGTCGGCCTTCGACCTGCTGCTGGCGCGGCGCTCGGTCTGGCGCAACCGCACGCTCTGGGTCGACGCGCTGTGCATCGACCAGGACGCCGCGGCCGAGAAGAGCGCCCAGGTGCAGCTCATGCGCACCATCTACCAGAATGCCGACCGCGTCGTCTTGGTACCGCGCGGGCCCGACTGGTGGCGCGCGCGCGCCGCTGCCCCGCTGCTCTACGAGCTCGCGGCCGCGGCGTACCAATTCGAAGGCACGCCGCGCGAGTTCCACGACCTGTACGCGGGCGAGCGGCAGTCGCCACGGTGGCGCGCGATGGTGGCGCTGTTCGCCGACGACTACTTCGCGCGCGCCTGGGTCATCCAGGAGATCGCCGTCGGCCGACGCGTCGAGCTGTATTTTGGGGGGCTGTACATCCCATGGGCGGTGTTCCTCGAGGTCGTCGGGCTCTGCATGGACCCGCAGCGCCGCAACATGCTGATGATGGGCGATACGCGCGAGGCGAAAACGTTTGTGCGTGGTGACACTTTCGAGAATATTGCCCTTATGGGTATTTTGCGGGCGGGCGACTCGGGCGCCGCCGACCTCCCGGGCGCCGGCGGGCTGGGGCTGGGCGCGCTGCTGTTCTCCGCGAGCAAGTTCGGCGCCACGGACCCGCGCGACCGCGTGTTTGCGCTGCTAGGTCTGGCGCGGTCGGGCGATAATGATGATGGTGATGATGGTGCGCAGCAGCTCATCCGGCCGGACTACGAAAGGCCCGTCGAGCACGTCTTCCGCAACGCGATGGAGGTCGCGCTGACCGGCCCGCAGGAGCACCGGTGCGTGCAGCTGCTCGCCCTGGCCGGCACGGGCTTCTCCGCGCAGAGGATGGCTGACTTGCCGTCGTGGGTGCCGGACCTGAGCGAGGAGCGGCTCTGCTTCCCGTACGCGGACGGGTTCGGGCACCCCGGCTGCTACAACGCCTCCGGGAACCGCACGGCGACGGTGGTGCTGGACGGTGATTACGACGGCTCTGTCTCTCTCGGTGGTGTGGTGATCGATCGCATACTGGAGCTCAGCACAGGGGCAGCGCTGGACTTCGGCGTCGAGGCCGGCGCGCAGTTCGAGGTCCTGCGGCTCGGGCGCGTGAAGTACCACTTCGTGCAGGCCGCCATGGAACTATGCAGGAAGCATGCGGGCTCCGCCGACGCCGCAGCCGAGATGCTGGAGCAGCGCCTCTGGCGGGCCCTCGTTGCCGGCCGCGTCGAGCGGCAGCCCGCGGGTCCGCGGTTCGGGGCGGTGTTCCAGTCCTGGCTGCTTCTGATAACGACGATGGCTGAGGCGCGGGACTTTGCCGACTTCGAGCAGCATGTCCGGCGCGAGGGCCTGCTGGACCTGCCGGAATGGGCGGCCATCAACGACGGGAGCTCGACGAGCTACGATGTCAGTACTGTGGATGGCGCCTATGGGCGGCGTTTCGCTGTCAGTGCTGCTGGGCGGCTGTGCCTTCTGCCGCCGCTGACCGAGGCCGGGGACTTGATTTGCATCCCGTTTGGGGCGCAGACGCCGTTTGTTATTCGGCAGCGGGACACGACTGCTGGTAAGGGAGGTGATGAGTTGGTCGGTGAGGCGTTCGTCGAGGGTGTTATGTATGGTGAGGCGATGGGTATCGGGGAGGAAGAAATGATACGGTTGGCGTGATGTGTCAGTGTATAAGGGGGAAGGTTTTCCTCTAGATCACAGGAGAACTTTCTACGGTGGAATGGCAGAGTCCAAGACAAAAGAGTACGGTGGAACTAAGTCAAGTAGTGATGGTTGCGTTTAGGGGACTACACGACTAGGCCATGCTCCTTCGATGCTTTATCCGCGCTCACATTCACCCTTTAGCCTCGACAAGTAGTGAAACAAGCCACCAGGTTAGGCAGAGTATAATACTGGTATTCTGCTTATCTTGCACTATGGACCTGACGAATAAGGGGAGCGCACTCTTTATGTAGCCCATCCCTGGTCCACATTCGGTTGTTGGTGTTAATGGCCAAAGGTTGCGGTGACTATGAATTGCACCAAATACTTCTCTCCCTGTTCTGGCGATCTCGGGATATCAATCAGCTTGGCGTTGATCTCTTCCACACGCGTGTCCCTGTCATCATAATTAAAGCTTTTGCTCGCGAACTTCCACAACTGCTGCCAGGTCCTCTCATTCATAGCCTTTTCCGACCCAAGGGCTTCCTTCTCGTAACTGGTCCATCCCATGATAAGCCCGGTACCATCCTTCACCATCAGCTCCAGAAGGTTGACCGCGACCGTGGTCCGATCCGAGCCGGTGAATAGATGGAAGAATTTGGAGACGTAGAGGAAGTTGACCTTATCCATGAGCCCTAGTTCTTTAATTTTGCCGTCGGGGGCGTTGGTCTCCCGCATATCGATGTCCGTGAAAAGGTGGTCTTTTTCTAGTCCGTCACCAAATAGTTCAGTGCCGAGATCGATCGGCCAGGAGTCCTTATCGAGCCCGTAGAGTTTGCCTTTGTCGACCCCGTTCTTAAGTAGCTGCTGGAGGTCCTGCGTGAACCCGGTTCCCACGTCTAGCAAGATGGTGCCACCCCCTTTCAGCGCCGGGAGCACCCGGGTATTGTACTCCTCCGTAAGCTGTATCGTGGGTGTGACGAATCTATATGACTTGAGATAAGGGTTTCGGTCACGCTTGAGTGCCTCCTTGCGTACTCTCTGGACCTTTTTCTCCAGCTCTTTTTGGTCCGTAATCCCCCGCCGGTTGGCCATGAGCTCAGAAAAGTCCTGAGGCACCTCGTTGGGGTCTGGCCGATCATTGCCTCGCATAGCTATGGGCATGTCATCCTCGAAGGGGACCGGAGCTGGGGAGGCACAGGCCACGGATACTAAGGTAGCAAGCGCAATGAACGATGAATACATCATTACTGTGAGGAAAGAAGGCTTTCGGATACCTGTGATGTATCAGGAACTAAAGCCTTTGAGCCCAATTAAACACAATTCTTAAGAATGGGCTGCGATAGTTGCTAAGTTAAAGATAAAATACTTGAGAATGGCTGCGACAGGTGTTGAGCCAACGATAACGCAATACTTAGGAAGGAGCTGCGATAGGTGTTGAACTGATAGTTAGGCAATACCTCAACGTTCCCTCATGGAAGAATTGCAATCCTCTTATATTTTAAGGTTTGCAGTTGAAGCTCTGTGAAATCGGGGCATCCGTCGCTACATGTGATGGTTCTGGGTTCAGATCCTAATAGCGCTGTCATGGCGTCACCTCCTAGGTTCGAACTTTTGGGAAAGTTCCGCATACTTTTAGCAAAGTGAGGTGGCGGTGTTTAAGCGAGTGGCTTTGTGGTATTTAAAGATGATGGAGAGACTAGCAGGCATAGAAATAGCCAGGTATAGATGCCTTTTGTCAGGCATAGAATTTTGGCTGGCAGGATGTCTGTATGTGGACCACCAGGGGTAAGACCCCCATCCCCTGGTCGTAAATTTGGGTGCGGTTACCACCGCGGAAGCAGGCAGGATCGGGAAGAAACCTTCCATAGCCTTTAATCCAGATGTATAAGTACATGACTGGGAAGATAGTCACCCTCATTACTAGTCCCATCATTCTCGCATCGCCCGTGTAGATCCTGACACCTTTACATATTATCCTTGACCGAGAACTTAAAATATGAAGACGAAAATACCATAACTTGTCGAGATCGATATATGAGCAAAGGGAGAGATTCACCCGTCAGCTTGTAGCCAGCTGGCAGGTTGATAGCATCACCAGACCCAAGGCGCTTCGGACTTCCCGCCCAGACTCAGGAAGGAGATCCAGCCGCCTCCATCGCCCCAAGCGCCCCAGCAACCACCCTCCCAACCTCATCCCTCAACCCACCCTTCTCCATCAAAACCCGCCACCTCTCCCTCCAATGCTCCCACCGCTCCACCGACAGCTTCGCCACATCGCCCTCCCACAAGACCTCACCACCACCCTTGCTAACAGCCTCCCCGTCAAACCACTCAATCGTATCACCCGCCTTACACCTCCCCAGCAGCCGGCGCGGGCACAGCGTGCACAAGTGAGCCGACGCCATGAGATCGGCCTCGGACCCGAACCGCCGGCGGCCGCGGTTGTCCGTATCGATATCGAGGGCCCGGACGACGCAGGAGGCACAACGGCGGACGAAGGCCAAGTCGCCGACGACGGGGTCGCGCGTCGCTGTCAGACGGGCGCTGAACTCTACGAGGGCTGCGTATTGTTGTGCTGCGTTTCCCTCAGACTCAGAGCCGCCCAATGGTCCTTCTGCTGAATTCTCGACTTGTTGGTCTAGGTAGCGACACTCGTAGTCTATGTATAATCTTAGCAAGTACTCAAGAGGAAACGAGAGAAAAGGGGACCACATTGCAACTCAGGGAGCGAAAGATGTCTCACTTACTACCAATGGTATCACAGACCCTATGCCCCCAGCCCCCGAGTCCCGACAAGATATCCCCAAACGGGACAATCTCAGGCACGGCCCTCCTCTGCACTTCCGCGGGGTCCAGCATCCGGATCACCAGCAGGAGATCAACAATACACAACTGCGTCCAGGGGAGGTGTACAGCCGTGTTAATGAGCAGCTGCTGCAGCTTGCTGAAGCGGTTCTTCATCATGTAGATATCCGTCGAGCGGGCCGTCCTGCTGACGAGGTCTCGAGCCGCTTCGGCCACTGGGAGGTCGCCGGCCAGAAGGGCTTTGAGCGTGTGGATTTCGCTCTGAGAGGGGCCGTGGTCGGCCTGCTCTTCTGCAGGTTCGATGTGGTTGAAGTATTCTTGAGCTTTTGAGTCCATATTGTGCGAATCTGTATGATGAAAACTGTCTCCTGTTGATTTATCCTGTTTCCATTTCATATCTGTCCTGCGGTTTATAGGGAGTCCATCTTGGTTTCTGCCTGCCCGTGGGAGTCACATATAAGGATGCTCCATATATGTGCCTCTAGGTTGTAGTGACCGAAGTAAAGCAGCGAAATTCGGCATACTATACATGGGTTACCGGTAAGTTCCGTAGCGGGGTACGTATATTGTTGAATGCACGGATGTTGATGGATTGTATTGATTGTTCTTTTTTTTTTGCTCTGCTTCTTCAGCGTACAGAGATTGATCATCTGTCTTCTTGGTGGGTCAGATGCCCTGTGCGTCTCTGCCCCGCTGGAGATCTTCCGGTGTCTATTTCCGGCTCCCATTCAACACATTCATGCTAGTATCTAACATATATCGGTTATAAGGCTTGTGTAGTTTATAAGACTTGTGATGTAGACAGGCCTTGTATGATCCTACAAACCTTGTTAATCTTATAAGCCTTGTGAGCCGGATGTATAGGTTCTAATTGGCCAGGTTTTTAGTCTGACCAATTAGAAGCCAGAGATGCCTCCTTAAGCCTAGTAACTAATTAGAGCCTTCGGACGGGCTCGAGAGTAAAAAAGAAAAAAAGAAAAACTTTTTGTTTTCACGCGGATTCGAACTTAGGAATTTCGGAATTAAATTTTCAATTTTTGAAAAGTTATTTAATTTACTAGTTAATTTTTTACATGGTATATTTATAGTTTACAAGTTATGATTTACGATTACGATTACGATTATAAATAGAAATTTATTTATTTTTTAACTTATATTATTAGCTTAAGCCGTAATTATAAGATTAATATAGCTTATAAGATTAATGAAGCTGGTTAACTATATAAGTCTTATTAACCTTGTATAAGCTTAATAAGCCTTGTGGTGGGTGGTATGGGGTTTCTTATTACGGTTCTTATTTACAGTATAGCATTGATTAAGATGGGCCTTATTGTGGTCTCAAGTTATACTGAACCCTTATAAGTCTGCGTACACGACCTTTCCAGCACGTAACGTACCTATGGTATATTCATCAACTCGGAATAAGCACACCGGAATAAGCAGTTTGATCTTTATTTACCATGCTTGACACTTATTCCAGGGCGCTTATCCCAGTATTTCCAACTCTCCCACTGGTGGTCTGGAACCTTGCCAACATGCGCGTACGGAGACTTCCGAGGTCTCAGCGTAAGTTCGAATTGAAGATCTTATGCGCTCTCGCCGTTACACAGACACCCACTATAAGTCATGGGAGATCCTCAACCCGATTACAATACAAGCACATCCCATCACATCCTATACTCATGGCCCGACTCATGCGCCATAAGATCAAAGGCGGGCTTCGCACTAAACCAGCCCGCTCGCTCCGATCCAAGAGTCTGGTACGTGTACTCGGCCTCCTCGTCGCTGATCTTGACCGTCTCGGAGCCCCTGCCGCCGGCCGCGGCATCGGCGAGCAGCTGCACCTGACAGCATCTCTCGAGACTCATGAACCAGAAGACGCAGGCCTCGACCGAGCCGCCGCACGTCATCAGCCCGTGGTTCGCCAGGATCGCGGCCTTCTTCTGGCCCAGCGCCTTTGCGATGCGGAACCCTTCCTCCGGGCCCAGCACGATGCCGCCGAAGCTGTCGTAGTGCGCTAGGTCGTTGTAGAAGGAGCAGTTGTCCTGTTTTGTTTTGAGAGTTAGCTCAATGCCTCTCGTTGCGCCTGCCGGTAGCAGATATGGAATGAAGGTCAGGGGCAGACGAGTCAATTGGGCCTACAAAGGCATGATTCAGGAGGGGACGTAAAGGCACCATCTTTAGGGAAAGATTAGGACCCCGTAGACTAACCTGCGTGATGGTATCCAGGTTCCGTCCCAGCGTCGCGAACGCCCGTCCATGAGTCGAGTGCGCATGCGCCACAGCGTTGACATCTGGCCGAGCCGTGTGAACAGCGGAATGAATCATGTAGGCTGGCCGGCGTAAGCATACACCCCATACTCATGCATCAGCATCAGCCGACGAGAGAGAAGACACCCACCAGCGACGTTAAGCAATCTGACCGGGCCACCCTCGACGATCTGGCCCGAGTGGTCAACGCGGATGAGGTCCGAGGATCTCAGGAGCGGCCAGGCGACGCCGAAGGGATTGACCCAGAACGTGGTCGGGTCGATGGGATCGCGGACAGTGATATGGCCAGCGACTCTGTGCCTTCATTAGCTAGGACTTCTTTTGAGAATGAGAACTTGCACAGGGATGCGGCTTGCCCTTCGTCGAACCCCATCTTGGCGAAGATGCGGAAGCCCAGGGTCAGTCTCTCCTTGAGGTACTGGCGCTGGTCGAGGGGGTTCTCGAACTTGGGCGGCGCCGGGAACGGGCTCTGTATGGTTTCGGTAAGCCTCACTCTCGTTCTCTACGAGTCACGCCATGCGCCATACCTGTCCGCTGGCCGCGGATTCAACGCCATTGACATCCTTCGTCGCGTGAGGAGACATGTTCAATGCGGCTAGACTGGCGAATATCTGTACAGTTCAAGCGATCCAGAGGTAAGTGGGTGCTTGGAAGTTGAAGTTGAAGCTGATAAGAAGTGGTGTGTGAAGGTGAGCGATGATAAAGCTAAGTCCGCATAGTGCCGGCACTTTAAATGCGTCGCTCTGTCGGCTTGACTCTTCCCGTCCATCCCTCTCCGCACCTTCGGGTGGCGAATGCGGAGAACCTCACTGGCAACTGTCCAGATCGATCGAGGCGGGGAGCACCTTCCCAGCTTGAATAGCTTCAGAGAAGCATGATTGGGTGATTGCGAGTTGCTGGCACTCGAAAGTCCTGTCACGATGACACGGAGGCGGGTGCAACATAAAGGGCGGTGCGTGTACAGAAGTCGGCTTCGAGCTTATTGGACGTATCGTAGCTGTTGGCGTAACGCAAGGGGAACATAGTGGCCGACATCGTGTTTGCGTCGGGCCTCGAAGGTCTTGATGACAACTAGCCTTCGTTCAAGTACTGAGGTACCCAATACTCATACTCTGAGTTGCCTGATGATAGAAAGTGTAGGTTGGTTAGTATTATAGATCAGACCGAATCGTACCGCATGCTCATCCTAGGCATGTGGCCTACCAATGACGATTAGGTAAAGGGGGCCTGTGCTAATCGGCACCGTGCCTGGCTAGACACACCCCAAGCCATATCCAAGCACTAGCATCGAGCATTACAGGTGGTCATCAGCTTCAACGCAGGGAAGGGAGCCCTTTAGTAGAACTGTTTGCTTGACATCGATCTGCATCTATAGAATCTAACCTGTCTCAGTCCAATCTTACAGTCTCCATGTCTACCCCTGGGTCACAGTAGGAGCTTACGAGGGGCTACTTAGGGAGTGACTGTCCGACGAAACAAACCAAAACCACAACCCTCAACGCCCATATGAAAAGGGAACACGACAGTAGGTATCTTCATCTTCTCACCTCCAGTACAGCACCCCTTGGGACGGTGTACCCTGGCATGGCCTAACCCGAGCCCTTCAACACCTTCAGCGCAGCCTCGAAGTTCTCAATGTCGCGGAGAAGCTTCTCCCGGCCGAGCTTGACCGTCTCGTCCTCGGCGGCGATCATGTCAAGCTGCTCCTCGTTGAGGCCGAGCACCATCTCGGTGCTGAAGATTTTGAGTGGGCTGTTCTTCCCCGACAACAGGAAATAATTGACGGCCTGCTGGCAGACGACGTCGACGAATCGCTTGCGCGAGACCTTGTAGTAGCTTTTCAGAACTGCATTGATTTTGTGTCAGTGACAGGGTTTTTTGGGAGACGAGCGAGGGAGGTTTCGGAAGCAAGCAGACTCCAGTACCCGTTTTAAGACACGCGTAGGGCACGATGGGCAATCATCGCTCAGAAAGTGTTCAAGAGAGGTACAATGACTCGAAAATTTGCTTACTGTCATGCATATACTCGCGCACATGTTCCGAGTTAGCCTTATTGGCCGACAGGCTGCCGAGCTGGGACCGGCTCAGGAAGACGCCTAGCTCAGCGTTGCCAGCCTGGGCGGAGACCGTGCCCAATTTCTCAATCGCAGCCATCAGCCGGTCGACCTGGCTTTTCTGGATATTGTCGTTGAAGTAGTGGTTCAGCGTCAGCGGGGTGCCCTCGCGCTCGATCTCAAGCAGGAATTTTGCGTGGGTCATAGCATGGCGGTACGCCTCTTGAAGCTCCTCGACCAGGTAGTCGTCCCAAAGCGCCTCTCGAACCTTGTTGTCCGGGCAGATTTCCTCGATCATGGAGTAAATGAAGTCATGAACATGGTAGATAGCCCTGCTCATGTGCGACAGCGTGAGCGATTCCCATTTCTTGGACTGCTCTTTGAACATAGTTCCCAGGAGAGCGCCTCCGAACTGAGCAGAGGTAAGTAAATGTCTCAAGTGAATAACCCAGTATTGCTTACCGTCCCTAGGTCCTGTCCTCGGCTACTCAAGTATACTTCCTCGATGTAATCCATAATGTCTACATCGCTGTCTGCGTCAGGCTTAGTCGGCTTTCTCCAACCAACGATCTCGCTGAGCTCGGGGTAGAACTGGTCAAACAGCCAGTCTGGCCGGTTCAGAAAATCGGAGGATTTCCGGACAATTCGGTCATCATCACTGGAGTAGCTGCCTTCCCCAGGACTGTCCACGGTGTATGGCTTGGTCGCGAACGGTCGCGTATGTCCGTCATCGGCCATTTTGTCAGAGAATTCCTCATTGGCTTCAACAATGCGGGTGACGAGTCGCAGGTTGTGGTGTTCCGAGAAGATTTCGTCGCCCGTATAGTCAGCAGTGAGCGCACTACGGGCGAGCGTCTGGAATGCCTCGCTCATCTTGTTGAGATAGGCTCGCTGGGCGTGCGGGTTGCTTCGGGCCGGTCCCATCTTGTCACACTGGGCCCTGACCACTGCCAGTTCTCGGACGATCTCGGCTTTGAGCTTGGGGAACTCCTTCTTGATGAGGTCGATGAGAAGCTCGCGGACACGCAGCTTCAGGGCGTCCATGCCGGCCTTTCCAGTCGAGTTCAGGACGGACCAAGGAGTCTTGGCAAAGAACATTCGCTCCTCTGTCTGCCCTTGTTCAAGGCTTTTGTTCGCGTCATCCGGACCACGATTCTTGACGATGTAGTAGCCCAGGGTGAGATCGCTTCTCTTGCCCGCGACATGATCGATGGCGATCTGCTGGGTGGCCCGCTCGATTGCCAGATCGGGCTTGGTGAGAACAGCCATGGTTCTCGTCATGGTGGGATCAGCCCTCTTGGCCAGCTTCAGGATCTCTTGCGTGGCAGGGTCAACGTTGCTGGGCATGATGGCCAGAATACTGTAATAAAATGATTAGAGCGGGAAACCTCACCATGATATGGATGAGTACTCACATGGTTCTTGAATCTTGCACTGGAGTGGTGAGAGCACGTCAGCCCCGTTTCTGAGCCCACGTTACCGGGATCACTTACTATACTTCTTAACCATGTTCATGACAAGGTCGATATCGCTTTCCGTGGTCATGCCTGCAGTGCACGAGGTCAGTACATCTTCACAGCGAAGTGCCTTAAGCCAGTAACTGACCGTCAGTCTCATTTCGAAAGATACCAGGAACATCAATCACGGTAAAGTGCTCCTCCTAGACCACGTCAGGACTTAGATAAAGATGAAGTCGAATTGTATTAGCTCTTACGTTGGGACCAAGCTTCTCGATCTTGAGAACATGCTCGCTGAACGCCGGGAGGCTGGAGCCGTTGAGCGAGGTGATGTTCGTGGAAGTTCGGATTCCCATGGCCTCATTCGCCTAGATATTGTCAGAAAGTCCTTGGCTCGCGGGTAGGGACAAATGTGACATACCTCCTTGAACAGGTTGGCCAGGTTCCCGGGACTCATCTCGGTCAGAGTGCGCTGGAAGGCCTTGACGCGCTGCTGTTCCTGGGGCGGCGCATCCAAATTCGGCATGATGGATACAGTAATGCTCTCCTCAACCTCGCGACGGCAGGTGATTTGGGTAGCATAGCGAGTGCAGAGCTCGGCGTCACGGGGGAAGGCGAAGCCTGTCAGTCCCTCGAGGACCGAACTCTTGCCCGAGGACTGGTCTCCAACGACGACGAGCTGGGTACCTATGGTTAGTGATCATCTTTCGGTAAGGTGTGGTCGGACATACCTGAGGGAGAGCGACTCGGGTGCCGATGAGCTCTCGGAGCTTGTCGACCTTGGTCAGGATAGCGAGGTTGCCTGGGCCATGTTGCCCCTCGGCGGCAGTGGTGCTCATGTTCATTGTTCCTGTCATGAAAATGGCGAGGGAGGGGAATCGGAGAAGAACAGGATGCAAAACAAATCGATGGTCAAGAGTGTGAAGTGCAAGAGGCAAGCTCCAAAAGTGTTTAGTGTTGAGATGGTCTCGGGTGCAGATGGTGCAGATGGTGCAGATGCAGATGCAAAAACAGGAGGGTGGAGGTGAGTCGAGTTAAATACCTGGGAGGTTAGGTACTTGACCAACGCAATGCCAAAATGATTTCTCAACACAAGTAGAAAAACCAATCCAACATTGAAACGGGTTCGAGATGGTGCAAGAGGCGCTGACCATCCCATAGCCTCGCGGAATGCATCAATTGGCCCTCGACGAGGCCCGCGAGTGACCATCACCCAGATAACTATTCGCTGCGGCAACCCACGAGGGAGGCTCGCCAGTGCAAGATAGGTTGCATACAGGGAGTTGGCCATTCTGGTACAAACGAGGCAGCAAGGCACACTCCGAGATAACGACGAGAATCAGAATCTGCCTTAGCTGGAGGGATTTGAGGTCTCCAAGCAACAGAGTTTGGAGGATTTTGTGCTGTACGAAGGCGCGCATGAACCTGCGACAGCAATCCGTCAGGGGTAAGGCCATAGCCGCCCAGGGAAGGTGCCAAGCCACACTCAACACAACCAACACGAAACATTGGAAGGGGCGATACAGATACATATATGCATCTCCAGGGTGTTGCCTACGGGACCCCCCGACAGGCGGCCTCCAGTGACGCCAATGTGTACTATTGCAGGCTCTAGAGGAGAGAGAGCGCTACACAATTGGGATATTGGACCAATAGCAAATGTCCTGTACTTTCCCATGAAGTTATCATAGTTGACCGACAAGCGAACTCCTCATCAAACTCCAATACCTTGCCCATCGAGAACATCCTTGTAGAACTCCCCGAGGAGCTTACCGCTCGGAGCCTCAGGGTACAGGTCCTTGAAGTCCAAGTAGCCCAGATACGCAGCCGACTCAGGAGTGTTATCGCCACGGAGCAGACACGAGTCGTAATATTCATTGATAGTCAGGCCTGGCGGGAGAGCGCTGCTCGACGTCTCCTGTTTCGCCTTCGCGATAGCGTCGTGGATCATTTGCGCACTCAGCTAATACGGATCGTTGGGTCAGCACACATGGCCCGTGACAGGTATCTCATCTGCGTCGGAAAGGAGGTGACATAGGGGTTTGGCTTACCTCTGTCCAGACAGACTTTTCCCCGCTGACCTCATCCAGGGTGTCCGCGCACTGGTTCATGGACAGGACCTCGGTGTAGGCGAACACCTTCTTGTTGATCGTCCTGGGGTCCGCGATGATCCTCGCCACGCGCCAACCGATGTCTCTGATGTCCGTCAACGCGTTCGGGACCGTGCCATCCCCAGCGTGTATATTGAGGATGCCTCTGACTGCATGCGCTGTCCGGCCCGAGGGCACAGCTGCCACGGAGAGGTTGAACCACAATCCGACATCGATGACTGTATATGCGAGGCGGAGGCGCTGCACCGCAGCGAGGGCGTCATCCTTCTATAATGGTACTTAGCTTTTGATAGTGGCAGGTACATAGTATAAGAGCCAGAAATAGGACGTACTCGGTCTCGCAAGAGCATCACGCCTCTGGGCGCAGGCGATCCCCAATCGCAGGGTACGAATCTCTTCACGCCCGCGTCCTTTGCCGCCTGGGCCAGACCGGCCTGCAGCTCGAGCTGGTATGCAGAGATACAAGAGAGCACGGTGTCGAGGCCGGTCAGCGCCTTCACAAGCTCTGCCTTTGGGGCTTTCAAGTCAAGTATCACGATCTTGACTCCACGGTCCTTGAGGGCCTTGGACCCATCGCTGTCAACCGACTCAGGTCGAGTCAAGGCTGTTACTTCCTGCGATCCCATTTAGTTTGAGCTTGGTTTACGGTGTGTGCTAGAGGTGAACTAACGAAGTTGACATCCGATGCCAGGAGCCCATTCACGATGGACTTGCCAGTATTCCCCGTTGCTCCCACGATACCAACTTTGATCGGTGATGACATGGTTGGAAAAGAGGATGCTGGAGACTGATGAGATATAGGACCGTTGAAGCAAGAGTTAGCCAGGATTTATACCTGACAATTAGTCAGTTGTCCTGCTTCGTAACCGGGTACTGACAAAGCTCATGCAGGCCTCAAGCCAAGACCATCTGAATTTGTAAGCAAATGCGAAGTCTCACAGGACGGGAGCATGCAGTGTGCAATTATATCCGACAAACCCCGCATGCGAGAGACGGACTCCGCACGTGAGGGAAGCAATGGAAGCCATAATATCACGAAAGCCAAAGGCGTCAAAACCTGACCATAATTGTGTGCTCAAGCGCTGCGGGTAGAAACTAAGCAAACGATAATTCAAAATTCAGAATGTAACTCGCACACATATTGTTTTGCCCTCAGACAGCTGGTGGTACAGATCCTCTTCGCTGAAACGCCATGCCGTAAGTTCAATAATGCAGATACCGGAGCACACTATGTAGCACGTGATACACTCCCCGGCCATAAGTCTCCGAGCATCCCTGTTTTACACCAAAACACCCCAACTTTACGCTATCGTAATAAATCGAGTAAAATAGATACAACTTAAGTACTTATAATACTTATAGTTGATTTACTGGAATATTAAAGTGGATTACTTAAAAACTTTGATATCTTAGAGATAAAGGTCGTAAATATTACTTTATTAAAGGTTAAATTTTCGCTTAAGATATCTATTTTTTTTTAAATCTATTAAATAAGGTTTTTTGTCTTATACGTATGTTACATGTTATTTAATATTGTATAACTTTATCACAACTTATACGGGGGTTTAAACATTTTTATAGCTTTATTAAGATTTTTAATTTTTAATTTTAAACTTTACTATTATATATATATTTCTTACTATTTTAATCGTTAAGAAAATAAATATTCAGAAATTAGTTAGTAAAAACTTCAGCATTTTCAAATATTAAATTCCTTATAATATCTCATTCTAAAAAGCTTTAGGTCTTTAGTTATAAAAGCGTAAAGGTAGGGCATTTTGGTGTAAATGCGGGTATGCTCGGAGACTTATGGCGGGTCAGTGTATCAGTAGAAGGGCGCGTTGCATATTGCACGTGTTCCGAGTTGTGTTCCAAGGACGACACATTGACTCTCCAAGATCATCCAAGTGCCTTCTCTCTCGGACCGCTGATCTTCTCGAAAGTATCCAAGGCCATGGTCATGGAATGTCGACCTGCCGTCTTGCTGCGAAGGACGTTGTCGTAGTCGAGCATCTCTGCAAGTGGCACCTGCGCTGTGATCTGGAGCATACGTAGACGCCCTTTACGCGTTTCTCGAAGGGTGGTTTGGAACTCGTAAGGATCAGGGGGAGCATAGATGTCCGCAATGTCGATGTCTCTGCCTTCCCTGGCCGAATCATCCTGCATGTCCCTCACTTCGAGGACATGACCGCCGCGAGCAGAATGCAAATCGTGTTGGACCGCCCCCGCCGCTGATTCGGGACAGATGATCGTGAGTTTCATGACCGGCTCGAGAAGAACGACGCCTCCTTGTTGGTAGGCCTCCTTTAAGGCTTCCCTGGCTGCCTTGTTTGCTGCGCCAGCGAGATGCGCGCCAGATGCTGGGCCGAAGTAGTCAGTTTCTGCATCTAAAGTGACAGTGACCAGGCACTGATGCATTGGAGAGCTGCGTCGTGGGCCCCTCGCGAGTGCTGCGACTATACCATTCGTGAGTTGATATCTGGCGGTCTCGACGTCGAAAGGGTGATTTTCTCCAGGAAAATCGACCTGGACTATGTTCCCGTCCCGTTCAAAGAAGGACTCTTGAAGAGTTTCCCGATGGTGTTGCTCTAGAGGCTCGACTACGACTGTGCAGGCTGCCATTCCAGCTTTGCCTGCCACGGTCTTGTCGAATACAGCTCGGTGAGACGTTGACGAAGTCAGGCTTTCCTTATAGTCAACGGCAATGTTACCCCACATGGCTTCGGCTTTGTAGTGGTTCTCCAAACGATCTCGTGCAACTTCCAGGTGAAGCGTGCCCATCCCCGATAAGGTGTACTGTTCCGTTTTCTCATCCTTGGACCACCGAAGACTGGGATCCTCACGGGATGCGTTCTCTAAGGCGGTTTCGAGAGCCTTGGCCCCAGTGGGACTGTAGGCGTCGAGTACAATGAAAGCCACTGCGGATGGAATCTCAGGTGGCCGTACCTGAACGCTTGAAAGTACTGCTGGCGGGGCTTTACCTGAAGCGAAGGTCATCAATGTGTCTCCTGTCCGGGCACCCTTGAGACCTGTAATGGCACCTATCTGGCCTGGCGATAGGTATGGAATCTCAACGGTCTGCGCTGCTGAGATCTGCATCATGTTGAGGGGCCTCTCAAACTGCTGCAGATTGGCATTCCATACCGATGTGTTCTTCTTGAGAACCCCCTCATACACACGCACCCATGTGAGCATACCTCGACGCGGGTCATTTACGACTTTAAAGACCGCCGCCAAAGATTCCACTTTGGGTATTTTCTGCTTCTTAGACGATCGTGGGCCTTGCAGCGCCTGACTCAACGGTTGGTGTGTTCGACCTACGCGTACCTCAAGTTCCGGGCGGTCGAGAGGGCTGGGCAGATACTCATTGACGGCGTTCAACAATGGCACAACCCCAATGTTTTTCAGGCTTGAACCCGCAAAGACGGGAATAAGTGAGCCCTCGCCGTCATTGATGACACGACGAATGCTTTCTTTGATAGATGAGCTTGAAAGATCCTTTCCGTGCTCTGTCCACAGCTCCAATAGCTCGTCATCCTTCTCGCAGAGTAGCTCAATCAGCTTCTCTCTCGCACGATCAAGCTCGTATCTGATTGTGCCCTCGATCACTTTGGCAGCCAGTTGCTCACTGGAATCATCGGTCCCAGCCCAGCTGACGACCTTGCCGGTAATGACATCGACTACACCCCTCACCGTATCCTTTCCCCACCAGGGGATTTGGCACACCAGGGGCATGCCGTTGAGCTTCAATCCGATGTCTTGGATAGACTTCTTGAAAGAAGCGCCTTCGCGGTCGAGTTTGTTGACGAAGATGATGCGTGGTATCTTGAACTCTTGGGCTGAAGACCATACTCTCTCAGTATGGGCTTCGACACCCTCAACTCCGTCAATGACGCAGACGGCCCCATCGAGGATAGGCATGCAGCGCTCGACCTCGAATCTGAAGTCGACATGGCCAGGCGTATCAATCAAGTTGATGGTGTGTTGTTGATCACCCGAACGCAGCTGGTCCTTCTTAGGCCAGGCGAATGTGATGGCTGCTGATTGGATTGTGATGCCTCTTTGCCTCTCCATAGGCAGGAAGTCGGTCACGGTATCGCCTTGATCAACATCTGGAATCGTGATCAGCGCAATGTCCTGGCAATTGTGCTCTTGTTGGTAGACTGAATTCCCACTTGAGAGCGAAAGAAGTAGATTCCAAATTATATACTTACTGCCTGCGTGCCTCAAAGACCCACTGTCGTAGAGCATCTGCTCAGTTGTTGTTGTCTTCCCCTAAAGATGTGTGAGTAGTGGAACCCACTTCAGCTTTGAAGAGGAACTCACTGCGTCAACATGGGCAACGATGCCAATGTTCCGGACATACTTGATACCGGCATCCTGCTGAGTGGAAGTTGAGGCTTGCCGGGCCAAACACCTCGCACAGTTCAGTCTCGAAGGGCCTGCTTTCGGTCTGGCCGCTCCCCATCGTCTGGGGAGAGCTCGGCACGCAGGTGCTAGCAAGCCCATCCCGCAGATCATATGTCGCAAGCTAAGGATTCTCTCATGACACCAACGCCAAACAGCACTTACTGAAGAATTGAGTCTGATCGGCTATGTTGGCGCTTAGGGTTTGACATTGAACGGTGGAAGGTAGGAGGTATTTCAACATCAAAAGTGAAGATGTGCCCAAGTGACTTCCTCACCATTGGCTGTTTGAGCCACAAGCAAGCGCACGGGCCAAGACGTTACTGGATGATCCGTGCCCCGCCGAATGAGGCTTGGGAGCTGAAGAAGGCACCTGCAGCCACAATCCGTCCAAAGGCCTCCTTGCGGGCTGCGGCGGAGGGCAACATCCACCATTATGAGCGATCGTCGGGTCGGTCGTCAGCTTGATCTATCTTCCAAAATTCTGCAGTCGTTGCCCGCGCAGTTCGTCTCCAACGGGCATAGAGAACATACAATAAAAATTGCTACGGGTTTCCGGATCATCGAATACAATAAGAGCCATAGCTCAATCCTCGACTCGCTTCCAAGATACACCTCGACTCCTCGTGTGCTTCCAACAAGCCACTCCCTTCCACCACTCTCTCCCTGGGTCCTCGACTGTACGATAACGACAATGGATTACCGCTCGTCGATCGGTGACGATGAGCACCCGGCTGGTCCGTCTCCTTGGGGATCATCTCCACCGGCCTCACCTCAGCGGAACGCCTCCAACTACACTTCGATAGGCAACCCGCAACCGTCTTCACCGTATCGTTATGGGGGTCAAGAGTACGCAAATGGATTCACGCGGGAAGACCCGGAAGCCAATGCCTTCAGACGGCCAGATACCGCTGGCAGCACGGCATCTACGACCGAGTACGAGACGTCACAGCAGTCAGACCCCTCGCAACAGGCCGGCTTCGGCGCCGAAGCAGAACAACAACGACAAGAATCGCAGGCGCAAGGAAATCAGCCCGGCAATGGCGCATCGGTGGAACAGAGACGGCGCGAGTCGCAGCAGCAGCGGAGACCCCCTGGTCCCCAATACAAGCTGCAAGCAAAAATCACTGGTCTAGAGCGGACAGGGCGGAAAGATCCCATCTTGCGATTTGATGTCCACGTAAGTTGGCTTGCGCGGTGCGAACTACATGCCCAATAATACTAATCAGGGGCGCAGACGAACATACCCAGGTTCCGAACCACCCAATTCCGCGATGTCCGCCGTCTACACTCAGAATTCGTCAAGCTCGCCGAACATCTGATATCTGCCAACCCTGACGCCTTGGTCCCGGCTGTACCGCCCGCGCTGACATCTGCCGGAGCCGGGACCGACGAGGACGAGACAAGAGTGAAGGCGCTTATGCAGAGATGGTTCAACTACGTTTGCAGCAACGAGACGCTCATGAGAGACGACGAGATGGTTTTATTTGTTGAGAGCGACTTCGGCTACAGCCCAATGGTCAAGCGGAAGCAACCTGCGACCGGTGTGCGAAGAAAGGTTCTGAAGCAGTTCGCGCCTCCGCCGGATGATACCCCTGAGCTATCCGATGCACGACCGATTGTGAAGCTGTTCTACTTGGGTTCGATGGATGCGGGACACAAGGTGGATCGGCTCGTCAAGTCTCGCAGAGGTAAGTTCACCCGTTCAATATTTATGAGGGCAAGAGCTGATAATGACAGGCTTGGGACTTGCGGAGTCTGACTTCGGTGTGAAACTCGGTGCGATGAGCGTACAGGAGCCGCATCAGGGGCTTGCAAGTGCCTACCGGAAGCTCGGAAAGGTTGTCCAGACCGTTGGTGACTGTCACGCGGCTCAGGCTACAGCTGAAGCCACGACCATCGGTGACCCGTTCCAGTACCACTCGTCAGATGCATTTATCGTCAAGGAGACCTTCACCAATCGCCAGCTCCTAACTCGCGAGTTCCTCCAAGCCCAGGAGATTACACGCAGCAGACTGAATGCCGCCGAGAGGCTGAAGGCCAGCTCGAATGTGCGACGGGAGAAGGTAGACGAGGCCATCACAGCCCTAGATGACGCGAGGAACAGCGAGCTTGAACTCATGCATAAGACAACACGAGTGACACAGCACCTTGTACAGGACCGACGCAAGTGGTTTGCGAGGACCGCGGCTGACCTTCGCTTGAGTATTCGCGAATTCGTTACGCGGGAGATCGAAGCTGAGAGACGCACACTGGCCCTGCTGGAAAGCGTGCGACCCGATATCAGAGCCATCGACGCCTCGGGCGGTCTGAGCCGCCTGGGCAGGGAAGCACACCCCGCAGCCCGTCGTGCGAGCGTCCCAGCAAGCCAAGGACCCAAAGGCGATGCATGGAGCGGTGTTCCCAGACGCACAGACAGCGTCAGCAGAAGCGTCTCGGGGAGCCTGATGCCCGACGTGGGCGAGGAGGACGAGGATGAGAGCGGTCAGGGTTCGGGGGCGAAGAACGTCGGTGGAAGTCGAGGGCTGCCTGGGCTCGCCGAGGAAGACGACGAGGACCGGGTGGACGCCCGGAATGCTGCGAGCCGATTGGCAACCAGCACCTTCTGAGAGGCGGCTCGCTCATAGGCGAGCCGGTACCTAATATAGGGCGCCTGAACTCTACTTCACACCGCAACGGGACTTGTGTCATATACCTTACCTAACTCTACTACTGTTGTATGCACGTATCATGACCATCCTCTACATTACAGTATGCTCCCGCTTCTATACCTGGTCTGTAGCCCGCGGGACCTCCATCTCTTGCGGTAACGCGCGTAGTTGTTCCACCGTGCTCCGACGTTATGTTCCATTGAGCTTTGCCCGGAGCGCCTAGTACGGTGATAGTTAGTGGCACGCAGAGCCCGCAGCCCAGTCATGTGCGACGATACGGACCACGGTAGGCTCCCTGCCTGCCCATCTACGCCGGTTTGGCTACGTTACCGGCCGCTTCTTTCGCGGGGTCAAAGATACGCACTTACATCTGTCATGACTGATACATAATGCATGTGGCAATCTAGATGACACAGTTCGCCCAGTTTGTATTACGTGTGTGCGTTTGTAGCCTTCACACCGCCCAGTCGCACAAGGAACCTTGGACACGGCACGTTCGGTTCGGGGCCGCATCTTCAACCCGCACGGGACGGAGGAATATCCGAACGGGGATATTTGAGTAGTCAGTCTATAGGACAGTTTGATAGAAACACGCTCGCCTCCCTTAGTATGGTTGGCTGAGAGGAAATCCTCCATCCACCGATATGGTTGCCTGATTCTGCAACCCCATAGGTCTGTATACGTGCGTTTCGTGTGAGCCCACAGCTACATTACCAGGTATGTAGGTAGGTAGGTTTGTATGTACGTGACGGCGGCACATACGTACGGGACTTTCTGCAATGGCGCCAGCCTTCAGCTGCTTCAGGCAGACCGTGCGCGCGTACATATGCTGTCCATGCCATGCAATGCAGCTGGGCTCGTCCACAGCACATGCATATCACCACTTTCTCTTGCTTGTTCGCTCCTCAATCACCATTTTTTTTTGGATGACTGATATCACTCTTTGAGGAAACACCCAAAACGCACGATTCAGATAAAAAATCATCAAGGCGATCCCTGGGCGGTGGTAGATCGCGATCGGTCTCTGGTCATCTCCAGGGTCGTCGCTGAATCTGGCCCATGGTCATCGATAGAGCAGATCCGGTGGACCTCGTTCGTGAAAGAAGCCATCAACCAAACCTCGGCTTGGTATACTTCACTCTGACAAGCCTTCGCTTCCATCGGTTGATGACGGAGCCAGGCTTTCTCTCCGTCAGAAGCACGCTATGATGGCGACCTCAGAGAGTGGGAGAGAGCAGCTCCGAATTCGATCGTACAGTATTGCTGCAACGTGACCCAGGCATCGCCAGTCTGCAGGCGGAGTCCTCGGCCATCCCTTGGCGCATGCATTTCATTCATATAAGCCCGGTAGTTTTTGCATCTCGCTTGCCTTATCTATTGGCTCTGCCGTGCGGCCGTCCAAAGTCGGTTACATCCCCGTCACAGGATACCGGTATGGGGAATTGTGGCGTTGTTCGTGCCGCCCTTACTTGCCCGTGACAAAGAACATTATAACTGCCGTCCTCCTTGGGATTATAGTCTGGGGTGCTTTTAGCCGCAATGTGATGTTTTGCCGCACAAGAACGCCCCACCAGCAGCTATCGCAGCGCCCATGCCCACTGCTTTGCTAAAGTCTCTGCAAAACGATTATGTAGGTTGACCGAGATAGGTGGCGATGGGTCTAGCATGGGTGTATCTCGTACTTTGCAGTGGCAAGAGCGGTATAGACCCTGAGGTGCAGATGTCCTGTGGACTACGGACACGCGGTTATTGTGGGTTTTGGTGCGATGTTGAGCTTCATGCTCGGTGCTCAGCATCGATTCAGCATGGTGGGCAGGAACTTACCATGGGTATGGACCTCTGTTCCAAGAACAATGAGAGATTGGTGCGTTGCCGGCATGTGCAAGCTGATGGCAGCTCGAGTCGCAGGAAACGACCCTCCGTATTAGCTCCCGGTGTGAGACAGCCATAGGCGACTACCATTGTGCCACCTTGGGGAGCTCTCCAACTCTGTGAGGGTGAAGGCCGGCCTCGTAGCTTGCGAAATTGTCGCTGATGGAGGGTGGCATGCGATGGTGTGTCCACAGAGGCCACAATGCACCGTCACAAGGTACCATTGGTGGATATGGTACAATTTCTACCGGTGAAGTCGAGCCACTATGATAATCGCGGCCAAGACTGCCCCGTAGATTTGGAAACTCAGGGCGATATTGCTCCCAAGTTGTGTCGCTATGTGGACGGCAGGAAGCACCACCGCCTGTCTGTAAATAGGGGGATGTAGAGATGCAACGGCAGATCGTGAGTCGCATGCGGCCTAGACCGACGTCGGGCCACGCGCCTATGCAACCTTGAAGTATCGATGGTCCCCAACTTCTCCAATTTAGACAGCAGTACCCCTCATTATACTATTTGGAGCACCACAGACTCGGCAGGCATTTCATCATCGAGCGTGCTTCTGCAGAGGTTTTGGTGACCACTGTAGTCCACAAGGAGTCGTTTTCCGATTTCCCTGGTGACTGACGATCCTTGACAGGCGGGTAGCTCCCGTCGCTGTAATGCGTAGATCTGCGAGATGAACTCCTCCTAGCGGCCAGGTGATCATTGCTTGAATTTAGGGAGGCGGGTGACAACTCCGAATGAATCGACGTGGACTCGATCCATATGATAAGGCCTCCCTTGAAAACGCGAATATCGCGTCAGCTCTCGCTCGTTGGTGGCTTGGCAACTTCATTCCCCTGTCTCTTGTAGTGATACTGGCGAGACATTGTACAGAGTATTATTGGTGGTACGTTGGTCCTCAGGAAGACTATGGCATCTAGTGTGCCATTGACCATGGTGGAGCTCTGCAGGAAACTGGGGAAGAGACGACGTGCATGCAGTATCACAAGCATCGTCCTGCAGGTTTTGCCGCGATCCTGTCTTCAAGGCGCTGGCCTCGAGTGTTCATCACTGATGAGCTCGTTCCGCAATCAGAGTATCTTTCCTTGGTAACTCGGCTACCGTGAATATGATAGCGCCGTGATTGAGGTGACCCAACGTCGCAGCATATTCTACACCGAAGCTGATAATGTTGCTCCTTTTGGGGCAGCCTGCGACCTTCAACATCGATATTGATACTTGATCTGTCCAGAGGCGGATGCACTGTCCGACACGGACTGACAAGCGGTGACACCCATGTTGGCGTTTCTGGTCTCACACCCTCTTGGCTGGCAAGATTGACTGAGGTGATCATTAGCGAGCAACTTCACCCATCTAGATCCATGGAACATAGTCCATGACATCGTGCCGAATGACAGGGGAGGGGTCCCTCGTCCTAGCTTCCCCTGTTGCCATGTGCGCAAGTGTCTCGCTCCAAGGCCGGGAATGCGGCATCTTGGCGTTGAAGACGCATATGATACGGTACGTAGGCTGTCTCCTCCACGTTCAATCGAGACGGTAGCTTGCTTCTCTCGACCTGTGGTCCCTGAGCATGCCCAAAGAGGCTCTGGCCATAACGTCGCTCTGCTGCCTAGTCGGCCAGGAGAGAATGTAAGTATTTGACTGCACATGACGATGAGTTGGTCGAGCTGGGAAGAAGTAATACCCGAAAGGCAAAAGGTTCCTAGCCTTACCCAGCCACTTACGCAATACTGACCGAGACCAATAATGCGTGATGAAGGCCAGGCTCAGGCTGCAAATGGTGCTGACCAGTGACCACTCAAGCTCTGCATTAAGCCGTCCCACGGCTGTTCGATGGACGTATGGTCGAATGGAGTGTGGACATGCATGCAGCGTGCATTGACGCGAGCTGTGCAGGCTCTTCAGATGTCAAATCTGTCCCGCGATGGAACCGGTCTCCCAGTGTGGCGGCCTGGTAACGTGTCAGGGGATTTCATGTTGCTTCTGCGGTAGGAAGTACGGGATTCTCAGAATCTGAGTAGGTGAAGTACATGTATGCGGAGGGTGGGGGATCACAGCTCATGCCGTAAAGAGCACGACCACCCCAGAGATGATCGTTTGTCAGTGACGATCGTCTCTTGAAGTAGGGTGATTCCTTTCTTCAATGTTCGTACCACTCATCTATCTGAACCATTGAGGAGGACGGCGGAACAGGTCCCGTTCTTGCCTTATAATTGAGAAGCCCTGTAAGAGATATACCCCGTTACAGAGTAATGGATCCACCTTGGGTATGCAAGAAGTGAAGGAAGGAGGTCGTCCCGTTGCATCGCCAGTGGGGCGGGCTGTAGATCTAGCCCTCCTCTCTTCAGTTCCGCTTCTTCGGCCACTTTGATGAGTCTCTGCCAATTGCATCTCAACCTTGCAGTCGCAGTATAGCCCTTGTCCCGCCACGGAGGAGGCCACTTGAGACGACATGGCAGCTGTGTTGCGGGTGCTCGCCCGTTCTCACAGTGCAAGAGATGCTGCTCGACTTCTCCCTACCGCCATACAGTATCGTACCCCAGCTGGACTGCCAGAGTGATATTATTTGGTACATTTATGTTCCTCCATAGGCTACAGGGGATGCACATCCCCAACGGCATTTTCCAGGCAATATCGCCTCTTGCAGCACCGGCCTTGTGCCGTACAGTATCTGCATCACACAAGGTGACGGCACGACGGCTGATCTACCAGCATGGAGATACACCGAGGTGACCTTGACTACGACTGCAAAGCACACAGCATATCCGGCGCGAAATCCAGGATCTTGCTGCACCTCTGTAAGGTCGCATCGTGGTCAACGCCTTGCATACGAATCCCGAAATTGTCAAGTGCCTGCTGGCTTCTCAAGATAACTCGTTGATACATGACTGGACCTGATAGACTCACACACTGCTTTGCCAGGTTTGCGAATCCTTGGTTCTGCTCCGTTTCCTAGCACTTCCCTGACAGTGACAATCGATGATTTCACTTACTGACATGTGTGTAGTACATGATGCCTCTGGTCTATGGTCTCAGTACAAAAGGGAGTGAGGGTTCCAAGCTCTGCGGATTCTACTCTTCTAATATTCTATCGGAACTTGCTTTCATCCCAGCCCTATGTGGCATTCTTCTTTGAATACCACCGGAGCCGAGCTACTTGTTAAGAAAGATAGCTTCTTATTACCTTCCTCCTTCGTCGCATAAGCCTTCTACTCTCGGATTCAAGCACCCCTTTCTTGAACTCTAGTCTCATCCACACTACATCCCACACCATCCCACGCCCGGGTCGTCATTTGCCCCTATCATGGCGCCCTCCGCAGCAGCTGAGGTCGCGCCAATGCAGCTACCCGTCTACTCGAAGGGCTTGAGCAGCATCAGTGCTTCTGTCTTGCATGGGCCACGAGATTTGCGATTGGTGAGCTCCAGTCCGGTCATCATCTTACTGTTACACAAGATTGGGGGCCCTTCAGGCTTCGCTAATCTGCTTCGGGGAATTAATTAATTGACCTTATCTCAACAGGAGGTGAAAAGCATTGCAGAGCCCACCGTTGGCGAACTCCAAATCTCTGTCAAGTCAACAGGGATATGTGGCTCAGACGTCTCTTACTACAACAAGTTTGCCAATGGAGACCTCTGTGCCTGCAGCCCCCTATCACTGGGCCATGAGTCGTCGGGTACGGTGGTGGCCATTGGCCCCCAAGTGAACGGGTTCAAACTTGGCGATCGAGTCGCCCTCGAAGTCGGCATCCCTTGTGGCCAGTGTGGTATTTGCAGGAAGGGCAGGTATAACCTGTGCAAGAAGATGCGGTTCAGGAGTAGCGCCAAGAGCTTTCCTCACTTCCAGGGTACTCTACAGGAGAGGATCAACCATCCAGCTGCATGGTGTCACAAGTACGTCTTCCCTTGGATTGCATTTTTATAGTACTCAGTCATGATGTACTGACACGCCCTGTAGGCTTCCCGATCATGTCTCTTTCGAAGCTGCAGCGCTCCTCGAACCTTTGTCGGTTGCCATTCATGCCGTGAATCGAGCTAGTCCTACTCCAGGCTCGACGGCTCTCGTGATGGGTGCCGGGGCCGTCGGTCTCTTGACCGCTGCCATGGCACGCCAGGCAGGATGCACCTCGGTCACGATTACGGATATCGATGCCGGCCGAGTTGACTATGCGGTCCAGCGAGGTTTTGCCACTCACGGATTCGTGGTGCCTCGTTCTCTACGCAATTCATCCAGCAGCTCCGGTTCCTCCACACCTCTCGAGCCTGGCGCGATGACACCCTCGAGTGTATTTTCAGACTCGATCCACGGTCAGCTCGAAGGCGCCAAGGGTCTAGCTTCAGACATACTCTCCATCACCCAGCCGCTGCCGCAGTTCCAAAACGAGGATGAAGATGAAGGCGTCGACATAAGCTTCGAGTGCACTGGCAAGGAAGTATGCATGCACACATGCCTCTACGCCACCCGGCCAGGTGGCAAGGTCATCATGGTGGGCATGGGGACCCCTATTCAGACTCTGCCCATTTCGGTTGCGCACCTGCGAGAAGTCGACATCCTCGGCATCTTCCGGTATGCAAACACATACGCGACCGGCATCCGCTTACTCTGTGCCCGGGAGTACGGAGGTGCCGTGCTAGTGCTACCCAGCCTCGATGACATGGTGACTCATCGCTTCAAGGGGCTCGGAGCTGCAAAGCGCGCCTTCGAGATGGCGGGCCGCACTGTGGACGATGATGGCAACCTCGTGCTCAAGGTCGTCATCGAAGCTTAGGCGCTGACATCGCCTGACCCCCATTGCGACTGAGCACCATTATGCAACCCTACAAGCACAACTCCATATGGGCCACGATTTTGACTGCAGGGCTACATGGCGAAAGGATATGCTGGGCAAAAATAGGACTTCGCAGGATAGCTTACGCCTGGTAATGAAAAGGAGAACATGAGTCTTCCGGGTAGGAAGGTGGTAGGGGCTTTTGACGTCGACCCATCAGCTGGGCCTTGACTTTCTGGGCGGTGGTTGCTCTTCTTTGAGACTCAAGATTCCGTACGGTATCAGAGTACTAGACTGGGATCATTGGGAGGTGGGCGGACGATTTTTGTCACTTGCTTTGGGAGGTTCGATCGACAAGGTATGAAGATCATGATTACATTTCACTGGGGTTTCGGGTAGTGGGTTGGCTTTCTGGTTCAACTTTACTTTGATCTGCTGTCTCTCCTTCAACGTGACAACATGCCTTGTGTCACGCGCATACTATCATGGCAATTCAAGACTTCAGAAACACATATAGTCCTGAATTGTGAAAATTGTTCATCGTCTCATAATCGTCTGTCTGTGATTATTAATCTATTGTGATCCTGATAACACACAAGTGTTTTGAGGCCAAATCTCGTCTCTGCGGAGTTTTAGCCTCCAGTGTTTGCCCAGGCAGCTTCAAAAGCCGCATACGAACGCCTCCTTCGCCATGCAAATGCAAGATACCATGCCAGTAAGCATCACGTCTCTGAATCACGTCTTACGGAGGGCAAGAGCCTCCTAGACTGTCAGGTCTCCGGCAAGAAAGTAACTCGAGTTGTCCGCGATCTTCTTGCTCTGAGTCTTGGCGCCTTCCACGATGCCAAACTTCCTGCCGATGCTTCTTGCCTCTGTGACACTCTGCATCACGTCATTCATCAACTCCATCAGGTGTACATCGTTGGCTTCGCTAAGCATCTCCTGTTCGTATGCCTCAGCAGCTGACGGGACCATGAGTGACAATCGGTTGACGAGGGCTTGAATCGAACGGAGGATCGTGTATGAAGGTGTGGTGTGCTCGCTGTCAGAGCCAGGAGCTGCAGCATGGCCTCCGGACAGGTAAGAGGGAGGGAGGCGTTCGAGGTACGTGGTCAGCAGGTTAATACGTGACTGCAGCATCTTGATGGAGTTCGCCTTGGCTGTGAGTGCCCCAATCATCTCCTCATCCTCTCTGGACAAGATGTGCTCCTCAGCTTCAGCTTCCTTGTCGTCTTCATCCTTGCCAGTCATCGGCTGTTTGCCTTTAGGGTTTTTCCCAGCAGCAGCCGCAGCAGCCTTCTTTTGGTCCCTAGGCGCCACTGCAGTGGCATTGCCGGCTCCTCGCGCGACAAAGTCCATACTGATCATCTCCGCTTCACCGGTCTCCACTGAGTACGGTAACTCGCGGAACTTCAACTTGAGCGGTGGTTCCCCATCTCGCATCTCCTTGTCTTCTCCTTGGTCGGTCTTTGGCTCGTCCACCTCATAGTTCGATTCGTAGATGGTCAAAGGCAGTCTGCTGCCTGCAGAGTGATCGACTGCTTCCTCTGGGTGGAAACCAAGCAAGAGTGACGACTCATTGTGTTCGGACAGGATCCAGCTGTGGATAGGGAGGATGGATGCTGTCGGGCCGCTCTTTGGAAGTAATGTGTACCAGCCAACAAGGTCGAGTTGGGGCGAGCTGTGGATGATTTTCACTGCAGGTCCTTTGTTAGCTACACGTAGCTGTATACTCTGGCTCCCAAGCAACACTGAGGTTCACGTACTTTGTGTTATGCGCTGGGCAAACCAGTCAGCATCAAGGTGGACATCTCCATCTTTGGCCATAGTAGCACACTCAAATGCATGCTCTATTGTGACCTCTCGCCCATTCTGCTGTCCTATCAATGCACCAACAATCGGGCCGGGCTGCTTTCTGAGCGTGTGTCGTGTGATGTAATCGGAGATGGTGAGGAGGACAAGGGGGTGAAGGACGGCCTGCAGTCCTGAGTCTGAGGACTTCTGTGACGACAGAAGCGGGTTGTGGTCTGCCGACTCCATCTTTCCTGGTGGTGAACAGCAGAGCCAGGAGTTTGTGGAGTGGCAAGCTTGTCGAGCTGTTGGATGTGGTTGTTTGTGGTGTCTTTTGGAGATACCACAAGGCTGCAGCTGTAGGTAGCTTCTGGTGGCAGCATTGAGGTGCGTTGGTGGGTCAATGTCTGGTGCCACATGAGCCCCTCGTGTGGCTGATGCTTGCTGTGCTGCACTGTGGCTGCCCCTGGCATTTCATCGGTGCGTGCTCATGTCCTTCCTTGCAACATGAACTTCACAGGTCTTGTCCTTCTCCTTGTCCCAAAATTGTGCTTAACGGACAGCTCATCTACTTACTGTTGATGATACCAGTATCAATCCTTCTGAGCCAGGAATCGTCAAATGGGCCAACCGTACTATCGGCATGCTATCACATCACCCGGTGTCAAACCACTTCCCCTTTTCTGGCAATATCAGAGGCCGGCACATACACAGCCCTTGACTGGCGGCCGAAAAGCTTCACCAGTATGCTCTCCTTCTCCTTATAGCCCTCTTGGCTATATGTGTGAGTTTGAAACCCCGTGCTGATCACAAGGCTCGTGCAAGCCTGTGCAAGTGCTGCAACCCGTCATTGTCTGGGCTGTCTTTGGTTACACCCCTGAACCCCTAACGCTTCGACCCCAGTTGATTATGTCTCTTTGCTTCTACCTTCATAGTCAGGCTCATCAAGGCCCCGTGTCGGTGAAAGAGGCACTCTGCCAATCTAAGCTGTTCAATCATGTGGCGTCTTTCAGGTTCTGGGCTATTCATGTCTTAGGCACTCTCGCGCTACACTCATCTTCATATCAAGTGATACCTCAGCAGATACAAATAGCCTCAGACGTTGGCCTGCTACGGTCCCGGTTAGCCTGTATTCCCGAATATTGGAGATCGTTCATGCGAAGCTTCTTGCTGTATCAATCAAGTCTTGTGTGTTCGAAAGGTAGCAATGTCAGCAGGCCTTCCTCCGCAGAGCCAACACGAGGCACAACTCCCTCCTGCACGTATTGCAGCTCCTACTTCTGCACACGGGGCCATCGGCACTCATCCTACCTTGGACACATCTTCAAATGTCGTCACGCCATCCAAGAGACCATCCCAGAGGTCGGATGACGATATTCAGTTCATCTCCTGCAAACCTGTCAAGAGGCGCAGAATCAGCGAGCAGAAGCCCAAGCCCATGACTCAACAACTGAGGTTCATTCCTCCTGCCCCTGTTGCAACTGTTACAACTGTTGCCCCTGTCACACCAACGCCTGCGCCATGCAACGACTCCAGAGAGTCAGAACGACGAGTGAGTACTGGAATGGTTGGTCTACCCTCGGGTGTCAATGCAATGGAACTCACATGCGCCTTGAGAGGAGTGTCTCTGCCGGTATTGGAAAAGTTCGTACTCGATCAACCGTTTCGGAAGCCGAGACCAATGAGTCCTCCAGAGCTCTCGCCCAAGTCATTACCACAGACGATATCTCCCGCATTATTGAGCTTCCATGCCAACCAACACGCACCAAATCCATTTGGTTTTCCAGCAGTGGCCAGTCATTCTATGTCCTACATGGCACCCAGTCAGAATCCTGCCGAACAGATGGTACATACACACTGTCCATCAAGCACTGCTGCGGGGTTGGATCAAATCCATGTACTCAACACGCCAATTAATCCGACAAAATCATCGGTTCGTGGATCTATGGAGACTTCCCAATCTATCAATACGAAAAGTACAGCTATGCCTCCTCCTCCTACGCCTACTCCCGATGCTTCTTCAGCTCCTGACTCTGCACGGCACAGTTCAGCTCACCCAGAGCATGACCCGCACCATCTCTCACGGGCCAGCACATCGAAGCAGCCGTGCCAAATCTGCATAAGATTACGACAGCAGGCTCAGTTCGCAAGATCCCAGGGACTTCCTGTCATGAACCCTAATATGCCTCATCATCATATGATGGGACAAATGCCGCAAATGCCGTGTCATCAGTCATACGGCCAGCATCTCCATCCTCAGATGATGGCCATGGCTGCGAATAACATGCACCCATATAATCCAGGCTTCTCTCCCTTCATGATGCCGATCAATGGCAACCCGTTTGCTACGCTACCATCTCCTATGCAGGCTCCGGTGCAGGTGCAACAAGCACAACAAGGGGGTGGGCATCAGAACCCGGGACCAAGTGCTCAACCAGCACCCAGAAAGACCGATGATTCAGCTCATGACCCAAAGAATTCGCCAAAAAACAGCCCTGCGGAATCCGGAGCGCCCTCGAGTCCTGTGAAGCCCCCCTCCAGTCTCATCCAACCCACATATCGGAAGCACTCCCCCAACCTGATTGTTGACGTCGCGGAAACCTGTCAGGAGAAGTTCCCCTTCAAGGAAGTCGCCGAGCGCCACGACACTTCGGTGGAGAAGGTATTTGACGTCTTTGCCGCCATCATAAAGGTTCCTCTCCTGCGGTGCCCTACTGATCGACGTAGGCCTGGAAAGCTAGCAACGACACGGGTCAAGGAGTACACGAAGGCGAAGAAAGACCTCCAGGAGTCTCGAGCTCAGGTCGCACCTGGTGCTAAGCAAGATTATTACGTGACCCCGTCGACGATTGCGCAAAGTCTGGGTCGTGTGGAGTTTCCCGAGGGTTTCAAATTCGGACAATGGTGATATTCAGAAAGACTACCTTACTACAAACTGCAGGTTTCATTTGGTCATTTGGTCGGAAGCAAGGGAAGTCAATGTTCTTACAGCAATGAGTGTACTATCTTTCATTCAATGTTCGACGATATACTTCTCTTGACTCTGCAAAGGAGCGGCTGCTTACCGTCAACTTTGTCATACTTCGTAGCCAATCTCAGCCACACGTCTGAATCTTCAATCGCCTCTTCTTCGTCGACGCCGGTGTAGGAGCACGTCGGCTGCCTGCGCCCCTTTAATGTCTTTGGAACATATGGGCGTACCGTCCGTAGGCTGTCTGCCGACTCGTAGCCCAACTCGGACTCACCGTACTGCGAGGCGGCCTCGGATTCCTCCTCCTCCCCATATTCTCCCTCATGATCCCCCTCTTTCCACCACCCGAAGCCCGGTTCTCACTCTTACCCGCAAGATGGCCCTCCAAGCGGCGCAAGCGCTCCGTATACCGCGCCGGCAAAGGCTTTGGCGTACGCGACACCACCGTCGGGATGCGCGCCAGGTGCCCATCGATCAGCAGCGTCCGGACCTCCATCCACACGCACTTCCCATCTCCCCAGCGACACTCGCCGCTGTACCCCGGGAACTCGACCTCGAGCGCAGATCGGCTCCGGCCATAATCCCTCGCGGCGCCGATCTCCCGGTTCGAGCGCGCGCGCAGCGCGTTCATCCGCTCAACGCACTTCTGAACCTCGTCGACGCGGCCCTGGCGGTCGTTGTTGTACAGCTGCGCCATGAGCTCGTGGTGCCGCCTGTCGTGCTTCTTTTTGATCAGGCGCGTTTGGTGCTCGGGATCGCAGGCTGCGCATGTGTCGGCGAGGTGGTGAAGCGGGCCTTTGGGAACGGCGCATTCGCCGCGCGAGCAGCGCGTGGTGTAGTGCGTGAGGATGTGGCCGCAGGACATCTCGGTTTGGGTGCCTTCGCACATTATTGCTGTCTTTGAATGTAGTGTTTGGTGGGAATGAGTCTAGTATAGATAGATAGAGGTGAGAATATTTGACAGAAATTTTCAGAAGTATCTTGCAGGTTCGGAAGATCAGAGGTCTATGCCTCAGTTACAACGACATCTACTTAAATGAGGGGTTGAAGAAAGGGATTGTTTGAGAGTAAAGAAATCTTCATAGCAGAAAGAGACGTGCCTATGCTCCTTTCAGCGTAGTCTTCTATGAATGGATTATGTCAACTGTTCTTTGTTGAGCTGTGGACAATCGTACCCGGTTCTCAATGGTCTTCGACTGACCTTTCTTGTTCTAGTGCGCAGAGGTCAGCCTTCCCCTGAGTAAAATTTGATAGTAGTGTAAAAGCCAGAAGAAAGATGCACGTCCCCTATCCCAAAGGGTCATTCCGACTAAGCACAACTCGTCGTTTGTGGATGACTGGAGGGCCTCTGACCTCAAGATGGCCTACGCTGGTGCTGGGGTTGGGGCAGATAGAGTAAACCCCTTGAACAATTTTGTCAAGGGATGCTTGATGGATTACAGTTGATGATAAGTAGAACTAGGCTCACCATCTCCTCAAGATGCCTACAAAACCAAGAAGGAACTGGTATAATAAATATCTCGGCTAAATCATCGCAGACTATTCTCGAGCGCGAGATCAACATTCCCGATCGCACCATTTACGACCATATTCGCTGTCCGGATACGCTCATCAACTCGGCAAGTCAAAGAGTTCTAATACTCAACGCTATTTGCCATATTGGCACGCAGGTACCTATAAAAAAGGAATAGACATAGAGAAGTGAAAGACTAAAAGAAAAAGGATTGGTGTTGGCCATCGACGGAATCGAACCCCCAGGCTAAGGATACCTCGTAAAGATACTTGTAAGATAACTCGCTAGGCCGTACCAACACAGCTAATAGAGAAACATTATATTGTGAGTTATATACCTTAAGACACCTGGCTGGGTGTAAGAGTGGAGGCTGGGTACAACGAGGATTCCCGTGGTGTACTCTGGTGAAACCTTGTTTAACCTTTTGGGCATTGACCATACAACAATGGCAACAGCCAGCCGGGTGCCTAATCGAGAACGGATTTTCGATAAGACCAACCTTAGCTGTCAACCTTGATACTTCAGCTCGTTTCCCCTGAGTACTCGTTGTGGCGCCATCGCGTCACGTCATTGCTGATCGATCTGCTTATTCCTCTGCGAGCCAGACTACCCCTATAATTGAAGAGATCATGCTGAATGTCCATCCTGATAGCCTCTGAAGTACCTTTTGCAGCTGCTAGGGGAATCGAACCGCTGTGCCTAGGAATACCTTGTAAGAATACTTTGTAGGAATATTCCGCTAGGCCGTACCAACCCGGCTACCAAATTTACATTATAAATTTGACTATATAACTTACGCGGCTATGGACGTGTGCAAAAGGAACGGGCGGACACGGGCAAAAAGTGCGTAAGGTGGCTGAACTCTATACGAAAAGGGGAAAGGGGCGAGGTCGGGTGGGGATGGCCCAAAAGACAAAAAGAATGTCAACCGCTAGAGGAATCGAACCGCTGTGCCTAAGGATGTAGAATAAGAATACTCCGCTAGGCCGTACCAACCCGGCTACCAGACTGACCTCCTAAACTTGTATATATATCCTGTACCGTTGTAGGTGGAACAGGGAGCTAGGCTATAAGCTTTGCAGTCTGGCTGCTTGGAAAACTTTGCCTAGAGTGAGGCTTGCCATGTGACTTGATTCGTAGATTTATGAATGAATGAATGGATGGATGAATGGATGAATGATGGATGGTACAGGTCGTCGATGTTGGCCTATCATGCTCCTTAAGCGACGTCGCCTCCTGAAAGGGGCCACACATGACTTGGCTACAGTGTAGAAGCCTGACAATGTAAAAAGTACAGGGGCATTGGTGCTTCTCCATCTGTAAACGGACTTCGGCTCCTATGAGTAGTTCGACATCACATGACGGTGGTTGTGTCCCTATCTCGGACATTGTGGGTGGGCGAGGGCTGAATTGGCTCCCGGGATAGGAGGCAATGGAATAGAGGCCGATGCTATCTTGAGGAGCTGGCTTAAAGAACGGTTTAAAAAGGGATATATTGACCACCATGCCATACTCGTGAAAAGGGTCTGAAATACATACATACCAGTTATGTATGTAGATGGGGAGCAGCTGCATTAGGTACTTACCTCTAGATGATCGTCTTGGGCCCAAGTTGCTCTCTCACGCTTTCCCTTTGCCAAGAAGACCAATGGAAGTAGGCTTCGAAGCGTGCCTACCACCTCGACGCTACTTCCATGTTGCTTTGCCTTCCTGCTTCGCTATCGCACTCAGTGCTCTGTCTTCCTTCCGAGGTTCTCAAGCAGAACGGTGCCTTCCTCGACCTTTATGTCCCCATCAAGCGACAGGTCAAGTACTGAACATCCATCTCGTCTGCCAAATCTCCTACCTAGCAGAAAACCTTCAGACCAACCACGCCGTGGCCTGTTTCTACAACGAGTCCATCATTCTCAGATATCACTTGATCACACTTACACGATTATTCCTTAGCCAACACTTGCATTAAGCCAACACTTGCATGGCAGACGCCACTATGGCAGCTGTTTGCGCTGCTGGAGCCGGCGTGCCTGGGACCCGGGGTCAAGCGGGCGGCCCCAAAGGAGGAGGGGGAGGGGGACCACCCGGCTTCTTCAGCTCACTCGGAGACGTACTCGCCAACCACCACATCTCCAACTTCTTGTACGGCTCAATACCTGCCCGTCGCCAATCTGCCCCGATCCACCACCGCAAGAAACGCCACGGGTACACGCGCCCCATGTCCAGAGACTACCGCGAGTACCTCGCCGATACCTAGAAGGAACTCGTGACGAGCGCCCCGGAGCAGGACGCCAGCCCCGAGGAGGTGCACGCCTGGATGTTGAAGGTGTTCGCTCGCCGCTCGCACCCGCACCCCGAACAGGCTCTCGAGGACACCAACTGGTCTGGCCGCGACCTGCACCGATCCACGTATCTTGCGACCCGACGACGCTTTCAGCTTGAACCGGATGGCTACACTATTGCACACGACCTGTGCGATGCTCTCAGGGTATGATCCTACCTAGCCGTTCCGGTGCTGCCATATACTTAGCTTAACTGTGGCGTCCCTGCTAGCAATCGCGTGTGATGCGCCGTCGGGAGCATGCGATATCCCGCCGCGCGTCTGCGTCTGGACTGGAGCAATCTGGGGAAGTGCGGTTGTTACCCGACACTATGGGACCTGAGCATGACGAACGCCGTGAGCGTCATGAACGTCGTGAGCGGCATGCACGTCGTGAGCGTCATGAGCGTCGCCGTCGCGAACGTGCCGAACGTCTTGCACGTCTCGAGCATCCTGAGCGCCCCATGATCGAAGAACCACCAAGAAACGCAGAGGGTCTGCCCATCAACACACTTACCAACCTAAAAGAGGCCGTGCTGGGTGCCGCACGAGCGGCGTAATCTGGTCTGCCTCCAGCTCGCAAGACCATGCAAGGGATCGAACACAAGGTTGCTATGAAGGCGCGAGGATGGGAACGGGTTGAGTAGGGTAGACAGACATACAAATTGTGTCAACCGGAAAGTATTGATAGTGCGGAATAACATTAATGTTCCCCCAACAATTCCATCTACCAGCGGCGGCTGTATTGCATGTGAAGGTGGAAGTAGGACGACGACTGAACGAGAGCCCGGAGCCCGGAGCCTGTGACCATGACCTTCCTATTCTATATATGGCATCCTACCTCGTGCAGCCGAACCAAGTTTCCACGGTGCCACCCAGCCTGTGCTTGTAGCAAGATTGAGTTGCATACATAATCGTTACCAAGTCCTTTGTCATCGCATCTGGCAGGGACGGGTTCAGACCTCCATGGTGCCGATCCTTCAGCTGGCCGCCCTATTCAAGGCTCAGCCGGTAGATACCCGACGTGCCCGACACGCCCGAGTCCGGCGGAGTGCAGCGGCTTGCAATGAAGGAATGATCTTAGACAAGGATTGTGGGTAGTCCCACTTGCGACACGACAGTGACAACACCCCTCGAGAGACAGTCTGGCGGTGGGGGGGTGAAAGTGGTGAGATAGATGGATCGGCGCTTCTCAAGTGAGATATTGCTGCTCTAGCGTAGACACGCTGTGTTCGTTCTGAGAAGGTGGACTTGATGGTCTATTGCTGTGCTAGTCAGGAGGGAGTGCCTACAGAGGTCGGAGCCACCATAGAACGGAGCGTTGCGCGCAGTTTGGAGAGTGAGTATTGGTGGCTGCCCCTATTTAGTTTCGACAGCTCAATGTGTCCCTAAGCATTAATTCGGTGCGTCATGGCATCGCCCGTGTCATGTTGGTTCATTGGATACATAAAGTATGGACAGACGGAGAAGCGAGTATACATTTTATTGCGTGAAGCTCATCCTATGGCCATATCATGTAGATTGATAGTGTTAGTTGTTGTTGACGATTTGGTGCAAGCGACTGCCCGGCCACAGCAAATATCGCGGTGCCGGGTGTCAGTAGCATACTATAAAGCTAGTCAAACGATGGAGAAAGGGCAGCTAGAGGGCACAATGCGAGATTGAAGTGGTATGAATCAGTTCATTAAGGTTAAACAGATATATGAATTCGCCAGATAATTGAGACTGTGAGTCGAGCGACCGTTTACGCCCCTGAGGCGCTCTTGATCCGTCCATCCCGAAGCTAACCCGTCCCAACTATCCCGAAGAAACCAATTCCGCCTATTTCAAGCCCAAGTGATGATGATGATAACGTCCAAACTGAAGTGTCGATGTTGTCCAACTCCCGACCGTCTGATGATGGCGATGACGATGATGACAAGCCAAAAAGATGAACGGCATCATTCCCTTCTTTTCCGTTCCCAAAACTGACCTAGACCTGTCCCAGAACATACGTCGTGGGTATGTTCGCGCGTCTAGCAAAACTCCATGCCCAATCGTGTCTGGGGAAAAAAGCATCCGTGATTCGTCGTTGTTACAGAGGTATCGCAAGTTCCCTTCCCAGGAAGTGAGAGAGGTATCTAGTTGCCAGTTGCCCAAGCCAGTCTATATGGTATGCCGTCGCGAGTTCTCCCGCCCAAGTTGAAAGGACGAGCAAGGAGACGAGTCGATGAGGAAAAGTTGCGAAAGGATGACGAACAAGGCGGCAGACCCCGGCGCCGAGGAAAGAACGCAGAGGCGATCGATATGGCCGTGTTCGAGAGAAAACCGATGAATCGTGAGCGTCGTTGGATATCTGTCGTAAATGCGAAAATCGAGTGCTTGTTAACGCCCCAAATGGATATAGGAAAATCACATCCATGTATATCAATCTGCGGCCGAGGCCATTTCTCGCGCAGTGACCTGTGTCATCAGCGGCTGCCCGGCTTCCACGTCGTTGTCGGGGTTAATGTCCGGCTTGTCGGCAGGGGTGCTTGATGAGGGTTCCCGGATCTGGAGTCCGACGACGGCGCCACCAATGGCGACCAAAGCACTGCACCACCAAGCGAGGCCCGAGTAACCAGACTTGAGGCCGACAGAGTAGAGAATGCCTGCCAGCGTCGGTCCGAAAGCACGGCACAAGCTGGCCGTCGAGGCTGCGACGCCATTAATGGTGCCAAGGGCAAGGTGACTCGGCGCTGAATTGGCCGTCAAGATCGCATTGCTCGGGTATGCCATGCTCGCAAATGTGCACTTCCAGACCAAGATGAAAGCCACTCCGACCGTTCGATACTTCTCGGGCAGCAGGACCAGATAAGGGGTGATCACGTAGAGTAGGAAGTATCCAACGATCAGAAATCGGAACAGGCGCAGTGGGCCTACACGTTTCAGAACCGGTGGAATGAGAAACATGTTGATCGACAGTTGGTAAGCTCCCTGTAGACTGAGGATGATGCCAACAGTTTTGCTGTCAAGATTGAACCCGTCGACGAACTTGAAAGGTAGTGATGTTGGCATCTCATGTTTCGGCGGCTCTGTGCTCAGGAATATGGGCCAGAGTTGATCGAAAGTCATCGTGTGACTGATGGCCATGTTAGTCTAAACCACTGCTGAAATCGGTCGTGTGAGGACTCACAAAGCTAAAATGCCAAACGAGATGATGTTGAGTACCACCGGCCGAGTGAAGATCTTAGTTATTCCCACACCGGCATTCTTACGGCCTTCTGCTAGGTCTAATGTGTCTCGTGAAATTGAAGCAGCGGATGCAGATCTCAGGCGGGGCGAGTTTTCTGGCGAGTTTTCGTTCGTCCGGTAACCTGGCAATTGTTCGTCATGATCAATGAGCGGCTGTAATTCGTCAGACTCGGCCTCGGCCATCTTGGTCTTCTCGTCTCGTGGCGCGGCGCATTTTCGGAAGCTGGGCAGCCCGGACATGATCCATTTGCCCATCTCGAGTCCCCGGTCTGGTACGTGTTTCTTCTCCGCATGCGTCTCCTCGAGAAACAAAATTCCATTGACAACCCCGATCAGCACGATGAATGCGCTGAAGAGGTTTGGAAGGAGATAGGGATAGCGATCCCAGATGGTGCCTGGTGAGAATAGGCTCGGGTAGCTGATGCATGGTCGTGCAAGGGCACCGCCGATCATAGGCCCGACGATAGATCTGTGAGAGTCAGCCCGATATGTTCAGAAAAGCAATGGCCTGAATGACAACTGACCCTAAACACCACACCACCGGCATGAGGGTGTAGGCCCGGGCTGTAACGTAATCAGTGGTATGGCCAAAGATACTTGTAAGTATTTATCAACTCACGTTGATGTTCCTTGACGGTCACCAGTTCTGCCACTGTTGTTTGCAGCACGCCCATATTCCTAGAGCCTTGTCAGCACTCAAGTCTAGGTGCCCGCTTTCGAAAACGTCCGTACCCGTTCAGTAGACCGCCGACTGCTCGAGCGAAGAGGGCGACCCAAATGTTACGGGCGAATCCAAATATCACAACGCTGATGGCAGTTCCAATCAGGCCTGTGAGTAGGACCGGCTTCCTTCCGATTTTGTCGCTCAGTCGTCCCCACAGGATACCGGTCGAGAATTCTGCAAAAGTGAATGCCGAGGTAACCATGCCGGCATAGAACGAGATTCTGCTCTTGTCGTCGGTGATGTTAAAGTCCTCGATCATGAAGTAAATGTATGGGAAGATTCCCATGAAAGCAATCGGTTCGCATATTCGGCACATCGCTGGAGATTGGGTTAGTTCACCTTCCAAAAATCCAGCACCTCCTGCTACGCCGTCATGAACCCGGTGAAGACGTACCCAGGACTAGCATCTGCCACCTCGGAAATGGCGGAGGCGGTACAGGTTCGTTGCCCGTCGGAGGACCGGTGATCCTCACAAACGAAGCACGTCTCATCATGGTTATGTGGTTGTTCGACAGTATCCTGCTACATGAAAGGCCCAAGTACGATGAAAGGTGACGACGGTACTAATAAGCGTTTGGTCGAGGCTGATCAGTGATGCTCGGACCCGAATTGGGTGAGTTTTTAAGTTTGGTCCGACTTGTAGGTAGGTTGACCTAGAGAGCTCAAGATTGAAGAGCACGCCAGAGGAAGATCGAAGAGCAAATCAGGCGGAGGGCAAGTTCAGAGTGACCAGTCGACCTGACAGTTGCTGAGTCGTTCTGACAGACGATAGGCGGCGTGAGACGAGGTAAGCTGCACAACAAGGGGATACAGGAAGACGAAGCTTGGCATGGACATGAGATGAGAGAAGAAGGAGAGAAGGCTGATAGAACATTGAAGAGGACGACTAGTAATAAGCCATCTAATAGCCACGGCGACCCCATGGCGGGAGACGGATATTAAGTTATTTTAATATTCGAAGCGGCGGTGACAGGCCGTTAGGGCGAAAAAGCAGAGTGCAAGTGCGTGTGCAATAGGAGATCCTTCCAACGGCGCCCAGGTGTAACGCGGCGACGGTCTCAGAAGGTATGGAGACATTGGAGTCCCAACTTCACGGGACAGCGCTGTCATGAACATTCAGGGATACCATATGACATATGTGGGCTCTCTGTGGAACTCGGGGCGAGACAACGACGTGGACGGGCGGAAGTGGTCTTTCTGGCGGGAGAGCCTTACGAGTTGCATGTACCAGTACCAAAGTGCAGCGGACAGGAGAGCGTACCACTGTTCAGCCCGGGTCGAGTGACCACGCCGTTTCCGGGAACGAGGTGACGGGGATGGTGGACGATGGGACACACGTCGAGGAACATCCCAGCAACCCCAGCATCCCTGCAGCGGTCCCTCGCGGCAGTGGATGCATATGTAGTTGTGGGCTTGGGCTCGGGGCTTGCACTGACAAGATGCAAGGTCTGCCGCTGCTTGCTGCGGCCGGGTATGTGCTGGGTAATGAAAAGAAGGAGCAAGGTAACGGTGGAAGAAATAAAGAAGAAAAAGGACCACGAACCTTACCCGCTTGGGCTAAGCTCGAGAGTAAGCCGGCGCCGTAGAGCGAACGTCGACTTCATTGGCAATTTCACCACACAAGCAAAGCTGAGATGTGGATCCACCGAGGATCTGAGTGAAGGGGGCCGTCCACGACAATTGGAAGATGGCGGTCAAGCGGTGAGAGATTATGCACAGCTGCTTGTAGTAGACGAGAACCGACCTATCCTCTTGCTTAGAAAGCTGTAAGGCCGCAAGCAGTGCCCCAAGCAATGCCTCAGTGGATTGATAAGGCCTGGTGAGGATGAGGATAGAATCCGGGCAGGGCAGGATGCGTGTAGGTATGTTGTATGATGTAGGTTAGCTGTTGGCTGCAAGTCATTGGACCGAGGACGGTGAACATTGGACGATGGGGGGCGTCGACGTAGAGAATAAACCAAGGCCCGAAGTGGGGGCCATACGGCCATACCGCAGTAAAAACGAATGTAAGGCTGACACCGATGAGAGTGACGAGTGAGAAACACAGCTGGAGACTGGCGAGGTTCCGTCTTACCGGTCGTCGACCATGACGCAGATGCACGCTGCTGGGCAAGCCACATGGAAACATAACCGATGATAACCCGCTCTGCAGGGCACCATCCACAGCGTCGGGTTTCGTCCCTGTCCAGTGTCCTGCAACTTCAGCTGAGGTGTCAAATGCCAAGGTGAATGCTCTGCCAACATCCGGGAACCCCGCGCGTGATATACTTCGTCGATGCAGCCGTCCGTGGGAACCTTTCCCGCCCTTTGCCCTGCCTCAGTGGCAGAACCCGTACCGGTGGTGATCAGCCGATCAGGTCGTGGTATCCTCGTCTTCTTCATCTATCTTGACGGCGGTTTGTCAGACACGGATGCAGACTGTCTTCCGCCCGGTGAACACTTATATGTTCCACAACAGCGATGGCTATCAAAGTTCAGTCCCGTGTCTACTACCTAGTAGCACCTCTCTATCACGCGATTTCTTGCCAGCCTCACTTGAAAGAAGGCAACCAGACTCCCGGGTAACGACTGCTCTTGAGGCGCATTCATCTCGGTACCTTACGGAGGGTCATCTGCCGCCACGCCGTGTCTCTGTATCTGACCATTGGGAAGAATAAGCGGAAAGGCCCATTTGCTGCGAGCCTGACGGGCTGGCGACAGCCAGCAGACGACAGTGCCTGACAGTCACTCGGCTACAATCAGACGGATTTACAGAGTGATACGCCTCCTCGTTCGTGGAGACTGACTCTACCTACAGCCACGCTCGGGTGGTTTGCATCGCCGGGCTGGATCCCCGGCAAGCCCATGGTTTGCCCAGCAGCCAGAAGCGCATCGCTAGTGAGGATTGCGAGCGCTCTGTCGCACAGTTGTGCAACAACGATACTTCAGACCACCATGTATTAACCCCTTTTTGAGCAGGGCTGGTCCCTGTGAGGATGTGGCGGTGGACAATCTGAACCAGACGCCGAGTGCCCCGGAGCCTCGTTGCGAAAGCTTCCGATTCGGCCAGCGCGGCCATGTAACGCGACTGTCACCACATGGCATTCTAGAAGGTTGTCCAAGGCCTGTCCCTGTCTAGCCATGTGGCAAATGAGGTGTGGTCGCTCCCCCATGGCCGTAGCGTTGGAGATTGAGTCATCTAAAGTAGTCCAGTACGCACTACTGTGTACACGGCATGTGACGAGGCAGGTCGGGTACTAAAAAAAAAAAAAGGAAATGACGTCCTGCCAGCGTGAAATTGAGATTACGCGTTTCAGACTTCGCACAGTTACTTATTTAGGCTTTCGCGGCGTGCAGCCGGCGCCGCGGATAGCATCCGGAGACGGTCTGAATGTTGACGCGCGGAGCAGCGTTGAATATAGTAGGTGAGTCGTTTAGCCTTTCCAGGAGAAGGGTTGGGCTGGTACCGGAGATGGATAGGTAGTTAGAGGAACCGTAGACCTGATCAGTGTGCAACTGCACTACCCAGCTGTGGCTGTCCTACTCAGCAACGTCGTCGCAATCTGAGCCGGTCGGATCCTGTTCATCAGAAGAAGGACGAATCTGTTTCAGGAAATCGACTTTGGAGAGCGATCCAGATACCAGGGAGCCCCTGTTTCTTCCAGGTCCGACCCAACCCAGCGGTTTGGCGCCTCGGACTTGATTGCCGGAAGCGACCCGCTCGGAAAAGTCTCCTGTTCGACGTCCGTGACGCCAAGCTGTAAGTACCTCGCAGGTTACCGCCTTGTTCTGAAAACTGTCGGTGTGAATTCGGGTTCCATTTGGAAGAAGCCTGATCCCAGCCGCGCATGCAGAACTGATCATATGATCAATCTGGAGAGAAGCGAGCTCGTCATACTCCGTCACATCAATGCTGATATCGTCGACTGCTATGTTGCAAAGACAGTGGCCTGTTTGTTCATAGGCGCAGGCACACCACACCAACTCCGTACTCACGTCGGTTTGCACGCGTTACGCTGCCGTGATCAGCCGGACAGCGGAGAACCATAACTCTCTGCTTGTGCCGCTTCTGTGCATGTAGAGCATGCATGTCGTGCAGCAGAGGTCCACGTTGAAGGCCACCTGTACCGTCTGATCGGGTTCGGGACGAAAAAGATCATGGGGAGTTGGGTGATCAATGATAAGGTCTGGAACGGGGCATGCGAAGCGCATGAATACCTACATATAAAACAGATCGCTGTGACTCATCCAAGAGCCGGAAGGGACTCACCGCTTCGCACCCCCGAATAGATGTGCATAAAACGCAGCATTGCAGCGATTGAGAGCAGTCGTGTCTGTTTGAGAGCTTGAGGACAATACTGCCTTCCCACACAGCGGCCTGGTCACGGCGGCAGGAGATGCTTGTTCGTCTCCCATGTAACCGGGCACTACTTTGATCATCAGCTTCGCGAAGTCTTGCACACAGGCACCCGCACACCAGCTCATGCGGAAGTCCCGAAGCTGGTGTCATACCAGCGGATCCAGTGGCCCCCTCTCTCCAGGGGCTGGCAGAGTCCCGAGTGGACGTTGCGGTGCCCCACCACCACGTTTGCCCTGTTTAGCGCATAATAGGTTGCAGCAGTCTCGGGGAAAAGGGGTATTCTTGCCATTTGGGGCCTCGCGCACCATCGGTCGGCCCAGCTTGACCGTTTTTGCCATTCTTGAGAGACCGTTTCACGACAAACATGGAGCGCATAATAAACGCAGCTCGGGTGCCGGGAGACTTGGGATTTTTTGATGTTCCTGATGGGCATGCGCTGGGCTCTCAGGCACTTGTCAAGTCGACGACAATGGGCCATCGAGCATCAATCGGCGGTGAGACTGGCATACATCGGGGGCGGGCGGTGAGTTCCAATATCGCTATTCTACCGCCGCAAGCGGTGGGTAGAAGTTAAGGTTAGGTAGTACCGCAGCCGGGCCAATCGGTGTCCGATGGTTGAGGTGATGGCTGCCAGCCGGAAGCGTTACGAAGCTTTCGCTGACGTGAGACGATGCTGCTTCCACATATCTCCAGCTATGATATGACCACAACAAGGGCATTGTTGAACCCGATGCAAACCCCAATGCTCATTGCTGACAGAACGCAGCTCGTCTCGGCGGTCATGGACCGCTACCGAAACAAGCGGCCAGTGGATATCCGATGTAGCGCTCAGGTCGACGTGGCGGTCAGCTCCGGGTGCAGGTGGTCCGCTGTGATACGATCCGATTGTGATGATGCCTCCTCCAACTCACGAGTGCAGGCTTGCAGGTACCGGCGGCATAGCCCAAGTCCAAGATCCCGTTGGAATGTACTGGGTGCCATCTCCTGTGCCCCATTGCCATCGTATCGCTACCCGGAACCGGGGACCGGCAGGGTCGGCTGACTCTGAATGTTGTTGCCATATCTGTTTGGTCTCTGCAGTGCAGATCCCCGAATGCATTGAAGTTGGGAGGGCCAACCCAGACGCCCAGAGTTGAGCCACGTGTGGAAGTAGAAAGTATCTGGCGACCTCAACTGTATCATGTGTTATGCTCCTTCCATGCATTGCGCTTGCCAGAATGCCGGGCGGCCGCCTTATCAAAACATGCATATGCAGACTGTGCCTGCTCTATATCGACCCCCCTGGCGCTGCGCTTGTTCGCTTAATAATCGGGAATCGCATACCACAGTAGACAAGCCTAGACAGGTACCTTATTCAGTGCAGCGGGATACATCTCTGCTGCTGGCATGCATAACTTATGCACTTACTATGGGTGACAAAACCGAAGTCTTACAACTGGATCCCCAATCTGACAGCGCTCATCCATGTCCTGTAAAGCCTCACTCCTCCGACTCTGACAGAAGCCGCACCCAATATCACACGCCGATGGTTTCGGCTTCTTCGCTGGTCTGACAGTGATCCGGTCATCATGTCATCGCCTCGGAGTCTCGTCTTTGCCACGCTCGTCGAGGACCGGATAACGTTCACCTGGAGGCACGCCTTTGCCCCCAACAAGCCAGCTCCGACCTGATCTGGCTCGTTCTACGATGCCTCTGATGGACACGGCAAGGGCCTTGCAAGCCCAGCTGCTCTTTTCATTCTCCTGTTTACCCTATCCTTTTCTCCTTGTCATTGTACAGCACCGATGAAGGCCCAGGATACATGTCTCCAGGTCACCCGACGCTGCGTGTGTCCATTCAGTCCACCTCTAGAAGTCACCACGAGCCGTGGCCTCACACGACTGACTCCTTCCATGCCTGTCACTGGCGCGGGCTCATAGACGCGTCTTGCATATGTTTGGCTGTTGAACATGTCAGATAAGCCGGCAGACAGCGCTCACCGGAAACATTAGGTGTGGACAGTGGACAACGATGCGTGCCGACGCAGCCTGCCTCGTTACGAAACAGCAGCGACTGGCAGCCAACCGCCGACCGCAGTAGAGTCTGCGACGTCAACCAGCTCGATTGGGCTTCACATGCATGCACCCGCTGTCGCCCACTCCTCCATCCAATCGCCAGTGCGGCATCTTCGCTAAGCTCACAGCGCACGATTAGCCGGCCATCACCGAACCCAGGCCTGGAATTCACACCATTGGCCGAACATGCGCGCGACCTCCCATATGCGCATTGACTGGTACTACCCGGTAGTCTTCGTGAAGTATAGTCTCAACTTCACCTCCGGTGGCAGCACGGCCGGGTTATCCCGCTTCTAGCTCCCGCCGTTGTATACCCGCAGTCGAAGAAGTTGTGTCTCACCCCTCGCCAAGAGAGAAGTTCAGTTGTCTCTTTACTGCGCCTCTTCTCCAGTGTCTCGGCCAGCAAAGACGACACCCCGTCTGATGTTTTGACGCTATCGAACGGCCCTGCTAATGCCCAACTCTTAGCCACGGTCACGAGTTGTCGTGCATCACCCCCATGTAGGAGGTAACACATATGATTGGCCTCTGGTTGTCTGCATTGGGCCACGGTACTGTACATCGATTCCCAGATGCTGTGCCCTCGTATCTTGTGCTCCAGCTGGAAGACCTGGCAGGCATCATGGATATCGCTTTGCTACTGGGTCAATCGTGCATCTACTTCCCGGTCAATCATTGTCGTCATTGTCATACCGCAATACTCAGGTCAGCTGCAGCAGAGAGGCACGGCAATCTGGATATCATCAACAATTCAGCTTACTTACCCCACACGGACCGACAAAATAAAATCCATCAATCATCGCCAATAGCCCAAGCAGCTTCTTTCTGAGCGGTTGTCGGACCGTGACCTGTCGTGACCAGCGTCGAGACCATTCAATGGTCGCATGCAGTGCAGTCGTTGCCGAGCTCGGATCGTCCGATTGTTGGAGGTCCACCGCTCGTTACCTGGACCGGTGAAGCATCCTCAACTTAATGCGCCTGTCTCGGCTCGTCAAGTCACCTCACAGTCAGTCACCGTACAAACCTTTACGCTTTCAAACAATTGGCTGCATTGCTTGGCTACACGGGGGTAGATATTGCTCGATCAGCTTCCGCCATCCCTGTGCGGCATGTCCATGAACAGCAACAGCACAGGAGCACTTGCGCCCAATATATTCTCTTTTCGCACCGCTTCGCGCATATCTTCCACTAGCAGTGCAGCGTTTCGGGCCGGGAGTCGAATCCCATGCTTGGATGCGCATATCCACTGGTACGTACACTTGAGTTTCGTCGGCACTGAACTGCCTACGGAAAGCTTCGGTTACGCAAGCCGTGGAAAAAGTAAAGACCTTCATCTTGCCCAATTCCGCCATGACTTCGCACCTGCAGACCTGATCCGACTCTTCACAACTTTGCTTTTCTCTTGTCACTGGGTCTCACCGTTTCATTCCACAAATTGACCCAAGATCTGGCGGTATGCTTACGGGGGTAAAGCCGAAGGGATGGGTATTGCTTGCTTGCCTGTATAGCCGCTGTTAGACAGGCTGCGTCTCTCCTTTGGTCTATGGATGAAGGTCGCGCTCTTGTACCAGTGACTCGAGGATGAAGCACAGGCTACACAACACTAGGATATACAAACAAGCACGAGGCAACGGGACGTCGGGGGCCCGGGATGTAGGTTCCATGTTACACAAGCCAGGCTCGCCCAAACACCCCTCCGCCCGAAGAGGACCTCAAAAAGCAACCACCAAATTCCCAGCACCTGACCATCGTCGAACCCCTTGCTTGGCCAAGGCTTGAGCCTTCACCGGAGAAGCAGACAACCAGTCACACGCTGCCGCCTCTATAGACAAATCATTATGTTGACTGCACCGGTGAGCACACTACACCATGACGGCTACGGTAGCCGTGATACATGGCTGTGCTTCCCTTTTCTCGCCCATTTCTAGCGTCTGTGATATCATACGCCGGAGCTTCAGGCCGCCGCTGGGTCTTCGAGGACCTTGATACGTTCTAGATTCGATTGTTGGATGGTGCAAGTGGTGTCCTGAGCCAGAGATACGGGGAATCTGGATAAAGGTCAGCCAGACAGAAGTCCAATGAAGCTCAAGTGAGAGCGATACGACCGCAGCAGATCTCGTCCTCATCCAACTACCTCAACACCACCCATCTTTAGGGCTTACAACGAGGATCCAATCCTCGTCTTTTCTTCTTTGGATATGGTTGGCTCAGAACGAGCAGGTTCCCGCACTAGGGAAACCAAGTCCGCGTAACAGGGAGGCGCTTGCACAGAGAGGGCAGAACGCTCTTGGGGCTTGAGGGGCTCTGGTAGCGAGCGAGGGACGGGCCCTTCCCAGCTTTCGCAACCTGGGAAGCCGTGCCAATGATCGGACTCTCGGGCTTGAGGGGTCAGTTAAGGTTGGTAAGCACTTTAACTCGCTTCCATCTTCCGACTGTCTGGTTGACGAGACAGGGGTAGGGCATACGTCACAATGACCGCAGGGCAAGACTCGTGCAGGCCGTTAGCGCATCACCGCGGTTCTCGGTTTTCGGTTCTCGGAGGTTCTTGGCCCTCTCGATAGTCGGAGAGCATCCAATGGCAGAAGAGGAAATCTGATGGACGATTTCCTATGAGGGCTCGATGCGCCCTCGGGCGAGGTTGCTCAAAACCCTACGGGACATTGCAACCAGAGACACAGAGTACTTCGCTAAAAGGTTGCAGGAAACTGCATATAACCTAGTCGCAATCTTATCATGAGACTGCGGAAGCACGACATTGTGACTGGCTTCACCCAAAGGCGAGTTTGGATATATGGTGCAGTAGCAATGCCACCACGTTATTGCACCATTCCTATCGCTGTGGTCGGCCCCTTCGATTGCATTTCGGCCGTGTGCACCAGCAAATGGGAAGAGGTTCCATGACTCATCGAGAATACGCATTCGTGGCCATCCGGCGGGATTGCTGACACCCGTCAAACCAGCTCTCTTACCTGGTGACCTTGCAGGTGGTTGATTGGAAGATCGCGGGGTGCACGCGTCTGAGCCCACGTACGGGATCCGCCCGCCTCGAGCATCGTACACGCTTGTCCAACAAGTGCTGAGTAGGTCCGATGGAGCTTGCTTGTTATTCTGGCATTCATCACGACCTCTCCATGCGCAGTATCTGTGACGCGATCCGTGCTCCTTCGTCGGAGAAAAGCCCCCAATTCCTCCTTTGACTAATGGTCCGAGCAGCATGGTGTGCAAATCTCTGTCGAAGAGCAGTTCTGCCAAGTTGCGAACTGCCTATATGGACTCGATCGTGTCCTTTGCCAGAGGGAGACACTTGGAGGCGACCCGATGCAGGTGGATCGAACATCCTGGTGATTGTGAATGCCAGGTTCGCCGATATTTGTGGCGCCAGTAGGAGTGCTCCGTCTCGTCTTCTACTGTCCCGTGGCGCGACGCCGGGGAAGTTGAAGATGACGATTGGCTTCGGGCTCGCGTCGGCAAGCTGTTTCGGACGTCGCGGGTGTCAAGCTCGGCGACGAAGTCCCTTGGCGTTGCCGATATTGGGGAAGGGCACGGACGGAGGTGCGGACCCTGACCACCTGACCGCCCATCGGCGTGCTGCCATTATCATCCATCGTTCCGTACGGTGCCACGAGGTTTCAATACCATGATAGACATGGACCCATGTCTGACCCATGTCTATCTCGGAGTATTTTCAAAGGATTGGAGGGTGCGGGTTCTCACTGTTATGTTGCGCTTTCTCCACGCCCACGTTGAGTAGTATGCTTGAAGCCACGGCATTGGGAACTGCACTCAGTCCAACGTGCCGCTCTGTTGATGAGGCCGGCGTTCCGGTCGACTGGATTCCCTCACTGGGCGTAACCTGCAACTGACTCCCCCCTGGGGTTCAACTTGTCTGATGCCGAGCAACGGCAACTGAGCTGCCTAGGTGCACCCACTGCAAAGATGTATCGTCTTGAACGATGGGTGCCTCAAGGCCAACGCCTACTCGATAGACTCACCACTCGGGGCGTCTTGTATAAACAAGGGCCCAAAGTCTGGCCCAGTGGGGACTAACGTCGGTAGCATGTATCACATTTTCCTCTTTCGTGAGGACGTAGAGCTGGGGTCATCCGCCGATCATGTCCGGGGGTCAAGGTGAGGCTCCAACGACAAAGCTTATATTGTCAACGGCCGTGCCGCCGGCAGTCTCTCCAAGGGTCGTGTCAGCCTGGTCACGCGTCAAACAGGCCTTTTGTGGAGACTGATAGCCGTAGCAAGCAACATCCCAACCTGGTTGTCTTATCTGCTTGAAGAACGTAAAAGTATCTCCAGGTCGAGGTACATGATGCTACAAATACCTCGCTGACGTGTATCGTTTGGCATGCATCCCAGCATGGTAATGTCAGCCTCGTGCGTTCATTCTCTCACAATTTTATGCGCCTCGTTTAGAGTCAGTCCAATGGAAGAAGCAAGGCCAACGAGATGTCTGGTCGTATTCTGCGAGTGTCGGATGAGCTCCGCGACCATCTTTGACGCACCTGTATTCTTCATGCAGGGCATACTGCTAGAGCGATAGGATTCACGATAAGTCCATACTGACCCCTTCGCGGCAGTCCTCACCCCCACATTACACGCATGGAACCCTCCTCTAGGTATGTACGCGTCGATAACGACTGGAACCGGATTTCGGCTGGTGGAGACACTGGGGTCAACACTTTCTGCAGCAATGAACATGCACCAAGATAAGCGGACAGGAACGTCTGGGCCCAATGCGGCTTACGCAGCCGTCTGACGACTTCTGTCGAAGATCCTGGACTGCGACTCCAACTCTGGGGTAAGCAAGCTAGCTTCATGCTTACCCGACTCGACGGTGAGAACAGCAAAGGGCGGAGCATCATCATTGGCTTGTTGCGAATCGACCACACTCTGGGACAAGGGTACGCTTTCCGTCGTTTCCACTATCGTGCCGAATGCCTCCAACTCGTTCCATGGTTGCAGAGATCTCTATCATGGTCGAGACTCACCGAGGTCTGGCCACCCCATATTCCCGTCGCGTATTCCCGCTCTGGCTCCTGTGAAAAATGACATGAAGGAAGAGAATCATCTGTCAGCAGCGGAGAGGGGACAGCCCGGGGGTCCCAGGAGTGGTAGCAAGTGGGAGGGGTTGTCTCTGCCGATAGTCGAGGACGGTGTCGTCTACTGACCCGAGACCGAGGCACGTCCATGGTAGTTGGTATCAGCGGCTCCTCGGCGCCGCGGCCGAAGAGAACGGCGGCGTGAAGCCGGTCCCGGTTGAGAAGCGGGCGAACACGCAGTACAACAACCCGTTCACTGTCCACGGGGCTGTTCTGTGGTATGCCGTGTGCACTCCCCTACAGTTCTGGTTGGAATCCGATCATGGCTGGACTGATTATATCGGTAGTATTCCCGCGGAGATGCTCGCGACGCCGGTGTTTGAGATGGGCCACAGAGATGCGTTCCTGAACATCCTGTTCTTCTCTTCGTTACGCTCGATCCCGCCGGCTTCTCATGGAGTGTGGACGCCAAAGTCGGGCTTGAGGCAGCTTATTGAGGCTCGGTACCCTTGGGGGTAAGTGTCTATGGGTGATGAACTTGACCCCTGACTGCCCTCGCACCTGCCTATTGCCACCATCATCCTCCTCCTTCTGACACAGCTACCATAACCAGCTTTGCGCTAGTCGCATCTATAGTCAGTGGGCAAACCATCACGGCCATCAGTTCCGCCAACGTCAACATCACGGTAGGGATCGTCGTCAATGTCGTGCTCAGCTTCGTCGTGTCGCTGCTGGGATACATGGTACTTCACATTTGGGAGCGGTACCAACTGATTCCGAACCTGGCAGCCATCTGCGGTAAGTATTTTCAGAAGTCATCTATGCCGTCCCTGGCCATGTCTTAGGATAAGCTTTCTCTTTCGGCCCATTTTCAGAACTGCTGCTTTCGAGGAATGGCTACAGAACCCTTGCTCCTCGCTGAGTCATCTCTGAAATGTAATCACTGAGCTCTGCTTTCTCAAGGCCTCACGCTCGTCGTCACAGCAGTCACTGTTCTGCTCGTCCTCGAGGCCGCGTGCCGCCGTGGAGCGTCGCTCAAGAACTTCCTCGCCGTCATCGGCCACTGGGGTCGCCTGCTTCGACCCCATGCTTCCCGTCGGGCTGCTGGCCCTCCGACGCCTGGACTGGCCGGCCTTCGACCAGGCTATCTGGAACGTTTGGTCGCCGCTTGCCGTCGGGTGTCACGGCACTGGCCGCCTCGGTCTGCTTGCTGGCACTCGTGGGACCCGGGATCAGCGAGGTCTGGTCCGGGGGGCCCGTCGGGCGGACTACGGGCGATGTTGGGTTTGAGATGGGCTTGCTTGTCACGGCGTTAAAAAAAAAATCTTGCTTTTTTGCCGTTTCTTTGGCTGGGATCTGGTAGAGGGCCATTTATGAGTGAGTGAGTGAGGGCACTGGGTGGGAGCTGGGTTGAGATGGGTCTTAGGCTTGGGATTGGCTATGGCATGTTCCTTCTCCTCTGCGTGGAAACTGTTCGCTTTTCCCCCCCCCAAGGGGCCGAGGGATGCATTTCAACCTTGGCTGCGAGTTGCATTGTGCTGAACAGGAAAGTGCAAATGAAAGTATCAGCTGTGTCGGTCCGTCAGCACTCATGCTAGAAATGGGAGTTGCCACAGAATTTAGGAGATGGCCCAGCGCGTCCTGGCTTTGTTCTCGTCCTTTACAAGCCTTCGTATTGGGATGTGCGTGTTGCAGCTGCTTCCTGTTTTTCCGGATGAGAGACCTGAGCTTGAGGCAAATTGTCAGGGTTAAAAGACCATTTCGGCTTAAGTTGTCTATATCTTTGTTCGATATCCATCGACCACGTTATACGTCTACTCGGTGTTTCGAAGGCGCTCTTTCAGAGGCTCAACTTAGGGTCTCCTTTTTTTCTCCGTAGATATCACAACCGACGTTCCAAAGGGGCTGCTGTGCAACGAGGAAAGACACCCCCACTAAGGCACAATAGGGGTCGTTGCGATGGAAAGAAGAAATCATGCTAAAGGGTGCGTTACCAACGGGTAAAATGCTGTACCGTGCTTGTGTTCACAGATTAAGGAATGGGCATACATGTGTGGAAGATTTGAATGTTGTATTATGCTTGTATTGCGGCGCTAGGCGTGCGACTGAGTTCCGATGGCTGGTTGACATTGCGAGCGGTTTTCTGTGGTCAACCTGGAGACTACACTCACCCCGATGCTTCATGAGTAGACAAGAGTACTACATGTCAAGGGTGGCATCGGATAGTGTCACGAAAAGCGACCAGCCAGATGCGCTGCCCTCGGTGACGATCGTGAAGCACGGTGATTTGGCATGGGATGACTTGATACTGTTACCATCACATGCCGTCTCAGAACCAATGCAGAGGCTGATGTTATCTCCATATAGGGGTGGCAAGATCGGCTTTGGGTCTGGCGTAAGGGGCGTGAAATATTTGCGAGACATCCGCTCGGACTAAAGCGATACGTCCTTCACCGTGCGATCTTTCCGCATAGGACTACATCTTCCCCAAGCGGCATCCACATAGTATCGGTAAGTCGACCAGCAGGATTCGGTCGATTATCTGGACTGGGCTTACGAGGAGGGGAAACAAAAACGCTCCCTGGACCAAGCCACGTGGGTGCGATGGTGATGATGACTGAATCTACCAACTCGGCGCTCTCGGCTGAGAGCAGCGAGTTGATGACTTCGCCACCCCCTTCGATCATGATGCTCTGCATGCCTTCATTCCGTACAGCGGCTAAAATCGCACGCCAGTCGAAGCGTCGGTACCCTGCCCCGGCGGTAGGCTCTTTGGCATTAGGCTGATCCAGTACGATATACTTCCCGCCAACCTCTTCCAACAGCTTCTTCCTACTCCCTGGGGGCTCTGCCACGGCCGTTATAATGTACGGTGCGAGCCCCTTGCCTGCCCCAGCTAGCTGCATGACTTTACTCTGAGAAGTAAACTCCCAGCGTAGCATCGGGTCGATGACAATGGGCCGCGGCTGATGTGTAGTAATTGCTGATGCCGAGCCTGGGAGACTGCCAGCATCGGGAGACACGGTAGGGCCCTGACTTGAAGCTGCCAAACGACAGTTCAATCCAGGGTCGTCAGCAATGGCCGTCCCAACACCTACGCAAATGGCATCATGGCGGCTGCGCAGGTAGTGGGTCATGGCCTTCGATTGTGGCCCGGAAAGGGCTGTCCGAATACCCGGTCCCAGTGATAGGGCTGAATCGAGCGACGTGGCGAACGTCAAGGTGACCCATGGCAAGGTCCTCTCCTCGCTGCTTGTAGATGTAGCTGATGAAGGCGGCAGGCGTGGCTCAAGCCGCTCCGCCTCTGCAGACAAAAATACTAATGGAGCCTCGGCCATCTGAGACAAATTCTCAAAGTCTGGTTTTGACGTAGGGCTGAGATTGGAGTCTCGTGCTCAGGGCAATCTGGTGAAGCCAGTCGACTGGCCAGCCTGGTAAAGACCCTGAGACCTCGCGACCTGTGGTATGCACGGCCACGTTTAGGGAAGGTAGGCGGAACCCAAGCCCATCCGGTTTAGCCAAGTAGCTGACCGGAGTGCTGGGCCCAATGAGACTTTGAAGAAGCCTCAGCTTGGGCGTCCCTGTGGTACCAGTATGCGTTCTGGGTCGAAGCCGCCAAGCTTCAGGTGGTCGCTGGCAGAGGAACAGAGGTGAAGAGAGCGTCTGACAAGACTCTGAGCAAATATATTGCCGTAGTCGGCGGTATTTGGTGTTACGAAGCTGGGAAATGTGAATATGACCCTTGAGATCTTAGTTTTGTTCCTACAGATTGTCGTCCTTGCGGTCGACGATATGGGGACGTTGGGAGTGGGGAGACACGGGGAGACACGGGGAGACACGGGGAGGAGTACCGATAGTTGGTTGCAATTGGATATACCGCATTCTCCGTGTAAGATGGCTACGTCGGACACGGACACGGTGCACCATGCATTATCTGATCGCCATGCCTGTCTTCATTGGCTAAAAGATACACGGGAACCTAAAAAGCCTGCGATCATGTAGATCTATCGTTAACACGATAAGGATTTGGGGGTAGATTGTCTGGCTTGGCGATCAGATAACGCATGGTGCACCGTGTCCGACGTAGCCAGCTTGCACGGAAAATGCGGTAATGGGGCTCTGCTACAGCTGAGTTCAGATGGTGCCGGATGTCAAATCTGACATACTCTGGTGGACTCAGAGAAGACCTGTAGGATGCAGCCAGTCTGCGTTTCTAATAACATGTGCCATTGCGGAAACCCATAGAGATACCAGCTTGGAAATGAGAACACCTTCGTATAAAAAGCTTTGTAACTTCCAGACTGTAGCTCCTTTGACTTGTCCTGACATCAAACACAGGTCGGGTACTATACTCCTGGCGCAGGACTAAAACGCCACAGAACGTTGGACTCTTTGCTACGGTAGCCAATGAGCTCAGAGTCAATTCCAACACGCCAAGCTCTTCATGGCGGCCGGCAGCTAATAGGAAAATGAAGGTCAAGTGTGGTACAATATGCTTGTGTGTGTGACTGTCATAATGCATGATGACACGCTTGTCAAGTTGTCATCGGAAGGGCACAGGAGCTCCCGCGAAGGCGACAAGCGACAGATGTGCTTCATACATGCTTGATCGATGCGGAATACGGAAAACGGAAAACGCTAGGCGAAGCCAGAGTCTTGGGTTCATCCGATCCCCGTCGTGAATACCAAAACTCGGTCTTGGAGCAGTCTCGTGATGGCAGGCTCTTCGCGCCCGGCGCTGGCGAAAGTGATTATTCAGCCACTCAGCAAGGCGCAGCAGCGGCAACGCCACATAGACCCCGCTTCTTGTCGATTATGAGTGGCGCAAGCTGCCCAGGTCAACTGCGATGACGCAAGTGCTCTGCCGATTCCCAGCATGCCCAGGTTCCTTTCGTATGGGACGGGAATCTGCAACGCAAGCCGTTTGGGCAGTGCAGTAGGTACCTGGGACGGTTCCAAATAACTGCGTACATGTACGTTTGCGCCAATTCGTAATCGTAATATTCACCTACCTACTCTTCTTTGTTCCTCGCACTCCAAAAAAGTTACGTTGCCGTCTTTGCCTCTCCTGCCAAGCGAGAAGACCCCGCCACAACTCTATTGCGTTTGAGGTGTGGTGCGTGACACCCGACTCGGGCCCCAACCATACACGAGCGCAGAAGCCGGCGATCCGAGACACACTTGTTCTTCCTTTTTCGCATCTCCCTTCTTGCGACGCCTTCTCCTTCGACAACCCGACAGCCAAATCACTACCTACTCTACCGACATCGACGAATTCGTGAAATCGATCAACGACTACGACCACTACCTACCAAACAACAACACCAAGACCACTACCACAAACACAGCTCACCTCAATCAAACCACACTACAACATCACCCATGTCCTACAAAGCCGACCAACCCCCGCCATACGGCGTCGCCCCCCAACACCCCCAAGCCGCATACCAGGGCGGCTACCCTCAGCAGCAGCCTCAAGGTCCGTACGGCGGCGGTCCCCCCAACCAAGGCGGCTACTACCAGGGCAACCCGAACATGGGCTACCACCAGCAGCAGCAAGGCCCGCCGCAGGGCTACTACCCGCCACAGCAGGGCTACTACCCACCTCAGCAGGGAGGCTACCCGCCGCCTCAGGGCTACTACCCGCAGCAGCGCCAGAGCAACAGCGATGGATGCATGGGCGCGCTGCTGGGAGCGCTAGCGTGCTGTTGTTGTCTGGATTGCCTGTTCTAAGGTTATCATGTGATGTGGTCAGACATCGATTGAATAGGACGGACGGAATGGCAGGGCTTTGATCAGAGGCTTGGAGAAGCAGGTGTATGATTGGACTGGAGGAGCGTGTGCGATTGATACCAATATACGCGGACCCTCGAGAAAATGGAGATGCGGTGTGACTTGACGGGGAGATGACTCCTCGCTCACGGACTGATAGTCCGCGACGACGATTGCGTCTCAGATGCACATCTCAGGGAGGAACTCATTGCATAGGTTGGTTTGAGGCAAGCATTGCAAGTCGGCGTTCAGAGCGCTGCCTTGCGCATCATTTCAGAGTGTTCATCAAGTCGAGGCAATGGGCCAAAGTCATAGCTGGCGTTCAGGCTTTTCGGAATAGATTCCTTCTGCAATTGGCATAGCACTTCACGCTTTACTGCTGCGTTCATCAGCACTATGGCGACGAGTCCTTGCATATAAACAGATTCTTCCCTAAATAAACTCCTCCGTTAACAAATTCTTCCCCTATTCGTCTACTCCTACAAGAGACACAACTACCTCAGGCCGGATAATACGTGATGATCTAACTAAACAGCCATCCAATGCTGAGATAAGTAGAAGCAGAAGACGAGGTCAGCATCTCACGCTTCTGGCACACCATTCGGAGCGACCTTGACACCGCCCGTCTGGTCCCCCAACCCGGCGTACAACTCGGCAAACTTCTCCTGGGCCTCCTTGATGCAGTCATGCGAGTAAACCATGTGCTGGACCTCGGGGCTGGCCCACTTGTCCGGAACGGGCTGGCCCTTCTGCCTGGCCATCTCGAACTGCCGGTCGCGCTCCTCCTTGGCCTTGCCCTCGCCCAGCTGGAGCGTGCGGCCCGAGAAGGCGGCCAGCTCGACCAATCTCGAAGTGCGCTCCTTACGCAGCATCTCGTACACCTTGAGGGTCCTGGAGAGGGCCTCACGATCGTCGCCGCTGCCGCTGCCGCCGCCACCACAGCGAACCTGGCTGACGACCTCAGCCAGCACGGCTGCGTCCTCGATGGCCATGGCGGCGCCCTGGCCCAGGTGCGGCAGGGTGGCGTGGCAGGCATCGCCGACGAGGGCGACGCCGCCGAGGGTCCAGCTGGCGAGCGGCTTGTACGAGCGCAGGCGCCACTCGCAGACCTCGCCTTCGGGTACGAGGTTGAGCATGCGCTGGACGACGGGGCAGAAGTCGGCGAAAACGTTAAGCATAGCCGGCTTGCTCCCGCGCGTGGTGTAAGTAGCACCGGGCGCCGCGGCGAAGTTGACATCAGGCTGACACGTCGCCAGGTTGTATATGGTCTTACCACTGATGGGGTACGCTATGATGTGCCGCTTCTCGCCGATCCACCGCAGCGCGCAGTCGGCGTCGAGCAGCGCCAGCATCTCGGCGTCGCCCTCCATCTTGGACCGCGGCAGCATGATCCGGTACGCCGCCTGCCCCGTGTCCTCGACGTCGGCCGGGATGTCCATCGCCCGTAGCAGGGCCCCCCGCACCAACGACTTGATCCCGTCCGCGCCCAGCAGAACGTCCGTCTCCACGTCGTAGGCGTCGCCGTGCCGCGGCTGCGCGACGAACGTCACCCTGTCGGGCCCGAAGGTCTTGACGTCCGCCAGCGACGTCGCGAAGTGGAACGTGATGTTCGGCTCCTGCCGACACGCCTCGTAAAGCCCGCCCGCCAGCGATGCCCGGTGTCCCGCCATGTGCGGGTACCCGTACTTCTCGGCGATGTCGGGGAATTGTACGTGTGCGAGCTCGCGGCCCGTGGCGCCGTCACGCATGCTCGACGACTTGATGTTGGTCGCCTCGGCCGCGATCGTCTCCCAGCATCCCCAGCGGTCCAGCACGCGCGCGAGGTTTGGCGCCAGCTGGATGCCCGCGCCTACGAACCCCAGGTTCGACGCCGTCTCGTAGACTGCGACGTTCTTGTACCCCTTTCTCGCGAACGCCAGCGCGCAGGCCAGGCCGCCCATGCCTTGCGACACAATGTTAGCTTCGAGTCTCATGGTTGGTCATGGGGTCTTACCCGCGCCGATGACGGATATCCGTAAATCTCTATAGTCCGATATTCCCAATGCTGTTAGTAGTACAAGACTGCTACAGGTATGCTATCCCGTGTCGGTACAAGTCGAAGAGGCCCTGAACTAACGACGATCACATGCCTCACAAGAGATGTTCTAGGGTTGGTCGGTATGAAAAGAGAAATAAAGGAGCTCATGGAAGACTTCATGCCCTTGAGCTATATAGTATTCATAGAGGGATCATGTCACGGGAAGAGGAGGTCAAGCAGGCCAAGCATGTACGCGGCTTGAAGCACCAGGGAATCAGGGGAGTTGCGTTTCGACGAGAGTGGCGAGTCACTGTGTTCTGAAAAAGCCACAAACACATGCTTCACAGGACAGAGAGCCATATTGCCCCAGAGGAATCCCATCGCAGGTCCATACGGGGCATAAGAACCGACGATGCGTATTCTGGGGATGGGTTCGGATGTGCATCGTCGGGGGTCATTGCCGGTAATGAGGCCAGGGGTCTCGCTTTCTCGGCAGTGTTGACAGCGGCCGGCCCGCCGGTTTGGGACCGATGTGGGGGTGGTCCGGGTTGCTTATCGATAAAGAGCTATCAATGGCATTCGGCGCGTTGTGTTTTGGAGCGCCAGACCGTCTTGAAGCACTTGCTACCTAATATCCGGATTGTCTCAACATCACGACTTCAGTCCGTCTCTCTTTGCCCTGGAGGCAACAGGTTCCAATCTATGAGGCAGGATGGCCTCCGCAAGATTGACTGCGCTGCCAGCATTGAGGAGACAGCACCTACTTGTCGAGTTGTGCGTAGAACGTTTTGGCATACTTGCAAGCAGCGCTAACCATTGCTTCAGTGCTGGACTCAAACAAGCTTGTCCTGATGGTGTCTTCGTGAGCCTCACGCCTGGGGACCCTACTCTTTGGTCTGGTGTTCTGTTCGTCCGGGATGGTGAGATTATAGCAAGCAGCATCAATCTATGTCTATGTCTAATCGGTTGACCCAGGTCCCTATGCCCCAGCGGTAATGCGATTCCAGATCTCGTTTCCCGACTCATACCCCGGACTACCGCCGCTAGTAACATTCTCGACGGATATGTTTCACCCCTTGATTACCCCCCTGAGCACGTACATGTACTCGACCGTTATCCAGGACAGTGGCACCGTGAGCGCGACCGACGTCGAACGGCTGCCACCCGGGGGCTTCAGCTTGACACATGGGTTTCCCGACTGGTTCGGGCGCCGCGGGAGAAATACGACTAGAGATACTCAGCCTGCTGGGCAGCAAGATGAGAGACAGACACCGCATCGGCCCCCTCCGGCAGGTACAGGAAGTGAAGCCACGCCTGGATCGAAAGGCTCCGCTATTGGCGAGTCACCAGGCTTTGCAGGAACAAGGGTGAAGGATATATCTACCTTTGAGGTCTTGCGCTACATTCGCAGCACGTTTGACGAGGAAATCGTTCTGGACTCGATACCGCTTGAGGCTGCAGGCAATCCAGGCGCATGGCATGCTTGGCGAACTCACCGGATGGATAGCGGGAAAGTGTTCTCGGATGCCCCCTTTGGTGATGGAGGTGACACAGCAGCTAGTGCAGCTCCCGTAGCTGGTCCAGAGGCCGTAAGAAAGCCCGGAGAGTGGAACTGGGAAGGCGTTTGGGAAGAACGAGTCAAAAAGGGGGTGACGGCAAGTCTGTCTGAAACCGTCATGTTTGGCGGTGTTGGTGCATCAGACGACGCGGTGAGTCGATTCTCTCTGATCCCGGCGTCTTACTGATTCAATCACAGATACACTTTCTCAATATGGAGGACCATGACGTGGACGCCGTCAAAGGTAACCTCTTGCGCACTTTGGACCATGCCACGTAACACCGGGCGCAGCAGACTGGCAGTGGCAGGCTGGTGACAACATGATTTGCAGTGGAATGAGCAGTGATTAGGTGCACAGTTAACCAATACTTTGCCCCTGGAGCGACTGCTTGTGCCAGACGTTTCTGCAAACTACGCTTGCCTTATGTTGGGCTGGTTCCTGCTCCAAACTGCGAAGCTCGCTCATTGGCATTACATGTAGGAAACCGCAGCCACTTACATGAATTGGGTTGAATTGCCTTTCTGAAAAGTCTCGGCATTGCTTGATACCTCCAGCTCTGATTGTTGTCTCTCGCTTCATGGCAACTATCCCGCATACTTGTATCATACCACCAATTGCTTTGCGAGTCGCTTCGAGTACCGATCACGACCACCCCCGGCCCTGGCTATGTCTGCACCAGGCTTGGCTCCAGCAACCATTTGTGCCGTCATTTTGATTCCGACGTTCTTGATTGCCATCGTTGTGTTCATCTTCTTCAAGGGATTCAACCTCCTGTCGAATCGCTGGAACTGGTGGCCCAAGCCACAGCATCAGCAGTGCCCAGAAATCGCCATTCATCTCACCGATCCTTGTGGGGGAAGTTTCACCACGACGGAAAGCAACTTCATCGGACAGGTCAAGAAGGCCAAGGTCAAGAAGGACAATGGCATTGTCAAGCCACGACCCATTCAAACATGCAGGCCACTCCGCGAACAACGAAGTCCCCTCTCCGCTGCACATCATCAAGAGGCCTAAGACTAGGCAGGAGAGCTTCAATGATGGCCCTGATCGACCGTTGACTGTGGTGAAGAAACGAAGACTCCTTAGCCGGACGAAGGACAAGGACAAGGAAAACCGCCGCCCTAGCGACGAGAGCCATTTGCACTCCGAGGCTCCGTCTTGGGACGCTGCGACCCCAAAGCCGATGAACAGAACAAGTACCCGTCATCTGTCGAGTATCCAACCCCAAAGCACATCGTCTCCCACACAGTTGTCAGGACTACGCTGGCTCTCCAGCAGCCGAACTCCATCAACGAAAACCACCCACCGTCGGTCTGATCTGCGCCTGTTCAGCGGGTCTTCATATGGATCATCAATTGGGTCACTGAACATACCCGCGACTGGCCAATTATGGGATCATCGGTCAGCTTCGGGGTCTACTGAGCTGTCGTTTGCTCTGGACGAACTCAATACTTGTGGACGGCCTCCAACGAGCAATTCCTTCTTCGGCAGCGCCACTACAGATGGGAGCATTTGTGACCCTTATATGCTTGTGCCGCATATCTCGATTACCCCGGAGATAAGAACGCTGGAGGAGGGACAGTCAAGCGTATGGGCCGCCATTAAGATTTCCGGTCAACTTTCCTCTCCTGGTACCGAACACACGGTCAACCCAACACCGAATGCTAGCAATGGCGATCCCTGCTTTATGCCGGTTCACCACGGCGGTGCGGCCCTTTCACAATACGGATACCTATATGATCTAAGGGTAGATATTTTACCAACTGCGCAGAGCACCATCATTGATCAACTCGATGACAACCTCACAAGGTATGGAACACATATTATGACAACGTCCTTGTTTCAGCCCTTCAGCTTACACGTTTGCAGAACCATAAAACCTGGCTCCAGCATGCTTGTGCTAGCTCATATACGCCTGAGCGCCCCTCAACCACAGCGATACAAGGGGACTCCCGAGGACGAGTCTAACGATCTCATAGCTGACCTTGAGTATCAGCTCGGCGGTGTCAGGGCTAAGTACCTTCAAGTTCGCGTCAAGTACTGTCATTCGGGGTTTCCGGCCTTGAAACAAACGTCTCTGACGGAGAGTGTCTCGACCTGTGAGACTCGACTGGAAACAGCAGCAACTGGCGTCATTGAACGACGTAGTTCGATGTCGGCCTGGTCTCCCCGACTAATGCCTTCTTGCAACCCGTTGCTTGGCATCATAGCCTCTCACTGGGGCCCTGTGCGAGCCACCGAGGTGTTTCGTAAAATAGTGGCGCACCGAACAAGTCCGCAGTTACCTGACCTCAACAGCCACATGGACACATTACAGGCCAGAGAATTAGAGGATACAATCGCGACTCCCATTTCGACAAGGAAAGGCCCGCCTGTGAGAGTGCCTCGACGCCAGGCCAGCCTCGGACGGGCATCGCCAGACGATGATGTCGATCCCGCCAGGAAGATCTGGACTGAAATGAGACGAACATCAGGGGGCAAACGCCCGAACTTCCACGTGAGCAAGCCCAATCGCTCACCTGCAGCGACGACCTACGCATTGTCCCACAAGGTCTCCAAACCTGAGCTGCCCCAGCCGAAGACGGAGATTGAGCGCCAACGAGAGATGATTCGGGACACTGCCTTGCGCAACAAGAGGTCTATAGGCGCAGATAGTCTGAAGAGCCTGGTCCCTTCGATGGCCGACGTGAGTCTGGGTGGCAAGGAGAACAGTGATCCTTTCAATCCGCCTCACACAGCCAGGAGACAGGATATGCATTTTGATGGGCGCAAGCGAGACGGGCGTTGGAGCCTCGGCGGTTGGTGGTGAAGCAGTCGTATGAGTGGAACGAAGTGGTTTCGCATGCGTAGAGTTTTGGTCAGCAGGGGTTACAACAGTGAAGTTTTAGATAGTCTAAGGGTATTCGGAGCTGTGCGTGCTGCTCTCTCTATGGCATAATACAGTAATACCGATTTTTGGTGGCCTCCCGTTTACCCCCTTTTCAGAACACTGCGTGTTACTCACTCTGCCCGTGACTGACTCCGTGCTCACAACTCATAGCTCATCCCGCCACGGAATCGAGTCCTGCGCGCCCAACTTCTCCACCGTCCTCGCGGCCGCGCGATTCGCCTTCTTCACCGCGACGGCGATATCGAACGCGCCGCCCACGACCTCGAGCGCGTACTGCCCCACGAACGTATCGCCCGCGGCCGTCGTATCGACGACCTCGGCCTTTTCGGCCGGCACCAGTCCCCTCTTCTCGCCCGCGCCCCCGGCGGCGCTCATGTAGAACACGCCCCGCCCGCCCAGCGTGATTATCACGTTGCTGACCCCGCGGCCCAGGAACGTGTCCCCGACGCGCGCGAGCCCGTCCTTGGACTCGAGTTCCGACTCCGGCACGCCGGCCAGGACGGCCGCCTCGGTCTCGTTGACGATCAGATGCGCCAGCCCCTCATACGCCTCAGCTGGCAGCTCCTGCGCCGGCGCCGGGTTCAGGAGCACGGGTACGGGGCCCGGGGTGGCGTTGCGCGCGGCCTGGAGGGCGGCTAGCACGGTGGGCAGCGGGACCTCGAGCTGCATTATCAGCAGGTCTGGCCGCGGACCGGGCAGGGAGGTGAATTGAGAGGGGGTTAGGCTGTGGTTTGCTTCGGGCGAGAGGATTATGCGGTTCTGGCCTGTGGGCTGGTCTACGATTATGAGGGCTACGCCGGTCTTGAGGGCGCGGTCGGAGGATGAGATGCCGGAGACGTCGACGCCGTGGGAGGCCAGGTTGGCTGTTAGGATATCGCCGTAGGTGTCGGCGCCTACGGCGCCGAGCATGCGGATGCGTGCTGTTTCGCCGGATGAGGTGGTGGTTGTGGTGAATGATGGGGAGGGGGATGTGGTGGAAGAGGTAGTGTGGGTGCGGGACCGCGATAGCTTTGCGCAGGCCACTGCTTGATTGGCGCCTTTGCCGCCGGGGGACACGGCGAAGGAATTGGATGTGAGAGTCTCGCCTGGGAGCGGGTGGTGCGGCACGTAGGAGACCAGGTCGATGTTCAGGGAGCCGAGGACGGTGATGAGGGGGGTTTTGGCCGCCATTGTGAGTGAGCGAGCTTCTCTCTTGTATAAAGCTTTTAGTGGTTGTGGAGATAGTTGGGTTTATGAGTCTGGTTGAGGAGTATTTGAGAGCACGTCGATGCTGTCAGACTGAATCTATCGTGAGTTTGAATTCAGGATTGATATCATGAGTGAAGGAGTTGGTGAGCGTTTGGCGGTCGTTCCGACCGCCAAAGATCTTTGAATAGCGGACCCGAGTTGGTGGGCCTAGCGCTCTAGCCCGCCGGGAGCCCGCCGGCAACCTTGGAAAGGGACTAACCCTAACCCCTAACCTTAACTCGAACCCTGACCCCTTTCTTGCCTTTCAAATATTAACAAGCGCATCGGCGCTTCCCTACCTTTCATACAGTAGGCACAATAAGACACTTTTTATAGGTAGTGTAGGTGTATACTCTACCCCTTGAAATAATGTACTATGCAACACATCAAAGATACTTGCAAGCACACTGTTAGCTACACTTCAGGGGTCTCGATAGCCAAGTTTATAAAAGCCATTTCATTACACAAGTCAGCATGAACGAGTACCAGCTCTAAGGAGAACAGCTACTTTTCACAGCCGTGGCGACCCCTCATATTTATATATGGGAGGGTGTGAATATGGATTGGTTGGTGTGGGAGAAAAGAATATGAGGGCTTGGCTGCGACGTCTGGGGTGCTTGTCAAGTATACGCTCGGACGTGGATTTTACATTATTTCAGGGGGTATAGTGTATGGTGTAGGTGTATGTGTTCACCACTGTCACGGCGAGCATACTGAGGAGCTGGGACATGGCCTGCAGCAAGCAGCTATTACTCTATTGATGAGAATATCAAGACTAGAGAGGAAAGGAAGAGAGAGAGAGATAGGTACAGTGGGAGGTTGCCCCTTTAAGGGGATCCTCTGGTCAGATCCTTCCCCTATTAGGAAGTATCCACTTGTCATGTGGGAAGGTCTGTGCAGGCCGTCACAACCACCTGACAGGTGCGTTGTTGCCCTGGCTCTTGTCCAGTGTTACGGCTGACGAGTATTATATCTCTCTGTCCCTTTCCATGTGCAGGTCGCATCATTGAAAGCACTTAAAATAGATTCGCAAATCTAAAGTATATACTCTCTCTACACAATATCAGGGAACGTGCAAAGGTTGTTGAGATTGTTGCTCAGTCCAGGGCAAGGTCCCGAACAACTCAATGGATATCCACGGTGAATTGATATTGACGTGGATATCCACGTTAACTTAATCTACCGATACCCTTGCAGCCTTAATAACCAACTTAACGACGAAGCTTTTATAGATTAATATAGATTGATATATGTTAATAGTAAGATTTTAATTTTTAACCGTATAAAAAAATCTTTTTATAGTAAGTCTAGCCGGGGTATTTAAAAAAACCAGGATTTTCATACCGAAATTAATAAGGGTCCGGCTGGAAATACGGTAATTTCCGGGGCTATATCACCCCACGAAAATATTAATCTCTAGAAACAAAACCCCTCATTAATACATGTATATCAATTAAGCGACGACAAGGTCGTAAATAATATCAACTCAACTCCACGACGGGGTCTCGTTAACGTGGATTAAGTTGGTCGGGACCTTGGTCCAGGGCTAAGCCAACTCGATCTTCGAGAAGATACGCTAGACGATGTTGTCGGTTTCGTGGCTTCTGTCATCAAGTTTGGGAAACCAAAGATGCCCCCATAGCCACAGGCCCTCTGCAAATACTAAAAGGCCTTTTCCAGCGTGATTCTTGTCCATATAGATCCATGTGATCCCCTACCGTACTGAGCTGGCTTGTCGCCTCATCGACCTCTTCTTCGTCTCAGTCCTCTTGGATGCCGGTGCAGGTGATCATGGGCGATACACTGAGCCAAAACCGGTGGAAGGTACCTAGTGGAGCGAGGGTATCGCGGTAGCCAGCCCTCACATGCTCAACTCGTCGGCTTTTACGACCTCAAAGCCTGGCTATCAAACGGCGGTCCTTGCGTTCTGGTTCGCATTTTGTGGTCCGGTCCACCCCTATTCTATCAGCTCAAGCCACTGGCAATGCCAGCAGTCGAGCCTGAAGGTGACATCTCGGGAACCTTGTAGGGGGCGTCGAATTGATCGATCTCATCTGCCCAAGGGATGCCGTCTTGGGCTCCCATGCTCTGGATTGTGATTGCAGCAGCTTTATTTGCGCGAACAACCGCGCTCTCGATGTCCCATGTCCCCTTGGCCTTCTGGCGCAAGTAGTCGGCAGCATAGGCCCCTGTGAAAGCATCTCTGATATTCGTCATCAACATATGTACATAAACTCACCCTGCACCTTTAGTATCCTTGACCTGGACATCAAACGCTCGGCAGTGGCCGCTTCCCATTGCGTTGGCGTGGAACGAACCCTTGGCACCAAGTGTGATAACCACGTTCTTGACACCACGGTCCAAGAACTCCTGAGCAATGACCGGCCACGTCTCCTCATCGACCTCGTCCCTATCGCGTCCCGACATGATAGCCGCTTCCGCCTCGTTGACCAGCAGATGAGTAAGATGCTTATAGAAGCGATCTCCGATGGGGGTGGCTGGCGCCGCATTCAGGCAGAAATCAACGCCAGCGTTGCCGGCAGTTTCGATCATAGTCTCGACGACGTCCTTGTCGATTTCCATCTGGGCCACGACTAGGTCCGGCCGAATCCCGCCTCCGAGCTGTTCGGCGTGGATGAAGTCGTCTTTCTTCCACGTTGCCGTTGCACCCAGGGTGAAGAGGCAACGGTTCTCGCGTGTCGAGTCCTCGACGATGACGAAACAGACGCTTGAGCGTGTGTTGGGCACTGTCACGATGCCGGAAGTATCCACCCCATTCTTGTTCAATTCGGTGATGAACTTGTCTCCGTAGTGGTCGTCACCGACGGCGCCGATCATCTTGACCTGGATATATTCGTCACCTGAGCCGCTGATGGTGAGTCGCTCCGTTGCGGGTGTGGGCTGCTGCGTGGGAGCTGAAGCTGCATTGTCACCGCCGGTTGACTCCTCTGGTACTTCATCCCCGGTTGTTCTTTTCTTGTCTAGCGGACTCTTGTGACAAGTTCGGTACGTCGCAATTGCAGAATTCGCCCCCTTACCGCCCAAAGCTTCCAGATACTCGTTTGCTAGAACACTCTCCCCGGGGCCGGGGATACGACTTGCTATCATGATCAGATCAGCGTCCAGCCCTCCGATAACCGCGATTGTCTGTGGCGCCATAGTCGAACTTTCCTCCACAACAACCCTTGTCGTGATGGCCAGTGTGTGGGAAGCTGCGGCTAGAATAGTTCTTTGTAGGTCTGAGAGATGACGGGCACGTTTGATGGCAAACCACCTTGCTAAATAGAAGCATGCCAGGCACGCCTCGAATCACAGGCGGCAATCAAGTTTGGCGGTGTAGCACCAACATGCTCTGTCGAACCATGTAAGGGCCCTTACCATGTGGGCAAACCAAATTCCTGCGGCACGGGTCTATGTGCCACAGTCTGACCAACTGCGCATGTTGGTGGTGCATCTTTTGGTTTCTCGCCATCTTCTCAGGCGCATACTGCTGATTGCCTTTCTCCTTTTAGGGAAAGCATGGTTAGTAGTCGGCAACGAGTCTGGCTGGGTATTGCCACAAGACCTAGTCGGACGTTCTTAACCTTCTCCAAGTTCCGGCGCTCTCTCATCTCAAAACAGGTCGAAGTTTCGAGGAGTAAGCCACTCTTCTTGAGAGAGAGCAGCACCGGAAGGTATTTGTGTTCCAAACGAGTTGTGGACAACCAAGCCAGGTGGTAAGATGAGGCATGGCACATCCAGGAACAAGACTGCTAAGTTAGGAATCCCCAAGGTTCCTTGAAGAAGGTATGGAAGAGCGAAGTCCATGATGAGTAAAGCGGCTGTAGAGTTGACGTAGCTCTAGATTTCCAGTGCTGTGTGATGATACTTAAAGTATCCCATCGGAACCTGGAATGAGTGTCCATACGGACGGGCAGGTCATACTACCTGACCCAGGGCAGATTATGACGATCTCGTAATGTTATAAAAGCAAATTTCTTCTATTTTTCCGATTGATTCATAAAACTTCCACGGTATAAAGAATACATTTTGGAATGTACATTAGGAAAAATGGGTCGCTGGTCGGCTCGTGCCGGCGTCAACCCCACTGTCGTCACTGTCAGCTGGAGCCCCCAAGCTGTCAACTACGGTAACTCTACGTTGACCAAGGTATACTCAACAGACGAGCACAATGGCAGACCTCAACTTACAGGAGATACATGACACGTTGATCTCGGTGGCCCACGAGGCCGGGCGCATGATGCTGGCCGCAAATCCCACCGACATCGACACAGGAACGAAGCTCAACTGTACGTCGCATACCCCGCCATACCCCGCCATCGTAGCCCGGATTGGAAGTGAAGCCATTCGCAATGACCCCTTACTACCTCTGAGAGTATTACAAGCACAAATAAAGCAGTATAACGACCGTGCTAACACGCCTGTCTACCCCATCAACAGCCGCAGACATCGTGACCGAAACCGACAAGGCAGTCGAGACGCTCGTCTCAAAACGCCTCTCAGCCGCCTACCCGTCCTTTGAGTTCGTCGGCGAAGAAACCTACAAGCCAGGCGTCACAAAAGTGACGTCCGCACCAACCTTCATCGTAGACCCGATCGACGGCACCACCAACTTCGTGCACGGCTTCCCCTCGGCCTGCATCTCGCTCGGCTTCGCCGTCGACCGCGCCCCCGCCGTCGGCGTCGTCTACAACCCCTGGCTGGACCAGCTGTGGACCGCCATCCACGGGCAGGGCGCGTTCCTGACGGTCGGCGCCGTCTGGGGGCTGGAGGGCGGCAAGGGTAGGCGGCAGAAGCTGCCGCTGGCGAAGAACCCGGCGCCCCTGGCGGGGCTGGATACGGCGCTGGTCGGCATTGAGTGGGGGAGCAGTCGCGATGGCGTCAATTACGAGGTCAAGACTGAGGTTTTCAAGAAGCTGTGCGCGTCGAAGGAGACGGGGGGCGTGATGGTGCATTCGCTGCGCAGTATGGGGAGTGCGGCCCTGAATCTGTGTGCGGTCGCAGCAGGGAGTCTGGATCTCTATTGGGAGGGCGGATGCTGGGCGTGGGACGTCTGCGCGGGCTGGGCCATCCTTACTGAGGCCGGTGGCATCATGGCCGGCGGCAATCCGGGCGATTGGGAGCCCACGATCGATGGGCGCAAGTACCTTGCTGTTCGAGGCGCGGCGAGCGGGCAGAAGGACATCGTTGAGGCGTTTTGGAAAGTTGTCGGTACGGGACGGATGGAATATGAAAGCTGAGTGTTTACCTACCTAGGTAGATATCTATGACTTGATGAGCTATGAGGAATCAAAAGAGGAAAGACATTATTGCAGACAGGAGGCAGATTGCCGGATTTGGCCAAGGGATGATAGATGGTAGATACCTTAGAAGACTCAACTATGTCTCCGCTCATTCCTGGCTTAGCCCCCTTCGGAGGGGTGCAAGAACGCTGGAATGTCACCTCTGGAAACAGTTTCGATGGAAACGAATTTCGCATGACGCTTTCGACGACTGAGATTCATAAAACCAGAATCCAGCATCTGTCTCCATGGGGTGGATGGAATAGTCCTTCGCTGTTGTGATGATGGCGCCGTGGGCTGTTAAGAATCAGATCGGCCCAGTTGCGAACCAGCCGGGTTCGAGACTTAAGAAATGGAACAAGAGGGAGCTTATACGGTGTGGTGCAATAGGTAAGTCACTTTCTTTTTCTGCCCAGGTCCAAGACTGCTAACGTGTCACTTAGGGACGACGAAACACAGAGACCTCAATCTCCAGGGCGTTATACACCCTATCTTTGCGAAGTGGGTGAAGACGGACCCAGAACTACGAAAGGAGCTCCAACAGCCTCTACTACTAGCTAGCAGGATCCTCGAAGCTGCTGGGTTGCCATGGCTTTCAGATTTCCTCGTCAACGACATCTTTGCCGAATCCTATCCCGGAACAACAACTGAGGGTTGCACTGAGAGCGTCGTTCCCCAAACCATCACCAGACACCACCGAGCATCCTGGGCAAACGAAAAAGTGAAGACGCAATGGCTGAACATTACTCGAAGTCAGACGGAGAAAGAGATCGCAAAGTCAATAACGTGGGAGTTGGACGAGCACATGTTCCCGGAAAGGGGCTGGGTCGGGTATACGTGCCGCCATCCTAGAGGAGACCTAGCCCTTGCAGAACTCGACAAGTACGAGACGATCAAGAAGTTCGACAGATGCTGCAAGAATAAGAGCTACCGGAACATGTCGATTCTTATTATGGCGGAATACCCTCGGCGACTCGCAGAGTTGAGGAAACAGGGGAAGGCTCATGGGGAGGAGTATCTGTTCACTGCTTTCATGACGACAGTAACAATACTGCACGAGTAAGTGCCCCTTTTCCAAACCGCCATGTGTGTTCTGACAACCTGGCTAGACTCGGACATGTCGTCTACTGGAAAGACTGTCGTTCCCTGACGCGAATTGCCCGAGAACCGTACTACGGAGCAGACCTCGAAATGGAACTCGGTGACAGCTTCGTCGCTCACATCTTCGGAGGCTGGGTGCCTGTGCCGATTAGGAATTTTGCACGGCTCCGTGAGGACTTCTCCTTTGAGGATGGTCTTTCATGGCGGCAGTTCTTGAGCTGGGACTATCATAGGCTTAGGCCTAAGCACCGGGCTCACTACTCGATATCTGTCGAATAGTAAGTCTGCCCTCAAATTCTCAAAGAGAACATCTAATAACTGGCTTCATAGCATTGCTCAGCTGTTCACGGAGAAGAGCTGGTCAAATCCTGGCACCCTGGAAGACCTGATCCGGCCCCAGGCTCTCACGAGAGGCGGCACTGCTCTGAGGACTGTTGGCATGCATGAGCACCTGACACACACCAATCAACACGCCACAGCAGCCGTAGCAGACTTCCACGGCACCGGCGAAGGATACATGTGGAACAGGCGACCCGGGGCCCTCTTCCGCATACCGCAGTACGACGGGTGGGTGTGTCCAGAGATAGACCTACCAGTAGCCACCGACGACGTGATCCAAGAGCCCACGCCCCGAAACCCATCCTCTTCCCACGGCCCCCCACGAAACGAACAACAAAGTTCCCGAAAGCTCGCATTAGCAACGAAGAAGAACTCGATGCGAACAATAACACCCGGCACGCCCGAGAAACGAGATAGCACGGCTGATAAGACAGCGCTGGCGACTGGTGGTGGTTTGCAGGTGGAGGAGCTGCCGCTGCCGACAATGCAGCTGAGTCCGGGCGGCGCCGGGGTGCTGAGCCCGACCCGCAGCGAGATCTCGCTTGATGAGCTGAAGAAGAGGCTGTCGTCCCTCATAGGGGTGTCGCTTACGGAGCTGGAGAGGCTGTTTGATGCGCCACAGTGTTCCTAGTGTTGACTGGGGGACCTAGTGTTGACTGGGGGAGAGGAGATGCACGTACAGTCTTGCGGCTCTCTAATACATTGGAGGCCCGTTGTATCATAACCTAATCCAATCTAATCCAATCTAATCGTCCTGACGAATAGTTCATTGTGTCACTTATAACATTGCCGCACCTTCAGCATCTGCTGGGGATTCCAAAGACGGGGGGCTCTTGGCAACCAGAGATGGCTGGGAGGCTATTTCAAGGTGTTGATCATGGCAACCGATCCGGATGATCCAAAGAGTCCAACGATATATTGCCGACTTTGTTTACGTAGAGCGATGGGTGGGACGCTTATTCGCTGCCCAAGTCAACAGGAGGGGCTGGGTTGTCCAAGAACGGGTGCTTCCCCCGAGGATCTTGTATGTCGGCAATGATCAACTGTACGGCGATTCCTACAGTCTGGCTGCGTGTCTGCGAAAGCTGTGATTAACTAAGAAAGGCTTGGAACGCCTTGAGCATGAAGAAGCTCCTCGCTCTCGAGGTCGTCATTGTCTGTCTGGTGGACCTCCTCCAGCCAGATAGGGAGGGGAAAAGCCTGACCGGGCGACGAGTGCTAGTTGATTATGTACTTTGGCCAGCACCATCAATGTTCACCCTGGATTTGAGCTGGAGGCACATACGCACGCCGTTAGGACTTGACGCATCGTAGAGGTCGATGAGTCAGATGCATCAATAACTTACATGTGTAGCTAGCTTGATCCTTGGGCATGGCTCGCATGTAAAATGTATCTCGAGGACGTGGATCTGCTGCTATCTGGGTAATCTAGGTCTATACTCTGCATATGCTGCAGTCTGCATGTATATCGGAGTCTTGGTGGTTGCAGAGCGTAGGTTAGTGGGGCCGAGAATAGGGGTTCGACCTGACCAATACGTGCCTAGGTATACAGCAGGATGCATTCACTCTGGTTGAGAGTGAGGGACCAGCAGGTAAGGAGGCATTTAATCCAACGCTTATCTTTCTCTCTGTGTCACGATAATACATTTGGCACAGAGACCACCATTCTGAGCTCATCGTTGAGACTGGAGGCGCGTGGTCTTGAGGGTGTCACACTACCCGGTAGTCGAGAAGCCTCATGATAGACACGACACGAAGTGATTGGTAAATTTGTATTAGACTCCCTTACGCCCGCATGACCGCAACCTGAGGACGGCGCTACCTGACTCGTAACGTCCTCAACCCCCATTCAGTAGCTGGAGATGGCGACTCTCCAGGGCCACGGTCGTAGAACAAACACACCTAGACAATCCCAACCCGGGGAAGCTCAATACGTTGAATGACGTCCCCACGACTCTTCCGGGCCTCGTGCCGAATCCCAATCAAGTCAGCACAAGACGCAGAGATCGCGATGACCCAGGGCGGAGGTGCGTCGCCTTGTTGCCGGTCACCTTATCTCTATACGATACCGACGACATAACCTTGTGATCAGCAAACATCGACGACCCAGCCACTTGGATCCGCTGAGTCGTATGGGCTATGAATATCAAAATGCCTGAATGGTCCAATAGGGTTGAGTGCCGGACTGTCATGCACCGCCATCCCGATTTTCGTATGCAAGGCGCCGCAGCAAACAAGGCCTAGCCTGCGAGGAGGCAAGGGGCATTCGTTTGGAAACAGATAACAAAGTCCCATACATACAGAGTGCCGCTGCATTGGTGCTGATTTGCACAGACCTTAGGAGTGACGGGCAGGCATCGCGATTGGGACCTGTCACTGAGTCCATGAGCCCGGGGAGGCCTAGACGCATGCAGGCACGCATCACAGCCAAGTCGTGCAACATCGTAACAGGATATCAACCTTGGGCCGCATGCAACCTAATACGACCATATAAAGGTGAAGTGATACGAGATAAGTGAGTTCAACCTAGCATAGTGCCCCAAATCAAGGCTGGAGTGCAGTAAATTGCGATCAAGGGAAGCTTACCGAGGCACATGTGATGGATTAGATCGACTGGAACATAGCCCACAAAAGCGTCCTTGAGCTTGCCGGCGAGAGCAGGATATCCAGTGATTGTTCAGTCTCTCAGTTCTAGCATCCTTGCGGACTTTGCGAGATGAGAGGTTGTACTGGAGCAGGATAAGCTATAAGTGTATCTAAATACATATACTTTTAGAGGCTGTTATTTAGATCTGTATTATTTGGATTACTCCGAGCATTGCAAGACCTGACTGACTTATGGGTGCAATTCTCTCAACATACTTAGCACGAGCAAGGGGCGTGAGTCCTGTCTTTTCACCGTTTCAACCGAGTATGTATTCGCCGAGTAGCCTTTCTCAATAAAACCAAGGAGATGATTCTAGAGTGAACCAAGGAATACCATCAAGCCATAGTTGCTCTGCTTCACACTTTCATAATAGGAACCACACTCTCAGTCCTTTTCTGCCTTCCCAGGCGCCCAGAGACAGATAGAAGACAGGTGTCTCTTCTCGCAGTACGGAAATTGCAAGAAACATATCCTCATCATCCAAATACATGACATCAAGGGAAATAGAATCAATGAAGGACCTGCTTCGGGGTATGCGTCATCACACAACTACCAATATGCGCACTTCTATGCTTTCTCGAGCTGGCGGTGCCGTATCACCTGGCCGGCAGGGAGGTAGAGGGAAAGCGGCATGGGGGACTCCTGTTCAAGACATCAGTGAGTATAACATAAGCGTTCCCAAAAGTACCCGAGACTCACCTTGGTAGACACGTCCTGGATGCTCAGGGTCCGACTCGGCCATTCTCAATAGCAGCACCTCGTGGGGACGCTGCTTCGAGAGATAATAGAAGCGGTGTTGCGGGCTATATCGAAGGTATAGGTTCTCTCCTTCGTAACTGTCGGTCTTGACAAGGTCGACTGGTGTGCAGTCTTCCGGCTTCACTGTCTGGAGGTCGCAGAATCCTAGCGGGTAGTTCATTACCGGATCCGAGAGTGGCCGCCATACGCTGAGTTCTGAAGTCAGATGTGCTTTCTCTTGACGCAAAAGTAGCTGAATTATATTGAATTACTTGACGATCAAGTATCTTCTCGTGCTGGAGATGTTCTCCGCCTCTTCTTTCCCCACTTGCTGTACAAGCCTCGAGAGTAGAGCCTTTTGTGTCTGGTCTATACCATGTCTCGATCAGACGATGACGGCAGCACGATCGAGTTTGATCTACTCACCCACATGAGCTGCTGTCACTGGCATATATGTGCCCTTGTACTTCCTGGGCGTCCCTCGATGATCATGACGAACCTGTTGTTTCTCAAGTTCAGCATCCGACGTATCAAGAAGCGACCAACGGGTACACCCACAATCCAATTGATCACGATGACACGCTCAGCACCATAGTATCGACGCACCATCTCCTCGCATTCAGGGAGGTACTTCTCTTCGACGGTCTCCCGAGCCCGGAAGTCGTTACGACTGAGTGCGCTCTGGTGTTGTACGATCTCGAAACCGTTTCGCTCGAGTGTGAATCTTGCTTCGTTCCCTCGAACATCGTGGACATCGACGCCGCGTTTCTCAAACTCGACATTGGTCTTTTTGGCACCTTCGACGTGTCTCACGTCACATTCGCAAATGTACGGTTTCTCATGGACGTGGATAGCCAGGGGTTTGAAGAACTGGATTGCCGTCCTTACCGTGCCGGGCCTGCAGGCAGTGGGTGCTAGGCCAGGCCATAGGTACTTGCGAGCGATCTCAGCTACGTAGGATATCATGGTGAGGAGCCAGCTGGTTTTCCTCGAAGGCTGTATCTTGGAATTGAGAGGAAAAGAATGAGGGCAACGGGACGGCGGGCGGCAAGATGAAGAAAGATCTTAAAAAAAAAAAGATTGCTCGTGACACGGGAGACTGAGAACCTAGGCTGAGCCCTTCTTTCCAAACTGTGACCCCTCTCATGGTCGTGGTCGTTCTACTCTGTCAGCCCCTATTCTGTTGCCCCTCTTGCCCCTATCGCAAACTACGGACCGCCAACCTTCCCTTGCGTTGCTATCCAACTTTGGTACTCAATCAATGAAGCTCAAACGATACTCCTCTGGTCAACAAAGTAGTTCCGGCCGGTACGCAATTAATGAAGCTCAGACGACACCCCTCTGATCCTCAAAGTAGGTCCGGCCGGTACGCAAGCGCAAGGGATGAGTTGGAAAGGATACCTGGCCGATGCAAGGCGACTCACTCTCGATTCAGTGCAAGGATATTGCCCTTACATCGCTATCGTCTCTTCACCTTCCCATCATGGGAGCCATAATTGCGCATTACGGCCGAATGAAGCTTCTACCCCAGTCCAATTGCAACGACAATCCTGTAGTAGACGTAGTGATTGGCGGAAATTCCAAACTTTTATCCAAACGCCTGGGCCCGAACCTTTGTCTTGGATCTTCCCCCACGTCGACGACCAGGCTTTAGAATATCCCGAAGTTCTGGGTCGTCCACAGCCGGGTGGCCAACAGCAGCCGTGTGTAGCATAACAGGGGGCTACGAACCACGGAATCTTTGATGGTTGACGATGGTAATGACGAGTCCGTGATGGCGCATGACACGATAGAGCCAGTGAGGACGATCAGCAACCCACACCGGTGAGATGAGATGCCAATGTGAGTGACGAGCTCTTGATCCGAGTAGAGTAGACTCCCTCAATATCAGGAATGGGACAAACCTTCGCCATGAACACCTCAACTGGGTCTTTGGGCAAGAGCTCTGTCTATATAAGGCTCACCTTCGCCTACATCCATTCACTCGAAATACTGCAGCGCCTCACACAGCTTCTCAAAACTCATTGAGCACCGTCTCAGCATCATCCCAACCTCAGCCATCAACACACTAGCATCGCTAAAGCCTGCCCACATCAGCCAACATGTACGCCAAGATCCTCGCCATTCTTGCCTTCCTCGGCCTCACCGGCGCTGCCGTCGTGACCGCCGCCCCCGCAGGCAAGCCCGGAACCGACCAATGTTATTCAGGCATCCAGGCCCGCCGTGCTGGAGCCCCCGGCCTCATGATCAACACCCGCGACGCCGACGGCCAGCAGAAAGCCCGGGATGTCAACACCGTCCTCACTCGCGAAGCCGACGGCATTGACGCCACTGCCATGGCAGTCGAGCGGGCCAAGGCACGCTCCCAGCCTTGGCGCGAGTTCAAGCGCGCCGTGGCTGGCGAGGCCGCAGTGGCCGAGGATGCAGACGACCTCATCTACGAAGGAACCAGCTGTGCTTAAGCCAGACGCAGTTGGTAAGTATAGTACTTGGTTCTCAGAAGAAGCATCTTCGGACAATAATAGCTGATATCGAGACGAAAGCGAAAGAGCCGACTCGAAGATGGGGTATTTGATTGGTCGTTGCGGAGGAATAGGGGAGACTGGCACAGGCTGCAGGGACGGGATGTTGGACGGTACATGATTCCACGACCAAACGACATTCGCTTCTTTCTGACCTCGGTATGATGTATCGAGGTATTACGTTGGCTTTTTTTTCTTTCTTTTTTCTTAGGTAGATACTCAAATTCAACCCAGTCGCTCATTAACTGCTGGTCAGGGACGCTGTGAAAGCCATAAAATCTGATCTGATGTAAGATGCCAGCAGTATCAACATAGCACAACACCGGATGATCCGCTCACAGCAAAGTTTTTCATGTAATCAAAGCACTGCTTCGTATCTTGCTGTAGTCCGCCTGGTTCGACCGCCCCTGACTCGTGAGCTGTTAACCTCATAGGCTTTTCCGCTGCCAACATGGCTCGCGAGCTGATGGCAGAAAAGCCGCATTCGGAGACAGCAGGGGACCTGCACCTCTTGCATCAACACGTCGGACATGAAGATACCAGGAGTAGCCGTTGGATGTACCCAAGGGAAGAAAGCGTCCGCTTCAAGCGAGAACACGGGGACTGTTCTCCGCACCCCACGCGGGCGTACACGTGAATAGCTCTCATGGATATGCCACTCATTGACATGTCACAATCGACATGCCACAATCGACATGTCACAATTGATATATCATTTATCAACATGTCACTTGGAAATCACAATACCAGCCGGCCTGATTCGCTGGTGCCCCCTGCTGTATATATGATGACTCCAAGCCCCCCTTACTGTGCCATAAGAGATCGGCAACCAATAAGGCTCTGATCCGACGATCTGATCTGTCACCTGCAGCATTGGCGACCCGAGAGGGCATCTTTTCCGCAGCCAAGAGACATACCGGTCGGTCCGACACTCCGAAATGATGCCACCAACCTGGTCTGAGGAGCCGAAGATCTCCAGAGAAGCCTCCATGCGACACCGTAACGAGCAAGCTGCATGATGCATCATGCAGGCTGAAAGCTGTATTTCCCCTCGTGACCGGTCCCCATAATGGGCGTGCCGCATAGCCTCGTCCTTGCCAGACTAGGCATGAATGCCGCCGTCAGGTTGCAGCCGTGGGATCAAAAGCTGCTGTTCACCTCTCGAGCTGCCGGGGACGAAAACGCCTTGGGGGATTCGTGCATTGTGTTTCCAATATTGCTGCAGTAGCCATACTGCGCCAGTCGCTGCACCGATACAATGTTCATGTTGCATTCAATCAACTCGGCTCTACGCTCCCTCAGTCGACAGACGCACGAAGAACCATGTCCGGAAAGCTCTGCGAGCATAGAGGGCGAATCACAGCCCCAAGGAAGTCGACCATCCGCGGAAGAGGCGCCTAGTATCATATACGGCACAGCTTGGAAAGGGGAACATACAGACCGATGTGTCACCCAGGCCGTGACGGCTGGTTTCAGAGCCTTTGACACCGCGGCCCAGCCGGCTCACTACAGAGAGGATCTAGTCGGCGACGGCCTGAGATGTGCCATCCGGGAGGGTTCGTCACGAGGGACACCCTCTATGTAAGAGACTGTAGTTCATCGACAGCCGAAACAATGGACTGACAATGAGGTCGCCAACATAGATCCAAACCAAGTACACACCTCCCGCGTCCCAAGACCCCGAAAACATGCCGTACAGCCCAGACATGACCATCACGGAGCAGGTCCGGGCCTCCGTCTTATCCTCCCTCCACAACCTCCGCGTAGGCACCCCAGACGAGGCGGCCTACCTCGATGCTGTGCTCCTGCACACCCCCTTCCCGTCGCGCGAGCACACCCTCGAGGCATGGCGCGCTCTCGAAGAGTTCGTGCCGCATCGGGTACCATCACTCGGCGTATCCAACATCAGCTACGGGCAGCTGGAGCACCTAGGCCAACGGGCCAGGATCAAGCCGGGCATCGTGCAGAACCGGCTGCGTGCCAAAACCGGGTACGATAAGGAGCTGCGGCAGCTATGTGCGTTGAACGGGTGTCAATACCAGGCCTATGGGGTGCTGGGGTCGAACCGGGATCTCATAGCCTGCAGGCCGGTCTTAGAGTTCGCGGCAGAGGTTGGAGTAGATGCGGCGGTTTCCCTGTTCTTCCTGTTGCAGCAGACGTTGGGGGTCTGTATACTGGCTGGTACAGCACAGACGGAGCGGATGGGCGGTAGCATTGGAGGGCTGGCTAGGGTGGAATCGTGGCTGCGTGATAAGAAGAACGCGCATGCATGGGATGCATTGAGTGGTGGGTTTATCTCGGAATTGCAGGGCTATATGTAGGTCGAGGCGTATAGCATGACTTGATTCGTCAGTGGCCCGCCCTATCAGGTCTGCATACGGAGGTTCATCCGGCACCGCCACCAAGTCTCATTTCTACGATCTTCACAGGTTACCAACTGCCCGGGTTGATGACAAAACCTGATATACTTCTGCACGTCTGCTCGAATGCGGTATCCATGAGCCGAAACCGGGCTGTATGGGCGGATTGGCTCTACCCCCTATCCAGATTGAGAACAATTAATAATGACAGGCACAGCTGCTCCTGCAATCCTTCTTGCGCTTTACGGTTCAGCGTCCTTATCTACCATTCTTGATCCCCAGTTGTCATCAAAGCGAACTCTTCTGTTCGCCTTTTTCTGTCACTCCCAAGGTCCTTCTGAAAGAACAAGTCCCCTCACGGCAGCCTCGAGATGGCTATCTCCAGCACTATCACCCAACTTGCTTCCCAACCCATCGACGCCAAGCAGCATCATGGAGAAGCCCGTAACCAGAGTCAGCGGTTGAGGTCCCTCAACCCCACAATCAGGGAGTTGATGCGAATTTCCGGCACAGTAGGCCTGTCAGTCGGAGTCCACCGCAAGGGGCTGCCGCGCTACGTTGCCAACTTCGGATTCCGGGACAACGACAACAAGCTCCCGATCACGGGGCAGACCATCCTCAATGCCTGCTCCCTTAGCAAGTTCTTCGTGGCCATGACCATGGCTCGCGCCGTCGATGACCCGACGAGCCCGCTGACGTGGGAGAGCCTCGTCAGGGACACCCTGCCCGGATTTGCTATTGACGATGATTTGATCAGGGAGAACTTAAATATGGTTGATCTCCTCAGCCATCGCAGCGGGCTCTCGACCGGCCCCAATAGGCGCGGTGGAAACAACCAGATGATGGTTGCCCAGAAAGACTGCCTAAAGTACATCAACTAGCAAGTGCGCAAGGGACCATTCCGGCAGAAATGGGGGTATAATAATGTTGGTTACGAAACCGCGGGGCTCGTGCTTGACGAAGTCACGGGTTCTTGGGCCAAGACGATGCGGGAGGAACTCCTAGTGCCCCTTGGTATGAAGCGGTCGTCACTGTATCATCCAGTACACAAGGATGAGAATGTGGCCAAGGTATACGGCACTCTCGATAACAGGAGCCCAGTCGAGATTTCCTCCGCTGCTGCCGAAGAGGGTTCGGTCGTGGGAGGCCCCGGTGGCGGCCTCTTCACATGCGTTGACGATCTCCTCAATGCCTATGCCGCAGCCCTGGAGGCGTTCAAAGACCAAGTCGCGACGGGAGATGCCAAGACAGAGGGATCTCCCATCAGAAGGGCAGCCAATCTTCTCTCTGCCAAGATCCCCATGCTTCGGCCCACCTACAGGGAGTTGTCATATGCTCTAGGCATGTGTCGCATACAGCTGCCCGGGCCAATGGGGCAGATCGGCAACAACGCCGACCTCATCCCTGACATGCCCGTGGTGGGCAAGGGGGCTCCTTCGACGCTTGTGTTCTGCCATCAGGGCAGTCGTCCCGGGACGCTCTGCGCCATGGCCATGCTTCCTGAGCTGGACACATCCGTCGTCGTGATGAGCAATTCGCTCGGGCTGAACGACTGTCCCGACTGGGTGCTGCAACTCGTCATCGAAGAGCTTCTGGCGGTGCTGGGGCCGGATAGGAACGATTACCTGGACTATGCCAGGAAATCTGCAGCGGCCACGTACAACTGGGAAAGGAAACGGCTGCAGCGCTGGCACGAGAGAGTAGGGTAGGCCTGAACTCGAGGACACCTGCGAGGCCGCTAGCGGCATACACCGGTGTCTATTGGAACAAGCAGAGGTATCAGAAGATCGTCGTGGCTCTGGAAGACGACGGGACTCTCTCCTGGGCTCTCCAAGGTCCGGCGTCAGAGAAACACCAGCTCACACCACTCGTCGACGATACCTTCACGTGGTTTAGACCAAGAGACGAGATGGTGTCCAGGGGCCGCTAAGTCGAGCAGCCCCCGACTTACTGGAAGCTGAGGTTCGAGGCGGACGGCAAAGGCGACATCCGGATGGTGAACTGGATGTTTGATCCTTCGGTGCCTACGAACGGGGACTTTTTCAAGGACTAAGTTAGTCGGCACCACTGGGATCACGGTTGCAATGTTTCCTGGCAGGACGACAGTCGGTGGACAGGACGACAGTTGGTGGACAGGATAAGCAAGGTCTTTTCGACACTTTGGTAGAGATTCTGCGTTACCAATAAGCGTCAGATTTCATGGAGCTGTGGTCATACCTGATACAAGTCAGCAGCATCGTCTTTGTGTAGGTTAGGTACTTATTAGAGGACGACTAACCGTCAGCGATTAATACGGGGAAATTGGCGCCATCCGCTATCCTAGAAAACTCGTGTCAATAAGGGCCCTACGCTTCCAAGTATTCTCTCGTGCTCCAGTATATTGTGGACGGACTTGTTCAATGTCCCCGTGCTGTCAATGGTAAAAGTCTGGTATTGACCTATGAGATTGGATACCCAAGAATGACGTGGGTTTTGGGAAAGCAAGGCGATGTTAGACTCGGTGATTTGCAGCGTGGCCAAGGCGTAACGGCCAGCTATCCAATACCATAGCGGAAAGGGTTCCCGACACCCCGAAATCCAGATATGCCCACCTCGGCAGAGACCTTCCATCTCCATACCGAGATATGCATATTCTCGAATCAGAGATCATCCTGTGCTCCAGTAGACCATAGCAGCCGAACTAGCCAGTTCACTCTGCTCTGCCGACACACGCGATGCGATATACCAGGGAGGAGTAGCAATAGAGCTCATGTTGGCATTCGTCCGCGCCAATACAAACAGCTTGATCTGTTTGCGGAATCGGGTATGTAGGTAGCCCTGTGAGCCTGGGAAACCTGCTTAGACCACCGGTGAACACTAGTAACGCTTCATCGCAGTCACAGTCCTTGTAGATCTTGAGGAGAATGGGCTCTTGTGTTGTGGAACATCAACGTGGACTTTGATGATATGTGGCGATGATCATAATGACGGAGCTGACACCGGCGGTGTAGGGTGCTGGGAGTATCTCATAGGAAGTAAGGTATGCTGTGAAGTCCCGTCGGGAGTGTTCCCGGGCGCAAGCATGTGTTTAGGCGACGCAGTACTGGTGCTTGACTAATTTAAAGTACAGCGATCCAGTGGGCCTGGCGGGGCGTGCATGGTGCGGCAAGGATCAAGCTAGGACAGGACACGGGTAAGGTAGCTTCAACTGCTAGTCCATGTCCCGCTTTTATAAACCTCCGATTCAGGCTTTTCCCTTCTGATTGCGGGTGGTCGTTCGCCTCGCGTTTCTCTGTTCTCTGACTCGAGCGGCCGAGATAGTACCAGACCGTAGACATAGGGTTTGCTTATCGGCACTAAGGCAACTCAACCCTCCTTCCCTCCCACACAATATGATTGTTCCTCCTCCTTCTTTGTCCTGTAGCCAACCGCACATGTAACACTGCATCTTCTGCTTCTATCTTTCCTGCTCAACCACCCCGGCCAGCTTGAGCTCAACGTTGCATCGACGCGATAACAACGACAACCCTCGCTCTTGTCTCGCACCACCACCAACCACAACTATAACCACAACCACCGATCCTTCCTTCCCCTTGTCCAGTGGCGTACATAAACACCGACCGCCTTGTTTGTCCCTGGAGGAAAGACAGAGGCACTACCTGTCGCCACAACACTTGACACTTGCTCTACTGCTTCAACATTCTGCAGCAACGGTTCAAGCTCCATCAAGTGTTGTGTCAACCTGTCGTAAGACTGAAACCAAGTCGAGAAGCAATGGTCCTAACTAAGCAGAGATCACCTCGAAACCCGGATGATTTCCCGACTGTCCAGCTCTTCTTGCTAGGTGAGCTTTCTCCTCCGACGACAAACAGCCTGGCTCGATGCTGACTGCTCCTCCTCCTCCATAGCCATCGTTCGTCTAGCGGAGCCCATAGCTCTCACCTCCATCTTCCCATATGCCTGGTCGCTCGTCAAGAGATTCAAAGTCGGCAACGAACAAGATGCCTCGTTCTACGCCGGCCTCCTCATATCCTCTTTCGCCCTGGCCGAGGCCCTGATGGGCATGTTCTGGGGTGGACTCTCGGATAGGATAGGGCGAAAGCCTGTCCTCATAATGGGTTGTCTCGGCACTATGTTCAGTATGATCATGGTTGGCTTTGCCACCAACATCTGGATAGCCTTGGCCGGTCGGGCCATTGGAGGATTTCTCAATGGGAACATTGGAGTCATCCAAACCATGGTCGCAGAACTGGTTACAAAGCCGGAGCATGAGCGTAGGTTCTCCCCAGTCCTGCCTACTGTACCCAAGTAAGGAAAAAAGGCTGACGTCTGCAGCTCGTGCATACTCTGTTATGCCTTTCGTATGGTCAATTGGTACTATCATTGGGCCAGCAATCGGCGGCATGTTCGCGGAACCCCATGAGTCTTTCCCCAACGTTTTCCCCGAAGGAAGCTTGTTTGCCAACTTCCCTTACCTTCTGCCCAATCTCCTGTGTGCTGCTCTGTTGCTAGTCAGCATTGTTCTGGGCTACTTCCTACTCGAGGAGACCCATCCCGACATGAACCCTCGTGTTATGCTTCCCGATGATACCTACCATTCGGAGGAGACTCCTCTTTTCGAAACCTCGGACGCCATTAAGCAACCTCCTGTCGACTTGCGCTCGGAGACGTACGGAACATTCAGAAACAGCATCGACTTGGGCCCTGACACGGTACGTCCAAAGGAGCCCGCGAAGAACGATTGCTTCAGTATCTTCAACAAGCGCATCATGTCTCTGATCATTGCCTTGTCCATCTTCACGTACCACTCGATGACCTATGATCACCTGCTGCCAATCTTCTTTGAAGATGACAAGGCTACCATGGGCTCTGTTTTGGGCGAGGGCCTGCTATCAAGCTTCAACCCCTTTTACTCACCTGGTGGCTTGGGCCTCTCTATGCAGTCGGTCGGTATCATCATGGCTGTGAATGGTGTGATCGCACTGTTCGTTCAGGCTGTCATCTTTCCCCTTGCAGCTGAGAAGATTGGTGTGTACAGACTCTTCATCGTTACTACCATTCTTCACCCGGTAGCCTATGTCATCGTCCCCGCCTTGATCCATGTGCCTGACTCTTTGGTCTACCCGGGAATCTACTTCTGCCTGACCATCAGAAACATACTGTCGATTATCCTGTATCCCCTGCTTCTCATTCTCATCAAGGAAGCCACGCCCAGCTCGGCTGTCCTTGGCAAGGTGAATGGATTTGCAGCCAGCGCAGGTGCTGCCTGCCGCATGATTGCTCCTCCGGTCGCCGGCTACTTATACTCGGTTGGTGCTCAAATGGACTGCACCGCACTGGCGTGGTACGGCAGTGCCGTTGTGGCAATGGTCGGAGCCTTTCAATGTTTTTCCGTCAAGCGAGATCGGCACGAGGGAATTTCGGAGGAATGCGGCGCTTCCAGGACCAAGGGAACAGGATCTCAGGTTGCAATTATTGAAGTAGACGAGGAATACGAGGCAGAAGACGAACAGGCAACGGCTTGAACATTGGATGATGGCATCGTCGGTGACGTTGACAAGTGCGGCAAGGCAAAAAGACGTCGACGTGCAAAAGCACCCTCGATGAGTTGTCATTCATGACTATGGGCAGGAAGCCTTCATGGGAGTACGTTCGGCGCATACGATCATGTGATATAGACGGCGTATCGGCATTTTTGTATTCGGTTACGGCGTTGAGGCAGGGCTGGTGGGCTTCAAAAATCATGCTAGAGGTGCGACGATATCCCTACAAAGCGCAGGAGGGTAGAAAGCGTTGCTCGATGCCTTGGTTCCTGAAGCTATTTGACTTGGTAGTCAAGGTAGCCAGTAGAGCAGTATACTCTCCCCAAGATGAGTGTAATGAAAGAATAATATAGAAATCTTGGTCATGATAACTTCTCGGACTTGGTACTGAATCGTGAACAGAAGTCGAGCTCGATAACCTAGAAGTTCATGCTAGACTCCTTACCAGATGGGCCCGCCAGCGTCAATATAACCTGACGTCAGACGCGCTCTTTCTGATGGGCATGTATTGAGGGTTATAGCGTCTTGCTACCGAAAACAAATCTTCTCAATCGTCAGAACAGGACCCCACGCTGTCTTCGAAGTTGGAGGCCGCGGAGCCCCCTGCAGAAACCCCAACTAAGACTTTAGTGAACCCCACGATCGATCAAAGCCTAGTCTAGCAAATCGACTTTCTGTAATCCGATTGGATACCCACGCCGTGGAAGCTTTTGATCTGCCAAGGCGCGGTGGCGAATACGGGTCACGCGGTCGTGGATGTGTGGACGCTTCTTGCAGACCCAATCGGATCTCTTGACGACCGCTCGATTGCCGCCGTTGGTATGGAGCTGTTGGGCCTCATTCAGGGGGCCCGCAAGCTTGGCTCGATGCGGCATCATGGCATTGCGACTGGATTTGCGACTGCTTTCTTTCTGGAAGTCTTGAAAGGCCACCATTGATGGTGGCGGTCGTGACCTGGAAATCTATCTTCTGGGTAAGAGGTCCGGATGTGCAGTAGGGTAGGGTAGGGTTGAAACATTGCATGATGCGCGCCGGGGCTGGCGGATCCCGGATCTGATGTCTGTCTCGGAACGGCGAGCGCTCGACTTGTTGTTGGTCGGTGGTTGAAGAATCCACGTTCTCTGGCTATTATCCAATCTATCTGTCTGTTCCATTTCTGACATGTTTCCTGCTGACGTGGATGTTTACCGTACGTACCAACCTAGGTATGGTATAGATAGGTATACGATGCGGACAGCTCTCGGCCAACTATATACAAAGAGCATGCACACACCCGTGCCGAGCATCATAATCGGGAGGTATTCCCCTTGGCCGTGTTTCTCGCCTCGCGGCCCAAGGCCTATTCGAGTATATCTTCCTTCAAACGTGCGCCCCCCACCGAGCGGTGGAAGGGAATCGTGCCATAACGTCTTTCTATTCTTTCTTCGTGTTGTGTTCTGATCTTCAACCGAGGCATGTCCAGAGGGTATACCTGCTTGATCTTCAGCCGAGGCATGTCGAGTGGGTATAGCCGTTGGGAATGAGGAAGTGTTTTACGGCTTTCCTATAAGATGAGGCTGCTCGTTTGAAGTCCTGGTGGTGGAATAGCATCTAGTCATCAGTTACAATCACGGCCAGTACGGACCCGGAGTCTTTCCTGTTCTCTCCTTTCTTCGTTATCTTTTCTCTTCTCACAGCTCTAGCAGCGTCTTCATCCATTCACTGATTCACTCATTCTACGGAGAACTGGCCCTTCTCTCTCTTCCCTGAGTATCACTCATCAACCCTGCCCTTATTCCCAGCGGACATATTCAGGCAATATCCTCCCAGCAAACCCGCACCCGCGACTATGAAGTTCCTCGTGACTCTGAGCCTCGCGGCCCTGGCGGCCGCCACCCCGGTGGTGGTGACCAAGAAGGATGTGTCGGATCCGGTAGTCGGCCTGGCCGTGGTCGAGAAGCGCCAGCGTACGGGCACTACCGCCAAGGAGTTCAGCCAGGGCGGGTGCCGCGATAACATTTTCGTGTTTTCTCGCGGTTCGACGGAGATCGGGAACATGGTATGCTTCTTGACCCCTTCGACCCTATTACATTTCTTGCTCCTATTCCTGATATCTACACTACTGTCACCATACCCCTTTCCTTCTTCTCACACCAAGCCTGCTCGACATACACCACAAGACATCAGAGCCTATCCTACCACAACTCTATCAGGAAACAGACCACGGCTAACCCGTCCCCAACTCCAGGGCACCATCTGCGGCCCGCAGACCTCCGACGGCCTCAAGGCCGCGCTCGGCGACGACGCCGTAGCAACCGAGGGCGTCGACTACGACGCGGCGCTCGCGACCAACTTCCTCGACGGCGGCGCGAACCTGGCAGGCATCGCGATCATGACCGACATCATCAACCAGGCGGCGTCCGACTGCCCCAATTCGAGCGTTTTGGTTGGGGGTTACAGCCAGGGCGCGGCGATGGTGCACCGCGTTGTCGAGTCGCTGGATCCCGCCGTGCAGGACCAGATCGCGGGCGTCATTACGTTCGGCGATACGCAGAACGCGCAGGACGACGGTCAGATCAACGGCTTTGATGCTGATAAGCTGTTGGTCATTTGTAACACTGGGGATGCGGTCTGTGATGGGACTTGTGAGTTACCGCTTTTCTCCTTTTCCGTTTTCCCCCTAACCCCCTAACCCCTAACCCCCTAACCCCTAACCCCTTAATCCCTTAATCCCCCCTTTTCCCCTTACCCCATCCCTACCCCTTCCACCCGCCCATCTGCAACGTAAATCCCGCTCTCGACCCCTTTCCTCCACTCCTCATACACCGCAGACCGTCCCCTCGGTAAACACCGCCAAATCCCTTTGCCCGCCTGCCCTGTCAAGCAGGATAAGTTACAGCCTCAAGAAAGCATCCACTGACCCCAATCTTTCAAAGTGAATATCCTCCCAGCGCACCTAGACTACACGCGCCGCGCCGACGAGGCCGTCGAATTCCTGGTCGGGAAGGTGCAGTCTGCGGCCGCGAAGAGCAAGTCCAAGAGGGCCTAGACGAGCGAGTGGTTCGAGCCGCTGTGTCGGCTCTCTGTTGGGGAACTGAGTACTTCGAACGCAGCACGTGTTGGGGATCGTGCGCGCCTCCAGGGTTTGGGACGTGGAATCGGGGAATCTGGGAGTTGGGAAAAATTGATATGAGGAGAGATGGGACGGTCATGCCCCGATGTTGGGTAGCTATTTACAGGGTTCTCAGTAGACCAGGACTAGGCCAGACCTAACCACAAGATGGACGAAAGGGGCACCGAAAAAACAAAACTCAATATGGTTACAACACTGTGCACTCACTAGTCATTACCGACCCTGCAATTAAGCCAGAGGTACGGGGACAATCGAGTGAGTTTAGCGAGTGTTTCTAGAGGCAATGACTAACCCCCTGTCCTGTGAATACCTGCATGATCAGATAGCCTGCTCCCCAGCCGGATGCTCCGAAAACAGGTCCGTTGGATCAGGGCTGCGCGCCTCACTCTAATGATCTCGGAATAGCTGTATGTATTCACAGCCCGACTCGGCCTGTCGACGACATCTTGAAATATCGCCGGGAGCTCCTGTGGCCTGGAGACTATTTGATCATGCTTGAGATGACCAACCGTATCAGCTGTCATCACTGAATTCTGCCTCCTCAAGTGATGATGACCCCACAACTGTGTTTGGTCCTCGCAAAGCGTATGAGCATGTATACACATGATATGGTGCCAGCAAGCGGGACTGGCAAACTATCAGTCTACATACCACCTCGTAAACTATAAAGTGACAGCCCTGGACTCTAAGCTTCTATCTGGGGCTATAGCCTATGATCACCGGCTTCAGCCAACTATAGGTCCTGCGTCTTGCCGCTATGGGTCTTTCCCAAGTCGACAGGTAATGATCATGGAGAACTTCAAGATGGTCGATCCTTAGGTACTTACGAGATAACGTCATCGGAATCGTCGGATCCTTTTGGGTATTTTCATGGGTCATCTACGCAGAAAGCAGCGCTAGTAGGCGCGGGCTACGTAGATACCCCGAGGGCATCAAAAGCAACAAGAATGTAATTCCTCAAAAAGTTCTGCCGGTTGATTTAACCTTATCATATATGCAACTCGCACCGGCACCGGCTCCGGCACCGGCACCAACACCAGTACCAAAAACTGCACCGGCACCTGCGCCAAAGCCCATCATATTGAAGCACCCAGGCATACCGCGAGCTAATCACTCTGCCAATGTCTCTGACGAAATGAGTACCTCTTTATTCCTTGGCGGGCTCCCACCCTACTGCACACCTTCCGGGCCAGAGCTTGCATTCGAGTTTCCTTGTCACATCATGTAGCTGGAAAGCCAGGGGGAGAGGGAGCAAGAGACGGCACGGGCAGGGAGAGGTAGGTCTTCACAAACCAGCGACATGATGTTGGCATCTAGGGTATCTCGGTCTGGCTGTTTCTTCGCCGCTGAAGAGCTTATTATATTCCAACCGACAGGCCCCCAAAACTTACGAACAGGAAGGAAATGCCATGTTAACGCGAAACCAGGTTTCGTTTCTATAACTTACACCACACTAGTTGCTTTGGTCCATCAGCCCCAAGGTCGCCACCTACGTGGTAACCTTCACACGGGCGTGTGGTATATCAACAAGGCTGCGACAATCAGCCAGCTCCCATCTCTACGTTGTAACGACGAATCGTCTTTTAGCCCATTCTATTATCGGGCCTTCGATCTATCATTTCATTGTGCCAGGAACCCGGCAGCACGTCAACCAGAAGCATATACCATCGGCGTACAACTCATATAGATGCCACGAGGACCGTCACGAGGCTGTCAAAAATATGCCTCGTGACTTTACCGGCCTCTCACTCTCGTGCCAACGGTGCCTGCTGCGACTTTTCGCCGGCATGGCCGACGTAGCTCCTTGCATCGCCCAGGGAGGAGTTCGCGACAGTGCCATGACTATTCCCGCCATGACTATTCCCGCCAGACTGGCGAAGATTGCGCGACGTAACACCATAGAGGACCAAGATATCGGGTGCGTGTTGTCTTTCGCATCATCATTCGCATGATGTCTTGGGGTTGTGGAGTAAAAGAGAGTCAAGGCACTCCAGTGATGGTCACCACCTCGATACCAGCTTTGCACCAGACACCTTGCCATAGAGAAGAATCACGCCCACAGCAATGGTCTGTAAGGTAATCATGGCTTCCCAATGAAAAGCGCTGGGAGAAACATGGGTTAACAGATCTTCAGGCGCGCCCTCGCAGCGAGGTTTGCGAGAATATTGTCGCCCCAGGTCTCGATGGCTTCTGCCACCTGCACCACTACCAGGAGAGAGCCACGTACCGGTTTCTCAAGGCACACGAACGGGCGTACACTGCTGCAGCGATCCGCGCATACGAGTGGCAGAACCACACGGCCATTAACCTGGCACACTTTCATCTGACAGTCACCATCAAAACTCTAAGCTGGATGTGCCAGATGCGCAGTATTTTGGCACCATAGCGACAGACAGCAAGGGATGGATGTAATTGATGTGGGCATGAATCAGCAGAAGCTCTACATCAGCGAAGTTAACATAGAGATTGAACGAGTCCAATCCGCGTTCGAGTGCGTCTATTATTTTACAGACCCCTAGCCACGCGGCAGACGCATACAATCTGCCAGGCAAATAAGATAGGCTATCGACACTAGATAGTTCATCAATCATATATATGACTTGCGCGGAGTGCGGACGGAGAGTTTTGGCATAGCAGAGCTGAATTCTATGGGGCACGAGAACGTTTAGAACACACTTCATGGTAGACAAGATCGTCGGCCTGTCCACGGCTCATTTACGATTCAAGTGCGTCAAAAAGTTGCCACCCACCTACATTCGTGTAAAGGTCTCTTGAAAGTGATTGCCAAAGACACAGGCGGGACTTTGTATGGTCCACTCAAAGCAAAGAGGAAAGAAGGTTCATCCCAAGATTCTGGTTACCCCAGCTCTGACGATGAGTTGACGATGAGCCTTGCAAACGAGAAGCTCAGCTCTATCTGTAGGCTGAGTGTTTCCGCCTACAGAGGCTGTATTGGTCTATGCCGTCTTACAAGGTCACACGGTGTATCTCGTGGCTCAACTCATCGAGGGGCCCATGTGGTAGGCGAGCGTCGATGGACATTACGATGGCGTGATGTTGACAGCGCCATAATGAAAACCTTCCTCCATCCAACCATGAATGATCTCACGACCATCGTGCTATTTTCTGCGCAAGGCTCCGGCATTATAGCGCCACTTCAAGACGGCGCATGCATCCATGAGCCTTATGATATATTCTCGAGTCACAAATCAGTCCGAAAAAATGGTAAATGTGAGCAGCAATTTTGTTCATGAATCTAACGGCCACCTGCCCTTCTCTCCACCACCGAGAGTGCATTACAAACGTGTATGTGGTCTTCTGCCGAGAAGTGTATGTCCCAACTCGAGCCGATTTTCAGCCGTCTATGTTCCCAAAAGCCGTAGCCAGCCGGCCAGCCGGACACGGCTTGCTTCCAACGCATCAGAGCCTATGATCCTAGGAGCCAAGCTAGCCGCCTCATAACGCCGACCCTGATGCCAAATCCGAAAGAAAGATGCAGTACGTCCTGACGAGCGAAACGACGAGAACCTTCTTATAGGGCGAAGATGGCGGCCATCAGAGCCAGGAAAGCCGCACCGAGACCACCGGACTGGAGGGCTGGGGCGCCGCCCTGGGTGATGCTGGACGTAGCGGAAGGAGGAGCTGTGAAAGTACCGTTAGCACTCGAGCCGCCACCAACGCCAGTTCCAGAGCCAGAAGAACCTGTACCTGAACCTGAACCACTACCAGGCTCGTTGGAGCTGATAGCAGGAGGCGTCACGGTAGCAGATTGCTGGATGGAGATCTGAGAGCTCGGTACTCCACCCGGGCTGCCACCAGCAAGGCCGGTGTCGGTGCCAGTGCTGGTCTCGGTAGGTGCTGCACCCGAGTCGGTGCCAGTGCTAGTCTCAGTTGCCGATGCGCTCGAATCAGAACCAGTCGCTGATGCGCTGCTGGATGGACCCGCCGATGACGAGCTCTCTGTGTCGACACCATCGCAGGAGAGATCGAAAAGCGGCGTGGTGGAGAGGGTGCTGCCAACGATGCCGAAGCTGGGGTTAGGGGTATCAGGAGAGGCGTCCTGCAAGGTGTACCACCACACGTTCCTCTGGCCAAACATGGGGCAGCCAACGGTCTTCCAGTACGCCTCAGCGTTGCTAACGGTTGCCTCGGATTGACCAACGGTCTTACCGCTCACGGGCTGACCAGTCTCAGTGACCCAGACCGCCTTGCCGCCGCTAGCAGCCTGCGTCTTCGCGAGAGCTTCGGCAAAGAGAGACTTGCTCTGTCCGATGGCGTTGGGCATTGTATCTTGAAAGTAGGGATACGCGTCCATCCCGATCCAGTCGCAGGCGTCGACGACGATCTGGTTGGTAGAGTTGTCCCAGGCAGTCCAGGTATCGACGTGACCGATGGGAGATCCTTCCAGGGGAGTTCCCGCGATAGTGTCCTTCACCTCCTTGATGTAGCGGGCGATCGTTTCTGGTTCAGCACCGATGTTGGACTTGGCAGCGATGCCCATCGGACTGTTTCGGTACAGGTCTTCGGAACCAACCGAGATACCGTCAACATGCATCTCGTTTCCGTACTGCGCGATGGCAGCCTTCAGTGCCAGAATTTCGTTGGCGAACGACGTGTCGCCGCCCGAAGCCCAGAGGCCCAGGAGTAGGGATGTCTTCGTCTTGATGGCAGCCGGAATGGCAGCAATCGGGTCGCTTGCAGATCCACCTTGCTACAGGAAGCATAACATTAGATACAAAGTCGAGTTTAGGAGGGTGTCTTTGTTGGGAACTTACTACCATGGTGTACAGACGAGCGCTAGTCCAACCAGAGGTGCCCACCAGATTGGCAGCAGTGGTGAACTCGGCCTCGAAGTCGGCCTGCAGCTTGGCGGCTCCCGAAGTGAAGGTCGAGCCGTAGTTGAAGCCCTGGATGGCGGCGGAGGCCGCGGAGGCCAGAGCCAAGAGGGTGGCGGCAGTGTGCATGGTGATGATCGTAGTGTAGGATGTAGGATGTCGATGAGGGCGTATACCAATGATCCAAAGTACTGGAGGGGTGTCGAGGAGTGAGGAGGTGTCGGGTAGAAAGGTCAAGAAAGCTGGAGGAGTGTTTCGAGGAGTCTCTCGGTCCAGATACACTGACTGCACCGAAAGACAACGACGAGGTGTCACCGGGACAATCAGGCAGGCACAACGGGGGTCAAGGAAGTGATGGGGCTCTGCAATAAAGAAAGCACTATGTGAGTTGACAGCTTTCGAAGTGGCCCAGAGTCCTAACAAGGAAACGGGAGATGCTGATTATACAGGAAAGTCCACAACGGACGGTTACCAAGGTGGTTGAACGAGTGTGAATCGCGGTCAAGCCGTGACGGTTAGGAGGCAATTGTGCTGTACGATAGGGGCTAGAATAACGAGAGTTTGGATGAGAGAAAGGCCAAGGGAGAATGCGGGCCTGACACGGCTGATATTGGCTGTGTTGGTCTGCCATGACAGAGCAATGGAAGTGAGAGCAAGTCCCATTCCACACGCTCGCATGCACAGCCCGGTCCAAGCAGAACTCACTTTGACATATCCGCCCATCCGTCCCATCCCTGGCTTCACCTGCATAAGCGGCACTGGTACCTGAAAGAGCTGACCAACGGCCAATGAGGGCCGGCGGTGGCCATGTTCAATGTTGCCCCGTTTGTTCTTTGTGAGAAAGAACGAACGAGATGACAGCAGATGCGTAGTACTTGTGAGTCAACCGGCCAATCAGACGCCCCTCAACCCCCATGTGGATGCAGGAGACAAGTTCCGTGGGGGTAGTACCGCTTTCTAAGCTTTCTCCCTCCCGTCGGATCGCTCCTCCCGTGCCACCAGAGTCTGGACAGGCCGCGGATTTTTGATGGCATAGACTTTCAATATCGCAACTCACCTTCTTACCTGCTGTGGATAAACAGGTATGAGGATTGTTTGATGGAATGTCTCAAACATGCGGCTGCATGTATGTTCCGTGGCTGACCGCACCAAACACAACGAAACATCCTTCCAAAACAAACGTCGACAGCTGACAGCTCACCAGTCGGTTGTGCCGCTGTGCCGTTCCTGAGCTGCCCAACTCGGCTCGCGCTGGCAAATTGAAAACTGATAGCTCGAGATGACGTGCATCATCCTCGTATTCGACAAAGCTTGTGATAATCTCCCAGCTGACATTCCCCAACTCCTCCCCCAATTTTAGTTCCGGGCTGCAGTTCAAAGACATCAATGATATGAATATGATTCAAAACATTCGTGACACATGTCTGTTTATTTCTGTGTTGGTAGTAGGCATGTACTCATAAACAGAACGCAAATAAAAGCATGCCGAACTTCTTCGATGCAGGGGGCCCCCTTTTGAGTTTTCTCCTGCATACTGCCTGACACCTGTCAGCATCTCCCTCAATCGGCGTTGGTACCTGCATAAGACCCGGCGCCACATGCATGTGGCATTGGGCCATTGGCGTTGGCGCCTACTGGCTTATGCTAATAGCCTGATTGGGGGTGCAATTCGTCCACCTCGGGACGGCTGGCATGAGTCGCAAGCTTGCGTTGGTGGGATGTTGCCTCCCTTGCTGACAAGCTGACAAGCTGACAAGGCACTTGACGCGACCTGTCATTGATAATTCCGACGACCTCACCATTGGCCCCCAGTCATGCACCTGGTCATGATATCTAGGTAGCTATCATCTCAATCATACCCCAAAACCTCGGATCCCACGTAAGCCCGTCGACTTCTTCCGCTCCTTGTCGTCTTTCTTGTCCTTCTTGTCCTTGCGCGGATTCGCCAGGTCACCTGAATATCCGTGTCAGTTACTACCTTAGCCACTAGATAGGCGTGCCGGTTGAACTTAGAGCTCACCTTGCCATGTGAGGCTGCCCTTACTCGCCGAGATTCCCTCGCTCCCCAGCGACGTTGATGGTCTGCCTGTGTTGCTTGCCGATCTGCTCGTGCTGAACAGCTCCAGCGGTGGTGTTTCATTGAACGATGTCGCCTCCAAATTCTCCGAGTCTGAGAATGCGGAAAACCCCCGGCGATTTCTGTAACTCAATGGGCTTCCCGACTCAGCAGAAAGCCTAACGTCGGGATCTGTAGACAGGCGAGCGTCCGACTTGGAGCGAGCCGGGATAGAGATTGCTGCCTGCAGTTCCAATACCGATGCATGCAAGGCTGTATTCTTACTTGTGAGATCCGCAACGCGTTTCTTCAACTCCGTCTGCTGAGCGCGGCTCGCTGCCAGAGCCTCGTCTAGCTGTGTCTTGAGGTTCTCCGCGCGTCGTTCGGCGCTGCCCTTAAGGGCGTCCTGTAGCTTTGCATTTAGGACGACAACCTGAGACTGGTATTGATCGTGGGTTTGCTGATGGTCAGACTCGCAAGCCTTCAACTTCATTGTGAGCATCTCGGCGCGACTGTCTGCTTCTGCTGCTCGTGTCATTGCAGCTTGACGATCCGCCTCCTTGGCCTGGTAGTTTCGCTCGGACTCGGTTAATCTTGCGACCTCCTTTCTCAGTCTTTCCAGCTCGCCGACACTGATTTCGACCGACTGCATGTTCTGCTTCCAGCCCAGTTCTCTGACTTCGGCTTCGCACAATAATTTCCGCAGCTTCTCTGCCTCGTCCTTCGCTGCCTCTAGATCAGTCCGCAAAGCTGCCCCTTCAGCATTCCACTTCCTCTGCTCTTCCCTCAGTGTCTTCAACTTGCCCAAGAGGTCCCCTTCCCACTTCTTTGCCAGTGTTCGACTCTTCTCTGCTTCAGTCTTCGCTCGTACCTTGCCGTTCGTCGCATCTTCAAGGCGTTGCTTGAGATGACGGTTTGCTATGATGAGATTTTGAGTCTCGGCCTCGCTTGCTGCTTCCTTGACATGCCGCCTCCGCAGTTCACCTATGTGCGTCAGGTGTTGCTGCTTCATGAATCTCTCAAATATCAGATCATTATACATGATCAGAATGAAGCGATACATCTTCTCAGTACCGCTGCTGGTGTCCGTAGCAGACGACGGGGCGTTTCCTGCCTGCACTTTTGGACGCAGCTGAGATAGCGGTCTCTCGGAGATTGAGTCATGATGGCTTAAAGAGAGGGATGGAACACTGTCGTTTGTAAGCGTCTGGTGTAACCCTGACTTCACTGCCTTGTTGGAGTTGATCAAATCCTGCAACTGGGTATGTGACCCAGAAGTGGCCATGGACCGGACGAGAGTCGGGCTCTCGCCGCCATTCCCAGATGGCTTGGTGCTTGTAGAATCTCGATTTGACTTGTGACTGCTTTGAGACGGTTGACGTATCATCGTTGATTGACTTTGGTTTGCGGACGTCAACTCAGCAAACGGCGATTTCATATCACGCGGGCTTTCTCCCTCTGCGTCACTAAATAAATCCATCCCAATATTGAAGGAGCTACTCAGTAGAGCATCATCGTGTCCATCCATTTCATCCACGTCTCTGTCCGGTGCGCTCATATGAGAAAAGTCAAGGGTGCCGTGGTCGGTGGTTGGCTCCATAAATTGGCACAGAGCAACGCAGTTCGCAACGACTTCAGCCGGCTCGCTTTTGATCCACCGTCCGAAATCTGTCTTTTCAGAATCGATTGTGAGAGTGTAGAAGTTCTCGTGGAGGAGATGGCATTGGCGGAAGCGCTCGGACGCGTAGCGAATCTCGGTTGGCTGAACCTCAATATCATCGGCATCTGGGACCTCGGCATGCCGTAGATATCTCTGCGGTTTTCTGATATAGTCCATGAAGTTGATGGGGTATAAGCCATAGAGTATCGTGAAGTAGTTCAGTAGCTGTGGAATGCTTGATTCGTCAGACTCTGGCGAGTAGTCACATTTCGCCCAAACAAGCGTGTTGTGAGACATTCTTCGTTCCTTCTTAGTATCGGCTGCTATCTGAGTAGCCAGCCCTCGCTCCCAGAATAGCAGCCTCGCATATATATTAAACAGCGTGGGCAGATGAGGAACTAGCGAACTTGGCACGTGTGGGAGAATCATTGTCAATGCCGTCAGAGCTAGGGACATGATGGTGGTGGACGTATCCCACTGGAGACATTTGAGCAGGCTACCGAAGAGCGGTGTTTGGAGTATCAGATACAGATGAGGTGGTTGACTTTGTACGAATTGTGAGAGCAGCAATAGAGCATTTGCTCGATGGGCCTTCTTGCAAATGAACTGGTCCACAAGCGTCATGAAATCCTGGATTCGCGTTCTTAGAAGAGTGTGCCACCAAATGCCATAGGGGACGAACACTCACCTTGGGATGTTTCTTCCCGTACGACATCAAAGTCTCTTTCAAGTGCCTCTCTTTGGTATCCTGAACTGGGTCGGTAATTCTGCGCATGGCATCGCACTCGTCGAACCAGAGAATCATGATTCGTTCGGCAAGACGCATTGCGCCACCTCCAGTTGGCGAACTCGTATCGTTGTCATGGTCGGCGAGAAGGATGTCCAATACGACGTTTCGGATCTCAGCGGCGAGTCCTTTCTCCTGACTTAGATAGTCAAGCGCTGGTACGAGCATTTCAACCCAGTTTAAGACTTGAGCTGGCTGCCCTATGAGCGGACGCAGGCAACGAAGTATTGCAATGAACGCCGCATAACGAGCAGGCACGCTGGCAACATTTTTCTTGTATATGGAGAGTAATTCATCGTTGAGCTTTTCGGAAGCGTGCTCGTCGAACTTGTCCTCGTTTTTGCTCAGATAGCGTTCGATTATCTCGACGATACCGTCCGGTAAGGGTAAGGTGGCAGTTGGTAGGTAGTCATGGATGGCTTTCGTGAGCTCCTTGAGCGACCTGGAAAGATGGAAATGGGTCAGCGCATGATACTCCAACCAAGATGGGACTGCTAGTGAATCCGATCCAAGGGGGGTAAAGCCGGACGGGTGTTCGGGGTCGACATACGGAGCTGAAGCCATTGAGAAAGGAGGCCCGCATGGAGCGGGCTCGGTATTGCGAACAGTCGATCAGATCAGGTCAGAGTCGCGCAAGGGACCTTTGGTGGGCTGACTTCAGGATAGGTACGAGGACTGGGCGTATCAAAGAGCTGCAAGTTGCGCATGAGGTCCGGTAGATGTTCTCGAAATCGTTCGATCCGACGTGAGCCTATCGTGGTCAGAGGTGGGGATCGCCGTGCAGCTGTCATTCCCGAAACTCGAAGCGGGCTGGCGGGCTGGCGGGCAAGGCACTCTTTCTTCCGCCGTGGTGGGGCACGGGTCTGGTGCTTTACGGTGTGAGCTACCAATTCATACACTGGGTGAAAGCTCCATCAACGGGGTCATCTACCAAACCAACCCAATGTTGTCACAGCCGAACCACAGTGTAAGCATTGGATGGATAGTAATCAGTAATGAGAATACACCAAGGAATAATTTGATATTTGAAAGATCGTTGTGCTTCAATTGGTCCGTATATTCCAACGGCAGACAGATGAGGGAGCTCAGAGCTTCTGAGCTTTACGATTTAAGTTACAGCGTGAGTTAGCCACATGGAAACACTGTGAGAATGTGATCAAGGATGATCGCCCTGTAACTCCACAATTCCTGCTTAGAATCCGGGGGAGGGGCCTTCTTAGCTTGGGGACCCCAGCGCTAGCCAATGGCTGATGGCCCCTACGTAACCCCGGCAGCACCGTACGTTATTCTAAGGACTATCGGGAGATGGGCTGTGAGGTGAGGTGCCTGAGGGCGTGGGAGAGGTATGGTGTGAGCTGATGAGGAGAGTGACCCCTCCTCCTCCTCCCCGTGCTACCCCTCTGATCTGCTACCATCATCCCCTCCATCCGACTCGATTCGTTTGGTCTCATCTTTCTCTTTTCCCCCTCCCATCATCTGAAAGAACCGCGACCTTGACACGAGCCTGACGAGAAAACAATTGCGATTGTCCTACTGTACAACTTTGTGTTCAGCCCTTTTGCAGCCATAGATCGGTTGATACCCATTCACGCACACGCACACTACCTTCACACTACCTCACTGTACCAAGACACCACGTCGCCCATCTTCGACCATGGCAAACAAGACGTCTGCAGTGTCCGACGAGCCCATTGAGGTGCTCTTCGTCCTCCAGGACAAGTTCAATCTCACTGACTTCGCTGGCCCCCTTGAGACCCTTGACCACGCTCGCCGAGACCAGAATGACGACTGTACGTGTGCTTTTCTTCCAGACACAAGCTCCCTTTCCTTTGCAACCCAACCCAAAACATCCAATCAATGGCAGCCGGACACTAACAAACACTGCTCGCAGCTTCCAAAGCCTTCGAGTGCACAGTCGCTGGTGCCGGGCCCAAGGTCATCTCCGAGCAAGGAGTCTTCGTCGGATCCCAGATCGCCTACAAGGAAGCTCACGAGCGCCTCGAGGACTTCGATGTCCTCGTGGTTGTTGGCGGCAACTCTGCCGACGTTCTGAAGCAGAAACTTGAGCCCCTGCCCCTCATCAAGGCCTTTGCCGAGATCCAACAGAAGAATCCGGCCCGAGAGCGGACACTCATGTCCATCTGCACTGGATCACTTTTCCTGGCCGAGCAGGGCATACTCTCGGGATTGTCGGCCACCACCCACCCGGACTACATGACCAAATTCGAGATCATCTGCAGCAATGCGGCTCAGAGAGATCTGCAGGAGAGAACCGATGTCGTGGAGGACGCTCGATACGTCGTCAACAACCTTCGCTTCGACATTGGCGACGAGGACGAGAACCCCTACATCCGACGCAAGTCTGATGCCGGACGACGCCCCTCCAATGCACGGTAAGTCTACTTCAAGGCTTAGGTAGATAAGACCTGCAGTCACTAATTCCTCACAAATAGGAAGGGAAGTATGTCCTTCAAAGGATCGAACACCCGCCGTGAATCGATTGCTCGCCGCGCCGCGATGCGCCTCGGTGGTCTCCGGGTAATCACAAGTGGGGGAGTATGTGCTGGCTTTGATGCAGCTCTGTATCTGGTCAGCATCCTGGTTGATGAGGAATCTGCCAACGAGGTGGCTCGAATCCTGCAGCATGAGTGGGTGAAGGGAACCGTTGTTGATGGCCTTGATGTCTAAAGGCGACACATTGCACACAGACGGTACCATCGAGTACAGTCGAGCTTAGCTTGTTGAGTGTAGAAACTGCAAGATCTCACTCCTGTGTGTCATAGCCAGGTAAACTAGGACACCTGCTGAGAAATTCCAGAATGTAAAATTGTACCAAAGCCAGCGAATTGGAATAACCTGAGGCCGTGCATATGGGCGTTATACATGGAAACTTGAACTATTGATGTTGAAGTGCCCGAAACTTTCATGAGGCGGTTGACGTAGATCCACAATTGGAACTGTCGGCCGGGTCTCACCTGCACAGCGCGGATGGAAGCTCCACATTAAGCGGAAGTTTCTGTTCGCCGGCTTGGCTCAACTCAACCCGACCTTGAATTTCGTGAGAGCTCCTAGACAAGCATTCAAAAGGACCTCAGAAGCAGCAGGATCTCGACTCAGAATACCAATCAAGACAAGATGGCGGCGGCAGCGGCGACAAAGAGTTTCCGAACAGGAACGAAGCAGATATTCCTGTACGTTGACACGCATCCCATCCCAACAATCCCGATCCCCCTTTCCTGCCATTTGCTCGCAGCGCCTTGGGACACACACGCGCAGCCAGCCCGCAGTCCGGCGCAGCTCAGCCAGCTAACGTCTCGTCAACAAAAACAACAGGCCCGACCACATGATCACATTCCTCCGACCGAAAGACAACCAGCCGCCGCAATTCGCGACATTCAAGGTGCCGCTGACGTTCAACAAGCTGGACATCCGCGACTACCTGCTGCATGCCTACGACGTGTCGGTGAAAGGGGTGCGGTCGCAGCTGCGCCAGCAGAAGCCGCGGCGCTCCGCCATCCACCATCGCGTGTCCCGGCCCGCGCCCATCAAGACCATGACGGTCGAGCTGGCTTCGCCATTCGTGTGGCCGGCGCGCCCGGCCGACACGGAGGCCTGGGATAGTGATGCTGTGGTGAAGAGGGCAGAGGGCCTGAAGCGCCAGCGCGCGTGGAGCGTCCAGATCCAGAAGACGGGCAAGATGCCGCTGCGCGAGCAGACGGGGCCGGATGCGGCGAGGTTGGCGCTGCGGGATGAGGCGAGGAGGTTGTTGAGGGAGGGCGGGTGGCAGAATAAGAGGGTGCTGGATGTTAGGTTTGGGGTCAAGCCGACGCCGGCGGATGGGGCGGTGAGGGACCTGGCAAAGGATACGAAGGTCGTCGAGCAGGGGGAGGACGGGATGAATATGGGCGAGATGCAGAAGGTCATTGAGGGCATGCAGGCTGGTGCTGGTGGCAAGAAGGCCGATTTGGAGGGGGCGCGGAAGAGCGCGCTGGAGGTGAAGAAGACGCCGCTGCTTGAGCGTGGGATGGGACGCCGAACCGATGGGAGGTAGGAAGTCTGTATGAGTATGGGCTACCGCTTCTTACATACGTGTTGTTTATAATGCTGCGGAAGGCCACGAGCACGCAGTCTAGAGCCTTGACGGCAGTGTACTATGTATGATATCATCACCCTTGCTCTGTATTGTCTTCATCTACATCTACCCAGTGATGTCTCTGCTGAAAGTACAAAGCCTCATTGCCCCAGCTCCACCAGCCGGCAGTGAGATTCCTCGCGAAGACCTCGAGGCCCTGGTAGTTCTCGGGCAGGACGTCCGTGAACAAGGACCCCAGGTTGGGCTTTCTGGAGTGGACATCAGGAACAGCTAGCATCACCTTGGGAGTCACCGGCAGCTTCACTGGACTTCCTGTCCTTCTTGCGATCAGCAGCCGCTCCCATGGCTTTCTCCACTGCGACTCTACGTCGATGACGGGATCCCCAGAGCTGGTGATCTTGAGCCAGATGTACTCTCCGATAGGCTCGAGGCCCCACTGGGTGAATATGCCACCTGGTGCTGTGACCAAGTCTGTAACTGCAGCTTTGTTAGTGACCCAGACGGCCACGAGACCGTCTGGCGTGAGGTGTGACGCGACGGGAATCTGGCACAGGAGGTCTTTGGCTTCATCCATGCCGTACACGGTTGCGTAGCCCTCCTGTTTCCTTCGAACCGACCGGCTGGGCCACGGCGGATCGAGGATCATCAAGTCGAATTTGGGAGCGGTCTTCAGGAATGTGTCCCCTTGACATTCTATGGTTCCCAGAAGGTAGTGCGAGTTGGGTGGGAGGAATGGTGGTGCAGTTGAGTTTGTGTTCTCGGTATCTGCGGGTGTTTGCTTCCTCTTGCGTGGCTGTTGCACATCTGCATCCGTATCCAGTGCTGGCCTCATGATCCGTGGCAGACACCATGGCCCGCTGTGATTGGATTTGACCGTCTCAAGTGCAGCCTTGACAGTCTCCAGAGTCATCAGCTCGGCAATTGCAGCAGCAGGCAACGTTGGTGTTTGCTGTTGCCGGCCTTTCTTTGGCTCTGGCATCTCCCATGGTGTTTTGACCGGGCTGGACGAGAATATCCGGCGTTCAACGGTGTGTCCTGGTGGTACTTGGGCCTCTTCGATGGAGCGAGGTATGTCGATAAGTAGCACGGATTCATCTGGGCTTGCAAACAACATGCAGGACTGCATCACGCCAGCTACAGTACATGTGTATCCTGGCTCTGTTGGCCGAGAAGTTTTGTTGGAATATGCAGTCACCTCGTGAGGGGGCTGTCTGTTGAAGGCCGGCGCAGCGACGGAGGGACAGGGGGGCGTGATGGAGATGGAGTTGGTAGAGTGTTTGCTGCTGACACGCGTCATTGTAACCTGTAAGCGAGATCCCCCCCCCAGATCTAGATTACCCACGTCACTGGGATCGCACGCATTCCACAGCACCTGCACCCGGGGATCCTGGAAGTTGAAAAAGTGCTGTAACGGAGGGCCGCATAGCCGAGAGCCGATCGTTACCTCAAGCAAGTATGTGATTGACAGCAGATTGTATGACCTACTGTCAGACGATTGTAGGACAACGTCGAGGCATCTCCTGAGTACTGTGGCCGTGTTGTTGTCAGGTTGGCGACAATGTCACACGATTGCTGGATTGTTGGACGATGGAGTCTACCGGCAATGATTGGAAGTCTGGTTGTGCTCGGTTGCATTACATTCTGCAAGCCAAGATCTCCTCCCTGGTTTGGTTTAGCAAGCGTGGCAAGGTACGAGCTCCTCTCCCCACCGCCCGCTGTAGATCAAATGGACCAGACCGACTTCCAATGCAAACAATACCTTCTTGACTCAGGCCAAGCGAAGATTGATACAGAAATAAAGCTAGCAAGTGGCAACGAAAGAATACTTCAACGACTATACGTGTTCAATTGGACGAACCGCAGCGGCAAACAAGCGCGCGTGAATCAGACCCAATCACGATGCGTTTTGGTGTAAGCACTCTGGATATCTGAGACTGAAATCACGGGGAAACATCCAGGGGTCTTTTGGAGCTTCCAAGCGCCTGTGACCACGCCTATGACCTCGCCTATGACCTCAAGTCGCAGCTTAGGAGGCTCCACGCTAGAGTCAAAACAGTCTAGAGTGACACTCTTCCAAGATTTTGGCCTGGGTGGGACTGCCACGACTGCGGTGCCCGGTGCGAATCGCCAGTCAGACCCCTGATGTCCGACCGGGGACTCCTGTCAATTTTCAAATACCATCTATCGTCCATCCATTTTGGGAAGCGAGCTCGCGCCGATACGGTATTCCCAAGCCAAGTACTCAGGCTAGTCAGGCCCTGGACGACGTCTTGCAATAATGCCTTTTATCCTCTTCTTTCTCTACACTTTGCCCGCACCCCATTGTTTCGACCGCATTGTGATCCGAAGGTCGATCCTCTGATTGTGTCGACCACGCGGACAGGCAACTTTCTGCTTCATCTGCCTACCCAGTCACTCATTCAACGTTGTAGCATTCATTGCCACGTCCGAGTGCCCCAAGGAGGACACCTCTGGCCCTCCCTTCCCCGCCGTATGCGCATTTTCTGTCGACCGCAACCTTCTTTCCTGCAGCAGACCTACCGTCAACTCGACACACAACTTCACCCACGCCCGCGGCCGGAGTGCCGATCACGCTATTAGCCAAAATGGGGGATGTTCCAGGTAGGTCGCGACATGATCCCGCCTTGGGTCTACACGATTCCTGACATACCCATCCTACGTGTATGTCTTTCAATATTCAAGGTCACTGACCACCGCTGCAGCCAGCAACTCCGATCCCGCCTCGGATGACAACGGCATCAGCCTGGTGGCTTTCATCACCGCCTTGAGTACCTCGTTGGTAGTCTTCGGCATCCAGACGGGCTTCTTCCTACTCTTGAGAACGAAGCTAGCCAGAATCTTGTAAGCGGACCCGACCATCAGCTACTCCTCCACCCGTGCTCCGAAATTGACAAGTGTGGTGTAACAGCAAACCCAAAACATATCTCGTTCCTGAACGTGAACGAACAGATCCTCCACCCGACAGCCCCTGGGGCTTATTCATTTCGGTTTTTCGATTTCGGGATCGCGAAATCATCAAGAAATGCGGCCTAGACTCGTACTTCTTCCTACGATACCTACAGACGCTCTTGATTATATTCATACCAATGGCTGCCATCATCATTCCCATACTGGTGCCGCTAAATTACGTCGATGGGAGGAGCCATGATTTTGACGCAGTCAACGGCACCAACACCACCAACGGCAATGTAGCGACGGATGATAATGGCAATAGGATCGCCGGTCTGGACACACTAGCATGGGGCAATGTGAAGCATACCAACACGCGAAGATATTGGGCACACCTGGTCTTGGCCATATTCGTCGTCATTTGGGTTTGCGGCGTCTTCTTCGCCGAGCTAAGAGTCTACATCAAAGTACGCCAGGATTGGCTCACAACCGCTGAACATCGTCTACGAGCCTCTGCGACGACCGTGCTGGTGAGCGAAATCCCGGACAAGTGGCTGAATGAGGAGGCTCTTCGGGGACTCTTTGATGTCTTTCCTGGTGGACTTCGGAACATATGGCTCACACGAGACCTGACCCATCTTCTGGAGAAAATATCGAAACGCGATGACATACATAAGCAACTGGAGGGTGCCCAGACAGAACTAATCCGAATGGCAAAAAAGAAGCAGCTTGAGAAGAGAGAGGAGGATGAAAAGAAAGCGCGTAAGGCATCAAAGACGCATCCCATGACGAAGGATGAAAAGCTGGATCGCAAGAAACAAGAAGACGCTGCCGCAAAAATACAGGCCGAGGCCGGCCAGGGCCTGAGTAGTGGTGATCGCCATGAAGTTCCTCATGATGTAGACGAAGCGGAGGATGAAGTTCGACATAACGAGGAACATCAAGGACATGTTTCGGAGAATATCGTTTCCGCCGGGCTCTGGAAGCTGAAAGGGGGCTTTGGAAAGGGTGTCGATGCTGTAAGCAAGACTGGACAAGGTCTTTTTGGGGGAGTTCAGAATGTGAGGCACGGAATCGACGACCAAATTGAAACGACGAATGGTTTTGTGGCAATCAAGCCGTCTGCTCCTACACGAGATCCGGATCGCCGTCATATACAACTGCCAGATGAGGAAGATCTTCCCAGGCCGTCAACACAAAACTCGAATCGCCCCAAACGCTCCGAAGCTGACGACCGAGTCATGGGGGCTGCCGCCACACGGCCCAATCACGCCCATAGTGGCTCGGTCGTTTCCCAAGACTCTATGCTTAAGAGGGAGAGCATTGAGATGCGGCAGTTCGGAAACTCCACGCGCAAAGCCGCGAATGAGGAGGACATGTACGACAACGAAAAACCTCGATGGTACCAATTTTGGAAGCCCCCTGTAGGCGGCTTCGCCTCGCCGCTTCCCCAAGGATATGAGGGCAAGGAGTTCCCGTTCAAGAAGAAGAAAACGTTTCTCGAGACGCTCAAATCTGCCATCCCGTTCGTCGGGGGTGAGGAGCTCGAACCGGTCGAGTATACCAAGGCTTATAACGAAGATTTTGAAGAGGAAGAAGATAAGGATGGTCAGGCAGAATGGGAGAAGTGGATCAAGAGAAGCGATCGCCCTACCCACCGTCTTGCGAAATTTGGATGGACTCCTGGGTGGCTCCCTGGTCTGCCCGTTCTGAACAAGAAGGTTGACACCATCTACTGGTGCAGGACAGAATTGGCGCGGCTCAACCACGAGATCGAGGCCGACCAGCAGAACCCGGAGCGTTATCCTCTCATGAAGTCGGCGTTCATCCAATTCAACCACCAGGTCGCCGCGCACATGGCTTGTCAGAGTATCATCCATCATGTGCCGAAGCAAATGGCCCCGCGTACTGTTGAAATTTCACCCAATGACGTGCTGTGGGACAACATGGCTGTCAGCTGGTGGTCGGAGTGGCTTCGGACTTTTATTGCGATTGCCATCGTTACTGGAATGATAATATTGTGGGCTTTCCCTGTCGCGTTCACCGGCTCGCTCTCTCAGCTCAACAGTCTCATCGAGACGTTTCCATGGCTGGGTTTTCTGGACAAGAACCCCGTGGTGAAGAAAACAGCCACTGCCGTTGCGGGTGTCTTGCCGGCAATCCTGCTTGCCCTCCTACTCTTCTTGGTTCCGCTCATAATGGAGTTCCTTGCCGGCTTTAGGGGAGCCAAAACGGGAACCCAGAAAAGTGAGATGGTCCAAGTGTTCTACTTTGCCTTCCTCTTCGTCCAGGTATTCTTGGTTGTCTCACTGGCTTCCGGTGCCCTAGCTGCGCTTGAGAATGTGTTGAAACAACCCACGGGCATCGCGGACATCCTTGCACAGAAGTTGCCTACAGCAGCAAACTACTTCTTCTCCTACATGATTCTGCAGGCCCTCAGTGTCAGTTCCGGAACACTCCTCCAAATCGGGTCACTTGTCAACTGGTACGTGATCGCGAGAATCACGAACAATACGGCGCGAAGCAAATGGGAAACCAACACAAACCTACCAACAGTCAAATGGGGGACTTACTTCCCGGTGTATACCAACTTTGCCTGCATCGGCTTGATTTACTCGGTCATTGCTCCTATCATCTCGATTTTTGCCATCATCACATTCAGCCTCCTCTGGGTCGCAAATCGATACGCCATGATCTACGTCAACCGGCTCACCATCGACACGGGAGGTGTCCTTTATCCACGAGCCATCAACCAGACCTTCACAGGCCTGTATGTCATGGAGCTCTGTCTTATCGGTCTCTTCTTCCTCGTTCGGGACGAAAATGATGAGGCTGCCTGCGAGCCTCAAGCTATTATCATGATTGTCGTGATCATCCTGACCATCCTGTACCAGCTTCTGCTCAACCTGTCCTTTGCGCCGTTGTTCCGGTACCTCCCCATCACCTTCGAGGATGAGGCGGTGCTTCGTGACGAGGCGTTCCAGCGCGCTCAGGATCGGCGTCTTGGTTTGGCCGACGATGATGATGAGGTATACGATAAGGAGGATATGCCCTCTCACCATCGTCGCAGTGGGGAAGTCCCGTCCACTTCTCTGGATAGCACCCGTGAGAAAACGCGACGCGGGAATAAGTTTACGAACTTCAAGCCCGTCAAGGGGATCGTACACGCCGGGACATGGGCCGCACGAGGTACTTATGATCACACGTTTGGAAGAGCAGAGCAAGGTATCAAAAGTGCGACCAAGTTTCGGGAGGAACGGAGGCAGAAAGATTTGGAGGCGCAAAGAGCTATTGGCGACGCCTTGTATGGCGGCTTCCACGACGAAATCGAAGACCTGACGCCTGAGGAGAGAGACATACTGGTCAAGCGCGCGTTCATGCACTCGGCGTTGCGGGCTCGGCGGCCGACACTATGGGTGCCCCGTGATGACCTGGGCATCAGTGACGACGAGATCAGAAGAACGCGAGACTTTAGCGAGCATATCTGGATTTCCAACGAGGGCACGGCGCTAGACAGCAAGGTGCGGGTGGTGTACGGGCGTGCGCCGCCAGATTTCTCGGAGCTGGACATCATTCAGCTGTAAGCACGCGCGTTGATGCAGACGGGATGTGGCGGACTTGTACATAGAGAAGGTTATGACGGCACGGTTCTGGTTGAACGGCGTGGCAAAGGATAGAGTATACCCGCTTCAGTTGCATTGGGTAGGAGCATTGGCATTAGCATATAGCATATCGCATTTGTGAATTACACAAACACACAATTTACAGTTCTTCGGATCGGCCTTGATTTAGCGACTTACATAGAGTTTCAAAGTGCCATGCGACTGACAGGCACTGGCGCCATGTCAAATCCAACGGCTTATTAAGGTTGGCGGTGGAATCCAGGGGTCAGAGAACTTTAACTACCTACATGTAAGGTAGGTAGGTACCCGTGTAGGACAGCATATGTTGTTTGAAATATAGGTACCCCGCAGACACGAGGAAGCAATGAGCTGTCCGACGTGATTCCGTAGGTACCAAATGTAGGTTGCTGCAGTGCATTCTCGTGGATTAGGATAGGGGGGATCAAACCAACCACATGGCTGAAGGGGCGAGGGGCCGCTTCCATCCTCACCAACAAACTAGCTAGGTACCTATTCTTAGAACAGGTTAGACAGGCGTGACATGGCAAGTGCCGCGCCGCGCCCGCAGTTACCGTACGCTAATCATTAGGTACATCTAATGCTCTCTTTTTCGAGTCAGAGTACGCGGCGATAGAATTGAATTGAATCGTTGGCGGTTTGTAGATGCTCGTTGATGGTCGATCAAATTGTCAAATACGAGGTATGATCTTTGCCAAGACATTCGAACCACTGTAGCGAGCCGTGTAGTCGAGTGAACTGCCACCCAACTGCAGGGCCTCGTGTTTGTCACTTTCCTTTTCTGGAGCCGCTCGCCGCGAATCCCGCTCGCCGCACCTGCCAGTCAGTCGAGGTCCCTTCTCCTCCTCTCGACACCTCCAACACACACATCAGCGACACACCAGTAGCCGCCTCCTCATCGTCAAGCATTGGACGGACCCTCACCACATCGGCTCTGAAGAATCATCGCGCGTAGTTTGAACACTTCAGGGTACTAGGTACCGATTACGCTCGTTAAGACACCGAGACGCTCTAGCAATATCAGACGTCGGGTGCCCTCCGGTGGCGCGATACAACTCAGCCACGACCACGCACCGATTCCCGTGCGATTCGGGGTTCACTTAGCCATTTAGCCAGCACCTACAAGTCCAGTATCCGCCGAAGCCAGATCGATCCCTACGAACGAGACGAACGAAATCCATACCATATTTTCGCTTGGGCGACCTTGTGGGACTGTTCCGACGCCCTTACCGCGATCGGAGACGGAGCGAGTCCATCGGATTGGATTATCTGATGTTTTGCGATAGGCGACAACGATAGGAACATACACAATATGGGTAGAACACTTGAGACTGGCCTGAAATGGCTGGTGTCTTCTCTCATCATCTCGCAGGCGCAAGCCTTCTACGTTCCCGGTAAGCCGACACTCCAAAGACGACTGTTCCGGCTCTGGAATACATGACGTCTAACCACCAAACGCATCCACAGGTTGGTCCATCAAGAGCTATAACGAGGGCGAACACATTCCCTTGCTTGTCAACAAGGTCTATTCCGACAACACGCAATTGCAGTATGCCTACTACGACCTCCCGTTCGTGTGCCCTCCAACCGGCAAGACACGGGGATCGGGCCTGTTGAGCGGACAGAGCATATCGCTGAACCTCGGAGAGGTACTTCGCGGCGATCGGATCGTGACCTCGGATGTCGACCTCACCGTCGGCCAGGATACAGAGTGCAGTTTCCTGTGCAATCAGGAGGTCACCAGAAAGGATTTGAAGAGGGCCAAGGAAATGGTCAAGGACGGATACGTGGTAGAGTGGATTGTCGACAACCTACCGGGAGCCACCAGTTTCGTAACCGTCGATAAAACAAGGAAATACTATGCGGCCGGGTTCAAGCTCGGGTTCACCGACTTCTCCGCGAGTACCGGAAAGCCGCGGTACTTCCTCAACAACCACCACACCATCGTGATTCGCTACCGATCGGCACCTGGCCGCGCTGGCGAAAAGGGCGCCAAAGTAGTCGTTGGCTTCGAGGTCTATACCAAGAGCATCGGTCCGAACAACAAACGAGAAAACGGCTGCCCCACTGATCTCCAGGAGATCGAGGGCAACTTCGAGCTGTACATGCCACCGAACAGGACCAGCGACTTGTCTTTAGAGGATTCGAGTTCGTTCCATTACACCGAGGATACCGAGGAGGGTGATGACAACGATAAAATCATCATCCCGTATACATACTCGGTGTACTTCCGGGAAGATGATTCGATCGAGTGGAATCGACGTTGGGATCTGTACTTCGTGAACCAAGAAGAAGGCTCGAGGATTCACTGGCTAGCGATTGTCAATTCGTTGATTATCTGCGGTCTCCTCAGCGGAATTGTTCTGATGATACTGTCCAAGACTATCAGGACCGACATCAAGGGCCGCAAGCAGGGCTCTGCAGAAGACGGCAAACTAGGACTCAAGCGCAAATCGCGCGCCCCCAAATCGGAGAAAGCCACTCTTGGACTGCTCGAGCAGGAGCGTGACATCGATAACGACGTCGATGTTTCATCCGATGATGAGGCTATAGAAGATGTGACCGGATGGAAGCTGCTTCACTCCGATATTTTCCGGAAGCCTGAGTATGGTTATCTGCTGGCCCCTCTCGTCGGGTCTGGCATGCAGCTGCTGTTCATGGCGCTTGGCTTGGTTCTCCTAAGTGCTATTGGCGTCTTGAACCCAAGTTTTCGAGGAGGCTTCATCAGCGCCGGTGTTGGGTTGTTCGTCTTTGCTGGTGTCTTCTCGGGCTACTTTTCGGCCAGGGTGTACAAAACCTTTGACGGGCAAAGCTTCGGCAAGAATGCTCTTGTCACGGCCTGTCTCTTTCCTGGACTCCTCTTCGGTTTGGTCTTTATATTGAACCTGTTTGTTTGGGCACAAGCATCGAGCACGGCCTTGCCATTTGGGACTCTGATTGCGATCGTCCTGCTTTGGCTTTGCATTCAAGTTCCACTTGTCTACCTCGGCTCGTGGTACGGGTTCAACCGTACAGGCGCATGGGAGCATCCTACCAAGACTGCCAGCATTCCGCGACAGATCCCGCAACAGGCCTGGTATATCAAGAGCCTGCAGTCGATTCTGCTAGCCGGCCTGATCCCGTTCACGGTCATCTTCATCGAGCTGCTCTTCGTCTTCCAGTCGATGTGGCAAGACAAGAGCGGATACTACTACGTGTTCGGCTTCTTGTCGGTGGTGTCCATCATCCTCATCGTCACGGTGGCCGAGGTGACGGTCGTCACCGTCTACGTCCAGCTGTGCTCGGAGAACTATCACTGGTGGTGGCAGTCGTTCCTCGTCGGTGGTGGCTCCGCCGTGTGGGTCTTTCTCTATAGCGTGTGGTACTACTTCGTCAAGCTGCACATCACGGGGTTCGTGAGCTCGCTGCTGTTTTTTGTTTACAGCTTCATTGCTTGCTGCGTGTATGGGCTGCTCACTGGGACCCTGGGCTTCTTGACGGCGTATACCTTTATTCGGAGGTTATATGGGTGAGTTATGGATTCCTCCATCCAATCTTTAGTGTTGTATGCTGACTTGACTGCGTTTAGTGCTATTAAGGTAGACTAGATGAAGGGACCGTCCACCAGTGACGAGAGACATAGTAATGCACAGGATACCTATTCATATCATTCTTCCATTCCTTCACATCAGTAGCATCGCCCCGGCGCAGGAATGTCGTGGGCCGGTTTGGCGTTTGGCGGTGATACACATTTGGTTGGGCACGGCGCGGCATACATACGACATGTACACCAGGGATATATGTATATACGCCCCCGGTCATGACGACTTGCAGGCAGCCACCTTGAATATTGAATGTCCCCAACAGTAAGACATCGACTCCATCCTCCGTATTGTGACATTGCAGCGCCGTTTTCATACCTAGAAACGCACATCATGATGTTGCGCACAATCATAGCGCCCCGGCGCTCCGAGCTTGAGCTCGAATTTACACGTAGGTTCTTGGTAGGTAGGCACTATGTACTACAACTGACTCCGTCCCACATTCTGGCCCATGGACAGCCAGAGCCCGGAGCCTTCGGCCATGACGTTTCCTTGCTATGGTGTTAGCCAATGCTTCTTCTTTCCCCTATCACCAAGAGAGGTAGATGGGGAGATAGAACTTACCATCCTTATCCTCGATAGTGCCCCGGACATGCAGTTTCCGCCCGTCCTTCTTGACGACGCGCCCGCGCACGAGCACGACCTGCGGCAGGCGGATCTGCTTGCGGAAGTTGGTCGTGAAGGTTATGGTGTAGGCTCCGTTGGCTGGATTTCGGGGGGAAGGTTCCAGTGATTAGCTGGTTTTTTTTATTATAATGTTGTTGATGTGACATATGTGTGTATACAGGTACAGATTTCAGCTATGACAGATGTGGACATGGAGAAAGGCGGTATAGACCAAGAGGTACCTAAGAAAAGGGGCAGAGGAAGAAATGACCAGAGCGGTAGGTCGAAGTATAGGGAGAAGATGAAAAAGGGTAATAAGGGGTACAGAAGACAAGATACTCACCACTCTGGAAATTCGCTGCCGTGCCCATCACCTCGTCCATCAGGACCCCGAACAGCCCGCCGTGCATGGTCCCCACGTAGCCGTTGCAGTCGATGCCAAGGTCGAGCAGCGCATTGATGAGCACTGCAGGCACACGGGACAAGTTGTGGTCAGCGGGTTTTCAGACAGGTAGGTAGGGTGATAGGTAGGTAGGGAAGGGGTACATGTAGGGAGGTAGATAGGTAGGTAGGTAGGTATCCTCGCTCCTTGCAGATCGATGACTAGGCGGTTTTGATCGGGAGTTGGGGGTTAAGAGTCGTGGGAGTAGGGCTCGGAGGTCAGGGGTCCAGGGGTAGGTAGGAAGAAAATCCCATTGACGGCATCTGCGAACCCCTGAGGCGGCGCCACGGAGGCAGGCAGGCAGGCAGATGATATCGGAGAGTGTATGTAGACAGGCGAGCAGGTGAACAACAGGTGGGAGGCAAGTAGGTACTCACAAAACGGATTCTTAGGGTCCTCGCCGCAGTCCTTCCCGCCACCACTCAGCAGCTCCGTCGACGCGGACAGCGGCTTCTTTTCCCCTTTTTCATGCCTATCCTCCCCCCCTTTCTCCTTCCTATCCCTCACACCCCCAACAGCCCCAATACCCGCCGAAACCCCGGGCTTCCCAACCCCCTTAGCGACCGCCGGCGCCAGCGCCTGATCCTTCCCCTTCCCCTGCCCAATTCCCTTTCCCTTTCCTCCCGCCGTCCGCACCATACGAAAGAACGTCACGCACGCCTTCACAGTGGAAGCGCTATTCATGGTGCGCCGCACAAAGTTGGACTCGCCCGACGGCAACGGCGTGCGGTCGACGACGATGACGTCGAGAATGGCCGGGTCGGACAGGAGAGCGGCGCACCATGGGATGGCGCGGAAGTGGGCGATTGGGTCAGGCACGGGTTGGTTGTGCGCGTTTGGGGCGGAGTGTGGTTTTGTGGCTGGGCCTACGGGCTGGGAGGCGATAGAGGGCATTTTAGGAGTTTGAGGATTGGGGTGAGGTTGATGGTGATGGTGTTGCAGACGAAGGGGGTTGATGTGTGAGATGGGGTGACGGCAGTTGAGAGGAGAGATCAGGGCTTGTGACCTCTGTCGTGCTCGATGATGGTCTTCTACCGGGCGGAATGAATGATGAACCGTCTCATATGATCTGACCTTGTTGGTGGTCCAGCTTCCAAAGATGTAGATAAGGTGAGCTCGTGATCAGCTTCAAAAGGGTCTAAGATCGAAGTCGGCAATGAGTATGAGTGACGGTATAGGAGAACTATCAGCGTCTCTCTAAACGGAAGGGTCACTTACGGAATAGAAGTTGACGATCGGCACACTCACAAGGAGATATATATGGTATAACAATAAACAGCTTCCAAGTCAAGAGTCCGGGGAGAGGGTGGATAAGTACCCTCGATCCCGTTCCCCGCGGTCCACGACTATATAGTATACGTATTGGCAGCTCAAACCCGAAGCCCTACTAGAGGGGCTAGCCAGCCCCATGGAGGTCTGGGAGCCCGAGCTCATGACATCAAGAGCGCTCGGCTTGAGTTCATGGCCTGAACCGGTACTGTCTCGACTCTCACCAGTGCCCTCCCGAGCCAAACGTTAGGTAGAAATGGTGTCTTCGGGAGGTGATCGGCATTCGTTAGCCCGGAGTGGAATCTGGGTCGTGCTGGATCCGGAGACGGCGTAATCGATCGGGCGCGCCACCAAAATCTACTTTACCTGTTTCGCCTGTCAGGAACTTGATGGATCTTCTTGCATGCTAGCCGCTGAGGTCCTGGAACAAAAACGAGCCAAGAAATCCAATGCCAGATGACGTGGAGAGTTGCATCGAGGTCGATAGTACTGTAGCGGCGCCGTCATGCGTGACAATGCTTCAAAGCGGCGTTATATCACAACAAGAGGTATACTCCTGGCATCAATCCTCGTGAATGACGTCGAGCGTGGTTGTGGTGGTGAATGAACACCATGTATTTGCCAACTGCTTCCGACATATACAAGGTCGCTATAACGTCCCTCATTCAAGCAGTCCCATCTTTCCCTGACCCGCAAGCCGATGTTATCTATGCCCAAGGTATTTCCAAAAACGCCTTACTCCGACAATGCGATCCAAAGTCCCCCGTCTGTCTGTGTACAAGGCCTTCTCTCTATCTATATACCAAAGAACGTCTTCACCCGTTCATAGGTGTAGAAGCTCACAGCCGACATCGGTAAGACCTTCATGTACCCAATCGACAGACCCACGAAGAAGCCACGTATTCCGTTCTCCTTGAATATCGTGCCCGCGGTCTCTCCTATGCGAAGACGGCGTCCGTCTCCAACAGCACCGCCGACCTGCATGCGTCGCCTGATCACTTCGAGTGGGTATGACACAGTCTGAGAGACCGGGCCCGCAATACCGCCCGCGACCAGCTCGGCCCATGCTCGTAGAGGTGCAGGCTTATCTTTCGGCGCATTGGCGGGCTGAGGTAATGTCGTGTACTTCCGGAGTAGCGGCATCCGGAGGGCATCGCCCGCTATGTCGTGTGTCAAGAATGACATGCCCGCATACGGAACCATGCCCAGCATAGTCGTTGAGAACCCTCTGTAGAAGTTCACCAGGCCGGAGCGAGGGGCCACGGCCTGTACCGTCGAGGAAGCAGCCTCGGCCACACCCTTCACAACGCCAGATCCCGACGTCGCAGGCGCTATTTTGGGCAACGGGTGTTCGTGGTATATCTTTTTGCAGATGTCGGCGAGGGACGAGCTCCTATGCTTCGTCTCAAACGCCAGCCGCACGCGAATGACCTCGAGGGGGTATGTGAAGAAGACGGATGTCACGCCGGCGGACGCGCCGGCCGCGAAACGCCGGAACCACGTCTCTTGGCTTCTGGAAGAGATAAACCACGCCCGGTATTGCTCGTAAGCGACGAATTTGATTGCGGCGTAGGGGTAGATCTTGAGGAGAGTAGCCGAGTGCCCGCGGAAGAGGCCCGTAACTCCGTTCTGGGTGTAGATGTCCTGCATCGCTTTGCCCAGTCCGAACCATGATCCCGTGTATTTCGCGAATTGGGGGTTGCTGGTCTGGAAGAGGATTTTGACTCGGTCGAGCGGCGCGACAGCAGTCTTTGCCTGTAAAGAGCAAAGCAGATCAGTATAAAGCTATCAGACTTCCAAGGTTGGTTGATACGCACAGCACACCCTGCGAGACCACCAGCAATGCCCGACCGGATTATGTAGTCCATGCTGTGCTTGTCGGGCTGTTTCCTCTCTCCTGTTACCGGTACGTCGCCCGCGGCTTCGTCTGCCTCCGCACCATAGTCCACCGCGTTTGCAATGGCGTGGCCATCTTGTTGGGGCGGGATCTCGGAGATCGAGGCATGATTTGACAGCGTCGATGGCATTCCTGCGCCACCGACCTCGATCGGGAAATAATATTGGAGTTAGCACCAACGGTCCATACCACTGGCGGCTGTCGTCGAAGCTGCCTTGTCTCTGTGGCGTGTCGTGGTGCCTCTTTGTTGGGTGGTGAGGGAGCTCGTAGGGGAGTATTCTAGGTTCCGGTAAGATGGAAGGGAAAAGCGGTCCCGGAGTTTGCATGTGCGGAATTCCACTTGCCCGGGCGCAACGCGTTGAAAGCCGCAAACGTCATTTACTGGTACCGAGCCGAGGCTTGCCGAAGCTTGGCCTACCACCCTGGGCACTGTGTGATTGTCACACGCTACGAACCCCCGGGCGCCCGTCCCGCCTCAGCGGTTCAGCGGTGATTCCACCCTATCAAGTCTATGCTATGTTCTGTGTATCACCAACATGATTCCATTCCTTGAGGGTTGTTCAGGGGGAAACCTGTAATAAGACTCAAACGGACCTCCCCTGGTGGCACTCTGCTCTTCCCAACTCTCTCTCGCTCAGTCAAATGGACCAGAAAGGGTTGCAGCCGAATATTCAGCAATATAATTTAGGTTACTGAAAGGCCTATTCATATTCATCTGGTCTCCTACCTATACGAAGCAGGTGGCTATCGCATCCCTTGGTTCCCAGTCTGCGTTCCAACCTGGTCATATTCAAGCTTCCACTGGAGTCGAAATTTGAGGTCATCCACAATCCGACATTGGTTGCCTGTACAGCATGGACAGATCGGCATGGAGAGCACTCATTGGATCACTCCTTGGATCACATAATCCTTTTTTCCCAGTTGTCCGTGTTCCGTCAATGTTGGTCCAGTCTGTATATATCGAGGAGCCTTCCTTTACAGACATCCACATACCATCGTGACAATCCATCAGGGCAAACATGAGGGCTGCCTAACAGGTATCTCCTATCCCGCATCGCTCCTCTGTGTGGATATCGGAACAATTGACTATCGTGTCGAGTAGCCGGGAACTTCCTGAAATACTACTTGCATTCCAGAAAGCGGCTGGTCAACACCTTACTTTGACGTGAGCCTGGCCTCGGTTTCTGCCATTATCCTGTTCTGCAGCTCCTCCATCTCTTCCCGCGAGGTATTATGACTGGCGTGGGCTTGGTTTTTGGGGTTCTCGGGACTCTTATCGAATTCCTTTTCGATCTGTTGTACTCTCTGGGTCAGGCGCAGGCCCTTCCCAGTGCCATCGTCGGCCATCTCTTGGAGTCTTCTCTCCTTAAATGCAAACCATGCGGGCCTGACTCTTTTCTCGGCGTGCCTGTCGAGCTTGGGGGCGGCAGACTTGTCGTCCATCTCAAGAGCTTTAATGCTATCTTCAATGGTCTTAGCTACTACTGGCTGCAGCTTCTTGTCGCTGGGGTCGCTGGATTCGAGCTGGCCCAGGTCGAGGCCGCGGCTGGGCTTGGGGTTGGTTTTCTTGACAGCGGTCTTAGCGTTCTTGGGACCGGCGCGAGTCGGTAGGCTCTTTTCTTCTTCGGCGGCGAGAGCGTCCTTTTCGGCCTTTTTCCGAGCTTGTTCTGCCTTCTTGGCTGCCTCTGCTTCTCTGCTCAGGTGTTAGCGTTGACGGATGCAGACCAAGGCTATGTCGTCATCCGACCCAGCAAGTTGCACGTCGGAAGAGATGGAGATTCCCGCCCTGAATACCAATGTGCGATGGAATGTCACGAGAAAACATACTTCTTCGCGTTGCTCTTGGATCCCTTCTGCCACTCTGCGTCCTCGGCCACCGTGTTCTTCGCGTTTTCCGCAGCAGCTTTGCCAGCAGCGGCTTCGGCCTTTCGGGCTTGGCCTGCTGCCTTCTTGCTGCCGTCGCCGCCCTTCTTGCCCGCCATAATGTAGGTTTTCGCTTCACTTGGGACGGATGGAGAGTCGTGGTGGTGGTAGGGGACAAAGTTTAGGTATCAGATGGAAGCAGTCGTGGGTGAAATGAGGTAGGAACTGGGCATTGGTGGGGTTAGGCGGCACGGGGCTCTGGCTGATATGACCCCCGTGGATGAGCCTTCTCCAAAGAAATCCAATCCAACCACCTGCACCCAAGGGAAACTCGCAGGTACGCAGGGCTGCTAGCCTGCTAAAGCCTAGAGGCGAGTAAGGTTCAGGCCTTCAAGTTATTAGTGGGGTCAGGCAGGTGGCGTAATCGAAGCATTTTGCTGGTTGGTACTGGAAGCGGATCTGGTAGTATTGTTCCGACGCCTTCACCTTACGCTACTATTTCCACAAAACTCGGCCATCACATATCGGACTGCTCATCCACGCCCAATTCATGGAGCACTGATTGGACCTGCTCAGATTCTCTGGCCATCGCGCTGAATGTCTATTACAGGCTGGCCTGGTGCGCGACGCTCTGTTCGGTGTCTATGGTGCACGATGCTCGAACACACAGCTATGAACTATGCCGTATTCCATACGTGTAAACATTGTCCAAGCATTCATGGATGTCAACTACAATCCACGACCCGTCTCTCTACCAAGTCCGACCGCCAGCACTTTCCTGGAGTTTGACTTACTGTGCAGTAGGCAGAAGCCCCATATCCATTGAGGGCGACCTACGAAGGAGTCAACAAACAAGAAGTCAATTCAAGTGACACTCTGATCCTGCGGCATCCCATCAGTGCAAGTGCGCAATGAGGCTCCTTATATAATGGGTGATCCAGTGCGTTGGGTCCCTAGCCGCCGGGATCTGTTTGGAAAGGGGGCCTGGGGGAGGTGATTGGTTGGGTCATGTTACAGTCGCACCCGAGCGCTTCGGCACGATGCGCTGTTCACGACCTCAAGTAAGGAACATCTCGCTGTCGGGGTGTTTCTCGTCTATTCTATCTCATCGAAACCTCATGCTGCTACTGTCCTCACGATCATAGTTTACAATGCGTCTGAGGCCTCTCTCTCGAGCATTCAAGTCGAAACCCCGACCAGAAGTCCAGGTACCAGCATCAGCCGAAGGATTCCCAGGGACCAGGTGTCCAGCGTATCCTTACCAAGCCCTACCTGATACACACATCCGACTCCTCCAGATCTTGCCAGGAGAGTACCATGACCAGATCGAATGCCGCCTTGATTGCGTCCCTCTCAGTCCAGAGCCTTACTACTATGCCTTGTCCTACGTGTGGGGAGACGCATCGAGAACCTTACCATTATCCCTGGAAGGTATACAATTCGAGGTCACTATAAACCTCTACGCAGCACTCCACCAGCTGAGGCAGTTGGACGACGGCGAATACCCCTATACGGAATCTTACTTCTGGATCGATGCCATTTGCCTTAATCAGAACGACCTCGCCGAAAAGTCTCAACATGTACCTCGGATGAATGAGATATACTCCGAGAGTATCCGAGTCGTCATTTGGCTGGCGTATAATGGGCCTTCAGCAAACAACTTTCGCAAGAGGCTATCTCGGAAAGCCAAGTCAATCTGGTATTCAGATGTGTCCCCACGCCGACTGCTGTCCTCAGGAGTAGCAGATGTCAGTATATCCTACTTGACAATGGTGAACAGCCGCGCAGGAGCATGGCAAGACTGAGGAAGCTGTTGTGTTACCGCGTTTACATGCTTGGAAGAGCCATGCTGACTTCGCTCACATCTATAGATTCTGCTCCTGGGTCACGGGTCGAGATATGTTAGGCCATCCCCAGATGTTGCGATCGAGCAGCTGTTTGCGACAGCTGAAAGATTCTGGAGCCAATGGCTGTATGGAGATGAGGATGAGGATGTAGTGGCACTCAAGAAGGAAGTCGGTCGGCATTACGCTCTGGTAGAAAGGGGTCTTCTGTTTCTCATGCAGACGCCATGGTTTCAGAGAACCTGGACAGTTCAGGAAGCTTGCTTGGGCGGCTTAGAACCTGTGGTCTACGTTGGGAAGCACTCCATCGAGCTTGACCGTCTCTATCAGTTCTTGATCGCCATGGCACGACAACACCGCCATGTGGCCTTGGCACCAGGTATGATGAGACTCGCTGGTCTGAATCAGATACGTAACTTGTTTCGTGGCCAATTTCACAAGTTCGATAGTATCGAATGCCCAATGGTGAAATGGGCAGAATGTCTCATGATGGTCAGAGGAGCCGCGGGCACGAAGGAATCCACGAACCCACTCGACCAGCTCTATGGTTTTCTGGGCATTGTCACTGTCATAACGCGGCAGAGTATGCCACCGGAACTCATGCCTGACTACAGTCTGCCCTATGGAGAGGTGTGCTGGAGGTACTCCGTTTTCATCCTCGAACACACGGCGGACTTGGGACTGCTGGGTTGTACACAGAACCAGCTAGTCGATGTGCCATCATGGGTCCCGGACTTCCGATACGCCGAAACTGTTAGGAAGTCCCAGAAGAGGCGTGGTATCATACAACTCTCACCAGATAAGACGGCCCTACATATTTGGGGCCTTGAGGTCCAACCTATCAGTGACCATCTCGATGGCTGCCCGTGGAAGGAAATACAGCCTGATACAGCGAGCCATGCAGCGGCCCTGTCCCGTCGCCTGAAGGAAATAGAAGAGCGAATAATCAGGCGGTCCTCGACTCTCAGAAAGATCCCCCAAGACGACGTCCTCGACAGCTGGGTGAAGGACCATCATCGCGGCTTGCAGGGGGACTTGAAATCGTTCCGCCAGACCTACCGTCAACTCAGCAATGGCACGCCTATTACGCTTACCAAGGGGTCGCGCACCGGAAATGCACATGCGAGAGAAATTACCATGGCGCACGAGTTCAGTCGAGCTTGTCTGCTACTCACGGATGGCACCATCGTTTGCGTCGATAGGGAGGACATTCGAATTCAGCCCGGAGACCTCGTGTGTCTCTTCAAGGGATTAGCGACCCCGAGCCTCATCAGGCCGTCTGGGGAGGCGTTCGCTTTCTTGAGTCAATGTAGGATTCGAAGTGGAACCTTTGACGGACTAGATATTGATGATGAGTTTTGGGCTGGTAGAGATGTTAAGGAGTATCGTCTAGTGTAGCTCCCGTTGTTTGTGGCAGAGACGAGCCTATGGGTTCCGCTTTGTAATAGGACTATATGCATGAGACCATTGATACTCCCTACCAGTTGGAAAGCAATTGAGACATGCTGCAGATGCAGACTGTGGCGGTATTCCAGGAGCCTGATCTTCCGTGTGTCGTGTAGGGTCTTGACAGCTTCATACACCGCTGCGTTCGCTGGAAAATTCTCAACCATTGATCCTGAGTCCTCAGGCTGCCTGCCCGTCCCTTCTTCAAAGTCATGATATAACCAGCTCGAGAGTAACAATATGTTGATAGCATCTAAGCCCAAGGCAAGAATTCTGAGTTTGAGGGATGGTGTTTGGACGTCGTCCATCAACTGTTAGAGAAGCCAACCTAACAAGACGAAAAACGAGAGAAGGCATATAATTAACTATCAACAGTCTCTAGAGACACGCCAGAGAGACGACGGGAAACTTGACATCTGGGCCACATAAGAGGAACCGGTTGAGGCATCTCTCTCTCTCACGCGCGCACGAAAAGATCAATACCTTTTCAAGATAAAGACTGGCAATGATACTCGCGATGGCTACTCGATCCCTCCGCCTCGCGAGGACATCAACTTGACACCAGACACACTGACTGACTGCCAACTATAGAGAGCCTGAACCAGCATACCTCACCGCACCAGAAAGCGTCGCTCTCAGCTTCTTCCTTTAATTCTGACATTGTATTAGAACCTGAAATCCCTTGTCCCCTTTCCCTTAGTCATCTGCTGATGGCTAACCACTCGATCGACTGGATTCCTCTAGCCGCGATCCAGCAGCCTTCGGACAACTTCAACCACTCCCGCCCCTACACACCACAAATTAAATCAAATCAAATGTGCATAGAAGAATACACCGTACTCCTCGAACTCAGAGTCCTGCTTCCCTGAACTACCATCCATATACGTGTACGTCGGCTTGATCCCGACGCCCAACCTGCTCGAATATAGTGCCCGAGAACCCTCTGCCGCTTCATATGACACTTGCTCACGTCCAGGACCGGACCCTCACGGGTCGCTACTTGCGGTGCGGTCATGACCACGCTTTCGCCTGGCTGGCTGACTGGCTAACCGTTTCTCCTGGGCCTGTCCAAACAGACTTGAGGACTCTGACTCCAATTCCAACGCAGACTGAAACCACTTCATGTCCGGCTTGACATGTGGTACAACTAAGAGTGCCCCTAGCGACTTGCTCCCCTCGTCGCCAGTCGATTATGAAACATAAGCCTTCATTTCACAGCTCACAGCTCACAGCTCATCACCATGGCTGGTCGCAAAGATGTCTTCAATTCTGAACATCATCTCAGGGAATCTATACAGGCACCCGTTGTGCTCCTCTCCTCATTACACTATGGTACAGACAAGTAAAGTAGAGATTTCCGTATCTGACGGTATTTTGGTGGGCCCATCCCAACGCCAGGAACCAATTTAGCCATTAAGCAAGAGAGCCTCGACTCCGACAAGAACCCGCAAATGTAAGCTCGCTGTTGACAAGGCACGCCGCCCATGTGTCCTTGCGCAAGCGCGCCATCCATATCTTTTATGGCAATGTACATGTCCGTGTCCTGGTATCTATACACTTCGAAGACTGTCTCTTCGAGGGAGTAACGTCGTCAAATAATCGAGACAAGGCGGTGAACGTGCGCAACGATGTGCGCCCTGGGTGCCGAATGAAGGGTTGGTGTCGTCTCTTTAGAACGCGGATCTTGAACGGAAGTTAGAGCCACCGCCACCACCCCGTGAGCCGAATCGGTCCTCAAACGAGTTGCCGCCACCTCCTCGTCCACCACCGAATGAGCTGCCACCACCTCGTCCACCAAACGAACCGCCGCCGCCGCGTCCACCACCCCTTCGGTCACCGAAGTTGGAACCAAAGCTGTTGCCTCTGGGCTCCTCGTCGTTATCGTATCCGATGCGAATTCCAGCTACTCTGCTCAACCCGCGGTTCTGTACGACCTTTGGGGGAATAGCGGGCGGCTCCTCCCAGCCTAGGCCGTTCCTGCTCCACCCGTTTAGCAGTCCGATTACATCTTCGGCCTGCAGGTTTCTGCCGAACTTCTGGCCCAGCATAGCACGATACGCGGCGCCGAATTTAGACTTGTACTGTTTTCCGTATGCTGCCCGCAGCTCTTCAAAGTAGCCGGCGACAGCGTCCGACGGCGCTTCTGTCCCTACGACGTGCTTGGCAGATGCGATGCTGTGGTTCGGTTTGATGGGTAAACCTGGAAGACGAGCACGAGCCTCTCGGATTTCCTCTTCCGCAAGAATCAACCATCCCTCTCCGGCATGACCAGCACGGCCTGTGCGGCCAACCCGATGGATGTATTGATCTCGGTCAGGTGGGAGACCGACCTGAATGACATGTGTCACATTGGGAAAGTCCATTCCTCTTGCTGTAACGTCTGACGAGAAGAGAATACCAGAGTCTGCGCGACGGAACATTTCAGCGCTTCTCGTGCGCTGGGCTTGCGTGAGCCTTGAGTGGATGTCGAAGATGGGACAAGTTCGACCCGATAGCCAGGTATCTCTAAAGACAGCGTAGGCAAACTCGACGGTGGCCGTGTTCGAGAAGAAGACGATGGCCTTGAATGGAGGAGCGGAAGGGTCGTTTTTATGCTTCTGCATGGCGTTGGCTGCAATTTCCATGATGGATGGGAACCAGTTCTCATAACCCTGGACGGGTACGAGGTGTTGGGGCACTTTCTCATGGGTTGGAGTATCATCTGCCCTGATGGTCTGAACGAACTCGAAGTTGTCCGTCTTAACCATGCTCTTGGCAAGGTGGACAACATCCCGGGGGATGGTCGCAGAGAACAACAAAGTTTGCCGATCAACCTTTTCTCGGGGTGGGAGCATATCGATGACGTTGCGAATATCGTCGGCGAATCCAACATCCAGCATGCGGTCGGCCTCATCGAGAACGAGGGCTCCAATATTCGGCGCGGAGACGTGAGCGTCGCGATCGGACAGGAGATCCTGCAGTCGACCGGGAGTTGCAACCAAGATATGACAGCCCTCGCGTTGCATTCTGAAAAGAGACTCTCGCTTTCTCGTACCACCGACAGCTGTCTGGACAACGATACCGGTGTTCTGCGCCAGCTTCCTCGCCTCGACACCAATCTGTTCGGCAAGTTCACGGGTCGGTGAGATGATGATACCGCGAATGTCTTCGGACGAGGCTCGACTGCGGTTCTGCCGGTTGATGAGTTCCGGATCACGCATCAAGATACGCTGGAAGACGGGAACCAGGAAAGCCAATGTCTTTCCTGTGCCGGTTTTTGCTTGCGCAACGCTGTGGCGCCGATTAGATGACAATCCCAATGGGCCGCCAAGATAATTCCATGGTACTCACAGGTCAACTCCCTTGATCGCGGGGGCGATGGTCAATGACTGAACCTCAGTCATGTTTTCGTATTTCATGCCATCGGTGAGGGCCCTGACAAGATTCGGGTTGACACCGAGTTTGGCCAGGTCGGCGAAGCGAGTGATGGGCCCCGAATCAGACGAGGCGCCGTCGACATCTTCATGCGCTTCGGCGGCAGATTCGGAAGAGTAGAAGCGCGTGGAAAGCTGTCTAATGGGAAGTAGGCGTAATGTGGCTCGGGACGACGATCTCTGGCATGCTGCTACCAGCGACTGCGAGCGAACAGGCTGCAGGGACAAGGCAGAAAACTGACGACGGGCGACATTGCCCAATCGGGCTTGCCGTTGTATTGATGCCTTGAACATCCTGGCTGTGGAAGGGGGTATAGGCCTTCACGAGAGAAGAGAAGGGGGTCGGAAAGGAAAGAGAAAATTGTTGTTGGTGTTGATAGCCTCGCAGAAAGAGGCAAAAGGAGCGCGGCGCGATAAAGTGACGAAGGAAATTTTTGAGCTCGAGCCAAGCAGAAGGGATCCTCCAGTTGGCTGCGGGTCCACGGGCGGGTCCAGCAATCATCGAATTCAATCAATCCCCGGGTTGTCTCATTCAGTCCGGTCTCTCCGCTCGTCGCATATGCTCTCTATAATGATTTTGATCATGACGGGACAGTTCAAAAGCTTCCCGTCCGATTGCGTTGTGGGCAATGCAACTCCAAACATGTTGCAGCTCACCTCATCAGTGCATGTGCTTTCATCTCCTGCGCCAATTGATCCCATACTGTCGGCCTTTACTAGGTACAGCGCCTTGTTACATTTTCCAAACGACAATTCAGATACTCCGCGAGTATGTCTCGCCTATCTGAAGCGCCTCCCTCCACCAATTCTCAAGCCACCAGAACTGACTATGGATCCAAACTCCACGTCTAGGTGCACCGGTTTGGTGATCTCGACAGATTTCGTCTTATGCAAGCACTCTACCAAGTGGAGCCAGCGTGAAGCCCGCGTGAAGCCACCGCCGGGCTGGGTTCGTTCTTGTCCAGTGACATGCGAGCCCTTTGCACATGTCCATATCATTGCTCAAATTCAAACCACCACCATCAACCGGCTTGGCCAGGTGCCAGGCAGTACCAGTTTCTCAGCCTCCAACTACTGCCTACCCTGTCGGCACGCTTCCTGGATCCTACACGGCGCTTGGAAGGTGATGCGGACGGCGTCTTTGACGATTAACAACTGACCCGCCTCCTGTCACATGTGAAATCCGTTATCTATCAAACACCTCGTGGTTGTGTGGACCCTGTGTTCTGTCAGGAGCCCGGTAGGAACCGACCTTCTGTTTGTAATAAGTTTCAACCTTCGCTGAAGACATCCACGGAGCCCTATCGGAGAAGTGAGGGTTGCCAGCTTATATCCATGTGCATTCTCCCTCTATACCGTCAATCTTAGCATCGCCTAGCCCACTGCGTCGAGAAACACCATGCTGGAACAGGCAAACACCTTGATCTTCGTCTTCAACATGCTCCCCTCATCCGTCCAGTCACGGTTGCCCGCCCTCCAGGCGCTCCGGTCAGCTAGCTTATCTATCTTATCGTCCCGGATGCGGACCGTACCTATACCAGGGGAGAAGGACACAGATGAAATGGTCGTGGCGAGCAGGAAAGACAGCTCCATCGTCGAGATACAGCAGATGGCACCCGCAAGCTTGGCGGATCGCAGGGTGAAGGGCGAGGCCATCGACGAGAGCACCAACAACGCCGCCGTCGCCCTCTCGGGATCGGGAGTCAAATGGAGATACGCCAAGCAAGGTGAGTTGCTACAACCCCACCACCCCCTACTCTACTGCCCCTGTTCGAGAGGAACCATGACCAATACGTGGATTAGGTTCCTACATGCACCACTCGGCCTCCGCCGAGAGGGAAGACGTCGTCTTCTCGAGGAAAGCCTACATCGACGGCCTGGCCTACATGCTGCAGGCGCTGCCCGATGATCTCGACGAACACGAGAGCAGTGTGCTCCGTCGCGCCCTGCCCGAAGCCGTCGCATCGCCGGACGAAGACGCAACCGGGGCCACCGCATCGCAGCGACAGCGCGCCCTCGTCGCGGGACCCCAGACGACCCCGGAACGGTCCTTTCTGCACCATAGCGTTGCGGGCCTCGTCGCCAACATCGTGCTGGTGGCGTACCTGCTGCTGTCGGTGATGATGTTCCTCGTCCGCGTCGGCGCGCAGTACGAACGCCAGCACCACCTCTCGCGGCAGCTTGCGGCGCGCGGCCTCGTGCTCGGCGCCAGGATCTACGCCCTCAGCGACGGCCGTGTCGGCAGGGCCATGACCGACCTCGCCGCCTGGGCCGTCGAGAACGTCACGGGCGGCATCCAGGACGGCATCGGCCAGGGGCTCTTCATGATCGAGCGGAAGCGGCAGGAGGGGGAGGCCCACCGGAAATGACATGGCTTTCGTGGGGGTTTCCTTGCTACGAATTATGCTACCGTCACGTCTGTGGTTGCTTTTGCTTGGGCGCACCGGCGTACTGGATACAGGTACAAGCGGGAATCATTGGGATAGAGAGCATGGTTTTGCATATAGACATTATGGTAAAGCTCACGGGGAGGTCTGGGTCCACGCATCGATCGGCTTTTGCATTCAATACGGCGTATCGTTAGGTAATTTATGGGTAACGACAAGTCGGCACGTTTATGGTAACGACAAAACTCCAAAGAATTATATCAACACTAGCTCAAATTTTGAAGTCATGCGAGGAATCGAATTCACGTCCTAAACTTGTCTCACCCCGGTAATCCGGTATCACAGAACTAGGTGCCATCTATACACTAGACTGAGTACCTAGACTCGAATGTACAGCTTCCAAATATACACTCTCCGTTTGTCTAGCCACACACACAGCGCAGACACAGAGTCCATTCTAATCCACCGTGCTATGCGTGTCGATTCCTCGCATCCATGCACCCTACCCTTCTCGATGTAAGTAAGGTAAGTGGACCCTACGTGCCCTGCGCACCCCCCTTCTCCGCCGCCAGCTTGGCCTCCATCCTTCGCCGCGCTGCCAAGATCATGTCGTCGCGCCGCCGCTGCAGCGCCGCCTGCCTCTCGTCGCGGTTCGAGCTCCACGCTTTGCCCTTGGTGGTTTCGGCTTCGCTCTGTTTGGGGGTGATTTTGTCCTGCAGCTTGTACCGCGTGATCAGATCCGGCTCGGCCGGCTTTGTTGGGGCCTTGGAGACTCCGGGCTGCGATGCCCCGGAGGGACTGGCGGACGTGGGCGGCGGGGGCGGTTGGAAGGTTATTGGGGGCTTTTGGGACGAGGGGGTGTTAGCTATAGTTGTAGATAGATACCTAGGTAGGTAGATTAAGACTGGAAGGAGATAACCCAGATGATGAGCAGCATCGAAACCGCAACCACGATGCCAGAAACCCATAGACCGCAAAGACAGCATGAATAGCATATCATAGAAGATAAAAAGGGGCGCACTCACAGCCTCCATCCGCCCGGCCAGTATCCGCTCCGTCGTGGCCGAGATGTTGCCCCCGTTGCGCTGCAGGTCCCACAGGATGGTGCGCCGGTCGAGATGCGGGAACATCTGCTGCACGCGCTCGACGGCCGCCTCGCGGGCGCGCTGCGCCGACTGCGCTGTCCCCCTGGATGCTGTTGTGCTGGTGGTGGCTGCGGGCGAGAAGAACAGCCACCGGATGGCTAGGCCGCTTAGGACTATGCAGAGGAGAAATGATGTTATGGATATCTGTTCGTCCGCCATTGTGGGTGTGGTGTGATGGTGATGGTGGGTTGTGCGATGGAGATGGCGGGTTGGGCGCTGCGCCGTGGGAGGGAGTGTCCGTTCGTTCGTGCGTCTGGTCGCCTCCAGTCGGTCGAACGATGAACTATCGGGCTCGATGGCGCGTGGGTGAGTTTTGAATACTATAAAAGTTCATGCGAAGGTCGTCCGGGGCGAGAGTCTGTTGGGAGACTGAGGTTGGGTTTCGAGATGACGTTGCGAAGTAATGGACAGTGATTCTAGGGAAGACAGCTTGGCTGCTTGGGTGGAAGACCATGGATGATGGATGTCTCCAATGATGCGGCGGAACTAGGAAAATTGGGGCTGTGATGTCGGCTCCGATCAATGCCGATCGTTTGAGCTGAATTGATTGACTCGATGTTACAATGTCCCGAGGCTGAAAGAAGGTATTAAGATAAGGTGTGGCTAATAAGCAACTGGATTGATAAGCATACAACACTTGGTGCTCGAGAACTTTAGTTACAGCTGTTTTGGCTTCTATCAGACGAGGAGTGAATATGGTGATTCAAGGGGACATCCTTGGGCTTTCACGCTGAGACTCCTCTACCTAGAGTCAGATGGTAAGTTAACCACGGGCATTGCCGTGGCGAGAGCCTCAAGGCTTAAGTACGGCGTATTTGAATGTAAAGGGGGAAATATGAAAGGGGGACGGATTAGGGGTAGATATCACAGTACAGTGTGAATTACGGTATTAACAGTCGCAAATACTGTGCATAGATGAGTTGGCAATTGTGGCTTGCTCACCTGTGGCTTATGTGGTTTGTGTGGCTCAGGCGCCCCGCGATCTGCGTGTTTGTTGACTTTCGTGCACGCGTAGCAACGAGGAGAGGCCATCATCAACCACGAAACAACTAACTCCATGCGACTCCCACACGGTCGCATTCGCCAACATGAGGGTCACAGAGGTGATAATAGACGTATGTATGCTTTTACAGTATGGATGGCACCCCACTGACTTCTCCAAGGGCTTTAAATCATATGCGGTGAGGACGGTGATCTCAGGATGGTCAGTAAACAATGGCAGTGTTCTCAGTCGCAAATCAGCAACTGATGTCGCGTAGGGACGAGAGCTTCAACTCGATCACGGGCCTGAACGGCAGTGGAAAGTCCAACATCTTGGACGCCATTTGCTTCGTTCTCGGTATCACGAACATGTCAACTGTTCGCGCGCAGAACCTACAGGTATGCCAGGCCCAGACGCCCGCGTTTGCTGTTGACAGCATGTGCTTACCATTGCGCCCAGGACCTAATCTACAAGCGCGGCCAAGCTGGTGTGACGAAAGCCAGCGTCACGATCGTCTTCGATAATAGAGACAAGCAGAAATCGCCCATCGGGTTCGAAGAGTATGCCACCATCAGCGTTACCAGACAGATCGTCCTCGGAGGAACCTCGAAATACCTGATTAATGGTCACCGAGCGCAACAACAGACGGTCCAGAACCTGTTCCAGTCCGTCCAATTAAACATCAACAACCCCAATTTCTTGATCATGCAAGGTCGCATCACCAAGGTCCTGAACATGAAGGCGGTCGAAATGCTAGCAATGATCGAAGAAGCGGCCGGCACGCGAATGTTCGAGGATCGAAGGGACAAGGCTTTGAAGACCATGGCAAAGAAGGAGATGAAGCTGACAGAGATTACCGAACTCCTACGCGACGAGATTGAGCCCAAGCTTGAAAAGTTACGAACGGAGAAGCGGGCTTTCTTGGACTTCCAACAGACACAGAACGACCTCGAGCGGTTGACGAGAGTGGTCGTTGCGCACGACTACGTCAAATACCAGGAGCGATTGGCGCAGTCCGCAACAGACCTTGAGAACAAGAAACAGAGACAAAAGGACCTTGAACTTTCTGCGACCAGGCTTAAGAGTGAGATATCCCACTTGGAGGAAGACGTCAAGAGGGTAAGGGCAGAGCGAGACAAGGAACTCAAGAAAGGTGGGAAAGCCCAAGCGCTGGAGGACAGCGTCAAGAAGCATTCCAACGAGCTGGTCCGCCTCGCTACGGTCATGGACTTGAAGGAGTCGAGCAAGGCGGAAGAAGAAGAGCGCAAAGCAGCAGTCCAGAAGAACGTGGCTGAACTAGAAGCGACACTGAAGGAGAAGACGGAAGCATACGAAAAGATCAAGGCGAAGTACGACGCGGCCAAAGAGGAGAACGAGAAGCAGAACCAAGAGGCGGAGTCGAAAGAAGAGTTACTGCAGACACTACAGACCGGTGTTGCATCCAAGGAAGGCCAAGAAAGCGGCTACCAAGGCCAGCTACAAGACGCGAGGAATCGAGTAGCCGCTGCTGCGACTGAGCAGGAGCAAGCGAAGATCAAGATTGCTCATCTTGAAAAGCGTATCAAGGAGGAGGAGCCTCGAGCGAAGAAGGCAAAGGCACAGAATTCGGACCTACTGCGGGACCTCGAGGGCTTAAGGGCGCAGTCTCAGAAACTGGAGGGTCAGCTGGGCAAGCTCGGCTTTGAACCGGGCCAAGAAGAAGAGATGTACAAGCAGGAATCATCTTTACAGCAATCCATCCGAGGCTTGCGACAAGAAGCAGATGCGCTCAAGCGCAGGGTTGCCAATATTGATTTCAACTACGCTGACCCGACGCCCAACTTTGACCGTTCGAAGGTCAAGGGTCTGGTCGCTCAACTCTTTACACTCGACAAGGAACACACCAGAGCAGGCACAGCTTTGGAGATTTGCGCCGGCGGTCGTCTCTACAACGTTGTCGTTGACAGCGAGGTCACCGGAACCCAACTTCTCCAAGGGGGCAAACTGCGAAAGAGAGTCACCATCATACCGTTGAACAAGATTGCGGCTTTCAAGGCATCTGCACAAACAATAGCTACAGCACAGAAGATCGCACCAGGAAAGGTCGACCTGGCATTGTCTCTTGTTGGCTACGATGATGAGGTGTCTGCCGCAATGGAGTACGTATTCGGCAACATTCTTGTTTGCCAGGATGCGGAGACGGCAAAGAGGGTGACGTTCGATCCCAACGTTCGGATGAGAAGTATTACGCTCGAAGGTGACGCATATGACCCTTCGGGTACGCTCTCTGGTGGCAGCTCGCCAAACTCGAGCGGCGTCCTCGTCACACTTCAGAAGCTGAACGACATTAACCGCCAACTCAGGGAGGCTGAAGGTACTCTGCATGACCTCCAATCCAAGATCTCTCGAGAGAAGTCGAAGCTGGACTCAGCTCGCAAGATCAAGCAGGACCTCGATCTCAAGACTCACGAGATCAAGCTTGCTGAGGAGCAGATTAGCGGCAACTCGTCGTCGTCGATCATCCAGGAGGTCGAGAATATGAAGGGGAACATTACACAGCTCAAGACCAGTAGTGCTGAGGCCAAGAAACGACAAAGCGAAGCCAGTGCTGACGCCAAGAGGATAGAGAAGGATATGGATGACTTTGAGAACAACAAGGACTCAAAATTGGTCGAGCTTCAGGCATCTCTCGACAAGCTCCGCGCAACCTTGACCAAGAATTCGACTGCTGTAAAATCTATCCAGAAGGAGCTCCAGGGTGCTCAACTAGACTCCGAACAGGTATCCGGTGACCTTGCTGCTGCAAGAGAACAGCGCATGGAAGTCGAACTAGCAATCAAATCACAACGGGAGGAGATCGAGGATCTCGTCAAGAAGCAGTCAGGTCTTCAAGACACGCATGACGTTGCGCAAGCGGAACTCGATGACGAGCGCGCCAAGCTGACCGGGTTTGATGATGAACTACGTGCTCTGGAGGAAACGACTCGGTCAAAGAACGCTCGTATAACCGAGGAGAGCTTCGAGATGCAAAAGCTCGGTCATACAGTGGACAAATTCCACAAGGAGCAACAGAACGCCGTGCAAACCGTCGCTCACATGGAACAAGAGCACGAATGGATTGCCGACGAAAAGGACAACTTCGGCCGTACAGGCACGCCGTATGACTTCAAGGGCCAGAACATCGGCGAATGCAAGGCCACGCTCAAGAATCTCACCGAGCGCTTCCAGGGTATGAAGAAGAAGATCAACCCCAAGGTCATGAACATGATCGACAGTGTCGAGAAGAAGGAAGTCGGACTGAAGCAGATGATGAAGACGGTCATTCGCGACAAGCGCAAGATCGAGGAAACCATCGTCAGCCTCGACGATTACAAGAAGAAGGCCCTCTTGCAGACATGGAAGAAGGTCAATGGCGACTTTGGCAACATCTTCGCCGAGTTGCTACCCGGTGGCAGTTTCGCTAAGCTGGACCCGCCCGAGGGCAAGACCATCAATGAAGGTCTAGAAGTCAAGGTCTGCTTGGGTAAGGTGTGGAAGCAAAGTTTGACAGAGCTGAGTGGTGGTCAACGGTAAGCTTTTCTCTCTCATTGCCTGCTGAGACACTCGTACTGATTATCATCATAGATCACTTGTCGCCCTTTCACTCATCATGGCTCTCCTGCAATTCAAGCCGGCGCCCATGTACATCCTGGACGAGGTCGACGCCGCGCTCGACCTGTCACACACGCAGAACATCGGCCGTCTCATCAAGACGCGCTTCAAGGGTTCCCAGTTCATCGTCGTCTCCCTCAAGGACGGCATGTTCCAGAATGCGAACCGCATTTTCCGTACTCGTTTCTCCGAAGGAACGAGTATGGTCCAGGCGCTGACGGCTGCGGACTTCAAATAGAGGCCGTCCTTCCGGGCTCCGCGTTGGTAGTTAATGTTTGCGAGACCGGTCTTCCACCTCTCTCGGTGGTGATGAGTCCACGATATCTCGTTGTGGCGTCATGGATGCGTATGAATTTGGTGGTGGTATACCAGGGTATTGCGGTAGGGTTGCGTGTGTGGCAATTTGCACCAGCGTTTTACACGTATTATACCACCTTGTTGTTTATACACCCTGTTGTTCTGTACCTAGCGGGCGAGCCAGTCTGGTATGATGATGTTTGGGTATTAATGACCAGGTTCTGGGGGGCTGCACCGCTTGTTTTTTCAAGTTGACGAGAATAATATGATGCGTATATATTGTTTACATTTTGTCTTAGCTGTGCGTCCAGGATGTATGCATGGCCGGACTTGGTTTGTGTGACTGTCTTGTATTGGCAACGGCATGTATTTGCGGGACTGAATATCAAATCGCCCCTGTATTGTCTTCGCGATGCGCTCCATGGCGGTAGCTAGAGTACAAGTGCAAATAGAACAGGCAGAGCCTATCCCTCTATCTTAGATCTCTATCCGGAGTACACTCAATCCCACACAACACCACCATCACAGCGCGGGCCAATCTAGATCATATCAGACACCACATTCACCATCTCTCATTGTTTGATGTACACATGTTCGCCGCGCTCCTCCACCTCGACCGTCATGCCCACCGCGACCCAGCCCGCGCGCTCCTGGTCGTCCGTCACGGAGTCCTCGAATAGCGGTGTCAGCTGCATGCCTAGACAGCCTAGCAGCGGGGCGCCCTCGTCCACGGCCCGGAGCGCCCGCAGAGACTTGTCGGGCTCGCGCGGGTGCCGATCGCCGCTTGTTGGGTCTACGTTGGGCATCTTGCACCTTTTGGGGGGTTAGCTTCTCTTTGTTTCTGGATTGATGTGTCTTGTGTGTGTATGTGTATGCATGTGCGTTGGATATGCGGGAGACGTGTACTTGGGGGTGAGTACCGTCGTCCGTCTTGGGCTGCAGGGGACAGATATGATCAGGTCAAACTGTTCATGTCACGTACCTCACAGTCCTGCACGATACGTGGAACACGGCATCGTTGTATAGACCGGAAGTGCCCGGCTTGAAGCGGGCTCTCTTCCACGTCTCCTCGTCGTAAGCCGGTGCGCCAGATACTGAGGATATTTAGCAGAATTGCGGCAAGATTATAATGTTAGTAGAATGAGGACAAACTTACCCATCATGTTGGCGCGGAATCTGAGCACATCAAGCTGCTTCAGGTCTTGGTCCTTCGGCACCTCGGAGCTGAACTTTTGTACGCTGCTGAGGTTCAACATGTGTAGCGGGTACTGTTCTTGGCATTAGTATTGGGAGCGTTGGCTGGTCTCGAATGCGCCATGACTGTATTCAATTCATGTCGAAATAGCAGAGTGAGAACTTACGGCGTCTTGAAATCCCGTCACAGGCTGATACCCAGCAGCCTCCTTGCGCGGCGCACACCTGTAGACCTCGCGCAACCGCGCGGGATCGATACGAAACAAGCCCAGCTTATTACTGACGCCCAGGTACAGGCGCAGCTCCTCGGGCAGGTCCCTCTCCATATTGAGCGCCGTAGCCGTGTCCTTCCAGATGCGGACCTCCTCGTACGCGTACCCCTTATCGCGGATCTCAGCCTCGGACGGGAAATCAACAGGCAGCAGGATCTCCCTCTCGGGCTCGGCCCTGACGCCCCGGCCCAGCTTCGTGGTCACGACGTCCCAGACGCCGCGCCAGCCGTGGCCGCGCCAGGGGAAGCGCAACGTCAGGAAGGCCTCGCGCGTGCGCAGCGACTGCTTGCGCAGCTTCATCTCGTCCGGCTGCCACAGGTCGACCTTGACGGTGGCGAGGCGCGCGAACTGGCGCTGCGTGATGAACTCCCAGCGGTGCCGGCTCTTCTCCTCCTCGGCGTTCTTGGTGGCGTTGGCTGCACCCGCATCCTGCACCGGCGCCGGAAACGGGCTCTTGAGCTGCGCAAAGGTGAACAGCCGGTCGAACTCGAGCCCCTGGGGAAACACGCGCGACCGCGTGACCTCGATGCCGCGGCACGACTTGACGGGGTAGACGACGAGGCTGTGGATGCGCGCCGGGTGGCCGGGCTGCAGCGCGTGCGCTTCGGCGGCGTGCTGGTCGCGCAGGTTGCTCTTGGCGGGCTTGACGCCGGCCTTGGAGTGCGTCTGCAGCAGCGCGTCGCTCTTGCTGAGCGGGATCGGGGGCAGGATCACCACCACGGGGATCATGAAGGCGCAGACGGTGACGAAGAGCAGGAACATGGAGCTCAGGTCCAGATCCAGACCGCTGATCAAGGATTGGCCCATGGTGACGGGTTTCGCGGATAGCGGCAGCCGGTGTGCTTGGAGTCGTTGGTTGGGGGTGGCTTACTAACGCTTCTTGGCCGGCAAGGAGCGAACACCTTCTACTTCCCACCAACGTCCACTGTGAACGAAAGGATGAGTACCGATCGAGTTGACGATCAATGCATTTTTTTCGTGTATAGTTAAGATGAATGAAGGCGCAGAATCGCACGGGGGTTCGATAGCGCCAGTTTTGGAACTTTTGGTAAACATTTGAGACAATGAAGAAACAAATCAGGAGGTGGCGCACGTGCGTATGAGTCACGTGCACCCCCGATGGCTGACATGTCATATCGTAAGTCACCAGCCGCCGCCACATCGTCGAACAATCATGACCATTGGTTCTTGGGCATCTCTAAAGGGTTTCATACGTGTCATGTCACATAGGGGCGAACGTGCCGGCTCATAAAGAAGGTATTCAATTACCACAAGAGGAGACGATTTGCCTTCGGCGGATGCCGCGACAGACTCAAGCCTAGAATAGATTAATTTTCGTGATAGCCGCGGGTTTCAATGTCGGAGCAGTCGGGTCTCGGGCTGGTACTTCCAGTGTACCAATGATTAGGAAGCGTTAGCAGTTCCTCGGCATCTGCGAAAGGAGATGCGGTCCTGTGTTGTCCGTACGGCATGAAGGCTTGGGATAATGAAGGTCGACAATCTTGATCTTGAGTCTGGAAGAAGGCGGCTATGCGCTCTATCAACTATGTTTCTTGGAAGCGTATCTGGACCAGCGCAGCTTTTGACCGGAATCCTGCTGAGATATGTCGGAAATCGTGTGACCAAGAACCCTGTGTGAGCATCGTTCAAAAGTATGAAGTCTATAGAAAAGGAATCTTGTGGGGACACGCGGACCTACTAGCCTTCTGTCCGTTTGGGTATTCAGCATGCATTGGTTGCAAATGCTGTCTCGTCTGACCTGTACTGTTGCGTTCCTACGATGCCACCAAAAGCGACTGTGTTCCGTGAAATGACAGCACCAGTATTCGATCGTGAAAGTCTCGGCCCGATGCACCTTCATCACAAGAGGAGGAATCACCATAAACCGGTTGCTAGACCTCGACGGCGTGGGGTTCTTCTCCTTCAGAGGTACTACCAAGACCCGTGTAACCTCTTGGGTGATAAGGTAGGTTGCGACGGGTGTGACCCTGGCGATAGCATATCGACGACGGAACTGTGGTGAGCCTTACCCCGAATGCTATCCCGGCCCACGTCATGGAGGCCGGGATAAGGTGCTACTTAGAGCAAGGCTGGTTTTGGTCGTATTCCCAGCCACATCGCCAACTTGCCATTAGAATGGAGCCCCAAGCCATTCTAGATTCACCTATCAATGCCGCTCCCCTTATGCAATCTACCCAGATCTGAATCTGAATATAGACCACCTCACCATCAGCACTGCTGCATGTGACTCGCCTGCGATCGGAATGTGGGTATGGGACGAGCAGTCAGAGCCGACGTAGAGTCCCGTCGAGTTGACCATTCCTCTGTATAATAGGCCACAGGCGCGATCAATCTCCATCGGTCCAGCTGGTGTCGTTGAAAGGCGATGGGCTTCTATGTTGCCAACTCTGCGGGCACGACGGGACTTCGAGCTCGACATTCCAAGCTGCCCTAGCTTTATATCAGAGAGGCTCACTGGTATTAAGTGTCCTACCAACTATTGGCCTCACGTCGATGGGAACCTGTAGTCCCGATGATCTGCCTGCCCAACGGCTGGCTCCTATGACGCCTGAAGAGGTCCAAGGGAACCAGGTCCATCAGCAGATATGTTCTCTGTAGTGCCGTGACTTTGTCCCGATGAGGTCGATGTATTTTATGCCTGGCCGCCGCGTGGAGGACAGATTTCAAGCTGAGTATCAGACGGGTTGCTGTACGTGGACAGTGTTGCTGCGTGGTCTCTCGCGGAAATCGCTCCAACTGAGTAATTGCCGTCTCCGACCCGTGACGGACAATTCCTAGCTTCTCAGTATTACGTAGAGCTTCAAAGCTGTTGCTTGCCTGTTGAAGCTGGCACACGACAGAATGCATTGCCTCGGTCCAAACCTGGTCCTATCAGGCCTCAACCAAGCTGGTGCGCGCGCGCGCGCAGTATCGCGTCCCTATCCAACGAAACCTTCATGATCAAACTCTCACCAGAAACAAAAGCGCGAGCGAAAACCCACGCAATTTGAAACGCCGGGCCTCATGAGCTTCGGTCGGGACCGTCGTCTTTGCTCAACAGCGTAGCCTGCCAATTGGATCCTCCCGGATCCCCTACAGCAGGCGAGGTTGCCGGGATGCAGCAATGTCACTTCCGGAACCTACCTCTCAGTGCATAAGCCTCGCATAAATGTAGCATGTAAATCTTCCGGAAGATGGCTGCATAGAGGTAAGCATATGGGACCCAGAGCTTGATAGAGGCGACAGCTACGAAGAGGTAGTCCCAGGACACGGCCCCAATGACCTCAACACCCGGACGAGGACGAGGCAGGCAAACAACACGAACAGGACAGTGTTACGCGCATGCCAAAGGGAAGCGCATTCGGGAGGTAGCCAGAATCAAGAGAACTCCGGGCCCAGGGTACCTCCCTTATGGAACCAGTGCACGAGAGAGTCTTCGAGGGGACTTAAACATACACGACCGGCAACCGGCCGTGGGTATCAGTGTAAACGGAAGCTGCTACACACTCGATGTCAAACGAATGGCAACGACAGAAAGGCCCGTGACACACCATACGAAAGAAGACGTTAGACATTCTGCTGTCTCAACTCCTAGGTGAACAGTTGTGACTTTGAGATGAGATTGATGAGAGATGTGGGGCTGCTCGGACTGCGGCCTATATAATACCGTTATTCCGAAATTTTCACCAACCAAGTACGGTCGAGTAGTGTAATGGTTATCACATTCGGTTCTGACGCAATAGCCTCCGATTAATCTGGGTTCGATTCCCAGCTTGACCTAATCAATTATGTTTTTCTTCATGACTATTTTTCTTCTCTTTGTTGGATTTTACTTGATGATCGATTGCCTCCACAGGTCAATACATGGAACTTTTGTTTTGTCTTGTGCATTGACAAGGTCCCCTCCTGCTGTGTCACGTGATACTGTACCAAATCCGCTAGGTAGGTATTCCAAAGGCGACAGGTAGGGCGGTGAGCTTCCTTGTAACTAGGTGCGATGTCTGCTGTCGGCACACTCAAGCACGATTGGAATTCCGCAACTGCCCCAAAGGAGTGTGGGATGGTGGGCGGTCAAATTATGTAGTACCCGTGTTGGCCAGCATGTGCATGCAGCCTGGTAGATAGGCATCATCCTTGTAAATAAGCTGCTTATCAAATGTGAGGTCTTGCAGGAGGCTTGAAAATCGCGGTCAACGGTTCGTCGAATGTGTGATCTGAGTGATCCGGGAGGGTTGAACCAAATGCACCCTTTGGTTTGTAGGCGGTGTGTAGGTGATATGTCATATGATGGGGCCAGACTTGGCCGGAAAAGTCCGTCGCCAAAGTCTGGTACGGACAAGAACTAGTCGGGCAGGGGCGACGAGATGCTACCAGTAATAATCCCAGTAATCATCCCGTCTCTGCGATGAATCTGGGCCAATTTTTCTGAGCACTGACGCGGTGACGACGATGAGTCTGTCCCCTGATCGGAGATATCGGGCGGGTTGCACCCAGCTAATGTAAGGTACCATGCGCGCGCTTTGGCCGCCATTGACACGTGTGGACTGTGGAGAGATCCATGGATGCAGGCGGACGGGACTCTGATTTCCACAGGAGCTACTACCCAGCAATGTAAGCGCGGTGCAACGGTTGCAGTTCGCAGGGTAGAAGAAGATGACTGGCTGGGCTGGCTAGATGATGCACCACGATAGACACAGTGTATGTAGTGGCTGTGGAGTTCGCAGGCGGTTCGTCGTCTCATTTCCAAGCCATGGCGCGACAAGTTCGTTCGGGTATCCGGCTTGCCGTCATTGGAGAGCGCCTCACGGAGCCGCTGATTCCTGCAATCGGGCCAGACCGCATCATCACTGCATGACCTCCGGCATGCGCGCGCGAGAGCTTCTTCACCTAAAGTTTGACCCTAGCGGCGATGTGTGCAGAAACGTCTGAAGTCTGAAGATTTGAGAGGGTCAGAGGGTTTGACAGGTACCTAGGACGCGGGATCATCCACAGGGCTTCGGGATATTTTGTCACAGGTTGTCCGGTCTGTCTTTCCCGGCATCCCTTTGCGCGGACATGGTTCAGAGGCTATCAATGGGCTGGCTGTCTCGTCTGATGTTGGTCGTCATCGCCGACCAGAAGAACCCGCGCTCGACAATGCAGAAGTCTTCTGCATGAGCGATGTGACCAGGCTGCCAGGGCTGGGTGGTGTGTGCGACAAGGATTTGCGACGGAATAAGCCTCAAAACACTTCAGCGGGTTCCCAATTGGCCAGATAGGGAACTCCTCATGCAGATGGAGAGATGCCGACGCGCGCTTTAGCCAGCTTCGAGCCGGTTGTTGGGCTGCTGAGTACATACCTGGCCAGGCTGACATGCAGGCGTGTGCATATCGTGTGACTTGAAGCCAATCGCAGGATCCACGAGCATGGTGTCGCTCCCGCAAAATCAGCCCGAACAGGTTAGCTATTGTAAGGTATTGGGGTGCGCCTCAGGTGCTGCGTTGATGACCCCCGCTCAGGAACTCCCGTTGCCCCCGTTGCGCAGCTGAGCCGGCCGGCATTTGCTGGGCACATCTTCGTCTGGAGTCCTGGACGTTTGATCCAGGAGGCTGGGAACTGGGAATCGGAGCCACCAGGGACGACGGGATCTCGTTGCGAGAGGTCATTTGGCTGGCTACCAGCCTGCCACTCGATTCCAGAGGATTCTCATCAGGAGACGCTATCGAGGATCTCTTATTCTTCCAATCAAGATGAGCAGTCATCCTCATTTTGATGAAGCCTGGTGATATGTGAAGTTCTGCCAAGACGTCTAAGTCGGTTTCGAGCCCACAAGACAATGTAAACGCAACGTTGACCCTGGAAAATCTTGCCTGTCAACGTGGGAAATTGCTGATGACTTGCGCATGCAGTATTAGATTCGTTGGAAGGATTGACATCAAAACGAAACAACTCATAAGACTGCTCTTATGATATTTGTCTGATTGAGCTTCGTGTTTTCGTAGTTGGCGGCCTATAGCTATGGCCCGGCTCGTATTGACCACGATGCTCCCAACAGATACGAACCGTAGTGAGGCCGAAGGCGTCGATACAATGCGCAGATACAATAATGTAATCTGCAGTAAATTAGTATAGCAGGACGCGCCCAACGCGACGCGTTGCCCTATAACAGTTTCGTTATTGGTGGAGTGGCAGAGTGGTCAGATGCAATTTGTGAGTGACTGATGGTGAGGCGGGGATGATAATGAGTGGTCGAGGGTGCTTGCAAGTTGCAAGTTGCAAATCTGTCTCCATGGCCCCTCTCTGGAGTCTGGAGTCTGAACCCCGGGGATGTCGGCCGGACACGATTAGGTAGGTGCGATTGCGAATGGGTCATCGTCAGACAAGCGGCAAGGAGACTGGGAGAGGGCGAGGTCGCAGGCTATCTGGCCGTACCCTGCAGGCTGCAGGTGAACACCGTGAAGGTCGAGGTAAGTGCAAATGTAAGCACCACCTGCACCTACCTAATAGAGAGGCCGATGTGGTCGCTGCTGCTGCAAGGGACAGCGTTCCCGACCGAGTGCTCCCATGGGGGGTTTCGATTGGTCGAGGCAGATAAGGTTATGAGTCCAGTGACCAGTGTGGCAGTGACCACCTGCAGTCGGGTCGCTACTTCCTAGTTTCAACTTCCTACGGTTTCGGGGTCTCCAGATTTCCCTTAGGTACCTACCCTGCTCCGTCGCCGCCGCGTGGTCTAGGCACTGTGCATCCATCCTGCATCTTGCTTCTTGTTTTCTCTCCGATGCTTGAGCTTCCCACATCTCAACGTCGCACCATCGCTGTGTGTTTTCTTTTTATTGTCCGAGAGTGACGGGGAGCAACGGGCTGTGGTTTACCCTTGCAATTGCATTGTCGACAACATATCATCGCAGCAACGTGGTGATGGAGTTGCTTTGATCGCCACAAAGCGATACGCTCAGGCAACATCCAAGACCACGCCTTTGGTGTGAAAGGCGTGATGTACCGGGGTTGTTTATAATTAGGGATCTATGGTCAAGTGTCATCATCCCCAAGTCATGACGACATGTTCTTCGATGGCCTCGTGGCCTCTCATCAACAAGCTTGAGTTACGGGGCGTCAGCCTGAAGTCTTGGGATGTATTGTATCCGGTTTCTGAATACAAACTGGAGCTTCATGCCCCGATCCCAAATGTGGCGATCGTCAAGGGGGGAGCTCTGCTGAAGCTGCAGCTGCAGCGACGACCCTGGAACCGATCGATCCCTCCATCGCCGCCCTTCGGATTTCCTCCAACCACGCCGCCGTCCATGCCCAGCAGACAGGGTCGAGGCACAGGATCTAGGGTATGTTGCTAACAAGCCTCGCTGTTTTCCCAATGTCTTACAGAGTACTACTGTACCACAGCATATTGACCTCCTGGTCTGTGCTACAAAATCTAGTTCTCCTAGGCCTGCTTGGGACCCTTGTATCATGGGCCCAATCAACGAACGGTCGTGGACGTTGCAGTCTGCGCTCATCGACACCGACGTTCAATACCGCGACGTTCAGGACCGCATTCACATGAAATGCAGCCGATGAGTAGGGTGACGTCCTGATCGCAGGCCAGAGGCTCTTGCCGGGACCGAAGACCGGGTCTTGGAAGTTGGTGGCCCCCTCGGATTCTCACCAGCACCTTTCCTAGCAGGGGCCCAGAAGAACCTCAATCCAAGGTGGGCCTTCGACAGTACACAAAAGGCTTTCACCACACCTGACCAGCCTCGCCAGAACAAGCTCTCATTGGGACAACCCACACGTCTTCTTCTAATGTGGCCCGCACAGTATGGGAGTGTACGTCCGCTTCTCATGTTACGACATGTCTGTTGCGTCCGTGATGAGGAGTCGCATACAGGTCGACTTGTCTCGAATTTTGTGTGTCAAACTACTGTACGCGCAAAAGCCAGTCCAGAACATTGCGAGATGAAGCCTGCTCTGCCCCCATGGCGGGCTTCGTTCGTCTCAAGATGAGCTTTTCAGATGCATTGTCAGTTCAACAGACTGAAGACCTCATCGTAGCCGCCGCTGATCAAACCGCTGGCGGAAACTCTCGCGACGGGCTCTCCCTCATCCTGTGGTGTGTTCCCCAGTTCCCCGCCAGCCTGGCTCGCTGGGTTACCCCCAGGACCGCGGATGAAGACCCCTGCCTCAGTTCCCGTGGCCTTATCTCGTTTTCATCCATGGGCTGACGGCAGTAGCTTTAATTTGCCCTGATCAGTGATGAGCCTTTCACAGACCTTCAAGAGTCAACTGGTGGGAGACCTTTCCCGGTGAGAATGCAACCAAGGAATTCGTAATACCACAGATTGGTAGAGAATCATGGAATGGCATTGGAAGGCTGCGTGCGTACTACCACAAGGGTGTATCCCTCACGTCCATGCTCTTCATTCTTCCGGTAGCTCCGTACCCTACTAGTCCTTGAAACCCCTGTTGCAGCCCACCCCCAGCCTGACATCTTCAGACGGAACAACCCTTATTGCGTGCTCTACACTCTAACGCGGCATTGTAATTGCCCACACCTTCCTAGCAACACGCTCTCGGGTTGTTGTGATGATCTTGTCAGTGCGACGAGCAGTTTCGGTCCCGATACGGTGGTTCGAGCTGAAGTCATTACCCGTTCTCGGTGTAGCTTCCAGAATTACTACTTTTGGGCTCAGATTGACGAATTTTGACGACAGCTGAACTACCAACGCCCATCAACATCCATGACCATTGGATACACTATTCTTAACGTGTCTGGAGACACGCCGAGCCACAGATCATCGCCATCTATGACAATCTTGGGCCCAACGAATTCGCCATCCCGCCGCCCCCTGGCCTGTTCTTCCTGTACCGGTATTTCGATTTCCACCCGTACTTCAAAGCCAACCGTGACAACCCTACCAGCTTGCGGCTACGGAGGCACTTCTATCGTCTATATGGATCCAGGAGTCGTCTACCATCCTTGAGCAACCCAAACCCTTCTGAAGCTATTCAGAACCCATCAGGCCATACCGGGAGCGGAAGAGCGGCATTCTATCATCATAGCTCTCGAACATCTAGTCGAGTTGAGCTAGGGCAGTATTCGGAAGGGAACTGACTGTTACCTGGGCAAGGTACATCTTGTCCCGGTCATTCACTATTTGACCCTTCAACTTGGGGGGTAATCCTAAACCCCAAGTGTCTCTTATTACCTTCTGACAGACGACGACAAAATACCAGGATCTGCTCTTGCTTGGACACCTTGTCTGCACCTCCTGGGCTACCCGCCGCATAACAAAGCCCCACTATAGCCATCATCCCGTCAGCAGATCCTCGACAGGTTCTTCCTGATAGGCGGCCTTAGCAGCATTGGGGAGTCCTGCACGGTGGACTACCAAAGCCCCACAGCATCAACAGATACCCCTAGTCGCTGGAAACCAGAGCTGTCAAAGCTGCTGGCTAGATCATCACGTCCACTTCTCGCGCAGCCGGACCATACCGGTCGAGTCTCGCATACCAGCATACCGAGAAGCTTCGAAGCTGAGTGACCATCTTACCACGCGTCTTGGCTATTGGGAAGCTCCTCGGTCCCCTATTAACAAGATATATTCTATCGAGGACGGTCAGAACAAGCCGAGCCGCTGTAAGATACCAGGGAGCATACGCCATATCGGTCTGGAAGAGTCATCCTAGGTCCCGCTGAACACGCCGATTGGCCAAGGGATATTGGCCAAGGGAAATTCCCAGCTAACCATTGCCTCGAGTGGAACATTCCTTTGCCAGCAGGGTCCATTCATATATACTTATGGTCATTACCTACTACCCTTTTTCGTCCACCCAACTGTCGTACATACCGACGAGATCGGAATCGCACGAGCTTCACTCTTAACGCCCAGGCTACTCCGACCTAGTGGACTTATAACAGTACTCCCTCCCTCGAACGCATACTCCACGGGAGCTCCGCGCCTGGTCACCAGTCGTTCGGACTTGGGGCGCACCTAACACTACGACCGCCATCTCGACACCGATACACCGATGAGGTGACCTTGCGCTTCAGAGACAACGAAGTGATCGTGTCAATCGACCTCTGACCGCCGCTTGACCGGGAAGTCTTCGCCGATAAGGTTCTTCTCCCAATGAGTGGCTTCTATCAGCAATACTCGCCCTCCATAGCGGGGAGAGAGGAATCACCAGGTGCGGCCCCCCAGGATGTTCAATACCAATCCCAACACCCACAGGCGCAGCTGGGCAACATCGGCGCTCCTATACCAAACCCGTACCAGAATCTAGGATATTTCACTGGCTTTCCTGATCCAATTCCGTTCCAAGCGCCCAAAACCCAGGGCAACCGAAGCCGGAAGAAGTCCACACCTGGCATGGATCACGTCAAACACCGCCGAACTCGGTCTGGTTGCTTTACTTGCCGAAGTAGAAGAGTTAAGGTAAGTAGTCACCTTCTCACTCCGGCACGACGAAGCTAAGTTCGAGCCTAGTGCGACGAAACCCGTCCTACTTGTGAACGTGAGCAATACTAAACTTTCCCCGTGGCCCCTTTCCCTAGCTGACCTTTCTAGGCTGTCGCAAAGGAAAGAGAGACTGCGTGTATCCAGAACCGGCGGCGCAAAAGGGATCTGCTGGCCCGGGATCATCGAAGGACACAGCATCGCAGAGTCAGGGAACGAGTCCAGAGTCCTCGCAAGACGAAGCGGAGGAATTCGACCAAGATGCAAAGCTCGAACCAATCTTGGACGAGGAGGAGCCGGACGAAGGACCATCGCAACCGCCAAGATCCTTTTCGAGATTGCGACGTGTAAAGACCATGTCGACCCTGAACCTGCGAAAGATATCTACGCGACGGGGCTCCGAAACGCCTTCGCTTGAAGCCACCAAAAGCTCGTCGCCATCTGTTTCTACAGGCACCACTGCCAGCTTCACAACTCCTTTCCACATGGTCGATCCAGCATTACAGTCGAGCGCACCTCACAAAGACTGGTCCCATCTTCCATTAGACCTACAATCTTACCTGGGCTACTTCTGCGAGAACATCACTCACTACAACTACGGCATGGTAAACGATCCTGATGACTTCTTCAGGGAAATTTTACCAGGAATCGCTTTACAAAGCGGCAACGACGCCTTGCTCTACGCTCTCGTAGGCTTCTCGGTTTACCATCGTTCAGTTCAAAACCCGAATGGCAAGATCGAGGACTTCTTGCGCTACTACAATAAGAGTGTCACATTGCTTCTCAGCTGCCTCAAGGGAAAAGACAATCAGAATATTGCGACACTACTGACAATACTACAACTTGCTACCATTGAGGTGAGCGGACAGCCCTTTCAGGAACTTGAAAAGGCATTGCTCACCTTAAGCTAGGAGTACTTGGGCGACTGGGTGAACCTTATGGGCCACCAGAAAGCGGCGCTGGAGATCGTGACACGATTTTTCACACCTCAGACAGCTCAGCAGTCACCTACGAGCCGAATGCTACTGACTTGGTACGCTAGGTTCGACGTTTTCATTGGTATGATGGGAGGGTTCGACACAGGCCTACCGCGGGAATACTTTTCCATGGCGGTGCAATTCAGTCAAGAACAAGTGGATCAAGACCCGGAAGATGTTGGCTGGAGAATCGAAGTCCAAGCAGCGGCACTGCGACTAATCTCCCTGGACATGTCAGATCTCTATGCGAGAAGCGGTCGTGGTGAGATGCCAAGCGCATCTTTCGCGGAGGAGCACCGTCATATCACCTACCAGCTCCGCGAATGGAAGAATCAATTCGATCCTGCTTTGACGAACCCGAAATTCTTGGTTACAGACTTCCCGCACAGGGACGTCTTGGGTCAGGATGACATAGTCGACCCGTACAAGGCAGGTTTCCTTTACAATCACCCCTTTTTCCCTTCGTCGATTTTGATGGTGGAGTGGCACTCGATCAATGTGATGCATCAGAGTAAAGAAACCCCTATGTCCCTCCAGGAGCCGTCAGACGAGCTGAGGCACTCGGCCCTTGCGATATGCGAGATGTTCGAAACCATCCAATTGTGGCCCTCAACTCCAAACGGCGCCTTGATCATCGTTCAAGCTGGTCTGGCCATAGCCACTCTGTTTATACCGCGAGACGCACGACACCACATGTGGATCAGACGGAGGTTTGCATTGCTTGAATCACTGGGGTAAGTCAAAAATTTCGTCTTTAACGGTTTGGACGTCTTGCTATCGACTAGACACTTAAAATTTGCATTAACATGTTGTGGAAACGCTGCTCAAATGAGGTACAGTTCTTGCAGCAGATGACGGGTCTTCCCCGACGTCTTCTGGCTTGAATGACAGTGTTCTGGCAATCCGCCAGCTACATCTGATGCTATGCATTGCTTTTTTTGCGATTGGAAGTGGCAGAGCGCTGACAGCTTGGCTTCCGCCAATTAGATATGTCTTTCCGATTACGATGCGAGCCCGAATGGCTGAGATATTCCGAGATCCCTCGTGCATACACTGGTGGCTCCCAAACGATGAAGGACTGCATCCTATGCTTCACAGTATCCGTGTCTTTGCAGATGAGCGAAACGCCAGCCCTGTATCACAACAGACAGAGAATGTCCGGGAGATGAGCGCAGTTTTCACCAAGTTGCGCCTTGATCCGGACGAAACATCACCACCTATCGAGCCAGGCAGTTCCAGCACGACTTCTCGAGGTAAAGGGAAGGCTGCACAGGGCTAGTCTTGTGCCGAGAATATGAGCACAGAGTCATGCGTGGAGGTGGTCAACCAGACACCAGGCCATTCTCACGGCTAGATCCGGTCAATCAGAAGAAGCAGACAATGCCGGCGGTTGACATGCAGCCAACAAGACTATTACACATGAGATCAAACCCATGCATTGCGAAAAGGCGTGCTTGGGTCAGCTGGTTGGTATGCAGTAACGTTGTGGACGACCGGGGTGTGAGACATGTCCTCGATGCGGCGAAGAAAGCTTCGGGATGGAATCGGAGCCGAGATGCACCTCTGCTGCAGGTCCAGGGGCACCTTGAACTCGCCAAACCCATGAAAGTGCAGAGAGTCCAGCCATGCGGCTGCTGCAACGTCGAAGACTCCAACTCAAGGATTCGAGCCCGTGGATGCAATGCAAGATGATCACACCCTTGCACCCTCCCTCCGTCTGAACTGCCGCCCGATTTGCCTGCCACCCATGGACTCCTGCCCTGTTCAGAGCATCAGACGAACGGACATGCGACGAAGATCACTGAGACTTGAATCCGACATGTGATCGGATGATGCGGAAGGGGGTCCGCGGGGACCTCCCGACGATCAAGCAAATCTGACCTCCATCGTTGGCCTCCATTGGTATCGTGACAAATCAGATAATCACTGGCGATGAATGCACACGGTCAGTGATCACGAGGCTCCCAGGGAAATGCCCCGACTACCACCTGATGTTCCTGCATTTGGCACGGGGCGCCACTCGTATGACCACAGAAGCGCTACTTTACGGCTATTCCCAGTCCCGATGCGGGCCACAGGCTCGTCGACCTCCTGCACGGCACGCGTCTGCATACACACACACCTACAAGTGCCCCTGGACGCCTCCATGACGCACGCCCTCGCTTCGAATATTACCCGCTGCAGCAGCAATCTAGACGTACATCTCGCTATCCGGACACTCCGCCTCCGCCAATCTTGCTCTCTCTCGCCTCGACGCAGCGCGCCGAGATAACGTGGGCCATCTTCTATGCGGCCTATTGCCGATGATGCGGCTCTGCTTCCGTACGTCCGAGAGGACGTGATAGCGGCCACGACAACCTGAATACATCTGCACGAATACATCAAATCGAACACGTCAACATGAACACATCAGCATGAAAAAATCGACATGAATACATCAGCGTAAAGAACAAGATGAAATTGACGGAGGTGCTCCTGGCATATACAGAAACATACTGCGCATGCAGACAACTGTCACATTCAGTTAACATCAATATATCCATGCGTTGCCGACACGTATACGCATTGCGAGAACCTGACACTTCTAATACCAGACCGAAAGGCTCACGACGCGACGCATTGGGGGTGATGTCCGCATATGCAAGCAGGCAGGTGGGAGGTGGGGAAAGGGGGCAGGGTCTTCAAAAAGGGGCAACGGCGCAATCTTGGTCATCAGTCTGCGACACCACCAACAGGAGGATTCCCTCTTGATGAAATCCTTCCTGGGGGAGGGAGGGAAGCTTGGTTGAGAATTCTCCTGGGTCAAAACTTTACGAGCAAAAGTTCATGCTATTTTTCTTCCTCTGTGCGAAGATGAGGGGAGAGGTCGCGGAGTGGCAAGGGATGATGAAGAGGACGACGCTCAAAGGAGCGATGTACGAAATAAGTGTTGGTTATTGGGATGTAAATTGGGGGCTATATTGCGTACTCAGACCCTGTCAATGCGATTAATGAGGATGCGCTGGAGAGACATGATCGATCTTGCAGTACTTGATGAATATCGATGTTCGTTGTGTTGTGGAGTGCAGGTTGAGTGAGAAGAATCATATACGGCCCCAAATAGGGGGGAGGGTGCAAGGCTGGTAAGAGGTGCGAATGCTCTTTGCTAAATAGATATCGTCTACTGATGATGGGTGTCTAGCCTACGCCGTTGATGGTCGGGATTGTGATTGCGATACCGCCCACAGAAACCCATATGCCAGAACGAGACGCTTGGGGTAGTCATCAATCGCAGAAGATGTTTGTCTCCCGCAATGATACAACATCTCTCTGCTACCAATATCAATGCGCTCGGGAGATGATCACCTGTAGGCCTATGTGTATGTACCATCCAGTGTGCGTTTTTGGCGACCAGGTTCTGCCCGCGAACCGAGAGAGTCCAGAGGCAGTGTTGGTGGAATAGAGCTACGGGATCGGGCGAATCTGTGACAGTGACGCAGTCATAAGTGTTAGAATGCATAGGTACTGTATCTCTCTCGGTTGTATAATACAGCGACTCCATCCTCAAGGCCTGCCGGACTCGGATAATCAAATACGGAGACGTACGTCGAGAACATAAACGCACTTCGCTACAACAGAGTTATCATACAGAGGTATCAGGTATCTATTTGCCCACTTGAGCTCCCTCAGCTCATATTAGTTCATACAATGTCCAGTCTTTCCTCGACCAGTACGCCAAACGCCTATCTAGTGGGACTCGTCATCCCCACATTCCATTGTAGGCACAGCCCACGGGCTTGGCTGCTGGCTTCTCCGCAGCCGGCTGGTGACTGCTCGCGTACGCTCGATGATCCTGTTCGTATCCTCCTCATTCGGGATGCTGGTGCGCGTTCTGATGCGCCGGAGCTGGCGGGTCAGCCGTCTGGCGTGTCGCACGGCATCATCGTCCACGTCTGTAAAGTCGTCGTCGTCAACTCGCTCCAGGAGGGCGATTCTGGGATCCTAATCCATGCTTGCCCTCTCTGGAGACGACTTTTCTTCCTTCGCCGGGTCCGTCTCTACCGCTCCGTCCGTTGACTCCACTATGGAGGGCTCTGTTTCCTCAACTGCTTCCTCATCTGCTTTCGTCTCAGGCTCAGCGCTCTCAATGACAGTTTCCCTGTCGTCGTCATCGTCCGCGTTTGGTTGGGATCCCTCGACCTCCTGCTCGTTGAACTCCCCAAATCTCTCATGGTCAAGCAGTGGTGCGTCGTGAGGGTTCTCATTCTGTTCATTATTGTCGTCTGGCGAGTCTGGCTCCACAGGGATATCCTCCTGAACATCTATCTTCACTTCGCGAGGTTGCGCATCTTGGTGCACGGGAGGTTGTGGTGCTTCGATGGGTTGACCGCTGGTGGGTTCGTCCATCACTCCACTCTCGACGATGACAGGCACTTCGACCTCGGATTCTTCCTCTACCGTCTCAGGAGCTGAAATATGCATGCCTCTGAGCCTGTTCGCGACATTGGAATATTCATCTTCTAGCTCTTCGATGACAGTCGTCACCGCCCTACCAGTTGACGGTCTGCTCGAATGCCTGGCCGTATTGCTTCTCCGGGCAACCATACTGTGGCTATCGTCGTCGTGCTCGGGGCCCTCATTCTGCTGTGATGGGGGCTTTGCAATAGCCGTGATCGTCGGCTTCTTCTCGTCTTTCTCAGATGGCGTAGGTTCCAATCCTTCAGCCTCGGGCGGGAGCTTGTAGTTCTCGGCCGGCAGGAGATCGTACATATCACATACCGTCTTGAAGAACGCATACAGCCCCATTTGCGCCTCGACCGACCAGAACACCCCTCGATGCTGGAACCATGCGTGAGCGAATATTCTGTGCAGTCGCCGAAACACATTGACTAGGTTTTTCAGCACCGCGCTCTTGTCGTGGCCCTCCGAAACCATGACGAATCTGCTCGGGAAGATCTTGGGATTCGTGACGACATTCGCTGCCCAGTCTAGCGTGTGGCAGCAGTAGTCGATGGCGCAGCAGCTCTTGGGCTGGTCGTGAACGGCGCACAAGAACTGCCATTCGGAAGCGCGCATTTCAGGACATGTTGCCGACGAGCACGGCGGTGTGTCGAACAGGAAGCCGACTATCAGGCAGTTGCATTTCGCGATCAAGAATCGGCACAGCTCGTAGAGCCATAATGTGCGGTCGATTCCGGGAGGAGGCTGAGCCATCTGCGCGGCGGCCGCACGCGTTATCGCAGTCGTGTTCAGGGCGGTGTGGTGGTAATGTAGCGCTGCGAGGTGTTCTTGCAACTGGAAGGCCGAGTCGAGCTGTAGGGTTGAGGTCAGTGAGGATCACTCGTCGCAGAGGCTCTAGTAGAAACGCACCTCGTTCAAAGGCACCAGCGGCGGCCCGGCAGCCATATCCTCTGATCTCGTTCCCGGGTGTATGCGCCGTTTCGCATTTGCGTCGGCCATGGTCTGCTCCATCTGTTGTGCTTGTCGGCTCGCTGTGGTGCCCAGTCCGGGGGATGCCGGCGTCATCTGTATCTCGGCCGGTGGCGGTGGACTGGGTAGTCGTGGGGAGCCTTGGGACATTGACATGGTGTCCTCTTTCATCCGAGGCCGGCGACCTTGAGCGAAAAAGTTTGATTCACTTGGGGAATTCCTGGGTGCCGTCGCCGTGGCGCTGATTGTTCAATGTTGTTTGTTAAGTCTTGGTAGCTCTGGAACACGGCGACTGGAGGCGCGGCTAGCGATGCACTAATTGAGCTGCCCCTGTTGCATGTCATGCACTGGTTCGTTGCATGCATCTTTTTTAGCGGTACACTCAACTAACCGATATTCAATATATCTACCGACAGATCAATGGGCCACATGGGAAGGGCGTGAAGGTCAACTCAAATCCAGACAAATCATCGATTCTAGTTGACATTGTTGACATATGCGCAAGACTCACATCCCAAAAGCGCCAGTATTTCCTAATTTATGCTCTATTCCACCGCAGTTTGTGGGGTTTGAAGATGAATCCCGACGATGACGCTCCGCCCGAGCTTGTCGAGGCCGAGCCAGTACCGGCATTGGAAGAACAAGAGGAGAAGCTTGTCAAAGTCCCCATCACCATCGTAACTGGTATGTACAATCTTAACATCCTGCAGGCATGTGGCTAGTTCTAACGGTCCAAACAGGATACTTGGGAGCTGGAAAGACCACACTTCTCAATTACATCCTGACCGCGCGTCATGGCAAGAAGATTGCAGTCATCATGAATGAATTTGGCGACTGCACGTCACCTTCGCCGTAATTAGCTAAACGCAACAAGCTAACTCGACTGCAGCTCTTGATATTGAAAAGTCACTCACGGTGAACAATGGTGGCGAGCAAGTGGAAGAGTGGCTCGAGGTGGGCAACGGCTGCATATGTTGCTCAGTGAAGTACCACTTCACCAAATGTGTGCAGCCATCAGATGCTAACTGCGACGCAGAGACACCGGAGTCAATGCGATTGAATCGCTGATGGAGAAGAAGGGCGCATTCGACTACATCCTCCTAGAGACCACAGGTCTGGCTGATCCAGGCAACCTGGCACCCCTGTTCTGGGTCGATGATGGCCTGGGCAGCACAATCTACTTGGATGGCATCGTCACCTTAGTCGATGCCAAGAATATCCTACGCAGCTTAGACGATCCGGCCGGAAAGGTTGAGGGACACGAGGACCATGATGATCGCGGACCCCTGTTGACTACGGCCCATGTCCAGATCTCGCACGCAGATGTGGTCGTCATCAACAAGTCAGATTTGGTCGATGCCAGTGAGCTTGGGAGTGTCAAGGCGCGCATACAGGCGATCAACGGGCTCGCGAAAATCCATGTGACGAAGCAGAGCATGGTACCCCAGCTGGAGGGACTCCTGCTGGACATACATGCCTATGACCAGGTTGAGGTGCTGGACAACGTGGGGAAAGGGCATAGTCATCTTGATGCCGTTCGTATTCCCTCGGTTCTTTTCTGAAAATGTGACTCGCTGACATGGACAGACTATCTCCACAGTCACGGTCAATGTTCCACTACTAGCCCCAGATCAACTCAAGAAGGTAGACGTTTGGCTGAGGTCGATCTTGTGGGACAACAAAGTGCCCGGAGTAGGGCTCGATCCGCAGACGCCGATTGAGATACATCGTTCGAAAGCTCGGTTGGTCTTCGAAGACGGCAGCGTGAAACTGGTTCAGGGTGTTCGAGAGGTGTTTGAGATATTGGATGGGGAGCGGTTGTCCATGCAAGATGGAAATGCCACGCAGACGGGCAAAGTTGTGCTCATTGGAAGAGGCCTACATGGGGTTGACTTTGAGCATAGTCTGACTACAGTGCTGAATAGGTAAATACGAGCAAGATAGAACTGACAGTCAACACTTGAAGCCACAAAAGTGGCCACCTGGCCTGTTCGATTGTCTCGAGCGCATGCCCTATGTCGTAATACACGACAAACACGCCCCAATGCCTTGGGAGTGTCATGCAGACGCCCATGCAGAGATATGAACGGTAGTGCTAAGAAAGAAGACATGAAAAAGAGAGCCTTAGAAAGAAATCATATGGGAATTGTCTGTCAGCAATCCAAGATGGGTGCAATGTTGAGGTGTGGTCAACTCGTTGGGGACAATTTGAGTTGATCGATCAATTCGTGTAGGTAGTAGAAGGGTCTGAGTCGGTCATGGAATCTTTGGGATCGAGGGGTGTCGTTGGATCTGGAGTCGGAATGTCGTGATGATCTTCCGTGTTTTGGATGGAGTGGGGGTATTCGGGAATGGAAGCGTGTGTCTGGTGGGAACTGATCGGCCTGGACGCTCTGTCGACGAAAAGAAAAGAAAACTGTCTGTCACCGGTGTCGCGGTTGTCTTTTGCTTCCGTGTTGCAGCCATGTTCTGAGGTGAGGTTGGTTGGTTGGTTGCAAGTTTTAACGTCTAACCTATGGGCCACAAGGGCGATGTGACGTTTACAAGCAGTCCACCCATATATACATACAAGTGGCTTCTGAAGCCAATTCAAGCCTCCTCAATCTCAGGGCGTGCCATATCGTGACCACGCGTTCACTCCTTTTAGAACGTCGTGTCTGGTGTTTCGGGGCTCCGAAGAGCTGTCACGAAGCTTCCAACCTCTCATCCGCCAAAAGGTCACCATCTCCCCTTCTATTGACGTATGTTCGGCGTCGAGACTCTCTCGTATCGTGGTTCGGGGCCGTCGAAGCAGGTCGTCGCTTGAGAGCGACGCACGTCGTCAACCTCGTCTGCCAGGTTCTGCGGCGACGAGCGGCACGTCTCCTTCCCCTAAGGTATGGAGCCATCGCGACGATGACCACGTAAGACCGCCGCCGCCTTCGTTGTCGTCATGGAGGTGAGGTAGCAGTAGATTAAGAGGTATCTGCGTTAGCCGGCTTCTGCGTCCATTTCCAAACTGGCTGAAAACTCGGTACAGTTCTGCGTCTAGAGCCTACGCTGAACATTCAGAAGTCTCTGTATACCCCTCGTTCACCAGGCGAAAGGTGTATTTATTATCAAGCCGTGTAGTGCAAAGGATTTGCCTTAAAGTTAGGAAAGGTTTACTGTTAACCTATCTTAGACTTTGATTCGTTAAAAATCAGAGCCTTCAGGCTTCTGATTTACGTCCTGGAGCGCCGTGTATAGGGCCCTGGAGCCCTGTGGGAGACCCTGATACTATTGTGGCGTCGTGTTTTTATCCCAGGGGAGACCCCCTAGACCCCCCTTTCGCCAGGCCTGCGGCGCTACAGCAGACCTCCCTCCCGTCACGTAATAATAGCTTAATTTACTAATAATTAAAGACTAATTAAAAGCCTGCTAACATGCGATTAACTAATTGAAAGGGTGCTAACACCTTTAGGGTTAAAGAAGCTCTAAGCTAGACTTATTTAAAGGTGTAAAGCTACCGTAACAGCTGATTTAAACTTCGAGAAAGGTTTTCTTTATTAATATTATTTAAACCTTTCCTAATAATAAAATCAAGCAGTCCGAGATAAGCATCGAATATAGCTAACTAGACTAGACCTGCTTATTTCATAGTTCTTATTCTATTAATACGAATCTACTTACATTGATATTAAGAGTTGACAGGAGCATAATGGCTTTGCTTCTGTTATGTTCCTATGTTATTTTGAGTTTGCTGCGAGCGATTTAGTGCAGCCGCGAAGCCACCAAATAATAACATCAGATAGATGGCAGCCAGAACCTTATTCAAATTGGCTCGTCTCCGGTCGAGTCATCTATTGACTATTTAAGGATGCTCACATGTCATCCTTTCTTGCCATTCCTCCGTTACCACGAAGAGCCCACTCCAACCCACTCCAACAACTATCACAATAGACGCATTCTATGCCAAATTGAAAGCAACAATGTTCTACGACTTCTACCTGATGCGGAAGCTCAAATGCTCAATGCGAGCCGGCTGGCCTCAGTGGCTAAGCATCCGTGGACCATCTCAGCCTGAGATGATGAACCTTACGATTCGCATATCAGACTATCTGAAAGAAGAGGCGAAGAAACAAGACTTCCCACAGGATCCTGCCAACATCATCCATCAGGTCAGAAGCGCATCATTCAAGAATAACATAGATGAGCTCGGGGCGAAGATTGAAGACCGCCTCGCATGGGTCGTCTACACATCCAACTACATCGAAGTCACAGGATCCAGCTTCCATGTCACTAAGAAGATCTGGCGAAAATTAATCCATGGTGATCCCGTGACTGCCGGAGTTGAACCAGGTTCGCTCGAGTACGAGCAATCGCGAGAGGCTCTCATTGCCCTAAAGCGTCCGCATTCCGCCGAGGCCGTTACGAGAAGTCGACAAGAGATCATCAACCATTCGCATGCCTTGCTTAGCGCCATCGACCGAATCGTCCTGAACAGTCAGCCGATCACTGAATCTTTCTTCAAGTGCATATACAACGCACTCTGTGTGGGAAAGGTTTTGGGCAAGGTCGCTGGAAATCCCGGAGTGTACCGGACCTGGGAGGTTGCCGCAAGCCATGGCGAGGACACGAAGGATAAGAAGAAAACAACTTCCAAGTTTATCCGCGCCTCCGCAGTACCCGAATACATGAGCCAACTGGTGTCGGATTTGCATAAGGACATGACAGCAGCGGAAGAGACGAAATCGATCGATCCTTACGACATGGCGAGCCGATACTGTCACAGAACGTTTGCATCCACCCCTTGGCGACGGCAATGGAAGAGTGTGCCGTATTCTTCTCAACGTACTGCTTCTGAAGTACGCTGAGCATGTCTGCGTTCGGGGGAAACGATCTTGAACGAAAGGAGTATCTAGATCTGGCGCACCGTGCTGCCAAGAAGTTCTACGAAGAAGACATGGAGGTCCATGAAGACGAGAAGAAAGGGCATCGCGAACTCGCTCGATACACCCTCACGAAGTCAAAGAAGACTTTAGTGGAGCTATGGACATGGTGCTCTCGTGGATAGCAGCTCATTGACCAAGCGAAAGCTGCGTTTATGATAAATTGGATAAGCAGGTTGGAATAAGCATCAAAGACCACTTTATAGCTATGATGTGCTTATTCCGGTGTGCTTATTCCACAAATGTTAATATTCTTATCGATGTCCACATGTCCAGACGTTGACAGCGTCCTCTCTACATCTACTGGCTACCCATTCATTCAAGTCTTCTGCAATGTCACCGGGTCCAAAGCCGGCGCCACTGTGATGTCCTGCATCCTCGTCACCTCCACCCTGGCCAATGCTCTCAACAACATGGCTGGCGCATCGCGGCAACCGCTGTCCTCCGCGAGGGATCAGGGGCTGCCATTCTCCAAATGGTTTGCTACCATGCCCAAGGGCTAGGACATCGCCCTGAGTCGTAAATTAAGACCCTGGAAAATCTTGAATTTTTCCACTGTGCTCCTCTTCTGACGCCTCTAGCAGTTGGCCTCTTCACTGCCTTCTTCCCCACCCTCCTCACACTCATCAACATCGGATCTTCCGTCGCCTACCACCAGATTGTCTCCTTCGGTGTCATATCACTTCTACCATCCTATTTGACTTCGATTAGTTGCGTCTTCCTCCGCCGAGTACGCCATAAACCTCTTCTGGATGCAGACTTCAAGCTCGGGCGGTGGGGATACCCAGTTAACGCCGGCGCAATCATCTTCCCCGTTGCTGGCCTGGATATCCTGCTTCTTCCCAGGCACGGCTAATCCGAAAGTTGAGACGATGAACTGGCCGAGCCTGGCGTTTGGCTGTGCCATCCTTCTGGCTGTCTCTCATTATGTATTCAGGGCGAGAAACTTCCATGTTGGCCCAGTAGCATATGTGCACACTGTACGGAGTGCGTAAGACGATGCTGCCAGTAGCTAGACGTACCGAGAAGCGGTAAACATGTATAGCCGTCCATTTGACGGTCACGAATTTGTCAGGCACCTGGGCTAGGTAGGCTACGTAGGCGAAGTAGGCTATGGGTAAGTAATGAGAGAGGTGATCGGCCACGGACAACGGTGGAAACTAGGAAATGTAGTGAAATGATTATACCCCTAAGCTTTCTACTCATATCCAGGTCATTTGCTACCTAGGTAGGCACGTAGCATGCGATGCTGCTGTGGAGGGTAACATGGCAGCGCGAGGGAGATAATTATAAAGGGGAGTGGCTGGAACCTAACAATAAATAAGCTGGGGTTTCTAAGCCGGACCTGAGAGGCTGAGTGTGGGCCTGAGTGTGGAGATAACCGGAGCTAAAAGCACAGGTAAGGCTGACAGCGCTGATTGGTGCGCTGTGGTTGGGCCCCACTTTGAATATAGCGTTTTGGCAAGGCCAACAGCAGTGCAATCGCAACCACCAAAGACTGGCCGCGAGTATCTCGAGCAACTTTCCCATGAAAGCATAATCCTAGATCGCAAGCATCGTTTCAACCACCCAACCCGTGCGAAGCGACACTCGAAAGGCGCCAGAGATTCCTCCATAGAGCATCTCTAGATCTGAATCATAGTCATGAATCGACCAGGTACTGCCAACCCGACTCTTTTCCGTTTCTCCCTCTGCCTCGCGTGCCAGCTGTTTTGCAATCCGAAATCGCCATCCCGTCGTCTGCGCATGCCATACCGAGGCCTCCATTGCCCTGAACCGACCGTCGATGCCCCATTGCCAGCAATGCGATGCTGTTGTGAAGCCATTGGTCATGCTAAGGGGATGGGCAGGGACGGGCAGGGACTGGGGTGTCTCTTGCCTCAGCCTCGTTGGCTGAGGGAGCTTGGCCCTTGGGGACGACCGAGGTTGCAGCGTCTGCCATTATGACGAGTCGTTCCGAACAAAGGCCCCCTCGAACCACTTGGTTCTATGTCTTGCCCAATGCTGTTCACAAGGAGACCTTTGTGAACCTGGCTAATACTGGTCATTCCCAGGTGCCGTGCCCCAGAACCTACGAGGGATGCCACCTGCATTCGGAGGCCAGCAACAACCTCAACAACCAGGTAGGGGGGTACCGAATCGATTACCAAATGGGAATAAAGGTATGGAATGTGCACAAGACTCTGGTACTTGCTGGATCGTAGGCTGATATTGCGTCTGGTCGCAAAGCAAACAACAGTGCTGGATGGGCGTTTGGGAGCAACGTGCCAATGGGTAGTGGTGCAGGTCTGCCAAACTCGAACAGACAACTGGGAGGAGGGAATCTCAGCTTTGCTCAGAGCCTGAGTGGCTCGCAGCCGGCAACACCGCTTGACCTAACGTAGGTGTTTTGACTCCTTCCAATTTTTCTTTCGCGTGCGCCGCCCAGGCAACCAGCGTTCAGTTACTGCACATGCTTGTCTATCCTATAACTGCACTCACCTATTTGGTCACCAAACTGCTTTCCCACCCTCTGCACCTGCATTCACACAAAGACACCGCACGATGGTGGGCCCGACATACGAGATGGGAGACTCGTCGATCAGCGACCCGATGGCGTCAAAGCTGAAGCCGAAGAAGCCAAAGCTTGTCCACAAGATCCATCTCCAGTCAAGCGGCCCGGCGACGACGATGGATGCTACCAGCCGTCCGCCTTTCTCGTCCGTCGTCAAGGGAGACACAAACCTGCAAGCAGACGAGGATACGGGATTACCTCTGGATACGCCTTCAGACACCCCCTCGGCTCTACTGCGACCTGGCCTGCCTTATGCCTCCGCTCTGAGACGGTAAAGACATGCCACAATATTTTCATCAGCTGCTTCTCACACCAGCCTCGTCTCAAAAACTATCCCACTTCCCTTTCTCCGATGAAATCTGCAACCCACCCCACTACCTTTACTAACTTTTTCTAGTAGCGAATTTCCGGCACTGTCTAATAACTCACAGCTTCCGAGTACGAACTCATCTTCTCTGTGGTCAACTGGAGGGTCAAGAAACACGGGAGGCACGATGCAGAGGAACCAGCCCCCGTCCCAACAGGGCCAACAAGAAGATTTCTTCTCTTCTTCATCGTCACGCCTCGGCTCGAATCAGGGTGGTTTCCGCTTCGGTAACCAAAACAGCGTGCCTCAGCCCTCTCAACCTCAGCCCAACAGCATCGACGAGTTCCCTCCCTTGAACAACAATCCCAGAAACGGCAATGGCGAGATCGGCCAGGAGCGTGGATCTTCGCTAATGTCGACTTTGGGTTTCGGTGCTCAAGGCAGCGCCACACCTGGCTCCCTGCAACCCACTCGATCTGGCAATGGCCTGCTGAATGCGTTGTCTGCCAACACGCGTTCAACAGATGGTCACTCTCCAGATACGCCCGCGGCCCCTGGTAAGACTTCTGCCACGAGTTCATAATCAAATACTTACTATGTTTACAGGCCTTCCGCGACCTCAAGAGCTAAGAAGCGCTGGTGGTCACGACGAGGCTCGTCAAAAACCACCCGGCTTCCGTGAGGGCAGCTTAGCTTCGCAATCGTCCCCTCAAGATCCGGCGCAATTGTCCGAAGGTCGAAACCTGCTTGGTGAGATTGGCGGCATGAGCACCGACACCCCTTCAGGCAGAACGAAAGATGATCAGGATACACAATCTCCGTCGGTTCATGATCCGCTGGCTGGCATGGCGCCTATCGACAGATGGGGTCTCAAGGGTCTTCGTACTTTGATGAACAACTACCCGGATTACAACGCAGCCGTCACGGGTATTGATCCCACCACTCTGGGATTAGACCTCGCGTCTCCCGCGTAAGTTTACTCGATCGTCGCTCGTAAGTCTCTGCTAATCACATACTTCAGGCCCATCTCAACGCAGATCTACAACCTGTTCAACGACGCGCCTCCTCGGCCGACGATCCCGGATTTTCGGCTCCCGGATTGTTACAGTGTCACCAACGTGCAGCCTCTGGAGAACAAGATCAACAATTTCAACGAGGAAACCCTGATGTGGATCTTCTACAGCAACCCTGGCGACTTGAAGCAACATCTGGCCGCGCACGAACTGTGAGACGATTCTACTTCGTGTTGAAAGTCAAGCATGTATGATCTTATTGACTCTTGAGCAGGTACAACCGAGCGTGGCGGTGGCACAAGAAGCTGAAGCTTTGGCTGACCAAGGATGATACCATGCAACCTCGGTTTATGAGTGGTGCGGCTGAGGAAGGCTACTACATCGTCTGGAACACCACCGAGTGGCGCAAGGACAGAGTAAGTTGCAACATGGACAGGCGTTCTGTATCGAATGTTTTACTGATGTTTGGTAGCGTCACTTCGTGCTGCATTACGCGGACCTCGAGTCCAACAACACGGGCGCGGCGATAGGATGATTGACTTCACGACTTTGACTTGTTTGCGAGGGTTTCTGGCCTTGCAAATAACCAGCTGGCGTTCTTCTCGGAGTAAACAGTCAAGGGACCAAGGGACAATCATGGCGACAGGTGGCCTTCACGACGGTTTGCTGGGTTGCACACCATCAGTATTAATAGAGCAGGTAAATAGGCTCTACTGCGAGGCGTCTGATGCCTTGCTACATCAATAGGATTCTTCAATCCTGAGGAATTTGTCTCCTGTCTATTTTCTGCCTGAACAGTGATTTGCATGTTTTCGATGCGCTTGTGATGTGCGGCGCTGGTCTTATTCAGAAAAAGCTGCTGCTATCAACCCCAGTCTCATCGCATGCGACCACTGTGCCATTAGATCCGATCCTCGGGATTCAGACTGGTCATGGTCCATGGAGCTGGTTGTCAGATGGATGTTCCGAAGTCAGGTTCCGGACCTGCGTAATGAGGTGTGGTTACATTGGACTGCACCTTGTTACAACAGAAAGCATAGACTGCACCGGCCTTCATGGTGGAAATCGACGGGAGTGATGTGAGAATGAAGGCGTGACGTGACGTTGGCTGGCTTCCAACTTGCCAAGGTTAGCGGGTCGCGGCAGTGGAGCCGAGACTTGATGCGGTGGCCCAAGCTCCTCTGTTTACAGCGACTTTGCATCCAGCCAATGGTTTGCAGGAAACCAGCTTTCTCCAAGTTCAATGTTCGCAGCAACCCACCTCACCCGCACACACCACCACCACCACCTCTTGACCACTGGCCTGTCTCGTTGAGAATTTGTGCCTCTACAATTGTTACTTAATCTCGTCACCGCGACAGATAACTCATGAGCCATGTTTAGCTGAGCAGTTCTTCTTTTTTTCTTCTCATCCGGACTCCTTCCAACGTCCGTCCCGCGCAATTGATCGCGACTAGAACCCGGTACCCGACGCGTTCTCCCACTTCCATCCTCGTCGGCTTGTCGCGATGGCAGGCTCTAGAGCGGCGCGTCTGCAGGTGGGATCCACGCCATGGATCACCGAGGAGAGGTCGTCTGCGAAGCAGATTGCACAGGATGAGGTCGAGGAGTTCACATACTCTGCGCGGAACGACTTCGACTGGTTGAACGAGCATATGGCCGAGATCTTCAGCGAGAACCAGATGTGGGTATCCAATCCCTGGGCGACGAGTATTTCCCTACTGATACCATGGTAGCAATGTCGCCGAAATCTTCAAAACACCAGGAAAACTACGAGGCAAGACGCCTCGAACAGTGCGGAAAGCAAATGCTGGAGAAAACCGCGTCGTGAGTAACATCCCGCGTCCACCTGCATAGCCGACGGTGATGTCTGGATTGCTGACAGCTGCTAGCCCCTGTCCGATATCTTTTCCGCTACACCGAAGGGGGCTTCGAACCCTTTTGCCATGTCAAACGTTGGCCGACCTAATTCACCCCGTGTCAGGATCGCTGCAGACCCCCAACCGTCTCCAGCCAAAACAAGACCTACAATTCCCCTGAAGCATATTGGTTCCCCGAAACCCGATGCTTCGAAACAACCAGTATCTGTCGTGGACTCTGGATACCATGGAAGCCAATCTCAAGACGCGATGGACGTCGATGACCCAACTGCACTCGCCGAGCCAACACAACCCTTCAGCCCGCAAGGCAACCACCATGTGGCATTCCATGTCTCCCCCGAACCACACCTGTACGGAAGCTCAGCACGACAATCGCCAGAGCCTACTGTGGACACAGCGACCGATGATTTGTCCACTCAATACTTCACTGCTCATGTTGGCGCAGCGATGTCATCGACAAAGAAGAGCGTCCACCACGAGAGCACTACTCCAACTGGTTCACCTGCCCAGTTCGCGGAATCCACAACTAGTCATACGCCATCTGCTGAACCTGATGTGATGGATACCGTGCTCGAGGAGCCTTCGAGGTCTCCATCTGATGGCTCAAGCCCTATTCGACCTATTGTTCGAAAGAGTAGTCTCAACTTCGCTTCCTTACCAGCACGAGAGCCCATTACACATAAGAGCATTGGCAACAGGATATCAAGGACGAGTCACTTGGACCAACACCGGACTAGCTACTACAATCGACAAACTGGAGGAAAGAGCTTGGGCAATGCTCGGCCTGAGCTCACAGATGACGAGAACGACGAGAATGACGATATGGATATTGATATGGACGAAGAACTCACTACCCAACAGGCCCAAGTACCAGCTGAGCCGGACAACGCGACCATGCACAACAAGACCTACACACAAAGACTTCAAGACCAGATCAACAAGCTAGGTCAATCCCAAGCGAATATCTCGCAAGCCTCCAAGCCGATCGCAGAGTCTACTGTTCCGCAGCGGCCAGCTGCGACTTTGCCAGTCTCACAGCCCACTCCTCAGAAGAAGCCGTTACCTTCGCCAAAGAAGACGACCACGACACCTGGCGCGTTTCCAGAAGATGATGAGGATGATTGGATCCGCCCTCTCGGCCCCCCCGATAACTCATCTAGTCTATTCAGCCCTCGTCCGGGCCTTCCCAAGAGCTACTCGACAGATGTTATGGAGGGAGTGTCTGGTAAGGAGACGGTGAGCGGCCATGATTTCGCAGTGCCTAAGACGCGCCAGCGAACGAGTCGCTCCAAATCTCCCCGGCGCCCACGGGTCCCAGAGAAGAACACGAGCACTCTCGGACATCACAAGTCAGTATCGGTCCCTGCTCTGCCTATCACAGATGATCGCGGCGATGAAGAAAGCATCGCTCCTAAGAAGACAATATCTGTTTCCAACCCGCCCCTTGCGACAGTTTCGGAGATAGAGCGGCCTACTACCCCCATGAAGACGCCATCTCGTGGGTTCGGCAATAGTCCCCTGAAGCAAGTTAAGAACAAGCTGTCCTCGATTCTGAAGAGCTCCAAAGGTTTGTTGGCTAGTAGTGCTGCCATCAGTGCCGAGGGCAAGTCCTCCCTTCTGTCACCTTCCACTACTAGGCTGGGTTTGCACGCAGCCCCTTCGACCCAGACGCTTGGGTCGCCTCTGTCCAAAGACACTCAACCTCTCTATCCTGACCTTTCCCGTCATGCCAATGACAGCCAAACACTCGCAAGACCAGCAAGCCCAGCACGGACAGAAGGACGTAGGACAAGAGCATCGATCGAGAGAGAGAAGGCTGGAGAAAAACGCAAGGAGAAAGAGGCCAAAGAGGCCCGCCGAATGGCCGAGCAAATGGAGAAGCTTGAGAAGGCTCGCGAGAAGGAACGTGAGAAAGCCCGCGTATTTAGCAAAGAACAGGAACGAGTCGCGTCCCAGGAGAAACACGTTGCCGACCAGAAGGAACAAGATGAGGGGGCAGCTGCACCTACGTTGAACGATGCACCGGGTCAAACTCGAACGAGCCCACGGAAGGCCAAGCCACAGACTGCGGCTGAAGCACGTGCAACAGAAGCTGCTATGTTGGATGAGAGAACCATAGACGATGTCGATATGGTTGACGCGCCAGGTTCAATGCCTCCTCCTTCGGTTCCTCGTTCGGCAGCACCTCCTTCGGCTACTAAGACCCGAGAGATCAAGCGCCCGGTCAGACCAGCCAAGGAGCCGGCTGGCAGAGGAAAACAAGCCCCTACGGTCATCCGCGTCAACATGGGTTCTCAGCACTCGCAGTATCACCCCTCGAACAATAGTCTCTCCTCCAGCCTTCATGATACACTGTCCCAGCCTCAGCCCAAGACCAAGCCTTCGCTGCAGAGTCTGAAGAGCTCGACCTCGTCTGTAGGTAGGCCCAAGGCTCTTGAAGCAGCGGCTCGAAGGAAAGAGCAGGAAGAGCGTGAGGCGCAACGCAAGCGTGATGCCAAAGCGGAGATGGAGCGTAAGAGAGCTGCTATGCAGGAGGAGGAGAGACGTCAAGAGCAACAGCGGAAGCTTGAAGCTGAGCGACAGAAGGAAGAGGAGCGTAGGCAGGTTGCAATGCAAGCAGAGGCAAAGAAGAATGCGCAGAGACAGGCGATGCTTGAAAAGGCGAAACAAACCAGAGCACCGCCGCCGGCTGCAAGAAATCAACCGAATGCTCCTCTGGAGTACAGCAGAGCTGAAGCCGCACCTGCTCGGCCTCCTTCACGTATGAATACGGCTGCTCCACGCTCTCAAGATGAGGGAGGTCGTACACTCCTCCCGACCGGCTCGAAGGCCGCGATGAAGCGCCCTTTGCAACAGGACAACGGCGAGGACAATGCCTCTCGTCAAACACAGGCCAGGGTCGGTAACGCCTACCAGTCGAAGGAGTCCAAGAGAATGCGCATGACAGATGAACTGAATGACAATACGGAGAGGGAGAAGCAGCCAAGTCTGAAGGGGGCACCTGTTCGCCCCTCTGGTGGCCTCAAGAAGGTGAATAAGTCAACCCAAATTGGATGTGAACCATGGCTAACAAACAACTAGGAACTACCTGCGAAGTCGATGTTCCCCGCCGGCTATGCCAACGCGCCGCAGACTGGCACCAGAGATCTGTTCAAGACCACCCTCACGCATCAGCACAACAGCCAGGTCAAGGTTGCGCACCCTCTGGACATGGCGCAGGTGTCCAAGGGTGCTATTCCCTTTGCTCCCAACCCCAATCCGGCTGGCCCATCGTACAAGACGCCTGGACGCCCTCAAGGAGTTGCAGCAGCCAAGTCGGTTGCCAAGTCGGCTACGAGATCTTCCCCACGGTTCCAGAACGGGGACGCGATCGAACTCCCGGAGATCAACACGGACGACGACGATGACGATGACGACGACGACGATGGTGGGAAAGATATGGTTGCCGCTTGGGCTGACTCGCCCAATCTCCGTCGGGCACTGGTTGAGCAGGAAACTCAGAATCCGTTTGAAGTGTTCGGTGCTCCAGGTCCCCTTAACATGGAAGAAGTGTTTGTGAAGAGCAAAGACCGGTTCCACAAGTTCCGGGCGCGGACATCAAGCGCCAACTGGAGCGGGTCCGATCGACTGACGGAGGAAGAGATCCGGAAAGATCTCGCAGCGAGAGACAAGATGCGGCGGGAAGGTGGCTGGACTTATGAGATGAGTCGCGACATGGTGTAGGATATGCATCTGAATCAGGCCGGCACGAGGAGTCTCTGGCCTGGTGGGAAGGAATGGTGTAGTACTGGATCCGAGGCATTGCATCAGACTGGTGTTGGTTTACTCTTATGACATATGAATATGCAGTGTCAGGCGTTTTTGAGGTTCTTGGAATCGGGGAGGCTCGTGTTTATTTTCATGATCACAAGGAAGGCTTGAAAATGAATATACATTGGTGCCGGCCTGATGCTCAGTCAGGCCGTGACGGTCATTCCTCACATATCATCATCATTCGGACTGCCAGCGTTCAGTGTGACCTTGGGCTCTTCCCTTGGCGCACACCGTTGCGTGTGGAATGTCTGACACGGCTCGCATGGTCACGTTGATGTAACGGCAAGGGTTCTTTGGAGCTGAGTGGTGGGGCTTCACCTATCTTACCTATACTCTAAGGTAGCTCCCGCGATAGGCCTGGATGGCTTGCAAGGCTCCTGACATCGTGAACGATGAAGAGACAAACACTCGGAGGTTGGGAGCGGCACTTGATGAGGCTCAGATTTTGTGTGACCTGTGTGTAACCTAATAAATAATGCCCGACGGCCTCTAGCCTAGCCCTGTGCGCTCTTGAGTCTGGCGACTGAGGTGGCACGTGGGTGGGAACCATGGAATATTTCTGTCTGGCCATATCGTGGCATTGAAACCATGTTGTCAAGACTGGCTAATAATAATAATAATAATAATAATAATAAGAAGGCGGGATTCTATAGGATTGAGGGGCCTGGTGGCGCCTGGACCCTGGATAACGGGTGCTCCGAAGGGTCTGGATGGCGGGTGTTCCTACATCATGAGGCTACATGTCCGTTTATATGTGGCTGCTTACCAGTAGCTGGTTATAGATATCGTGGGCACATGACGAAAACGGCATCATGACCCTTGAGCTCAGCCATTTGTCTGGTGTGGGGATTGGAAGTGTGGCCTGTAGGTATGACCAATTCGGAACATTGAAGTGTTCACATGCAGGGTTTTGGGTTTATATACATAGCACGCCTTCCCAAACGGTGCGAATGGGAGAAATAGGAGACCCTCTCTGGCTTCTTGTCTGAAGCCAGGTAGAGGACTTGTTGACGTCATGCTTGCGGGCTGCCCGACTGGACGGAACCTATTCTGGTGCTGGGGGTAGGGTTCACCGGTTGTCTGCCTTAGCTTCATGTTCGGTCTGGAGATGCTGGTTCCATTCATGGATCTGTAGGTATGGACTTGCATCCCGTTGTTCTACAGCATTTGCCGCCGTATAACAACAGGCAGAAACGGTATTCCTACACCTGCTGGATGCCTGGGGACCAACCAGTGTTCAGTCCAGCAGATTCCCATTGGCCTTTGCTAGATCATGACCTGGCCGAGTCTCACAGCATTCTCACATGCATACTGCGTACCTTAGGTATGTTCGTAGCAGATGGTGCCCTACTGGGGTGGACCGGGGTTGACCAGGGTTTTTAACGCTGTCATCATAGGATTGTATCATTGCCGGTCAGCTTCATTATGATTTGCGTGCCTATAGTCAATCCTCTGCCGCAGGTTACGGTGTTGAGGCGGTGTGCAACGTGTGCGCATTGATCCATCGAGTAATAATACTACCCGACTTGTCAAGGCCGAGTGTGATGTCGATGGGAGGTAGGTAGGGCTTGAATCCGTCTGCCGATAATACCACCCACCAAAGAGTTCGTCCAAGCTTCACAACTAGCGGACCTCCTGCACTGTCAGAGGTTGAACTGGATTTTACAGTCAAGGTGAACAATGCGCCTTGCACTGCCCGTGCTTTTCCTCACTTTATATCTCATGGAATCACTTCCACCTCACTTTCATTCATCCCACCCTTTGCCAGTCACGGTTGGACCATTTCTCACTGCAACGGCATCCTTGAAGTCGATCGCATCAACCGACAAGGTTCATCCAGCCGCTTGGAACGCTACTATTGTAGTCTGGCATGTCTGGACTCTGGGTTAGACCCTGCCTAGACAGCCGAGACAGCATCAGCACCGTTGTGAGCTCCGTCTTCTGAGAGGTGCGGGCGTTCTCCATATTTTTGTTCACCTGCCCCACCTTGATCCAAATCACCCTCCGTTCGCCGCCCGCCGTCCGCCGTTCGCATTCCACCCTCCACCCTCCACCTCTGCCGACGCGATACCTGCACAAACACGCGTACCTCTACCAAGCTGCAGCCTTTGCCTTTGCCGTCCATCTCTCCCGACTTGGTGTTCGTCTTCACACCTTGGGCACCCTTGGTTCCATAGGCGCCGCGCAGTACTTCGATACATCATCATACCTACTTCCACCGTTACCTAGCAGAAACCCGACTTGCAGGCTGACCTGCATCTTGTCGACAGTCACCTACGTTCCTCACATCATTACTTGCAGTGCGCTTCACTTTGCGACTGCAGCAATCTCGACCGCCTCTGGCCATCCTTGGACCACTTGCGCAGAAAAGTCTCTTGGGTCTCTTCGTTGCCAATCCTTCGATGCTGTGGACGCCGAGCTGCGCACTGCTGTTCTTTCCGACCTGCCGCTAGGCACCACCTGCTCCCTGCTCCCTCTGCCGCCATCGCACCTCGATAATCTTCTGCGGTAATGAACAGTCGGCAAAGAATACTACCCTCACCACAACCATCCACCCTTCCCTTCCTGACGTTGACTTCCTCCTGAAGCTTTCATCATGCCGAAGTGGGACAAAACCCGCAACTACTATGCGGACCTCGAGTTGTCGCCAAATGCAACTACCGATGAGATCAAGAGGCAGTTCAAGAAGCTAGGTATCTTGACCTTATCTTCTTTGAGTCTGGCTTCCTGCCTTGCGAACCTACAACTAACCACTATGAGCCCCAGCTCTGAAATATCACCCAGATCGAAACCCCGGCAAAGAAGCCGAAGTTAACGGGAAATTCCAGACCATCCAATGTGCCCACGAGATCCTGATCGACGACACTTTGAAGAGACAATATGACGAGGCTCGAAGAAGCTATGCTGTCCGCTATCCCACATCTTCTGGAGTACGAGGCAATCCATGGGCCAACGTGGGCAAACATTACCCCCCACCGCCCACAAGACGCCCTGCAGCGGCACCAGCTCCTTCTCCCCGCCCGACTTCTGGTGCTCAGCGTTACGAGACCTTTACGAGCAGTATGCCACGTGCATCCAAACCCTCGCCGAAAGATGACCCGTATACGCGCAAAAGCACCGCAGAAGCTTGGGAAAACATGAGGTCGCACCCAGCGCGAGACAAAGCTCCTCCCCCTACTCCCGCAAGGCCCCCTCCTGGAAGAGCACCCACGTCTGCAACACGCGACGCAAGCGCAAACGCATCGGCACCCAGGCCTACATTTCCCCGTACGGCCTACCAGCAGCAGAAAGCCCAAGCATCATTTGGCGCCACTAAACGACCTGGTTTCACTCCGGGCTTCCCAGGTGTCGCTGATGAGCCCCCTGTCACAAACAAGAACTACTTTACGAACAGGACACACTCATACTTGTTCACTGAGCCGTCAGAGACTAAAGCTGCGGAGCCCTCCGCTTCGTCTTCAGCAACTTCAGCAAATCCACTCGACCAGTTCAAGGATAGGTATACGGATACCCGCCAGAGAACCCCTTACTACGCTTCGGGTGGTGAGAAGACCAGCTTGTTTGATGAGGGGCCTGCTTTGGGTCGTACTACGAGCACTCGTACGCCTCCTCGGAGAACTGATATACCGGGCACATTCCCACGCACCCGCCAGCGGAGCACTAGTACTCCGAAGACCTCTAGTAACGATGGAGGTTCTGAGGATTCCACAAAGGTCAACACAGGGGCTAACGGACCAGTGAACCGCAAGGCTCCCGCTAACAGCTCTTTCCAGTCGCGGGCTAGTGAACGGTATAAGCCAAAGGCCGATCTTAGTAACACGACACCGCACTTCCGTGCAGCAACAGCTGAAGACCATTCGTCGGAGCCTGTCAGTGCCAATGATGGTATGTTCTTCATCTGTCCCAACCAAAGCTTAGGGTTTTGCTAACCAAGTAGCAGCGTCCACGCCTCGTGCAAGCTCGGCTCAGACCAATGGTGGCGGCCCTTCAGTGTACGCACCACCACCCAGCAAGCCTTCTCATTTGCCCCAGTCGCGCACCCAGTTTCATGCTGCCACGGCCCGACCTGATCGGGCCAAAGAGCATGCCCCTCGGGCTCGGGACTGGCTGTCAATCATCACGGGTTTCAATTGCAACCCCCCTTCAAGTGAAGATTCTAGTGAGGGCGCCAAATCCCAGCCCCCTACACTGCTGCCCTATGAGGAAGCACAGCGACAAGCTGTCGCACATCTCATCCGCGAGAAAGTCATGCTCGGACAAGGTCTGAACAGACTCTCGACAGAGACAAAGAACAGAGCCGAAAACACTTCACATGTTTCAGCAACCCGAAACATGAAGAACGGTGCTGACACCAATGGTGCATTTAGCTTCAACTTCTCTGCAGAACAGGACACAACTGGCAACGACACTAACACGAAGCACTTCACCAAAAGCAGTGCTGACAGCATCAACACACGGTTTGTGGAAGATGAGGACCCTGATGGGTGGCAGTTCAAGGCAGGTTCTGCTACGGCAAATGAACCACCCACACCTTCCAAGGCCCGTCCGCAATCTCGCAGCCGTCTCACCCGTCGGCAGACTCCCAGATCTCGACCAGCTCCGACGGATCGTGTGCCCTCAATGCAGGCTGCAATGGAGGAGCCTGCAATGGAGGATGCCCAGAAGCAGAGATTTTCACCCGGAGAGTGGAGTGAGAAGATAGGCTCTCAGCACTTTGAGCCTCAGCCTCCCAGCAGTGCCTCTACGAGCCCAACCCGACGCGGGAATTCAAGAAAACCTAAGCCGGTCAAGATGACTGCGGGGACAGCTGGGCTGGTTGACGGCGAAGAGAGTGAAGATTGGCAAGAGATTCCGCGGCCGTCCTCTGGTGCTGCACCTCCTTCAACACTTGATCCCAATGCAATGGATATTGATCCACCTTCAGAGAACGTCGAAGACACACCGAAGGCCGCTCAAACTCATGGTGCTCGCACAATTCCAGTCGAACCTCATCGAGAAGATTGGCGAGCAGGTAATCTGAATGGCACACATTCCAAGTCAGCCATCCCGACCTTGGACACGGACCCTGCAAGGGTTCCTTTTGCAGAGGCAGCCTTCTCCCAGTCGACTTCTGCGCCCACTACGGCGAACCCGTTCGTGCCTGCAGGTGGATCTGAGGACACAGACGAATTCCGTGCGACTTTCTCCGATTTCAAGAACGTGGAACCCTTTGCGGATCCTGCCCCAACAGGTCTCAAGTCGTTTGCTGACTTGAAGTCTACGTTGCCGTTTGAGAGTCAGCCATCGGAACAGATCCCCCTAGAGAAGGAGATCCCCTCTGGACCTCTAGCCTTCCCCATTCCGCCCGTTGCGCCGCGACTTCCGCCTACCATGGGTGTGGCTGGTATTCGACCGAACATTGCCTCGTTCCGGAAGTATGCCCAGGACTTCTACAACTATATGGATAAGTGGGAGAGCTTCAACGACAAGATCATGATGCATTTTGCATCTCGCCAGGGGCAGTTCAAGGAAAGACGTCGACAGCGCGGTGCGGCATGGCTTGATACACAGCGTGGTGGCGATGACGCAGGCGATTATCTCATGGAGATAGACCAGGACCAGGCCGTTCGTGCTCAGTGGTTGGATGCCTTTGCTGAGCATCAGAAGAAGGTCACTGAATTCAGGGATTTCCGACAACGGGTTAAGTAGGACGACCTGTTCGATCTCCCTCAATACCACGGTCGTATTGATCTCGGCAGGCTTTACGACAGCATTGCGCAACCTTTCGCAAGCTAAGGAACAACTTGACTTGTCTCCTTAGAATTTGGTACTATGATTCTACCCTCGACACGATCGAAGCATATGTTAACCTGGAACCGACACGAAGCCGTGTCTGGGCTCAGGGATACAGACGAGGGCCCAGGCCTTCGGCTTTGCGAGGACGAATTGTCAGAAACATTTTTAGCTATTATCCTCTTATTATTGACTGCTTCCGTGCAGCTCAGTGGTATGGGTCTTGGCAGGGAGATCTTGTGGGATTATTTGTTGGTTTTTCACGTCGGATACCATTGCAGGGGATAGATGGATAGAGCAGAAGGCCAGGCGTTCGCGGCACAAACACATACACTACAACACACGCATCGTCATCAGCATCTGGCTTAGTTCATAATCAGGCGCCTGAGCATACAACAAAACGACCAATCACGGAAAAGACGAAAGGGAAGGCGAAAAATATTTGCCTTGACGAGATCACGAGCCCACGGATACTTCTCCACATCCTTAACCGTCTTGGATCGGAAACGAATTCTTGTACTTGCGACCGCTGCGTTGCTTGGCATGATCATTCTCCGTTCTTAGGAAGATGCGCAGATGGGGTTGGTACTGATGTGTGCTACCATCATCGAGATGGTCAGTCATCAGTGTTGCCCGACTACAACTCGCAGCTACTGTACTGTCTGACGGCCTAGCCATCACGATGGGCTGCCCTGGAATGAATGGTCTGGACGGTTGAGGAATTGCCATGGCAGGGCAGGACGGAGTTGCGCGCGTTCTCGTGGGGTGCCGGGTTTGGAACACTCGGCTCCTTATCCAGGTACCGACCGCACGGGAGGGGAAGTGAAGTGGTGCATAATGTCTAGACTAGTGCGAGTTCGTAGAGAGGAAAATGGAGAGTTGTTGCTCGGTGGTGTTGCTGTCTTTCTTCGATTGTGTGGTTTGGTTGTGGTTGCGATTGTGGTTGTGGTTGCGACTGTGGGTAAGGGTGAGGATGTGGGCGTGTCTCGTGGTCGTTGATAAGTGGAAGTGGTTATGGGTGTGAAAAGGGGACACTGGCTTTTAGATCCTGGTTTCCCTGGATTGACCTGCCGGTGATCGATCCGGGGGAGCTAACCCGCAATACCTTATTTGGACCTTAGTGGGGTACGCCAACTGACGTTAGTGGGGTCCCCACCTGGCAGCCAGTCTGGGTAAGGCGCAAGCTTTATATTCATGGGCTTTGGGATATGTTCGAGGTATGTAAAGGTATGTGATCCGGATCCCCGAGTCCTGACCTCCCTGGATATATGTACATGCGTTCCCAAAGAAGCCCTTCCAGTTCCGTTTCCTAAACGCCGTCGCTAATTCCCCGATGTTGTAGCAGTGTTGACTCTCAGGTACTGACTTGGCTGGTCGATGAGGCGGACACACCATTGGGATGATATATCCCCGTTCCCAACACAGTGCCGTCAAGTCGTCTCACTACCTGATGGCAGTCAGTCTTTGCAATTCATGTTGGAGAATCGAGTACATTGATTGTATACCTTGGTACTCATTGGCTGCAAGTATCTGATGATGCTCGTGTGTACGTGAAGCGATGGCTGTGTGGCCCTTCTGCGAAGACCACCTCGAACGTTGTCCCGTCAGGCTTGCCGGCGGCGGCTCGATGAAGGCTTGGAGGGAGCATGACATGCTGAGATGGAGTAGGCGGAGGAGGCGCTTGTGTGGTTGGCAGGCGGTCGACCTCGGCCTTCTGACGCTGGTAATACCTCCTCCATTGCAGGAACACGAGGACGGATGGCGGTAGGGCTACAACGAGGCTCAGGATGGCCACGATGGCTTCGGGGGAGAACTGCATTGGAGTGAGAAGGAGCTATCAGAACTTGAGGGGGACCGCGGCAGTTCTTGTGTGTGATTATTGATTCGTAATGAGGAAGGTTATGAGCAGCAGTTGTTTACTTTAGACGGCGGACGTGATATATAAGCTCGTTGCGGCTGGGTATTCAACACCACACAACCACACTCCATCCCCTGGTGCTGCGTGTACGCTACGTGAGGTCCCGGCCAGGTGGGGCTATGCTGCCCACCAACGCGCGGAGAGCAACCCTGTCGGGCACCTACCTGCACGGCTGCAGCATGGTTGTACGACCCTCTTCGAAGCCATTCGGCAAACCCAGTCAAGCTCGGACCAACCGACTCTGTGAAGGTTCTCGTTTGGGTGACAGGTGACGGATGACGATGGTGGGGCTTGCTGGATGCAGCTGCCTCCCAAGCGGTCAAGTCAACCAGGGATAGCGGTGTCTTTGGCTGAATACCTAACCTGTTCCGCCGCCTTGAGGTACCTCGATAGACGTGCCACGCGAGGTACCTCGATAGATCGCCAATCTACTTCGAGGTACCGTTGTAGGCTGTCCGCGCTCTGGAATTACTCGCATATTACTCATCTCGCTCTCCACTCCTTCTCCCCACAAACAGAGAGGCCGTCCAATTCGCCCCGTCTGCTTTTGGAAGATAATCATTTCTGCCCTGCAATGCGCCTGCTCTGCAGCCAGCTCGATAGCAGGATAGCACGATAGCTAGCACAATACTTCTGCTAGCTGCGCGCTGCTGTACCGCGCCGGGGTACCTACCTCTCGGGCTGGCTGCCGCCTGGGCCTGATCCTGACCACCGAGCTTATTATGACCAACAGGTCCAGCCCAGCTATCAGGGACATGACGATCTGAAAATGTATGGCGTCTGCACACAAAGCCCGATCGTGATGGTCATCTAATCCGGCTAAGTTGCCCATTTGACTGCGATGAACGAACATATCTAGCTGCGAGGGATATAATAATCTGAAAATATATGGCATCTCCACACGAAACCCGATCGTAATGGCCATATAGTTCGGCTAATCCAGCTGTGACGGACATGATGATCTGGGGGGAAAGGTACCGCCAGGGTAGACTACCGTCTTGCATTCTACAGCAGGCGATCTGTTTGACACACGAACCGCCTACATCGCCTCGTCGGCGAATTGTCGGACTAGATCGTGGGGTGCGTCTTGAATTCGGGTAAGCTGATGTTGATGCCATGGAGCTAGAGCCGGCTTTGTCGGGTCCTGATGCAACATGTCACATGTGTACCTGCTGGTCCAACGTCACGACAGGCTACAGCAACCACATCACAGAGGCTTAAATCCAAGCCACACAGCAGCACTCGCATGGTGACCATATCTTCAAGGAGCTGCCGGGGTCCTCCTCCACGCCACGTCGTCGAGGAGCATCAACATCGATGTGTAATAATAATAATAATAATAAGGCTAGCGAATGGGACGAAGGTGATCCTTCTTCCCATTCACCAAGAGCGCCACCAGGTAGTGAGTGGAAAGCTGTGCAGGTCAAGTCAAAAGTAGGCTGTGCAGTTCAAGTCAATAGTATGCGGTATCCAATCACGGACAGGGTCCATCGCGGAACCTCTGGCCACTTATCGCAGGAATTTCAATGCAATCAAAGCCCGTATCACTGCATCTGCAGCTTTCTGCTAATGGATGTCCACATGAAACGTTTTTATCCACGTGGGGGCAGCGCCCCAGCGCACTGAGGGAGGCGTCCAGCCTTCTCCGCGGATCTGCAGGTGACGAATGAGCCGTTGGTGGTATTTTCGCCGTAAGCATCATCAATATGGATGTTTCAAGAGGCTTGTAGTACCGGCTACCCCTGTCAGCTGCGGGCGCCGTACTTGTATGTCATAAAAACCTGGAGCGTCAGTATGAACGCGAGACGAATATGGCAAAGTCAGGACAGACTGCCGACCAGACGCAACAAAGAACCCCTGACATGGCCAACTTCCCAGCTATGTAGATAGTCGGTCCAACTCGCTATATGCACACTTCACCTAAAAGTTGAGCCGCTTTGAAATGATTTAATTTAAACATTGTGCACAGGCTACTAATAACCTACGGTACTTAGCTGTGTTTGAAACATTAACTAAATCAGAAAACAGGACTGCTTATCTACGCTTGTAACCCTCGCTACGCCAATGAAGCTACAAGAAAGAGGAGTTTAGCCATATGGACGAACCTACCAGACCAGTAAGAAGCACCAACGCACCCGCCGCATAGGCCTTCTCGTACCCAGGCACTCGGTCCCTGACGTAGTCGATGTACTCGGGATATCTCAGAGAAGTGAGGCCAGTCATCAACGGCGGATTGGGACGAGGCTCCAAGGTCATGGACAGACCCTTTCGAACCCACATCGGTTCCTGGTTATAATCTCGTCTGAAGCCGGGGTAACGCGCCATAGTCCTGAGATAGACATCTTCCAGGTAGAGCCAAGTGTCCGACCTCTCGGGGAAGATGCCAAACCGGCCCTCGTCGTCGACATACACCGCAAACACGGGATCGAACTCGGCCACTTTGCGGGCGATCACTTGGTTGCACCTCCTCCACAACGGACTGCGCATGTTCCTGCCCAGCGTCAGCCGCTGCCGCTCGTCAGGACAGCGGTGGAAAATCCATATGTAGAGATGCGTCATCTCGTGGATGAGGATCCGCAGCAGCGCGAGCTTCGACGGCTGCTGGCCGCCGTACCACGTGCGGCACATGTCGATGCGCCAGATCCTGCGCTTGGTGTAGTCGTGGCTGCTGGCGTGCCGCGGCTTCTCGACGCCGGGCGCCCACCTGCTGTACGGGATCCCCTCCCTCAGGATCAGCCGGACGTTGATGACTCGGCCGGAGGAGAAGGCTCCGGTGTAGAAGTACCGGTCGATGTTGTCGAAGCAGGCCGTCAGGAAGTGGTGCGTCTCGGCAAAGGTCATCTGCTCCGGGTAGTTGCTGAAGTCGGAGATGAGAGCCGCTCGCGCCTCTGCACGCTGGCGCTCCTCGTGCGTCCGGGGGTTTCCCGCGTAAAACGGTTGCCGTACCTGCTCCAGCAGAGCTTCGCCGTGGCACAGGCGGCGTTTCCAGTGGACTGGTGTGGGTGTCCCCTCGCGCGACTTGGGCCACTGGCGACGGGCCTTGCATTTTCCATCTTTGCACCATCTCATGTTCGCTTACCTGGTTGTTGGGTCTATGGGCTGGAATAGGATTGTCAAATTTGGGGCTTCCTTTTTCCAGTTCCCCGTTCTCCTATAACGTTGTTGGACGTACTGACCAGGACATCAAGCTCGTTTCGTAGTGTTATCTAGTAAATGAAGAGACTGAGGGACAAGGGCATTGTTTTGCTTTGTCCTTTGGCAACAACCCATCCCCCTTGTTTCGAGGCACGAGGCACTGATGGTGCCCTTTGTGCCTTGACACCCGCAAAGAGACCGACGGGATCGCAACCACTCTTCGCTGGATAACACCGCGTTTCTCATCATAGGTGAGTGTTTCGTACAGCAGAGGATAGTCAAATAGGCAAAACCCTACGTAACAAGATAAGCCCCTAAAAAGACCAGAGGGTTTCAGTCCAGCTCCCTTCTTTCTTCTTCTACATCACATCGTGGGCACACGCTACAAAAACCACGATTTATTTTGGGTGCCACAATTATGAAGGTATCTGCTGTGGAAGATCAACGATGAAAAGGTCACGGCTGAAAACGTCAGGAAACCAAATCTAGCACAAGATGCCAGTTGACGTCTCAGCTGAAATCTCTTCTGTCCGTGTGTCTGGCAAGGGCCTAAAATAATATTGCTCTTTCTTTCGTTCCTGTCAAGTCTGAGAATGCCGACTAGTTACTCTACAGCTTGCTAATGCGCATTCGTGACGATCTCATTTCTGGCGACTGCTAGCTTCACATGGAAGTATATGGGTGCTTCTTTGCGCCTGTCGTACGCACACGACACTGAACACCAACGCCAACACCAACACCAACACCCCAACCCCCTTGTCGTCTTCACGGCTCGCGACTTTACCAGCTTCAAACGGTACATAGTCGATGCTCCTTACTTCCATTGGCTGCGATACGGCCCACATATCTTGACGACGACAATGGCCTTATGGTTCACGTACAGTCAGGTGGGCTTTGTTTCCGTATACGGCACGACTCCGCAGTCGGGAGTATTCCTGATTGAGATGATATCGTGCTTTAGTTGGGAATGGATTACCTGCTGTTTGCAGCTAATAGACGTTGTGCTGGCAAACGGGAACTAAGAGGCTGGCTCGAGTAAGTGGCAAAGGAATCTCAAGTGCAAGTAGAATGGTGCCGTGAGACAGTGTCGCCTCGTCCTATACTCCTTCTGTTGTTTACCAGTCGAAGATATGTCCAGCCATCTCGCCGTCAATGACGGCAGGCTTCGGATAGATGCCGCCGCCATGCCAACTCCCGGACCAACGCATGGTACCGACGCAATCCACCTTTGACGGAAGGAGCAATCAACAATATGCTGCGTCCAATGCTGTCTGTCCTCAAAAGTCGAAATGCAAACAGATAGATAGTTATGGCGGCGTGGACGAGTGGTGAAGTCACTAGATTTTGACTCTAGAAACCTGGGTTCGAACCCCAGCGTCGCCTTTTTGCCATCTATCTATCTATCCCCTTTCGAAAAGCGCACCAGGTGTATCAACTTTGTTAGTACATTGTCCACATAGATTAAACCACCCAAGAACCGTTATTATATATTTAGCACATGCGTAGGAAAACATACGTGGTATACTCCTTCGCGGTATCCTTAAAAAGGTCGGTTACGGGACTTTCGTATGGCGCCTTGGAGTATCTGCAACGTCCTAATCCCCTCGCGCATAAAGAGCTAACATAATAGGCAGCAGTGTCGAGCTTGATGTTGAGCCGATGGACGAAACGAAACTAGAGTTAATGGATATGTCGGTGAACGGACTGAAAGTGGACGCGCTGCTGGACGCGCTGCTGGCTGAGCTGGAAGACAACGAACTAAGAGTGTTATTGGACGTCGAAGCCCAAGTCAATAATGGAGTTGACGAGGTCGAGCGGGATGCTAAATCTGCATCAAAAGACAACCTCGCACTGCTAAACAACGTTGAACTCGACGTCATATCGCAACTCATAGGATGTGTTGATACCGCATTAGAAGCAGACAGCCTGGTCAAAACCAGCGAATGGCCAGAAATTGCGGAACTGCTAGCCGGTAATCAGGTAAAGGGGCCGACGGATGGAAGCAGCTGGGCCCATAAAGCACCGACATGCTCATAAGAGTTGATGGCGTACCTGCCGGAAAATCAACCGAGGATAATCATGGCACCACGACTTCCCGTAGTCTTTGTATACTCCAAATCAGAGAAGTACTAAACCGACAGTCTCCTCCTTACAGTGAAGCATATACACCTAATAGAATTGGTGTAGTAAACAACAGCAGAATATACAGTCTCACAACCATTCCTAGGGAGAACCAACTAACTTATCAATGTGCCATAGCTGCCTTGGCTTCTCTTTCCGGTGTTGGAATTCCGCCCCCGTGGCTAAGGTCCAGTAGCCAGCAGCAAACTAAGCTTGCCTGATTCATTCCGCAAAGGTTTCTGCGGGTAGTGGTAGGTAAATCCCTTTCCCGGCCCTCGGGTCAGGGCCGGGACAGGTAAATCGAGCAAAGGGTAGCAGTAACTTATATAGGGTCAGAGAAGAACTACGAAGGAGAACACAGCTTACCATTATTTTTGACAGTAAACTCAACCAAAGAGAGCGGCTAAAGCCTCTGTCTCCGAGTGGAAATATATCTTAGAAGTCGTCAAGGGCAGGGTACCGTTCTTACATTACTAGGGCAGCGTTGCTGTGCAAGCACTGCCTAGTACTTCCCCCGACCGTACCTATTTACTAACCCCTGGACACCATCCTGAAAGCCGGCCGTTAATGGTGATCAGGGCACGGTCGGACAGGCTTCCAAGCACAGCAGGATGAAAAGTTTCCAAGTCACATCAAAGTAGACGTCGGAAATAAGTGGCTGAAAATCATTTATTTTTCCTTCCCATGGTGTATCAAAGACAATGCACTTTTGTACTTCAGATAACGCCATCCCGTGAAATAGCAGTCGCTATGTTTTGCGGCTTTGATGGTAGATCCGCACCTCGACATGGTCCTTGTCATCTCAATGTTCTGACTTTCAACATTCCGACTCTTGCGATTAATTCTCCACTGTCAAGGCTCCTGTCGAGTTCATCTTGTCAACATCCTCCCCTTGCAATTCAAAGTGGAAGGCTCTGATGACCGAGTCGGTGTCATCAATGGCAAGCGGGCGGATATCAGCCATAGCCTTGATCTGGTTCGTCCTGCTTTCGCATTAGATGGATGAAACGTTTTGACCGTGTAGTTCAACATACAAGATCTTGATCTGGTCATCGTTCATGGCGAGACCCAGCTGCTCAACACGGCTCTTGATAGCATTCCAGCCAGTCAATCGGTGTGCAAAGTGGATGTATCGTCCGATACCGAAGTCCGCGGGGTTGATGATCTCGTAGGTGCTTGGCTCGTTCAGGATGGCCTTGGCATGGATACCGGCCTTGTGGGTGAATGCACAGAAGCCAGTAACAGGGTTGTTAAAGGGAACGTTGATTTGGACTGTTTCCGCCACGTAGTCCTCGACTTCCTTGAGCTTGTGGAGCTTGTATCTTGAAGTCACATACTCGTGGCTCGAGACAATCATGCGGGCAAGGAGACCACCAAGGGGCTACATATGTCAGTGATGGTCATGAAGACATGTTGCAGTGTACTCACCGTAATGCCATTGCGCTCGCCAATGCCAAGAACGGACGTGTCGATATCTGCAACGGACGCCTATTAGCAAAAGCCTTCCAGCTACCCATAGGTTATACATACGTGTCGCTCCAGCTTCCAGCGCAGCATACGCATTCGCAACAGCGCACATGGTGTCACTGTGGTCATGAGTCAGCGAATACCCCTGGAAACTAGTTGGGCAATCATTTCCGGAGCCTGAAGTAGATCGGGACATGAATTTGCGGCAAACATCTCCCGATCTGCACCACTAGAGCACCAAATGAACCTGGGTGTCACTCACTTGTGTAGGTGAATTTCAATGTCGCAACCGACCACGGTCCTTAATGTCCGAACCAAGTCGTAAACCTGGCGGGGCGTGGCGCAGCCGACTGTGTCTGCTACACCAACGCGGTTGACACCGACGCGGTCGACGGCCTTGTAAAGGAAGAGTAGATCTGCGAGGTCGGAGCGGAAGGAGTCCTCGGACGAGAAGCGGACCTCGATTCCCTTGCTGTATCGAATTAGGCCTGAGCATCAGATCGGGTACCTTGGTGACGAACCTCTTGATAAACTCTATGACCTCGATGGCGGTCCGGGTGATGTATTCCATGTCCTTGCCATGCGAGTGAGCCTGGAGCATGCTGGATGTCCCGATAACAACGTCGATTCCGTCCACACCACATTCGACGGCCAGCTTGGCGTCTTCCATATTACACCGTGTGTCTGATCTGTAAGCGAAATGTCGATACGTGGAAATTGACATCTCGGCACTCACGCGTAAGGATTTTGGACTAAGGGAAGGTCAGCGCAGGTCACGAATGTTTGCGCACGTGTTTAGGTGTATGGGAGTCGGTGCAAGAGAGGTAGTGGAGGGCTCAGTCAGTACACACCTTGAGGCCCAACTTGCAGATGGTCTCCAGGTCAGCGCGTGACTGGGGAGAGGCTGCGGGCGAGGTAAGCTCGAGATACTCGACACCGAAATCCGAGAGCATGGTGGCTCTGTAGACTAGTCAGTCACTTTCCCCCGGGCAGAGCCAGCCAACCTGAAGCTGACATACATCTTGATCTTGGTCTCTGTGTCGAAGAAGGCATTGGCGAACTGCTCGCCCTCGCGCAGGGTACTCTCGATGATCTTGAAATTCGCAATGTTGGACAGGGCGTCGCCCACGGGCTGGTAGGGCCCGGCAGCGGCGCGCTTCTTGGTGGCCTGGTCGGTCGAGTGCCCGTTCTGGCCGCTGACACCATTCTGGCCGTTCACGCCGTTCTCGTTGGGTCCTGGGCACATTGTTGCTGGCGGTAGGTGGTCAATTGAGTGGTTGGAGGTTCAATGTTGGAAAAGTGTGTGGTGTTGAAGGGGGAGAAAAATGCCAACTCAACCTTATTCGGGAGTACAAGTGGTACAATTGGTACTTAGTAAGTGGCCGCGGGCGTGAGTCAAAAATCCAGCCCGACCTCGCTTTGCGGGGCAGAGAGACAGAATTTTTCTCCACCAAACCGAATCCCAGAGGGCACCGAGCTCCCATAACGTCACCGACAGCGCTCTGGCCCAGTGGCCCTCTCTCCATCTCCGGCTGGCCGTGCCTGCGTGCCCGCTTACATCCTGACATCCTATTGTTGATCCCCCAGGATCCCATTTTTCAATCTGTCAGTCAGCGACATGGCGTCAGCGGACGCCATCACTGTGGCTTTTTGATTATTATTCTGCATTCAATACAACCTAACCCGACAGGCTGGCTTTTTGATTACTATTCTGCATTCAATACAACCTTAGTAACCCGACAGGCCTGCAGCATCTCTCAGGCTTGATAAGTTGATTGGGCACCCCCGGATTCTCTCTATCTAGTCCACGATAAGCGAGTTGTGCGAAAAACAGTTGCGCAGCCAATCATCACTCCACTCCCAGGCCTGCCAAGAGCCTCAAGAAAACCTGGGGTTGCCTTGCCCAATTGCCGAGTGCTCAATGGTTTTTAGTAATTAGATAAGCCTGGTTGGTATCATACTCTCACAGTCTCATTCCAGGCGTCTCTTGTTCTGTCTTGAGGCATCCTACTGTACGCATTGGGGAGTCATGTGTCACTACTTCTCTTAACCCCCAGCACAGCATTTGACCAACTCTCAAGGGCCAAGGTTTCGCTCACGAAAAGCTGTATCAAGTCAGTGAGTCAGTCATTTCTCCATCCCAGAACACCACGACCAGGGTTTCAATGACTTACCTCCAGGAATCAATGCCGCGGCATACATGACGAGGGTAATCGGCCCCAAGTAGTCCATATTGCCATCAAACTTTAGGTTGCCTTCCCAAGCCTGCAGCACCTCCTCGCACCCCTTCCGTCAGGGCCACGTCGTCGTTATTGGTCGAATAACAATAGCACTGGATACCGAGACAGGCGCCGCACTCCCTGAACGCCGGCCAATGTAATCGCGTCTCGGCAGTCACGGGGGCAGTGGACGTTGGCAGGAACCGGTCCCACGCGATATCCCGCCCCTGTGCGGACAGCTCGCGCGCCCAGCCAGCCTCGCGATTGAAATGGGCGATCCACAGGCCCATGCCGAGGTCCAGCGGGTCGCCATTGAGCGACTTCGGCGCCCCGTCCATGATGCCGCCATACTGCTCGATGTCTGCATCCAGCGAGTCCGCGGCAGCGCTATAGCCGAATTGTATCGAGGTCTGCTGCAGGAGTTGGTAGACGACGAAGCCAAAGACGTCGTCCAGGTGTCCCTTGTTGGCCATCAGCGGAGCGCTCAAGGCCGTCGACATCTTCCAGACCATGCTCTCACGCCCGTGTCTGTTCACCATGAAGTGCGGATGAATCGCCTTGGCCAGCTGCACAGCCAACACGTTCCATTTCGGCTCTTCGGTGGCCTGCGCCAGTCTGTTCAACGCGAACATCCACTGTAGCATCTCAAGTCAGCAATCTCTCTTCAAGGATGGAGTGGGGTTAGATAAAGCCCATGATGCTAACAGAAACAACCCTTCGGATATGCCGAACTGGGCAGCGAATGTGATTCCTTGGTGCCACTCACCAGCGTCAGATAGTGATGGTACTGCCCATCACAATCCGGACCCTCCTCGTCCATTTTCCCGATCCGCAGGCCGCCATTCAGGGGCTCGGCATCAGTAGCACGCGGCAGACGGGCTGATCCGTCGCGCGTTCGTCCCAGGACGGAGTGGACTGTCTCTGCAAGGCGTTTTGCCAGATTCAGGTAAACATAAGCTTTCGAGTCGTACTCTCGCGAAAGCGTGATGAAGTTGACGACACCGAAGGCGTCGGTCCAGAGGTAGCGACCACGGTATGCCCAGGCGCCGGGGTTGCTGGAAGGCTGCCAGGACGGATCGTGGTGGTCGGCTTCGTAGGGCCCGTAGACGATTTGCATGGCTTCCTCGAAGCGGGCTCTCTTGGCTTCCATATCCATCTTGATAGAATTGCTATTCAAGACGTGTGGCGTTTTCTGAGATATGCTCGAGGTATAGTATGATCGTGTGGATAACTGTGTCACAGAAGACTATACTCGGATGTAGGATCTCGTGGCTGTTTGGAGTTGGAGAAGCACCAGAGCCACCTTTTATGGCCATTGCAGGACATGGCGATGAGAAGAATAGTCAAATCAGAAGGATCGTTCCATTTCATTCACGCATGCACCTGCAGTGGGCGTGTTTTGATTGTCAATGTGTCCATCTGTGTCACTCCCGGAAGGTGAATGTGATGGGAAACTGGAGTCGGAGAAGGTGCATGACACAACAGTCACTGCCTGGGAAGCAACCTTGATTATCTGTAAGTCATCTTCAACTACCTACCTACCACCTTCCTCCAGTCTCTGTGAATCAATCGGTGGTTGTGATGATGCTGGAGAGCAGATTCTCCAGGTCTGCCAGTGACGTGAGATACGGTGGTGTGCGTTGCACCTTCCCACATCTCGTTACATTCCTGACCAGTAGTCCCCCCTCATGAAGTGACTCACAGAACTACCTTACCCCTCGACACCAGTGTTCGCAATATCATTATCATTCCAAGAAGAGCAAGAGCATCGCGGCCCAAGCTACTTGATGTTATGCAAGTACTTCATAGTTCACTTACCGTATATCACTCCAAGCCCCCGCATGTTATTGTACCTACAGTATACGTTGCGATACAGCTAGAAGATCTACCAGGGCGACCACTTAGGTACTGAGCCCCGTGCAAGTCACGAAGTCACGCTTGGGGTATGGCACTGGTAGACAACAGGCGACTTTTCACCAGAGGTGGAGCGCTGGAATAGGGAGTACGGAGTTCAGCCACAGGTATACGAAAGGCTCGTCACCAGAACTAAACCCCCCCGAAACTAACGGAGGTCAATGGACCCCAGCGAGGCTGGTAGGCTCATCATGCGAATTTAGGCACCCAGGGCCGGAATACGAACTGCCAATGTGTGTGTGGCAAGGCAAGTAGCTGTACGGTCACACCATCGCGTTACCATATAGTGCCCAAGCACGTATCCTAGATGCCTAGAGAACTTATCACGTTCCAAATTTCCGACATCAGCGGCGCGATGTCTATTGGCAAGATTTCTCTCTCCAGAACAGGCGACCCTGGTGAACTGATACGCTGTCTGCAGTATAGTCTACGTCCTCTTACGGTGTTCATATAATCAGCGCATGCCTCGTACGGTAGACACATGCCTAGCAACGCATATCAGAAAGGGCAGCACAAGGCACGGCCAAACCATCGGAGGTAGTCAAGAATGAAACAGGCAGTTCAGGTTCAACTGAGCATGGGAAATGCCCAGAGCACCAATGATGCTGATAAAGATGGTCAATAGACTATTAAGCCGGCTGAAGCCAGAAAATGCGTCCCATAACACGATGCTTTTCCACCTCAATGAGATATTCGTGGGCGTCGTTGAGCAAGTCAGTCGTCACTTTACACCCCCTCCTTACGCTCCTCTCCATGTTGCACGATGTAGGTGACGAGCACCAATGCTGTTGCGGTTGAATTTCGTCGCATATCTCATATATTCCTGCGAACTTCGCTTTTTATAAACATCCACGCAGTCACGCTGATTACCACTCAATGGGGTCCTTCTTCTCCTGCCCACGATTCGTGCTGGGCACCGGGGCGGGCTTGACGGCCAGCTTGCCATCTTTCCTCCTCAGGTAACCTGTGCCATTCACCCACGGTGTGTCGGCCGAGATCTTCTTCTCGTGCTCGACGATCTTATCCTCGAGCTGCAGAGTAAGACCGATATCGTCCAGACCGTTGATCAAACAGTGTTTCCGGAATTCCTCGACTTCGAACTTGCAGATCTCGTTGCCACTGGCGTCGCGGATGACCTGGTTCGGCAGGTCAACCTCGATCTCCTTGCCTGCTCGGGCTTCCGCTGTGATCTTCTCCATATCGATTTCATTCGTGATGGCGATGGGCAGCATGCCGTTCTTGAAGGTGTTGTTGAAGAAGATGTCGGCATAAGAGGGAGCGATTATGCATCGGATACCGAAGTCGTTCAAAGCCCAAGGAGCGTGTTCTCGCGAGCTGCCACAGCCAAAATTGGCACCAGCGACGAGAATCTTCGCCTTCGTATATGGCTCCTGGTTGAGAACGAAATCCTTGTTTGGAGATCCGTCCTCGTTGAATCTCCAGGCGTGGAAGAGAGCAGAGCCTAGACCTGTGCGCTTAATGGTCTTGAGAAACTGCTTGGGGATGATAGCATCGGTATCGATGTTCGGCCGATCTAAGGGGGCGGCAATACCCTTGTGGACGATGAATTTCGGCTGACCCGGCGAGCCAGCGGCTTCTGTGACTAAATTCTTAGCACTGGGAGAGCTATCCTCAGGCTGATCGGTGAGTCTCTCCTTGGCGGACGTGTCATCACTTTCAACGCTAGCACTGTCGTCTACGTGAGGCTTTCCCGATGACGGAGTAGACTGGAAAGCCTCAACGTGCGGGCTCGCCTTGTACTCGGTCAGGTTCCGCACATCAGCGAGCTTGCCGACAATAGCCGCAGCAGCAGCCATAACCGGAGACATGAGATGTGTTCGGCCCTGGGCACCCTGCCTGCCCTCGAAATTCCGGTTGCTTGTGCTTGCACATCGCTCCTTGGGCGATAGAATATCTGGGTTCATGCCGAGGCACATACTGCAACCGGCTTCTCTCCATTCGAAGCCAGCATTCAAGAAGACCTTGTCAAGACCTTCAACTTCAGCTTGATCCTTGACTATTCCGGAACCAGGAACGATCATGGCACGCATGACATTGTCCGCCTTCTTCTTGCCCTTGACGACCTGTGCGGCGGCCCGGAGGTCCTCAATACGCGAGTTTGTACAGGAGCCGATGAAGACCTTGTCGACGGCAATGTCTTGCATGGGAGTTCCAGCCGTGAGGCCCATGTATTCCAGCATTCTCCGGCCTGCTTGTTTCTTCGCCTCGGTCTTGAATGTCTCGGGGTCCGGTACCGACCCGGTAATCGGTACGACGTCCTCGGGGCTGGTACCCCAAGTCACTGTCGGGATGATGTCCTTCGCGTCGATTTGGACGTCGATATCGTACTTCGCGTCGGGATCCGACTGGAGGCTCTTCCAGTATGCAACAGCCCGGTCCCACTCAGGGGTGTCAGGGGCAGGGGCCAAAGGCTTGCCTTTGAGGTATTCGAAGGTAATCTCGTCAGGAGCCACCATACCAGCTCTGGCACCACCCTCAATGGACATGTTGCAGATAGACATGCGAGCCTCCATACTCAAGCTGCGGATGACTGAGCCGCAGAACTCAATGACACAACCAGTACCACCAGCAGTACCGATCAGGCCTATTGCGTGGAGGATCACATCCTTGGAGCTGACTCCAGGGGCGAGCTCTCCTTCAACTTGTATTCTCATGTTTTTGTTCCTCTTTGTGATAAGGCACTGGGTAGCCAGGACGTGCTCGACCTCACTTGTACCAATTCCGGCGGCAAAGCACCCGAAGGCGCCATGGGTGGAAGTGTGGCTGTCACCGCACACCAGGGTGGTACCCGGGAGGGTGAAGCCTTGCTCGGGGCCGATGACATGGACGATGCCCTGGCGTCTGTCGCCGAGACCGAAGTAGGTGACGCCAAAGTCCTTCACGTTCTCCTCGAGGGTGGTGCACTGCAGTCGCGAGTCGTCCTGCTCGATGAAGCTGGCAATGTCTTTGATGCCTTTTCGGGACTTGGTGGGGACATTCTTGTAGCACCGCCGATTAGCGGAGGGTCCGTTTTCGCACACAACAAACACAAACCAGAAGTGTCTTTTGAGAAAAACGAGAGGACTTACGTGGTCTGTAGTAGCAAGAGTGCAATCCGGTCTTCTCACTTTCCGCCCTGCATTCTTGAGGCCCTCAAAAGCTTGCTGTCATAACACATTGTGTTAGCTGGACTGCGCTGCAATATGACATAACCGGCGGGTAGATGCGGTGTCCGCATATCATCGGAGGGACTACCACATACAGGAGAGGTGACTTCGTGAACAAGATGCCTGTCTGTTTGTCGCAGTCAGTACAACCCGAGTGCAGTTCCCAATTGTACTCTGACGTACCAATGAAGAGCAGGATGGTGCCGTCAAGCTTCTCGTCGACAATGTGGGCAGCGAGCACCTTGTCGTACAGAGTCTGCGGAGCTCCTTCGGCGACGGGCATCTTGGTTGTCGGACGTCTTCTTTTCCACGCACCACGATAGTCGCTTCAGTGGAAATTGAGGAGAGCCAAGGTCTGAGTAGAGAGCAGTAAGGGAGTAGTAGGTGGTTGGATGAGGAGGTAGGTAGACGGAGAGGGAAAAGAAATGGAAGCAGTAGAAAAGCCGGCCGGCAGAATTAACGATGTGAGTAGGAATGCGGGGAGGAGGCTTAAATATGTACAGGTCAGTCCGCAGTTACTCGAGTCGCTATTGACGAGGCGAAAAACAGAAGAGAGCTTGAGTTGCGGCACAGGAGCACGGTTGACCGTTACCTAGTAGGTATTCCCAGCCGGCCTCACAAAAAATGGGTGAACAAAGCAGACGCCCCGAACATCGGACCACGAACTGCGCGCCTCCGGTCCCGGGGTACGAGGGCGATTTGAATTTGATGAGCACAGATTGGCTGAGGGAGCCTCCTACTGCGGGGCACGACATGACCTCTGCAGCGAAGTACAGGCGTCTTTGGCCGGATCGATTTACCCCACATGAGGGGCACCGTCGCACCGACTGCTTGGGTACCAGTCAACTGCAGCATACATCCATCTCATGCACATGTCGGATCAGAAGCACTGAAGAGGTAAGGTAGATTCTATCCAACAATTCCTACTTCTTGGTACACTAGGTTCTTGGAAATATGCCAGGCATACGGGCATATCATTCCATCTGGCAGGTACTCCAGAGGCAACATCGGCAACCACAACTTCTATTCTGCCAAGCGGGATGGTGGCATCTGACTAATTGGCCAATAGTACCCCAGACCATTCGGACGGGAATAACACCGACAACGCGGTGCGACGTCACCCCAGAACAGAGCTGCCTTGAGCATGGTACACTTCCACGCCGCACGCTCTCTCTCTTGCGCTTCGACGATGCATACGTCGATCCTCGAAAGGCGAGATTCGCTTCTCCAGCAGGGCGGCGGAGCTTCCGCGAAGGGAGGGTCAATCCAAACCGTGAAGTCCGCCTACTGTAGTGCCCCCCGGGTGCATAAACCCCAAAAATAAAAGGGGGAATTATAAACGAAAGACAATCGGCATGGGAATACCGCGTTATTAATGATCGTCAGCTAAAACTAACCGAATGAACCGTACAACTCCCCCCTCGTCAATCATGCTTCCTATGCTCCAAGAATGAATGCCTACTTAGGACTCTGCAACCGTTATCACAAGGGCACCCTCTTGGCTATCGTGACAAGTGGCAGCCGACAGGATCCGGTGTACCTCCGATGCGGGCTGCCGTGTAAGCTCCAGATCCGCCGTCGGCTCCACCATCGGCCACGCCGGCAGGGGCTGGCCCGACTTTTTTCGTCCCATTGCCGAATTCGGCAACCCGTCAACAATCTCGACAATCTGCCCCCCATATCTGCATACTCGTCCTTTATCACACTGCTTGCTGCACTACCAACCCCCCCTTCCGCCTTTCAAACCCCCAAAACCCACCCAACCCCCGTCAACACAAACCAAGTCGCAACAGCACCAACAGCACAAAGCGCAGCCGCAGCCGCAAAGACCGAAACATCCTCCCACGAGCTCCGCTGCCCACGGCGCCTCTTCCACAAGTCGCTCGTCTGGTCGAACGCCGGGCGCGCCACGGTCCACCACGCGCACGCGAGGCCCAGCAGCACCATGTACACCATGATAAAACCATGCCCCATGACCATGAAAGCGTTAGCGTCAGCGCCATCAGCCGGCGGCTTTCGTTTCTCGGAGGAGACGCCGTTGGTCTTCGTCTTCTGCTTTGCATCATCAGACTGCTTCTTCTGATTCTGATTCTGATTCTGATTCTGATTTTGGCTCTGTGTGTCTTTCTCTTTCCCCCTCTGCTGCTGTCCGCGCCCAAAGGACTTAAGCCTGGAAAGAACGCCGGTGCCTGCGTTGGCGCTGCCGTCGTGGTCGGGGTGCTGTTGCCCCTTCTTCTCTTTCTTCTGTGGTAGGGGCGGTGGTTTGTCGATCGGGCCTGGGAGCCGGCTGGCTCGGATAGGACTGCGGTTCATGACTTCCTTTGCCCGCGACCGCTGCATGGCGATCCGTGCCGCATCCTGCACCATCGCCTCCGTGTGCTCGTAAGGTGACTGGCGCGGACGAGCTCGTCGGAATTTTCCTTGAAGGTTTCGTATGGGGCTTGTGCTCTTGTACTTCGGCTCTTTTTCTGGAGTTCTCACGGCCGGTGCGCTCCCCTCTGTGAAGTCGACGTATCTGGGCGGAGGAGTCACTGTCCCTTGTCCTGCCTCCTCGAGGCTGTCTCGTGACTTCTCGTGGACTGTCTGCCTGGGAGTCCGGCAAGAGCCGGGAGTCGAGGGGTGGTGCGCCTTCGGCGTCCGGTCTTGGTCCGGTGTCACAGGGCGGTCTGATACAGTATCTGTCTCTGCTGTCTTTTGGGCGTGCACGAGTCTCTGCGAGCCGTTCGGTGGTGTAGTGGGACGGGAAGGTATCGTCCTCTCGTAGGTGGCTGGGGTCGACTCGACGCAGTGCGGTGGCTGCCCTTTCGGTGACGTCGGAGTCACTAGACCTCCGTTGGTGTCCGCGACGCTGTCGGGCTGGCCGTTCGGGACTTGTAGTTGAGATGGTGTATCGTCGTGTTGGCTCGGCTGAGCGGGATCGGAGCCAGTAGTGATGGTGGTGTGTATGGACGCAGATTCCCTCTTGACCAACTCGATGCGACTGTCCATGTGGTGCAGCACGTTCCCAGCCCACTCGGGACTGATTCTCCCCTGGATATCCACCGGTAGATGTTCGCTCTGGGACCCCAGGGTCTCCCCTGACGGATCTTTGTCGGTGCGGTTTAGAGAGTCGTGGATACTCGTTAGCAGCTTGTGCGTCTCGTTGGCTGGGGCGGATACCAGTCGGCTTGGGGCCAACTTTCGGGGGATGGAGGGAGGCTTCATGAGCCCTTTCAACTTCGACTGGGATGAGGTCACTGTAGCTACGCTGGTGCCTTGGCTGGGTAGGTGGGACTCTGCCCGGTGAGACTGGGTATCTGTCGTTGGGGTCAGGATCTGTGTACCGTCCAATACCCCTTGGCGTTTTCGAGTCGGTGATATCGATGGGTAGCCGACCGAAGGACTCGATGGGTTGTCGTGCTTCCCGACCGGGTCTGGCGACATCAGATGCAGGCGGTGATCTGGGATCGCCAGGTCGGCGAAGTGGTTCGTCGTCGTGGGAAGGTGTACCAGCGAACTGGACACGAGACGCCCTTCCGTCACCGACGTCGAGATTCCCGCGCCTGCGGCTGGTTCTCTAACCAGCTCCCCAGGGCCTATCGTTCTTCGGCGGCGTCTCCATAAAAAATGCTTCTCACTCTTACTGCGTACGAGATCCGACTGCTCGTTATCTAAAGGCAAGGTGGGAGGCGGAACAGCCGGTGCAGTAAATGGTAGCCTTGGAGGTGGAAGGTTAACTGAGGTGTTGTGAATGATAGTGTCGGTCGATGGATCAAATCGATGCTCGTGTTTTCGAAGCTGCTTATTCTCAGAACTCAATGGCTCCAACGGGCCAGTGACCACAGTCCGAGCTCCAGCTGGTGATGGAGACGGACGAGAGTAGTTAGGTATAACCGTGATCTCTTCAGGACCTGCCAAGCGAACACCGTGAGCCCTTCATCCCAGACAACCCACGAAAAGGGGCCACTTACCATTTCCCAACGCCAGGCTATCCATAGACTGAGCAATCGGGCTCAGGTTCGGCTCGGCGGCAGAGGACCAATGGCGCTTATGCTGGCTCCATTTCACCAACGACTGCTCCCGTCTGAGCTCGTCCTTGGCCCGCTCGATCTTGTTGAGCTTCGCGTGCTCCTTCTCGCGCTTGGCCCTCTCCTTCTCCTCCTCCTCCAGCAGCTTGACCTGCTGGTACGCCAGCTTGGCCTCCTCCTTCTGCCGCATCAGGCCGGCCAGCCGGTCCCGCGTCGACAGCGTCGTCGTGTCCGAACTGAGCGTGTCCGTCGGCGACAGGACCGGGAACTCGCCCGTGTACGGATCGGCCCCCTGCGGACCCAGCCAGTCTCCGCTCGCCTTCAGACTGCGGCGCTGTCTGCGCGATTTCTCTTTCGCTTTGAGTAGCTCCGAGATCTCGGCCTGCGTCATCGAATCAGACTTTAGGAGCGATGTGCTCGGGGCCGTGACCGGGCGAGGTGGTGGGTGACGATCCGGCACGTTTGGTGCAAGGCGCTGCGCAGTGTTCGGGGCCAGGTCCTCGACGAACTTGCTATCCCCTTTCCGCGGACTCCAGCTGTGCCCCCTGCGAGGACTCGACTCCTCCGCCGCAGCAGCAGCAGCGACCACCCGCGCGGGCCTGTCCCGTGCAACGTTCCAGTCTCGCAGCTCGTTGGGGTTTATTTTCAGGTCATGGTACGCCGAATCGGTGTCTCCGGTGGCATCCTTAGGGCGCCGCGTGCCGCCCTGTTCGGGGCGATGACTCGGGAGGATCTTGCTGAGCAAGCCGGCGAAGGACGAGGCGCGCTTGGGTGGGAGCGCTGGCCGCCCGTCGTTGGCCGCCGAGCAGGCCCTTGTCGGACTCATCTTCACCAGTTCACGAGACGACCGTTGCTGTCGAAGTTGAAATCGAAGTCGACGTCGTTGATGAGGAGAGGGTAGAGGCCAGTCCGGACCCAGCCGGCGTGGCGTCGTGAAAACTGAGATAGGTATGGGTATAGGTTCCATTTCTGCCTCTGCTCCTGCGGATGTCATGGCGTTCTCAGTTACGGAAGGTGCAAGGCGCAGGGAAAGTGGGAGGAGCAGGGTGAAACCTGCAAGGGCAAAGCACACATCTTTGCGAAGTCTAATCGTTCCCATTTTGCAGCAGCGATGCATACATTAGGTAGGGAAACATCGTGTGTGAACATTGAATCAGCAGGCTCGGACGAGGTGTTCGAACGAGGACTGGGGACGGTCCAGGGACAGGCAGACAGGCAGACAGGCAGACAGTCAGTCACCATCATGATGAACTCGGACTGCATTGAGATTAGAAGGAAATCAGGTCATTGACGTGCACCACTCAATGCGGCTACCTTACTACGGGCAGGTTTGATGCTACCTCACTACCGAAGGTTTGATGCTACCTCATTACTGAAGGTTTGTTTTGTATCAAATAAACAGACCTTGAGTTCAAAGGTTGTCAGAGCCACCTGCAGGAGCTCAACCGGTTCTCGACACAGACGCCACCACAGACCAACTACATCGTTAGCTCAGCGTACATGCAGCGCCTAATCATACAAACCCCTGCGAATACAAGGTGTTCTTCCCTACTGCAATGATGTAACAGTGGAAAGCTTGCCCGCTCAAGTGTGCCCCCACAAGCCCCATGAACCATAAATACCCAGCAAACTTCCAACCCTCATTGGAACATCGACGGGTATCTCTCGTACGATTGCTGCTGGGGCCTCCCCCATGCTCTAGACGGTTGTGGGTTCAACGCCGCCGACGTACCCGTACTCTTGCGAGAGCTTTTCAAGGGGCTCGAGCTTCGGTCCCCTTGCTGTGACTGGTATTGCTCGATTCGTGCCATCTCGCCATTGTTGCGAGGCGACCTGAACTGAAGGTCCCCAAGACTTGGAGCCTTCTTCAGGGGTGAGCTGGGGTGGTTGTAGACTCCAAGGTAGCCCCCATCACCGGTATTGGTCGAAGAAGTGGCCACCGACCGGGTCGTAGCCTGGCTTAAAGGTGTCGGGCCTGGTGTGCTCTTTCTTGCGGGCTTACTCGTCAACTGTCGGCTTCTCAGCTCACTGCCGAAGGGCGCTGATTGACGTGAGGCGACTGGAGGGGTGAATAAGCCAGGGGCCATGACTTTGTTCATATGCGATGAACCGGTCACATCGGGATTAATGTGCCTTGCGTAGTTGGGGTTCGGCCGGGTCTCGAAGCCCCGACGTAGTTGGACAGTACGAGTGCCAACCTCCACAAATTCCGCTTCATTGTCATCATCCATTGACAACTGTGTCCCTGCATCTCTGACGGTCGGGTACAGGCGAGGATGGACAAATTTGGTGTCATACTCGTGCATGACCTCCTTCTGGATAACAGATGTGTCCTTGTTCTGCTGGGAGAACCTGGACTGAAACAGCACCAGCTGCACCGAGAGGATGATCTGCAGGACGATGCAGTTGAACACGGTAACACTCGGTCTGGCGTCGAGAGGCACCAGCGGGAGGAACATCATGTACACGAGGACATGACCGGGGCTGAACAAGCAGAAGATGCGCAGCGAGATGGGCAGAGGGTCCCAGACCGAGAGCTGCCAGACGTCCCGGGTCCTATCCGGATGCGCCCTGGACTCTGCGCTCTCGAAACTCATCATATCAGTCAAGAATCGCAGCGGCGACGACGAGACGGGTGAGGACTGGACTCGGACGCGTTGGGCAGAGGGTGTCGACGGTGGTTTTTCAACGTCGGCCTCGAATAATCGGTAGTGGCGGGATCGGTACATGGTGTAGAAGGCGTTGATGACAGAACAGCCGATTAGGAGCCAGAGTAGGGTGCCGACCTGCGAGCATACAGACATAGACGATTAGCAACTGTCTCCCACCATCCGTGATCCCATCCGCCCCTCCACGGGCACATTGGCGGGCAACTCACGAAGAAACTGAACCACCCCGACGTCCCGCCCTCGTCGAACACCGGATCCGCGGCGCGGGAGCCTCCACTATTGGCGCGCGCAAGTAGGAAAGCGAAGTTCATGGCGAGGCCCAGCTGGGTACCGACGAGCTTGGAATCCCAGTCGCGAGTCTCGATCTCCTCGGACAGCCACAGCAGGAAGTCCATGGGGTTGAGCATGGCCTTGACACGCTCCATTAGCGGTCTTCGGCGGACGAGTCGAGGCATCTTGATGGTGCTGCTGCTTAGGTTGAGCTTGACTTGTCGTGCGTGCAGGCGCGGAGATCGGTCGCAACACTGCTGCTGCTACTGCTGCTGCTGCCACCGGTAGTTACTGCCTAGTAGCCGAGCTCACATGGGACTGGGTGCTTGATGCTGCAGCAGTACTGTTGTTGCGCAGCCTAAGCTTGACTGTTTCCCCGCCGAGCCACACCTGCTGATTGACCGTTGCTGGCGACAAAGGCGAAGAGCCTGAGACTGCTTTTGTTGACGTGGGAAAGAATGGACGAGCTTGTCAAGGGATCGAGAAATAATTACTGGGGTCGTGGTTGCTATTGACAAAGCTGACAGGCAGACAGGCGAGACAGGTGACAGGGAGCTTCAACTACTGCCCCATCTCTAGCGCTGGTGGTGGATACATCATTATTACATGTTAGTGGCCGGATTAGGCGGACAATGGGGCATGCAACTCGATGCCCGTTATCTGCCCGTGAGGAATGGCGGGGTTCCAGCCGGCGGCGAGGCAACGCTGAGCTGCAAGGCGGTCAGAGCTTGCCTCTATAAAATGCAGACCCTCGCTGCCTTATCGGAAGCTTATCAGCGACGCGACGAGTGCAACGAGGGTCTGCAACATTTCTGTTCAAAACAGGCTTACATATGGTCCTTGCTATACAAAATAAAACGAACGTGTCTTATTCATACGCCGCGCGCTGCACGACCATTATAAATTAACGCGTTAAATACTCATTTTCTAGCTTTAAATTCTTAGCTGTTTTATTTGATAATAGTCTCGTCTTGATTAGAACTATATTTATCTCTCTCGCACGCGATTTATCCTTAATTTTTACATATGGCCCCTTGAGGCCTGCGATAGATAGAGGCTGCTATATGTAAACCCCTGTCACGACAAGATCCACTCAGACGGTGATTACGGTCCCCGTGATCACCGTCTGAGTTTTCTGAGGCAAGTCAGAGCTCTGTCATCTCCAGCCAGCTGCATCGTGCATCCTTCTTCAGCCTGGTCCAGAACCCACACTACATCATACTCACATTACCTACCTCCTCCGCCTCCAACAACCACGCACCGCAAGCCCGCCGCAACCAGCCGGGCGACCACCTCCCGAACCGACTCACCATGTCGGCGTCTCAGGCCGACTACAAGGACCGGCAGTTCCTAGCCGTCATCGGGGACGAGGTGCGCACCACCATCACCACTATCACCGGCGCAAGTCGCCCGCTGCATTCCACATCCAGGCTAACGAGTAAAACCAGGACTCGGTGACGGGCCTGCTGCTGGCCGGTATTGGCGTAAGTCGCCCGCCACGTTTCTCAATGTCCCCCAGACCCTCACAAAAACCCCACAAGCCAACTCTACTGCCAGACACGGCCAGAGAAAGAAGGACACTAAAACCCAAAACCAGCACGTCACGAACCCGCCCGACTCGCAGAAGAACTTCCTAGTCGTCGACAGCAAGACCGAGAACGCGGCCATCGAGGCCGCCTTCGACTCGTTCACGACGAAGCGCAAGGACATCGGGATCGTGCTGATCAACCAACATGTCAGTAGTCTATCCACTCGCCAATTCATCTAGCCATACATACTCCCCTCCCATCCAGTCGCTATCTAAAGCGGGCAAGCGGGAGGGTGGCTTGGGGGTACTAGCAGCAAAAAATGGTGCATGCTAACGATCGATCCCCCGGCACACAGATCGCGGAGAAGATCAGACATCGCATCGACACCTACACGGCCGCGTTCCCGACCGTCCTCGAGATTCCCAGCAAAGAGCACCCTTACGACCCCGAGAAGGACAGCGTGTTGAGACGGGTACGGCGGTTGTTTGGAGAGTGATTGATCATGCAGAGAGAAGAAGAGTAGTGGTACAACGCGGCAGGGGGGTTATTCGGTTGTTCTATACCGATTACAGTGATTGCTTATCACGAAAAGGTCTGGCTGGAGCGGTGTACCATACGGAGCATTCATGCATAGGGGCTCGTAGAATCCAAGCAAATCTTCGAAACCAAGTTTGACCTTGCTTTGGGTAGTGTCTCAACGGGTCCGAGAGGGATATCATTTATGTCCGTATGCGTGACTAATGCCAGTCCTTGTGATTACGGACCGTCGCCTCCTTTTCCCGTGTGGAAAATGTCGAATCAAAGCAGTTCAAGTCAAAATATGATGCTGCCCACCAAGCCATAAAATTACAGACGTAGGAAAAGGCCTTCGCGTCCGTCAAAAGAGTGCCATGCCGTTCATCGTCATTGTCGTCGGCACAACATGCTGTGTCGCCGTGTCTGTGTATGTCGGAATGCCAAATTCGAAATCTCTTCGCTATTGGATCCCTACAGGTCGTTCACAACCTCCCTCTTGCTGCCACCAAACGTGACAGTAGCCTGCAGACAGGTGATGGGCTTGTTGTCCTTGCTGACGACCTCGGCGTAGACATTGTACTTTCCCTAAATTGCAGATATCATGTCAGCCCCTACCCTACCAACAAAACAACAGATATAACGAACAAGAAGATGCATGGGAATCATTATAAGAAGGTAACGTACCGGTGGGACCTCCTTGGGGATCTCGACCTCCTTTGTGATAGACACGTCGCCCTTCTCGATGGGGCACTCCATGTCGACGTTCTTGATCTGCTTGCACAGGTCGGCCTTGGTGTTCACGAGGCGGATCAGGCCGTACTTGACGACCAGGTTGACGGTGGCGCCGTCCTCGATGGTCTCGACTACGGTGCCGGACGCTTTGATGGACAGGATTTCGCCGCTGCAGCACGACTTTAGTTAGTCAATCATTCCCTTCATCAGTGTCATGTGGGACTGGTTGGGGGAGGGGAGCGATAAGGGAAGCCAATGGATAGCACGTACGCTGCAGGCGGGTTCGGGAACAGGTCGACGCTGTCGATCTTGACGAGGTCGTTGCTGTGGTCCATGTCGCAGAGCTCCAGCGGCGAATCGCCGGGCACCTTCTCAGCGTCGCTGGCGCTGACGTCCTGGGACGAGGAGAAGCCGCCCAACCAGCCCCCTCTGGCGGAGGCGAGGCCGGCCGACAAGGTGGCGGCGGCCACGCAGGCGGTCGAGAATCTCATCGCGGCTTTTGTTATTCTTTCGTTCTTTCAGGGGGGAAACTTCGTGAGAGTATGGTGGAGGAAGAATCGATATGGCGTGGAACGAGACCTGGGAATAGAATGCGCAGTCGACTGTCCGTTCGTCCAGAAAGCTGGTGGCGGGCGAAGATAGCTAGATATGGGGAGGCGGTGCTGGGCGGGTTGGTCCAAGAGGTGGGAACGTCATGGGACTCTGGCAGGGCTTATCTGATTGGCTGGCTTGACAGAGGACGCCTGCAAGGCTCCAGTCCCTCCACACCAGCTGCACTGGGCCCACTTCCAAATCAATGGCCTAGAACAGCTGAACAGTTGTGTGGGGTTGGGCAGTTCTTTGCCAAATGCCAGACGTCGCTTCGCAGCTGGTTGTCTTGAGGAGTTGAGCTTAGACCTCCACCTGCAGCTGTCATATTATTTAGGCTCGGGCCGTCCGCCGTGCTTTGGCTCCAAACTCAAAGGTCCGTAACAGTACCTACTGTACCGTTATTAACAACGGTCTAGTGTAATGAATAGAGGTATATTATGGTAAATTTATATAATAAGGGCGTAACGTGAAGAGCGGAAGAGTCTCAAGTCATTGCACGGTTCTTATTCATGTCAAGACAGATAACCCTAAGCCGTGTAACCAGCATGTTGCTTAGGTCTAGGGCTGTCGGACACTGACCTGCAGAGGCGGGTTTCGCAAAGGGTGAACATGATCGAGATCATTATTAAATTCGTTAGGGTAACTGTGACAATGCAAGCCTTAACTCGAGAAGAAAGACGTTCATCACCCTAGGGGTATCGAACCACACGCTCATACTCAGAAATCCATCCGTAGCAAACTGTGCTCCAGCCACTAATGCAAAAGCACCATCAAGTAAACAAGAACCTCAATCGACCACGCTCGGTTTGCTTGTTCCACCGGAACCACCCATCCACGAACTCTGTGGCATGGTTGAGGCTGGCACCTCGGGTATCATTCGAATTAGTAGTATATCTTCTCCTCCCATAGAGGAGGTCGGACCGACTCCGTATCCCACTCCAACTTGTTCTTGTTGTTCAGGGTGCAGCCCTCGTCAGTCATGGCAATCACCTTCGCGGTATCCCGGATCTCCTGCTTCGAGATGCCCATCGGGTCCTCGGGAATCCAGAGCAGTGGCGTGGGGCTGGACACCGACGGTGGGAAGTACGCGTCGCGTTCGACTTCGTCCGTGTAGAGGTTGTGCACATCAATACGGTCATGAGGAACCAGCTTGCGCAGGGTCTCGTAGTCGCAGTGCTGCCACGGCTTGAAGAACTTGGAGATGAACCCGGCCTTCTTGCCAGCAGCGGTGGTTTGGGGAACAGATCCGTTCCTGAGCTCCCCATCGCCACTGTGAAGACCTTCCTTGAGAGCAACAGGGTCACGCAGTGCCAGTTCCTCGACCCCGAGAGTCCGGGGCAGATTGTAGAGCAGGGGGTCAAGAGCGCTGTTGATCGTCATGTGAAACAATATCGAGAAGATAAAGAACACTATCATCAGAACCAACGGACCAATGGCAACCGAGGTGGCGAAGATTCCGATCATGCACAGTTCCGCAATGTAGACGCCGACGAAGAGCTGCTTCAACGCCCGCGGGTAAATGAGACCTCTCGTGTCGATCTTGGTGTCGGTGACAAAGAAGATGTTGTAACGCCAAGCGAGATAGAAGAGCGAAAGACCAATAGTAGCGAATCCAAGCATCAGTGGAGCAATTCCCGCATACGTAATGCCTTTACTTTAGTTAGTAACATGCAAATAAACCACCTCAGAAAGAACTTACTAATGACAGCGATGTTGGTGTACACCGGCAACACACTACCCCACGAGATGGCGCTCAAGTTTGCCCACTTGGTGTACAGAGCACGTGGTGTGCCTGATAGATACTTGTACATCAGGGTAAAGATGACGAATCCGGTCACTTGTGAGACGACTCCTGCCGAAATACCTATGCCCTGAACAATGAAGTAAGAAATGTAGAAGTTGGAGGCCTTGGGCAAGTTCTCGGACAAAATGCTGGTGACGCTTCCGGGATTCTCCGCGATTTGTTGACCGACGGTTGACGCAGCAGATGACAAGGTTGAAATCAGAAAGACCTGGACAACCTGGAAAGCAAAGTATGCGTTCTGGGTGAATAGCTCGACGCGAGATAGTGAAGGTTCACCCGAAAGCTTGGCGCAGACTGATCTCATGTTAGTCAATCAGGTGGACAGGTGGACATAGCCATGGAGTATGCTTACGCCTCATGATAACGGGCACTAAAGACATGAGTACTGCCAATAGAACCGATGGCAGAAGACCTTGTACGAAGCCCATGATGATATCAGGGATCATCTTAAGCCATGTGAGGAAGAAGATGTTCTCAAGGTAGCTGATATTCGAGATGGCACCGACAGCAGCAACAGGGATGGCCCAAAAGATAATGAGAGCACTGATGAAGCCGACGACAGCAAATCTGCGAATGACTCTCTGCCACCACGAGACTTTCAAGCTGCTCCAGACAACCTCACCCGGAGTGACGCCGATGTACTTGGGTGACATCTGCAGAGCTTGGTGGTGTGCCAGCACTTGGTAGGCTGATTCGGCATCAGCCTGATGAAAGAACTCGACGAAAACACTGCTGATCTTCTTGAAATCCCCGGCGCGGTACGCATCTTGACCTTTCTGGACGGCCGGGATGATGCGTTCGAGTTCGGTTCGGCACCAACTGATCGTGTCCACCTTCTTGCCCACCAGCCCGAGGGGCCCTAGTCGATGAGAAGGTCGCTTCTTGGCAGGAATCCAGCGGGCGGCCAAACTACCAGACTCGGCGTCAACAGGAGCCTCAGTCCTCTGATCCGCCGCGCCCTTCTTGATGGCCTTGAGCCGAGCAGCATTGGCGAGCTTGACCAGTTTGACCTCGGCCTTCTCCAGCTTCATAGCCACCTTGTCGCGCGAATTGACCAGCTCGTCAAGCTTCTCGGTGTCTCCAGTGATCCAAACATTCTTCACCGAGTCGCCGAAGACCTTCCGCATCCGGGCCTCGTCGAGATATGCGTCAGGGACAGAGACGAAGAGGACGGTTCGAGAAGAGATGCGGTTGGCGTAGAAGGGCGACAGCAGGAAAGCCTGGCGCAGATTCACGTAGTAAATAGACTCCCTCAGAACCATATACATGACGAAACCGTAGAAAATCCAAGACATGAAGACGTGGGCGTAGTATCGGTTACTCTGGGTGTCCTTGTTGATATTGGCGTAAGAGAGGAGGTCAACCTGCGTGGCTGAGCCCCCTCCGGTGATGTTGACCGGGAAGAGGACGGGCCACAGCAAGCAGCATCCCACGAAGCAGACGGCAATAAGGACCTTCAGGAAGCGAAGGAAGAGATAGGCATCGAGGGATTGATGCTGGAGGGGATGTATGTCGGGTATCTTCCAAAAGGCCCCGAACCAATTGAACAATCCCGTTGGCAGGGCAGGTGCACGCTCGCTGAGCGCAAATCATCGTAAGTAGGTGTGCCGGTGGGATGACCACACAAGTGAATAGACACGAGACTCACCTCGCGCGCAAACTTCCCAGGTAGGTTCTGGGAGCATAGTAGCGCCTCTGGCTCTTTCTCAGACACAGAAAGATGGATATGTAGACAGCAGCAGTCAGTAAGACTGGACCCAGAGTAAGGTATAGCGCTATTTGCACACAAGAGTCAGTCCCGAATGTTCAAGAATAGAGCGCGTTGGGTTTGGAACAGCATACATGACGCCGAAGTGGGCGGCTGCGCATCGCGCGCTTCTCCTTGGTTGCTCATGATGCCGAGTACGAGGTACTATGTACTGGATGTTTGTCGGGTGCCGAGGTACTATGTACTGGATGTTTGTCGGGTGCCGAGCCGCAGAGCAGTTCCTTGCGCAGGGCAATGGAAAAGTCTAACGGCAAGAGAGGACGAGGAGGTGAACGTCTCTAGGGCGCGAAGGAGAGCAAGGTGAATAGAGTAGGTCGGTGGGTGCGCAGGGAAGATGGTATAAGATGAGGTAGGCAGAAGAAAAAGTAGGTAGATTAAAGGGTCCTCTCAAATGCCGACCCGCTCTGGTGGTTGTCCGGACACTAGAGGAACTGTCAAGCAGCAAGCAACCTCACTGTACCTAGTCCGTGGGAGAACTGTCAGCGATAGTGCCCGTTTTATCAAACGCGACAGACGAAAAGAGATATTGGAGGCCTTGGAGATCTCATGTGCGGACCAGATCTGATGAGCCTCAAGACGTCTAAACCCGGGTCGGATTTTGAGAGACGGGAGAGGTGGGTGGGACAGGGAACAGGACTCCCCTTGGGCTTTGGGACGATGCCGTGGACGATGCTATTGTAGGGACCTAATAAGGTAAGGGTCGCGCGAATCCGCGATGGATCATGGATCATGGAGCAGGCCGGCGGACCCCTGCCGTGCCAGGCGTCTCCAGATTCAAGATTTGCTCGGCAAATGAGGCCTGTCACTGGACACTGGACAGAGACGCATTCAATAGCCCAGCCTCTTCAACAATCACAAGCTGCCAATGGATAGCAGTGGGGCGGCGATGACGGCGATGCGATGCGCACTTACCCCTGTCGCGAGCTGAGCCGGGAGATATTGCTGGGTCTGGATCTCCAACTATCGACTACTTTATGCAGCCAGCAGCGATGCTAGGCGCGGGAGGAAGGAGGAAGGAGGAACCGCCCAGTTGGGTTGATACTAGTACTTATGATATCGGAGTTGAGAGTCTTGACGCCAGAAATTATTAACGAGCCTGCTTGCAGAAAATAAAAGCCCCAGGCGCAAGCGGGATATGTCAGGGGCGGTAGGCGGGAAGCTGGAGTCTAAGGGTGTGTTCGGAACGAAAGTTCAAACCTAAAGAAATATACATAAGCTACACCCCTCTCCCGCCTACTATGGCAATTCAGGTATAGCGCGCGACAAAGGCATAAAAATTCATCGGAATATATAGCCTAAGTCTTTAAAAGTTGCCGTTTTTAAAATATATTTATATATAAGTAAATACTTACGTTATTTACAATGTAAAATAACGAAATTGATATCTTCCTTTTCATATTTAAAACCTTTATTTTAACACATTTTTTCGGTTATTTATAAATGCTATTAATATAACTACCAATTTTCCCCCTAAATGATTATAACACTTTATAATATTGCGACTTTTAATACTATTCATAATTAAACAACTGTCAGGTTCAAGGGATCTCCATAGGTGTATGCCATGTAGAGTACTGGCTAGTCAGGTGGCTAGTCAAGGAGGCTGCCATGGCTAGCACCCTGAATCGTACATCGACTCGGAAAAAGGTGGGCCAGAGGAGCGTCTCCGGCATCTCCGGAGCTGTACAAATAGGTGTAGATACCACCTAATTGGGATAACTGAGAAATGATAACAACGATTGCAGCTACCGCTCAAAACCACAGGCTTCTCAACCCTTTGAAATCTGACAATAACTAATAATTCGTTAAATTTTTAAAAAAGTTAAAAGTAAGGTTAATAGTGATTATAAAATAATTGGTAATAAAGATATTGTTTATAACATCTAAAAAAGTAATATATTTATATATAATATATTAACTTTTATTTAATAAGAAGTAATATTATCACGGGGCAGCTTGAAGACCAGGACAAGAATGCCCATCAATATCCTCAATTATACAAAAATACTTTGGTGAGGAAGGGAAGAAGGATCTGAGGCACCAGCCAATTCTTGTGGGGTGATAGATCCCAATCCCGATCTACAATTATCCATCAATATGTGCAGTGTGGCAACGCATCCACCTCACCAACAACCCTAGTCACCTGATAGATATTAGATCTATCACAAATTCAACAAAAATCTCGTTATATTGAATAACCAAAAAAATGACGTTTAATAAACCGAAACTCCTCTTTAACTTATTATCATTTATTAATTAAGTATATTAAAAAAGGGAAAAACATCAATCGACTTATTATGTTTATTATTAAACTTTTAAAACCCGTTAATACAATAGAGGATATATTTATAAAATCCATATAAAATAAATCTTTAAAAAAAATTAAAATATTTGGTAAAAATAAGTTATATTTAAAGTAATAAAGCAATGTTATACGTTATTTTATTAATACACGTTGCTTATTATATCTGCTTAAATAAATAATAATAATAAAAAGCTTTACCGTTAAATACTTATACATACCAGGAAAGGCCTTAAAAAACACATTAAAAAGATTTATTTATTGCTTTATTTGATGTAAAATATTGGTAACCGTAAATAAACGTAAAAATAACATTAAATTTATTCGTAGTTTATAAGGATCGCTGCTAACGGCACAAAAAAGAAATTAAATAATAGATAGTTAAAGAAATTATTAAGGTTATGTTACGTTAGATAGTTATAAACTTTAAAGCTGCCATAAGACTTATTGACGTTATGCTGAAAAAGTTTTTAAACTTTATGTGATAGATCTGACACCCATCAGGTGGTTTGTTAAGGTGGACGCGTTGCCCTACTACACAGATGGATATATAATTGTGGGTCGGTATTTGAGATCTATTACCCCACCAGATTTGGTGGTGCTGCAGATCTCTCTTCCCTTCTTCACCAAAGTATTTTTGTACAATTAGAGATATTAATGTGCACTTTTGTCCTGGTCTCCAAGCTGCCCTATTACACTTTAAGCCTAACCAATCGTAATAAAAAGGCTATCTGACGCGTATAAAACGGGCGGTTTTTTTTTATTAACTATTATTTAAACTTTTTACAACTACATAACGCTGGTATGACGCCAAGAAACATTTAAACAGGTTTCAGTGCTATTAGGCTTCTTCTTTTTCACCCAGAAAGTGTTATTTCAAAGCTGGATGCTGTCGTTGTCGTATAAACACCGTTGCCAGACCTCGATTTGCCACCTACTACTTAGACTTCAAAGACGTCTACCACTATTAACAAAGCGGTAAACCAATGGGTTTATATCTAGAATCCAGTCAGAAACCACTAGGGAAGCTCACTTATATCAATAATTGATGCGTTGAGCTCGTTTTCAAAGGCTACATACGGTCTTATGTACAAGGTCGCTTTAGTTGATTCCTGGGTCTGCGAGCTAGAGGAGGCAAATTACCTACTAAGTAAACACCGGAGGACAAAACACAAACGTCTAGTGAAAGGAGGAGTACTTTCCGTTGAAGATGCAGTAGGTCTCCAGGCTGTAAAGGATGGTGATGAGCTGGCAAGACAGGAAATGAGTGAAGGTAGTCATCGTCCGAGAAGGGCGGCAGCGCGTGAGCAACGTCGTGGCGTTTGTGGCAACACTGGCCATAATGCGCAAACTTGTATAATAGAGATAGAAACGTCTGAAGAAGAAGAATCCAATTGATTAGATTGGATTAGATGCGTTGTGGTCGAGTTATTTGACATGTTGGTTAGAAGGTTGGTGAAAAGTTGCCGTTCACTTGTAATTGCCGCTCGCTTGTCATCCACGTTAAGTTATTTATATGTAACGGTTTTTTTATAACGTTTGATTTTATTAAAATAATAATATTTAAGTTATTTTTAATAATGTAATTAGTTTTTTAAGCATTTAATCCATACATATATGTAAAAGCATATTTAAGTAGTAGTATTAGCAGTTGTAATAAATCTAGTATATTTTGTTTTATAGCTTTTTTATGTAATTAGTGCTTATAATTCTAAATATTATAAAACTGGTGTTTTTATCATATATAGAAATATAGTTAGTAAATATTTTTATAATATTTTATTTTAATATTATGCTAAGATTAATCGGCTTGAATAATATTGGCTTATTATTTTTATTATATTAATTAATGAATTGGTAAACATAAATATTATTAAATTTTAAAAACCAGTTTTTACATTTGTTTAATTATTTTTTGTTATTTTTTGTTTAAATGAGATATAAACTAGGCTTAAGTTAAAGTCATATATACGAGGTTAAGCTTTCCAATATGAAAAAAGAACTTTTATTTTTTAATTATTAAAGCGAAATGGAATATATTTTCATGCGAAGGTGGTTTTTTTAAGTTTTTAAATGCGATTTTGCACTTCAAGAGATTTATCGGCGTTAAAAAAGGTTTAAATTCATTTATTTCGTTTTGCTTCAAAGTTTTCTAAACATATTGTTATTAATTGAGTTATACGTTTCTATAAAAGTATTTTATAGTATTTAAACGTTAGTAAATTAGTTGACGTTTTGAAGATTAGTTCTAAGTATGTTTTCTAAAGTTTTTATGAAAAAAGTTAACTCATTTTTAATATTAATTAATTATCGACGTGACTAGTGATGATAATATTAGTGCTTAAATCAATCTATACAGTATAATCTAATTTTAACGGGTAAAAACCGGTTTCTTAAATGAATAGCTTTATTTAATTTTTACGTGTTTTTAGTTTATTTCAAGTTGTACAGTAAGTTGTAAAGTTTTTATTAAAAAATCAAGTAGTATTTTTATTTTATTGTTTTACTTAATGAATTTTTGACGGATTTTTAAGTATAAAGTATGGTTTATAAATATTTGTTTTTTAAACCTTTCGTTTAAATATACTGCTATAAAATCGATTTAAATAATAAATAATTCATTAATCATGTTGAATAGAGTGGTGCAGATGGTGTGGTTGCAAGTGTTCCGTGCGCGGACTAGGTAGATTTGGTGTGGTTCCAGCGCTCTTTCAACGGTCGATTAGCGACCGTTACCCCACAGCTCCAGCGCTACGCTAGCTTGACGCGTTGTAACTGTACTTAAGTATAAATCTGTCTGCGATAGGTAGTTATAAAACCACAA